GTTGTCCACATGACAGATGTTAGTGCCGTGGTGGCGACCCCACTTTTCACGTTCTTTGAGTGTCCGAATTCGAACGGAAGAAACCCTTTGCAGGACCAAGCTTGGTATCGCCATTGTCGCGCATGCCAATGCGAGGCAACGTTGTGCATCATAAACATTGTGGGGCGACATAAAGATCAACTCGCCCGTGAACTACTGGAAGGCCTAGCCATCGAAAAAAAAAGGCGAGGACTGTGTTAGTGCCTCTTCCGTTGCACTACACAACTCGGAGAAGATTTTCCTGCGGAGTGACATGAGTTTCAGACAAAGGTAGAAGAAGAGGAAGACCGCTTAAAGAAGACAGAAGAAAAGGGATGAGAACATTCCAACAGCAGAAAGGTGTTACATTGCAGCCTAAGTAAAGCCAGGTAAGAGACACAATCCAAAGAACAGTTTATGAAAGGAACATAATGGCTTTTTACAGATGGCTGCTCGAGCCAACTCCGCGAGATCCCTCCCCGAGTTTGTTGTTGATGATTATATGGCCTCGTGGATATATACAGCATTTCTCCCCCCTAAAGATCTAAACGCTCAGGAGGTCGTCGTTGTCTGGTCGATCTTCTGAGAATCGGCACTGGTTAGGTGGTCCCTTGGTCATTTGCTGCACTCGAGCGCGTAGCAGGTATAAGATCTAGTCGCAGGCTGGCCCGTTGGCGACGGAACTCGTGTCCGGAGCTGATCAGCATGCCGCCACTGCTCCCCTTGTGAAGTATCCACCGTTGCCATCCGGGCACCCTCGGACAACCGGGTGACTCCAGGAACCCAGCGATGTCCTATGCCAAAATTGCGTGACCACACGGTCCTGCCAGCAAATTAAGGACGACTGCTGCTATTGGACGGGCGTGAGTGCGAGTGTTCTGGAAGACAGCAGTCAATCCGGGACCGAATGCGGTAGCCGAGTAACAGCTCGGATGGACACTTCCCATCTTTTGTGGGGGTCCTCCGGTAGCAGATGAGAAATCTGCCAGGGCAAGCCTTGTTCTAAGATTGCCAGGCAATACTTTGTGAATGCCCTCCTTAACTGTGTGCACCGCACGCTCGGCTAGTCCGTTTGACTGCGGATGGTATGGAGCCGTAGTCAGGTGCTGTACGTGGTTGTCTTGCAAAAACTTTAAAAACAGCGCTGGTAAACTGTGGTCCATTATCTGACACCAACGTTCTTGGCAGCCCGAATTGCACAAAAATAACGCGGAGTGCTCCCACTGTGGTCTCGGCCGATGCCGTCTTCATCGGTACTGCCTCTATCCACCTGGTGCCTGAGTCGACTACAATTAGTATCATCTTACCCTCCAGCGGACCAGCATAGTCTACATGAAGGCGTGACCACAGTTGGTTGGTGTTTAACCAACTGATGGGAACTTCAGCTGGGGGCATTGGAGACGCCTGGATGCAAGTCTCGCACCTTCTTACAAGATCTTCGATGTCTTGATTGACTCCAGGGTACCAGAAGACGGTTCAAGCCACGTTTTTCATGGCTGACATTCCTGGATGGGTGTCATGGAGGGCCAATAACATCCATCCGGCTTGGGGCAGAAGCACTCAATGTCCACAGTAGACAAGGTCGTGACTGCCAGCCAGTTCATTTCTCTTGTTGAAAATGGGCTGAAACCTCTTCTCTGTCTCAGCAAGGTGCCCTGGCCACCCCTGCTGAATCCAGATCTTCACTTGATGGATCGACTGGTCTTGCTCTGTCATGTCTGCTAGCTGCCTAGTTGTTAAGACACCAACATCCAGACTCTGGGTGTACAACATGTATTCCGCGGGCTCGCCATTGCTGTGACACGCGGCGTCTCAAAAACTGGCAGCCGACTAAGGGCATCAGCATTGGCATTGTCCTTCCCCTGGCGATACAGCAGATGGTACTGGAAGGATCCGAGAAGTAAGGCCCGGGCCAGCGCTGGATTCTTGCCACAGCCATTTGTGGTGATGCCTTGTCTGGGTGAAACTAACCTGTCGGAGGTTTGTGGTCTGTGACAACTGTGAACTTATGTCCATACAAATAATCTCGGAACCATGACACTCCAAAGACTAGAGCAAAGGCCTCTTCCTCAAGCTGTGAATAGTTCTGTTTGGCCGGCGTTAGTGTCCTCGACCGAAAACCAATTGGATAATCTGTGCCATTGGTGCAATGTGACAACCCCTTTTGGAGAGGCGTCGCACTCCAACTTCAAGGGCTTGTTTGGGTGGAAATGCACTAGAAACCGTGCGGTCTCCAACGCCTTGTATAAAAATTCAAAAGCGCTAACACCAAGGAAAAGAAGAGGGGAGTAAGTGCTCTGTTCCGTCCCCTCTTCTTTTCCTTGGTGTTTGCGCTTTTGAGTTTTTATACAATGTGTAGCCAACTAGCCCAACAGTTAATTTTGATCCAACGCCTTCTTTGTCCCAGTGAACGATTTTTCCTGTTCTTTTTCCCACTGCCACTTTGCACCCTTCACTAGCAGCTGGTACAGAGGCGCCAACTTTGTGGACAGGTTAGGCAGAAATTTGCTGTAATAATTTATCAGGCCAAGGAAAGATCTTAGCTCGGTCACAGAAGTTGGCCTTGGCGCCTGGGACACTGCTGACAAGTTGTCTCCTGTGGGGTGCAGACCCGTGGCGTCAATGCGATGGCCCATGGGCGTACCAACCGGGTGGGCAGAGGGGGCGCTTGCCCCCCCCAGCTCTCAGTGGGGGGGCAAGGCATGTGTTTTGCCCCCCCCCCCCCCTGAAACAGCCGCCACTGAGAAGGGCAAACACTGGCTGGCGGCAGGGATACCAAGGGCACCGCCCCCGGCCTTGGGGGGGATCTGGTTTGCCCCTCCACTCATGAACAAGTTGGTATGCCACTGCGATGGCCTGAAAATGTCGCCTCCTCTTGTCGAAACTTGCACTTTTCTCAGTTGACTTTCAGTCCACTGTCTCGCAATCGCTGAAGCACTCGGCGGAGGGTAGTGTTATAATTTTTCTTTTCTGCGACAATGATATTGTCTAGGTACACTATAGATTCGTTAGTCCATAAAGAGAAACTGCAGTGACGGAGCAAGGGAGAAAATGGTAGGAAATGCAAGCGCTTGTGGTTCGACTCCTAGCTCTATTCGGGGGCGGATTTAGATGGTGGTCCGGATGTCCTGACCCCCCTCTTGATTTTTACATGTGTAAAATTTAGGGCATAAAACAAGGGATAGGGGGAGGGGGTTCCTAAACATATGGTACGCTGACCAACACCTGACCCCCCCCCTCAGGAAATTCCTGCATCTGCCCCTGGCTCTATTCATTTTTAAACTGTTTGCTTTGCCCTCAAAACATACACCAAATGGAGCGTTTTGTTCTGCTGTTCAATATGAATTGTGCAGCATTATAAATGCTTAAAATATATAAAAAATGAAGTTTTGAACTCCTTAAAACGAGTGATAACTTAGTGCTGCCCGAAATTTGTTCTGTAGAGTGTGCATGCGTGTGAAAATACCAATATTTTATGTCTCGCGGTGACTGCAAGTTATGCGTAGTCGGATATATGCTAAATTGCCAAAGTTCTTATATAAATAAAAAAAAATAAAAAATACTATTTCGAAAACTGATGAAAAACTATTGCCGTTGATCTATGTATCCTTCAAAAGATTGCTTGATTACTCTTGCTAAAGCAAATTTTCAAATGTTTCCGAAATTTCTGGCTTTGGGGAAGAGCTTGTCCTGCTTTTCTTAACCTACAACTATATAATAATTTAAATAAAATAAAATTCTAGGCATTGATTTTTTGGGACGATGCCTAGAGGATGACCTCAAGGACGCCGCCTAGAGAACGTCTAGGAGGGGCTCAAGGACGACTTCTAGGACGACCTCGAGGACGATGCCTCGAGACGATAACAAGGGATCAGGACTGACTCACGCTGGTTGCCCCATCCTTTTATGAATACTTGCCACGGAATGTCGAGTTTTCTGTTGACATGTGACTGCTTCGCTGTAAAAAAAACTTGGTATTTTTAACAAAGGCATGAACACATTTGTTGTCTTCATCGGTGGCCATCGTGACAAAACGTATGCACACAAACGTGCCGCCCGCCACAGCCGCTGACGTTCTCGTTGCCGTTCCCGCCTCTGGTTCCCGCCGTTGCTCCTCGTAGGCGCGTTGCTCTTCGGGAGACCTCCCATCCCCATTGCAACGAGAATTCAGGGATTAGTGTTCCACGTGCCGCGCGCCTTCCCGTATAAAAGAATCGAAGTAAATAACCAAAATAAAGTCATTTGTTTTTACGCTTTTGCTTCAGAACAGTTACTGCTGCAGACGCCGGCTCTAACGCCGGCACGTGCGGCGCGTGGATGTGATGCGAGCGTAGAAGTATTTGGTCACGCACAGGAAAAATCTACGAAACAATAGCCATTACCAGATCAACACCTACCAGATTCGCTGTAAAGAAAAAAAAAAAAAGAGAACGGTGCACAGCACATGGCACAGGGTTTAAGAACTCGGGAATGATGCATGATGCAGATGCAGGGTCTCCAGCAGGTTTCTATCGCGCAGCGCAGCGCGCAGCTTTCCAACGTTGCAAAAAAATGGTTCGACTCTTAGTGGAAAGAGCCACTGACGGGAGAAGGGAAAGGGATTCGCTCATAAATTACCTGTGATTGTCGTCCAGTGGTGCGCACGTCACAATAAAGCGAAAGCGCAACGCAAGCGGACGCGAGAACCGGGTACACAAAATGCCATGGGGGCCGCCATCTTGAAAAGCAAAACAATAAAAACGAAGCATAAAATGTGGTTAGTTACCCCATCCGTGGTGAGAGGGCGCTTTTATGAGTTTGAATAATTGTTTAAAGAACTTTCGCTCTTTTTGAATTATTGGGTTATCAATATAATTTATATTGTGTGAGTAATATGTAATGAGTTTAGTTCTGCAATGTACTTTTATTCACACAAGGCCCTGGATCACGTGGTTTGCGATTACCACAGTGGATTCGCTTTCTCTCTCCTTCCTTGAGGTCTTCGTTGGCCGTCTTCTGTTGCGGCTGTTGTCATCTTGCTCGCTGTGTATCTGCAGCTACTGCAGCCGTGCAGCCAGTGCAGCTGCGAAGGTTAGCACACCACCAACTGGTCACATGAAATGTAACCTTCAACACTGTTTGCCAGTCGTCGTGTGAAGCAAAAGATAACTCGATCAACTTCGACCGTGACGGTCTAGTTTCTACCTTTCACAACGTCTTAGCTTGCCGCAGGCAAAGAACCATTCGAATGTTTTCTAACTGTTTTGAAGTCTGAACCTTGCTTTGATGCAACCTTTAGCACACTCTTTTACCTTCGCGGTATGCGCACGCGGTAGACTCGGCAACCGTCGTTTCGGAAGCGGGCACTACTCATAAAATGTCGGTGTTCTGGGCCTCTTCTGAGTTCAGGGTTCATACCCCCTTCCCGTGCGCTCGCTTCAGGTTCTCGTCTCTTTTTCTTCTCAACAGGCCGCCGATGGAAGACCATGGAGTGGAGGTGAGTGTTTTGATTCTGTCAGATCCGAGGCATTGCCCGCGGATAACCGCAGCTGCCGTGACCAGGAAAGAGATGTCTGTGATAAGAAAGCATGATATTGAATTTCGACGTGTTTTGTATTGCTCATTTCGCGGACTCGTTGGAATCATTCGCTCGCACATTTATTGGAAAGGTTGCGCCGACGTTCCGTGCCCGCACTTTCGACTCGGCCGGCCAAGAGAACTAAATTTGAGCCATTCGAGTGAGGCATGCCCACTCACCGTGTTCCTTTGCGTACTACTTTCTCTTAATTTGTCGGGCGAGATGGGTTCGTTTATGGCAACATAATTTGTCGCTATAACAGACTCTGCAGCCAACTTAAACCCCGGGATAATTCCTTTAAATTCCCGTTCACACACTTGCGACTTTTTAGGACAGTGAACCTTGAAACCTCATAAAATCTCTTACGACGAAACACGTGGTGGTCCCGTATATTCCCTCCTTTTTTTCGCGCCATTCATTTTTGGCTTGGAAAGCTTTTGTCAATGTTATAAACGACCATTGCTCATGTTCACATTGACCTCGCACATACTGCCAAACCTTTGCTCTAGTGAAATGCAGTTCCAGGGTCACCTCATAGATGGTGCCAGTGGGCGCGTTCAGTAGCGGCTCCCTCAGCTTTGAACGGAGTCGCTAGAGTCGGAGTCATCGGAGCGCCTACTGAACGGCAAGGAAACCCGCGGCTCCAAACCTTCTTCTACGCAATTTCCGCTTCCTCCCCTGTCCCAGATGGCCTCCGAATAAACTGGAAGCAGACGATGGCGAGCACGATCGCTTTTATTTGATGCCGGTATTGAAGAAGTCTTGACAAGTTCGTTGAAGAAAAAGTGGGTGACTGTACACGTCAGCGCTACTGTTCGAAGCGATGCAACGCAATCGAGCCCTTCGCTTGGCGGTGCAAAGGCAGCTACTGTTATAAAAACCGACAAAAACGTTGTCAGCACACGCAAAATATAGAGCTCGGCGAGTCCACGCTCGGCGAGTCCACGCCGCTGGTTGCAACACTTTTATACGGCCATACGTTTGTTCTGCCCTTCATAACGAACTTCCTATAAAATGTATTCGTATACACACGGGAAGTTCGACCGCGCTCGGCAATCAAGGTTTTCTCGGCCGAAGCGAGCCTCAGCCAACGTGCACCCCGGTTTAGCTACGCAAACAAAACATTAATCGGGATCGTGCTCTGCATGAGTGTCCAACCGGCTTCCAAAGTCGCATTCATACCCTGCCTTGCTCTGTTGAGCGCGGACAGGACTATCGTCGACAGAGTTTCCGTGCAACGGCGACCAAGACACGACGTCAAGTGAACGTTTACGTTTATTACCATATTCTAATCAAACAAAATACAGTCCAATGCATTTTCCGAAAAGAGCCTTACCTGGAAAAGAAATTTGAACGCATTATTCGTCTTACCTTGAGCACTTTTCATTAACAAAAGCGAGCAAACTGCACACCCGCGACTGACCCAACGCAACTTATCCCGCCTTTTATTTATTTTTTTTTTTTTTCTCTTTTAGCGTTGGAAATTGTCACCAGTCAGGAAATGACGTCATCTTTAGCTCCTTTGACTCTACGTGCACCGTCTCCAGACTCGGTGCTTCGGAGCTTGGCTCCGAAAGCCCCGGAGTTACAGGCACCGGAAGTGACCTTTGTCCATCCAGTGGAAGGAGTCAGTGACTAATTGACTCCGGGGCCGCTACTGAACGCGCCCAGTGTGTCTCATGTCGTAACAGATTTTGAGAAGTTATAAGGCACACGGTCCTAAGCTTAGGACCGAGTGCCTTACAGCTCTCACACACACATCTGCCGAGTCAAGATAAACATTGTCATTATTGTAATCCACCAGCACATATGGTGCTGTGTATTGAAGCCACGAGCTTCTTGCCTTCAATAACGCTTCGGCACGGTGTCGAAATGGGGGGTAGGGGCAATCACCTTCTGGATATTTGAAAAATTTATGTAAGCAATACTGGAAAGGAAGTGAAAAATATACCCCCCCCCCCCCACTGTACCACCACCCACCGTTGCCCTCCCCCCCCATCTCCTGAACAGTTCTGATGCCTCTGCTTTGAGTGTGCATGCTCAGAAAAAGCACAATGACAGGCGACAAGTGCATGCTGGAGGCCCTGCCTTTCTCCCCCTGTCGGCGACCATGGCGGCTTTTGTTCTGCTCAAACCAAGCCGTGCTTTGGAGCAGAGTGAGAGTGACTGGGGGGTTTTTCTTGACGTCCAGAGTCTGGCGGAGGTGTTCCGCTGCTTCATCTGCATGGAGCGTCTTCGGGACGCCCACCTCTGTCCTCACTGCTCCAAGCTCTGCTGCTACGCCTGCATACGGGTGAGGACATGCCCCTCTTGCTCTAAATGAAATGCCGTCTGCTACTCAAATGCAGACCACAGAGGTTGTGCAGGCCTGTTGAAACAGCTCAAAAAGGGGCCTTCGGAAAGCCTTGAAATGGCAGCTGACGTTTTGCTAGTGGCTTCTTCAGGCCCTGAAGTTGCCAAGTCTCACGGCAAAATGTCAGCTCCTTTGTTTGAAGAGGTTCCTGTTCAACTACTGCCGACATAGATTTATGGTGTCTCATGGGGCTATGTGCCAATGCATAGGAGGCAGTGAAATGTTTTATTGGGCTTTTTGCACTTTCATACCTGCCAAATTTGGTGAAGCCAAATCTTGAAGGTTTTCTAAGGCGTGCAAGAAAAAGGGGGAGGCGGGAAATTTTTTTTTAAAAATAAATATTGACAATAGTTTTACATGAAGACCGCTTCATTGCATTTATATTGTACTTCTTGTGCTAGCGAGGTGCAGCTGGGCCTTGCTATCATTGCAGTCGTCTGTTGCGAAAGCAAAAGCTAGTGCGGGGAGTGGGAGAGTAATTTGCATTTTCCGGGAGATTTCCCTGTCAATCGTACAACCATACGAAATGGTTGGAATTCGGTAATCTCCTGGGTGATACGGGACACTTGGCAGGTATGCACCGCTAGTGGCAGCTGGAGCAAGGTGCAGTGACATGGCCGAAACATGGAGGCTGTCTTTCGCATGTGGAAGTGTCTTGCAGCCACCCTACTTGTTGGGAACTCGTGTGGAATTTGAAGGGCCCTGATATACCACGTTTCAGTGATATTCTCAGAAGGCATAAAGGGCTCGTCGATGTCCCTTTAACAGTGATCCATTTGTAAAAATACATATATGCTGCTTACACAAACATACATGTACTGGATTAAGCTCAGATGCATGGCTGTAAAGACATAGGGGTTGCCAGCGATGCCAAAGAAAGGGGGACGAGAAGTCTGGGCAATCTGTGCTGCGTGAAACACACAAACAAGATTCCATCCATGGACCCTGTTGCGAGTGACTCCATTTTAATCTGTAAATATATAAATAAATAAGTCGAAGGCAGATACCCCTCAAAATTATTTTTGTTTTATTCGTTGGATGGATGATGGAGATAAACCCTTTTATTCAGGTGGTGGCTTACATCACTTAGTCAAGGCTTGGATAAAGTAGGGTTAAGTCTTTAAACAGTATACTTCTAAATTTGGAATTGGGAGAGCACGGTAAAGAATCCCCTGTCGCTACTGTTGTTGAGATTTACCAATCTCAACAACCAAAGGTTACACTTAGTGTGACGGTGGTGCTTTTTCTGTGTGCACTTTCCGCTCTACAGATTGAAAGGGATAACAAAATCTTTTCCTTCCAGAGAGGCGCTCGGTCTATCGTTGATGTAGACCAAGCGCCGTTTCCTGGTGGATGCCTAAGACTAGTCCGTTGCAACCTAAGAACGAAGGGCGAGGGTAAGACGGGCCGGGGAGGAGGAAGAAGCAGACGGGACGCTGGAGAAGAGAGAGGGGAACCTCCTTCTCTCTTTAGCGTTCCGTCTGCTTCCTCCTCCCCGGCCTGTCTTACCCTCGCCCTTCGTTCTTAGGTTGCAACGGACTGTAGTCATGGACCGAATCTGCCGAAACTACGATTCAGCAAAGTTCGGCAAATGCCAAACTTTTGAAGGAAAGTTTGCCAAAGATTCGGCAAAAATTCGACAAATGCCTGCGCACGGGCAAGAATGCAACGGGGTCATGTATTGCAAATGGACGCCGTGCAGTCGTGCGGTTACTATCGTGCAGTGTAGTACAACCGGCAGTTACGGCGATGTGTGGAGTAGGCAACACGGTAACTGTGCGTTTGTGAGCGAGTGTGGTTGTCTTCAATATTTTTTTGCCTCAAGAATACAAGATCGACCAGTAATTCACGCAGTCCACTACGCAAGTGACAAATGATGCTTTACATTCTGGATAACGTGATTTTCATGTGGCCTTTCCATTGATGAAACAAGGTAGTTGAAACATTGGCCGACAATTACATTAAAGCACTCCTCGCAATTATAGCAATTCTGTTTTCGGCTTGGAAGCTGTGTGTACCAAAACAAAATAATATTGCTTTTTCAAAATTTCGCGATTTTCATGTATGTGCGTAAAACTAGACGGAACTGAAATGCTCGACGTTTCTCATCCGACATTCCTAACTCTCCCCATCTTTTAAACGTCCGTGTATGTTCTAACACCAGAAACCCGCATTTTAAAGGTAAAAAAACGGGACGTTGCAAGCATGGGCTGCAGATTTTCATGCAAAGCTGACGCCAAGTAACTCAAGCAGAAAAACATGCATATTTGCAATAATATCAAATACGATAATATTGTTATCTCTTCTGGTGAAAGCTTAGCAATCGTTGCATCGTTTTCGCACACGAAACTGTGACTCCCAGAGAAAGCAAGGACGTAGTGTTATTGCCTTCATTTTAACAATGTACACACACACATGCAGGCTTGCGCTGATGATGCCTCAAAACTGAAATTCTCGCTTCTACCCAACTTCATTGTCAAGCCACCTCTGCAAGCAGTCACTAAAACTGCCTGTAAACACACAAAAACGACACCGATACACTTACCTTGTAGAATATCACCTTATTTAGTAATAACTTTGTCAATATGCGTTACATGTTGCATTTAAGTTAAGAAAAAAAAGACATAAAACCTTTTTTCGCCAGAAAAATCTCAATATCAACGTTAAGTTTGGTAGCAATGTATTTTTGCGGAATCTTTCTTTAGAAAGGTTCGGCAGAAGTTCGGCTATGCCGAATCTGGAGATTCGGCGCCAAACTTTTGATTCGGCACAAGTTCGGCCCATCACTACTGAAGACTAGTAGACGGTCGCCGCATCTCAACGCCGGAGGCCATTCCGCTTTACCCGCCCGTCACCAATGCACATATTTCAGTTTTTTGGCAACAGCCTCGTTAGGCACGATTTCTTTCCCACGCCTTATTTTCCCTTTAAATATCGGAGATGTGTGTAATATGATTCGTTATGACATAGGCTCTATGACACGCTATACTTATGTGTTTCATGTCTTTGCATGTAGGATTTATTTTTATTTTTTGGAAGCAACTTCCGCGTTGCACCATTGTTAAGACCTTTATGGTGTTTTTGGGCATGCAATAAACGTCAGTGTCTTCGGTTTCAGCGCTGGCTCACGGAGCAGCGGTCTCAGTGCCCGCACTGCCGGGCCTCGTTGCACCTGCACGAGCTGGTCAACTGCCGCTGGGTGGAGGAGGTCACCCAGCAGCTGGACACCCTGCAGCTGTCCTCGGCCGCCTCCACTTCGACCGCGGGCAGCCCCTCCTCCGCTGCAGAGGCCTCCGTGGGGGGCGGCGGCCCCGGCAGCAAGCCGTCCTCCCCCGACCACGACCAGGAGCGCTGTCCGCACCACAAGGCGGAGAAGCTGAGCGTCTTCTGCTGGAACTGCCGCCTTTGCATCTGCCATCAATGCGCCCTTTGGGGAGGAACGGTGAGTGGCCACGTCTTGCGCAGTGAGCGTCGTCTCTGTTGCGAGCCAGGTGCACCTACGGTTCGATGGCTTTCGTGGTGACGTCGAGGTCGTTGAACAAAATACAGGACGATCGGCTTCAATGAAAATTGTTTCCTCAGACTGAAGTTTGCTGTAGCTCGCGCTCGCCCCAGCTGACCTCCTCTTCTTCTAGAGCCTGAACTGCTTGGCTTTAAATATTGAACAGTATCTCCCTAGAAGCAAACATGGTTCGATGGACGTCCTTTAAATGTTGTAGCGTCCCATAAATGCACTAGGAACGACTGTATGCGTCGTCTTGGTCGATACTGTCTGCTGCCATAAGAAAAAGAAGTAGCCATGTGCGAAGAGTGGTTTGAATTGAATGGTGCCTCGTCGTTTGTAGCCTCCACGGTGCAAGGTGCAGAGTGTCGCCTCCCTTTACAGTCTTGAATCTTGTAACAACACTGTGCTATTTGATTCAAATCAATATTTGCACGTCCCCCACAAAAGAAAAGTTGAAGCGGCATGAAGTGTAAGCAGCTTCGAGAATTGGTTTGATTTTGCTCCTCAGCTTTATCTGCCTGTATTCCGTTGATGTCCCGATGCCTTTGTTTCAAAAAGAAATGTTTAGCTGAAGCCCGTGCTTTACTATCATTGTATCTTACATTTGTTTTCAGGGAGGAGTCCTGGATGCCGTTACGAAGCATTTCCTCTGTCTTTTCATTTGCTGGGCTCCCCTTGTAAAGCACTTTGACTGAACGGACTGAGCTTCTCCAGTTGACATTTTCTGACGCCCACTCTTCTTGAACGCCTCACTTTCTTCGGATGTTTCCTGTTCTGTATTGAGCCAACTACTCCGAGATAACAAGGCCAGAGTGCCTGCCAGAGTGCGTCTGCATGGAACAGAGCATATACAGTAAACCTCCATTAATTCGACCTCGGCAGGACCTTGAAATATGGTTGAATTATCCGAATGATTGAATTAAAAAAAGAACAGAAAGACGGTTAAAATTAAACTTCCTCTTATTGTCCAAAGTGTTCACGGATGGTTTGCTGCCGTCTGCGCTTAAAGGAGCGGTGCAACGATATTCAATTGGAATGTTTTTCACTTGACACGAGCTTACTGGCACACCTGGGACTCAAGGATACTCACACGCAACGGCACTGGCCAAAAACTCCTTTGTTGTAGTGTAATTTCAAGGACAAAAGCGATCATTTTCATTCAACCTCTCCTTTGCAAAATTGGATGACGTAACTCGGGGATCGCAGTACACCCAAGTGACGATATTTGAATGCGGTTCATAGATTGGACCCGAGCATTGCCTGGGCACTCGACTTGGGCTCGTGATAATTGCTAGCTCGAGAAGCATTCGGGTAGTGACCCGTGTCCAATCGCTGCAACGACGACAACAGCCGAGCCATAACAATGTCTGGAACTCAGCGCGTGTCCTGCGCTTTGGCAACCCCAGCGCATGGCTATGATCAACACTGGCGGCATATAATCGGCTCCAGATCACGTGGCCGCTTGTTCTGGCTGCGAGTTGAGGGGGTGAACGCTGCTCGTTTTTCTTTGATTTTTTTCTGGGACTTCTGTTGCATGGGGTGAAAAACGAGCGCATGTTTCATATGTCATTAACGTTAGGGATCCGTTTTAAGCGGTATTTGCGCAAAGTACAAAAATTGTTGCATCGCTCCTTTAAAACGCGTGTCCAAAAGACGTTAGTCCCCAAAAAATAGCGCACAACGAAAAAAGCAAGTTTTATGAGCCGACTTTGGCGCCGTGCCAAAGTCGGCTTGGCGACAAAAAAAAAAAGTAAAAGAGGATTTGCGTTTTTTCGACGCGCAGATGGACCGCACACGATGCTGCAGAAGGCGCTTTGAGAGCGCTCGCTGAGAAATTTGAACCAACTTTGGCGCCAAACAACCAAACCATCGACAAAAAAAAAAAAAAAATAAATAAATAAATATATATATGTATATATATATATAACACCAAAAAAAAAAAAAAGGGAAAAGAGAACTTATGCTTCCCGGTGCGTGCGCAAGGAGCGCACACGATGCTACAGAAAAAACGCTTCAAGAGTGCGTGTCGGCTCGTGCGCGCCCTCCACGTGTTATGTTCTTCGCGCTATTCCACGCCAGATTGGTTGCACTGGCTCGTACCATTCGCTGCGGTCCATCTCAATGGCGTAGAGGAGTAGGCACATACTTGCGCACGTTCGGCTTGGCTTTGCAGCAAAGGGCCCGTGTTACGCCATATGTTGGTGGTTTTTCTGCCGTGGTGCCGTGCAATGAGAGCCCGCGCGCATTCGCTCTGGACGAATTATCTGATGCGGAGTCTTCCCGAGTTCAAACTATTAAACTTTTCCTCCCATAGAAATGTATGGGCGCTCGCCGGGACTTTTGAACACGATCGAATTAAACGAAACGTCAAATTAACCGAGGTCGAACTAACGAAAGTTGACTGTACAAAGTTTGCCACCCCCCTCCCCCTCCCCTTCCCCGAAACGAAAGATAAAAAAAATGTTAAACTTTCTTTTTTTTCCACCACATAAATAAACTATGCATTGCCGAACGTCCATTCTCCGCCCAAATGTGGTGCTAGTGGACCGAGCCTGGTGCCAAAGTTTCGGAAGTAATTGTTTTCTCATTGAAAAGTTAGAAATGATTTTCAGATATTTTCAACGGGAAAATGGCGGCCGCAGAGCTCTTGAATTCATTACGTGGAGCCGAATTTCATTTTATTTCGTAGATTTTACTCCACATGGTGCCAGTCACCGAATACGGGCAAAACGGGCTCCATTTTCCCATTAAAAATTTCAGAAAATTACTTATAACTATTGAACGAGATAACGGTTAGTTCCGAAACAGCTGGTGCAACATTTGGGCGAAAAATAGGCATTCAACAATGCACTTTTTTTTGGGGGGGGGGACACCTTGTGGATAAGTCTGGTGCTGGATTTCTCCCATCACCTCCCGGTGCCCAGCATGCACCATGAATTAGACACGAGTCATCCGTTGGCACTTGGCTGGGTCTCGCGTGGAATAGGCGCTTCACCGACCAAATGGGAGTTCCAGTCGAACGCCGGTGCAGCACTCGCTTTCGATCCGTGCCGCGCACCAAACTCCAGTAGGTAACATAAATAATTGATTATCGAGTCCTCGTTATCTATACTCCGTCGTTCTGCCTCACAATGAACTGTGGCGGTTGCTACGAGCCATCCCTGCCAATCCAACGCCATGATCGTATCACGTGACTACGCATCGTAAGACTCTCACGGCATTGGATTAGCTCGGGCGGCTTTTGTACGACGTTTTCATGCGGCGGTTGCCTCGCTAATATATGATGTAGTTGGTTTGGGCGACAAAAACTAAAGTCAATAATTCGAGTGTTAGTTGGCAAATACAGTTGTTCATTATTTTTCCCCAACTCGGCTACGTCAAAATCGAAAGTGGCGGCCGCCACGAAAAAAACGGTCTATAGTCCGTTGCGGGTTAAGAATAGCGGGACAAGTTTACGAATCTCTCCACCCTTTCCACTTTAGTAGAGCAAGAGCTGAAGAGGAAGAAAATGCCAATCGTGGCAAGCTTCTTGGGAGGGGCTCCTCCCGCCATCCTAAACCTGCAACAGACTGTAGCTTTCTCCATGGCTCACCATGAGGTGAAACGCAGTACGGGGTAGGTGTCGGTTGGCCCTACTTTTCCGGTGTGTAGCGACCTGGAAAGCAGAGAATTGTCGGGGACTTCGGTGAATCCGGAAAAGTTGGGGAAATTCCACCCAAGTCAGTCGGTCAGGGAAATCGAGCTTTCCTTCCTCCGAGCAACTACAAATGACACGTGTGTGGCATGACGCACATTGCACGTGGCTCGGCTGGCGTGTCGACGCAAATTTCTGCTCGAAAACTGGAGTCTCGGTGGAACCTGAATCCCACCCTCTCGAAACGTGTGCACCGAGACAAGCTTCTCTCATTGCGCTAGCCCTAATACGTTTGCCGGGCGGTTTATTTAAAAAGGGTAATTTATTTGCCAAGATATATAGAAGAATACTCCTAGAAGGCAATAGGATTCAGCGCTTAGCCAGTGCCCCATTGGCCATCAGATATACCCGTGCTTTCCACATAAAAAGTGAGCTTCCGACGCGTCATGTCCCCTTAGGGGTCGGTCAAAAAATTCTCGTAAAACGGTCGGGGAAGACCTGGAAGAGTGGAAATTTTAAAATGTAATTTTGATTGGTAAGTGCCCTTTGTTGAAACCTCCCGCTTGGCTCTGGCCTGCAGCACTGCGGGCACGTGTTCAAGCCCCTGGAGGAGGTGCACACGCAGCAGGTGGCCCAGGTGCGGGAGCAGGTGGGGGCCATGCGCCGCCGCCTGCACCACCTGCTCGGCCTGGTGGCCCAGGTGGAGCGCAGCGTGGAGGCCGTGCGCCAGGCCAAGGACCTCCGGGTGCACGAAATTCGCAACGCCGTGGAGCACATGATCGCCCGGCTGGATGCCCAGCTCAAGGGGCGCCTTCTCTCCCTTGTCGGTACGTGTGGCCTCTGCTGTCGACCGCTGGCAACGACCTCTTCCTTTCGGTTTGGGTATGGTGTCTGGACCGCGTCTCCAAATGGCGTTTAACGTCTACGAGAAAGAGGTACCTCGATTTAATGACGCCATACAAGTGTCATGCCGGCTGCGATCCTGGCAGCGGCTGCAGTGGACATGGCATACACCTGTTCTGCTGCGAATCTCTCTGCAGCTTGATGGTCTGTGGAAGCTTAAGCAGCAAGGACTTTGACAATGCACGCGTGCGCACATGCACCCACTTTGCGCAAGAGGCATCCGCACGTCCGCCATTAGCAAATTGCGAATGCACTCTATGGTTTGAGTTGCTCCTTCTTGGGAATCTAGGCCCTCTAGCACCGAGATGTTTCGATGCCGCCCTCTTATGGTTCCTCTCTGTGATGTCACGACTGGGATTGGATTTGCCGTAATGTCGCAAATTATGGTCCTCTAACTACTTGTCGCATGTTGCAAACAGAAATTCCAGTGGTACATGTAAAACCATCATAGAGGCTTGGACTCGTTGCAATCTTAACCTGACGACGCTGTCGGACTCAGTCGTCTGGCAGTACTTTTATTTCTGTTGATTAAAGCGGCATTGATTTGCCCAAAGACGCCATAGCGAGCATTTGGCCAGTGGCGGAAAGTCAATTGCAGTCCAAGGCGCTCTCCCTCCCCGCTTTGCAGCGCAGAAGAATGCGCTGACGCAGGAGACGGAGCAGCTGGAGCAGCTGCTGCAGGCGGCAGAGACGCAGCTGACGTCGTGCTCCCGCAGCGAGCTGATCGCCCGCTCTCCGGACATCGTGGGCCGGCTGGGGGAGCTGCTGCAGCGGCAGCCCCCCTGCTCGCCGCCCCTGCTGCTGCCAGGGGGCGCCCAGGAGTTCCCCTCGGAGATGGTGCCCCCCTACGAGGCCTCGGTCTTCCTGCTGCGGGGGTTTTCGCTGCTGCAGCAACGTGCGGACCCCGTCTACAGCCGCCCCCTCGTCGTGTCGGGGCTCACCTGGCGCCTCAAGGTCTACCCCGTGAGTGGCGGGCCACTTTTTTCCCACCTCGCCTTCTCTGGCGGTGCAGAGCCGGAGGAGAGTTGAGAAGCGGTTGAACCGTCTACCCTAGCGTTTGCTTTGTTTTTCTGCTTTGACGTTGCTCTCGTCTGCATTCCTTCTCTCGGAACCACCGGTCTTGGCGCTTACGATTTGTTGTGCTTTCGTATTTTTCTCCTTGGAATAGACCCCTTTCAGAACCTCGTCAAGGAACATTGGTGACTGCCATTTCTTGGGAACGAAATGTGCAGTGGCGTTCGAGTCCTCGCAAAAGGTTGACAAACTACTCCTTTTGGATACGAGCCGAGTCGGTTCACGCCAAACGCTCGCGCAGCTCTCGTGTCCAATGCATACTTGGAGTGCATGTGCCGAAACGGTGGTGGGCTCTGTTGATTTGCGCCGCAGTTACTAGATGGAGGGCCACTTTTGAAAAGGGTCTATTAATGGCTAAGCAGGTTAGCATTGTGCAGCTTCAAGCGTGCGGAGCAAAGGCTCGCATTCCACAGCCTAGTGATTCTGGGCTCCTGTGGGATGCAAAAGTATGCAGGTTCTTTCTCATCGTGTCTGTTATTTTGTTTGTCTGTATTATGGGGTTTACATTACGATTAATCCCTGTCCCTGTCGGTACGAATGAGCATCGTACCTGCGTCACTCCTGCGGAATGCTCGTTAAAGACCCCGGGTTAGCGTCCATCCTGCATCAGCTTAAATTGCTCCTTCTAGCATCGAGCTTGTGCAAAATGATCCGAACGGCAGACTAACCTATCGCCGAAATACCTTTCTTCGTTGTGAGCTAATCTGTCTCTTATGGTGCATCTCTTTTCGCGTTGAGGATTTCAGACTGCATAAGTCATTTCATTATTTCTTTTGTGTTTCAAACTTTGGCTGACTAGGCGAAATGGCTCGATTTGACTTCCTCCTTCCCATTGGTTGACAGGACGGTAATGGCGTGGTGAGGGGAAACTACCTCTCGGTATTTTTGGAGCTGTCGGCCGGGCTTCCTGAGACGTCCAAGTGAGTGTGTTTTCTTTGGCCTTCCCGTGAAATTCATTGGTCCTTTTTGTTTTTGGAATTTGGGGCTCACATTACCAATGCCACCTGACACGCTGTTGCGGTATTAGGGACGATGCGGCGTAAGTGATGTCCCGTGATCGTCGGGAAGACATGTGGTCACGTGACCTCACGTTGCACAATGTCTAAATGTCTCCGGATACCGCAGTGTTGCGTAAGACGCAATAACCCGAGAGTTTACTTTCCGAGGATTCGTCGCTGTTCCAGTAACATGCGGTCAGACGTAGACCGTTGCGAACGCCGTCAACGGGGCACAAACCAGCGAGGCTACATGGACACGAAAACCCGGAAAGCCGGCCCCATTAATGCTTTGAACTTAGGAAGGGTGGTCGTTGCACCTTGTGCCTCAGCTGACTTCTCTTGTGCGTGCAGGTATGAGTATCGCGTGGAGATGAGCCACCAGGGCGGGGACCCGAGCAAGAACATTGTGCGGGAGTTTGCCTCGGACTTCGAGGTGGGCGAGTGCTGGGGCTACAACCGCTTCTTCCGCCTCGACCTCCTCGCCTCGGAGGGATACCTCAGCGGAGACACCCTGCTGCTGCGCTTCGAGGTGAGTCGGCCGCCCGCTTCGAGTCGCCCTAATATTCTCGGAAATCTGCCGTTTTATGCCCAATTTTTTCTTCTCGAAGAAACGCTCAAGGATATAGCTCACCCCCCAGAGTAGTCATACCTGTTTTCAGGGGATTCAAGCGATGGGTTAGGCCGATGGTTCTCTACCATAGATGTTTCGGGGATCCTTTCTAGGTTGGCAGAAGTGAGGGGGACCCTGTCCATCGGGGGGGGGGGGGGGGGGGGTGCAATGACGAAGAAATAAGTGAAGAAAACTAAATGCCTGGAAACCAACTTTGACGCTCTGAAACTGGTAATAATGAACCCTACTCACTAGGAACACATTGCTTGATCTATTTAGCCTTGTGAGGCGGGCAGCATTGATAAAGGTTTTATTGCTCGGTTTCATCCCAAGAAAACCTTTGTGGACTCCAAAGGGTCTGCGGACCCCCATTTGATAGCCACTGGGTTAGGCAATCGAAGCTTTGACAACTTAGATTAAATTGAGTCGTACTTCTGTCTTTGAAATATATGGTACTCGTGGCTTAATCTAGGCCAGGGGGTCTCAGACATGCGGCCCGCAACTCTTTGGGATGTGGCCCGCACGCATCCCGTGGGTGCGAGCTCCCGTTCCCATGCTTCGAGCGCTACATCCGCCATAAATAAGTTTCATGCATATCGTCGATTAATTTCTGTTCGAAAAGAAGCTCTGCTGATATTACATGTTAACAGATTTTGCACTATTCTATTTGATTTTGGACGGAGTATTTCTTCGTCTAAATAAGTTAATCTCGACTCTTAGCAGAGCGCTTTGCTCTGCTAAGGTGGAAAGGGGTGGGAGAAGCTTTCACTTCACTCTTAGCCTCTCACCGACTATAGGCTGCCATGGTGATCTTTCTGGTGAAGGACACACCTGGGCTGCACAAACTCTCGCTTAGAAGGAGCAACTGCCAAAGATAAAGCTATTAGGGCGTCTTCTAGCCGTCAGAAAATACCTTTAAAATATAAGTAGTATTTTCTTACGATGCTGCTATAAAAATCATCAGGAAGGCAAAAACTGTCGTATGAAGAAATATTGTTTTGCCATGCCTGTTAAGGCGATTGAATTGTGCAACAGGGGAACAACGGTTTGCTTGTTCTTGCTCTATTAAAAAATGGCAGAACGTTGGCGTTTTAAATTTTACCACATCTTGTGTTAGACCAAAGTAGATGTAGAAAGAAATCAAAGCTAAATATGTCGCTGGCAAAACACAGAGTTTACAAAGAGCCGAGAGCATGAGGTCCCTTTTCAAGAAAGTCTCCGGCTGTCACTGAGAGGGTCGGTTGTTTTGTGATGTGAAACACCTCTGCTTATGTTTTTTTTTTACTCAAAATTAAAAATTGTAATTACCCCCCCCCCCCCCCCCCCCCCCCTTCGCTGCCCGCCCTCCCCTGCATTGGCCCTCAACCTTTTGGGAGTAGGCTATTTGATTCCTGCACTTTAATGAGTTTGAGTACTTTTTAGCTTACTCCCCATTTTTTAACCCGTTTGGCCTCCATGAGGGTCGGGCCTGCTTCGATATATGTTACGTTAGTGAATGGTCAAGGGTAGTAGATTGTTATATGGCGGCGATTTTGTGCTGCAACATAGCGTTGGGATGGAGTAGTGCCTATGTTGCTGCAACAGTAGAAACATGGCTCCTTTCATATGCCACGTTTCCACATTCCAGTGGTTTCTACTCCCCTCCGTCTTTCAAATGTACGCACCGGCCGTGCCTGGTTGCAGGTGCGCCCCCCGACATTCTTTCACAAGTGCCGCGACCAGCAGTGGTACCTGGCCCAGCTGCAGGCGCAGCAGGTGCAGCTACAGCAGCAGGTGCAGCAGCTCAAAGAGGTGACGGCCGTTTGTATGCCCATCCGTCAGGCTTAGTTAGGTACATATAGGATTCATCGGGTAGCCTATTTTAAACTATTGGTGTTTCTGTCAAGGAGTCATGTTTTAGGTAAAGGATCATCTTATGTCTGTGTCAGAATGACCGTGTGATGACAGTTGTGCATCTGAGTTTTCAAGGTGCTAAGCAGTAAAGCAAAGCCAGCAGAGGAGAGCATTTCTCTATTTCTTCCACTGATACATTGAGTTTTTTCAGTTTGTCATGGCATTTACAACAGCTGCTGTACTTTGCAGCACTGTGGATCAGATAAATGGGTTGCTCTGCTGTTTTAGCAGTGGCACTACCATAAAATACCGCGAAAGGGTTCGCTCAAGCGCCCACTATTAGCCTCTCCCAAACTTGGGAAGTCCGCAAATTATACTCTAAGTGCCCAATTTACCGGTCAAGCGCCCGTGTCTAGATTAACCCAGTTTTCAGTGAAAAGGGTGGGCTCCAGTATTTTACCCTATATATTGCTTTGGGACTGTTGCAGAGGCTTGCTGCTGAGATGGCCAAAAATGAAGCAGGTGCCTACAGCCCTGAGAATACCGCAGGTGGGTATTTGCAAACCAGCACTCTTAGTTCAACTGCATTATCTATGCCAAAGTCTAGGGGCAAAGCTTAATTTGCACAAGCACCACTATCTATGCTTTACAAATATGCAGATGTAAGGCATTGCAGTGTAAGTATGTTTTGGGTGCTCATTGGGTTTAGCTCAGCAAGGTGCATAGAGCTTGATACATGGCGGGCACACACGCCATTCCTTATTCTTCCAATTGTTCTTTACGACTAAAAGGCTGTGATTAAAGTTGCTAGTCCAATTTTTATTACAACCGGGATAATATGATTTGGCATTTGGCACCATTAATCTATACAAGTAATAAGAGCAGAAGTATCAGTGTCGGGTTCGCGCTGTGTTTTTCGAGATTTGGTAAAGGCATTTGAACTTGACGTTTCACGCAACTTTGGAGCTTGCTAGAAATAGGTGCTGTAGCTGTGGAATTTGCAGAATTTTGCAGTGTATCATATTTTATAATTGCCTCACAATATGTAAATATCGGTTCGCTCACAACAAACTACCGGCAGAATTAAATTTTGTGAAGCGGGGGTATTTGTTGCCACCTTGGCTTGACGGGTCAACCACCAGAAGACAAGGTCTGCACACAGACATGTCTTGTTAATATTGGCCTCGCTACTATGAATACCCCTCTGCATAGACAAAACTTTTTGGGGCTAACTGTGTAAATATGTGAATTTTTGTTTCGTTATTATGGACGACTCTAAGCATGTGTGAATAGTGGATTTTGAGTTTGAAGCGAATTCAAAGCAAGCAGTGGTTTTGTCCGAATATTTTCGAATAGAGTATCGAATAGTTTTTCCATTTCTTTCACTACCGAGCACCACGCTTAAACGGAAATTTAACTGAACTCGGGGAGGTTGTTTTTGACCTTCCCCTTGTCCATTTCTATGCTCAGTTAGTTTTAATATAACCATATGTGTGAACTGTGGCATGTAAATGATTTAGTTGTCACAGCTATCCTAATCGAGGGGATTTGTAAATCAGCTTGCTATATGCAAATATCCTTTTTTCTATTTTAGCTATGACAAGAAAAAACAAAACTAAAAAACAAGCATGTATGATGAATGCAAGTTATCAACACACACTGCCTAACATACCATATTTTCCGGGCTATAGTCCGCAAAGACAAATTTGGGGTCAAAAATGAGAGTTTTTACTTAGATATTCTGCACTTAGTGCCTAGTCCGAATGTAAAAATTATTATAAATAGCACGGCCTGCTGTATTAGCTCACAAAGAAGCTCGTATCATACATAAATCAACATTAATATACTTCGTTATTCATGAAATACTTCATGTCTCGTCACAATGAATGACCTAGAAAAAGAACAAATCCTTGTATAGTCCGCTTGTGTAAATAGTCCGTATCGGGTAAAATTTAGACTTTCAAACATGTAAACGTGTAAGTGGTGCCTTGCAGCCGGACTATACACGTTTGCAAGTCCGGCTGCAGGGCGCCGCCACTTTGCTCGGTTGGGGTGCACTTTGACGTATCATTATCCGATTACAAAGCCTTGCTAAGGTGTCGCAATTGGGATTGTGACCGCGCCCAAGCGCACCCCAGTGAGCAAGATGGCGGCGCCCTGAGACCGGACTTGCCAATGTGTGCAGCTCGGAAAGTATGGTACTTCTGCGTAATCACTGCGGATTAGCCCAGTTGAGTGTGCTTCTCCCTGAGCTCCTGTGCACTGCAGGGAAGCAATTCCCGCGGAGCCCGAGGGCTCCGCGGGAATGGCTTTGAAGGTACTTTGAAAAGTATGAATATCGCAATTCACCTTAAAGCGAATATTGAATAGCATAATATTCGAAACTACTATTCGAATATTCGCGCAAAGTCACTCACCTATTGGACTACTTTTGGAGGGGAAAAGAGGCATCCATATTAACCGTTTTCGACGAGTCTAGCTCGTCAACATGGAGCTGTCCCCAAACCGTTCGGGATGAGCATTGCTTGTCCAGTTGCCTGGTTCACACACTTGACTGTTTTGAACGACCCAAGCTCGCTGATTGCTTAGTTTGCAGCTGCACCAACAGATGGCAGCACCAACTTTTTTTCCCCAATTCTGCTCCCATTTTGTTTGTGGCTATAAATTTGATTTTGAAAGCAACAAATTTTATTTTCGAGCAGCTGAGGGTCAGAAATTTTTAAAAAAACTAAAAACTGTTAAGGAGACGCGATTGTATTGTCATTATCCGTGCCTGCCCCAAGTTACCTGTTATCATTACCTGCCCCAAGTTACCAAGTTATCATTACCTGCCCCAAGTGGCAAACACGCCGGAGCTCGACGACAGTGTGCTGCAAAGCGGTAGACGCCTGTGCCCTGGTGTCACCGCCTGTTCCACTTCGCTTCAGCGTAGCTCGGCAAAGCGCGAACGCTACGGCCCCTTGGAGCCCGTCAGAGTGACGTAGGTGAAGAACGTGGCAGCCCTTACCGAAGGTACAGAGGCGAGAGCATAACCCAAGCAGATGGAGAAGAGGAGAAGGAGGGACTCCCCTCTTATCCGGACCCTCTTTCGTGTGCCTCTCGCCGAAAATTTGTACGAATGCGCCTTTCCTCTCCCTTGCGATGCGTGCAACTAGTGAGATAAAGTCTAGTCGAGAGTCTCCCTCCAACATGCCGACTAGCTCACCAGGACCGTAGCCTTCGCCGTTTGCCAAGTTGTGGTGAGACGGAGTACAGCGTCGTGCTTGCTGTCGGCTGCTGCGGAACTCACTCGCGGTGACGTAGACTCGCAGTACGTGGTGCTGTGCGGGTCCACTAGTGACGATGTGTCTCGGCAGCATGGGGCAGACGGTGGCTTTGTCGCGTCTCGAGCAGAACAGCCCGGCATCGTGGGCGACGGTGGTGGCCCGAGCCGCGCGGTGGAGCCTGAGTCCCCGCAGTCGGACCTTCTGCCGGCGAGTCCGCAGCACCGGGGCCTGCTCCACGAAGTGCCGTGCGAGCGAGGCACTGCGTCGTCCACCCTGGCTGCCTCCGTGGACAGCCTGGCTGCAGAACTGCTCCGCTCTGGGCCCCAGAAAGGTCTGTTCTGGCCACATTCTCGACGCAGAATGCATTTTGATGAAAGCAAAGTGGAAATTCGTGTCATTTTTGCCATACTGCATTGTCATCGGCTAAATTTAGCGGTCTAACATTCCGCTATGTTTGGGTGTGTAACATTCGGCTAAATTTAGTGGGCTAACAGTCAACTAAGTTTGGTGCTCTAACATTCCAATAAATTTAGAGGGATGCTATTATGGGTCAATACTACTTGTGTGTTTGCATTGTGGCCTGTTTTGCCTATATATCGCTAGTGCATTCTGTGTGCGGGACGTTTTGGCAGTAGGTGAAAGGCGTGGACTACCTCGAGGTCAAGGTCGTAGTAACTAGGGCCGATGTCCTAAGCGTTGCCCTCACAAACACCAATGCGCTTTACGACGTGCCATCTCACAGATGCGGCGCGCCGTCCCAAATCGTCCGCTAGTCACCGGTGGCCCTCTCGAGCCCTGGGGGACTCGTGCGATGCCGACTCCTCTGGCACGGACAGCGAGGTGAGGATGAGTTCGCCATTCGATGCGAGCGTGACAAGATGTACTCGTGAGTGGGGAATGCCTTCAAATGTTGCGATTTCATTTGTTCGGTACGAGACGTCTTCTATATAAATTTCTATCTGGCGTGACCCCTTCCCGTGACGACGACGGCAAAGCGCCGGCTTAAGGATCCCCAGGTGGCAGGTTCGAATCCCGGCCGAGGCACCCGCAATCTGACAGAGGCTTATCGCAGAAAAAGCGCCGCGTAATCGAGTTTTTCGTTGTGTGTCAAAACAAACTCCGGGTGGTCGAAATGAACCCTCAGTCCTCTGCTGAGGTACGCCAGATGCCCTTCGTTGGTTTGGCACTTAAAACATTGAAATTTCACTTGACTTTGCCTTTGATAACATGCTCCTTATCTCGCATATATGAGTCTCATCTTACAGAATTAAGGGGGGACGCGGGCTTTGAAAACCGAAAAATCGCGAACAAGTAGATTTTTAGAAAACTTTATTTTTCGGTTGTATATCTCATAAACTACCTTCTCTGTAATTATCAGCACCAAATACAACGGGGAAATATTTAAAAACAAATATTTACGAGGCCTGGGTAGCATCCAAGTGCCGGTCAAACGTCAAAATGGACCCCAACTTCGCGTGCTCGCCATTCTCGACGCGTTTGGCCGCCGGCTGCCATTTTAGTCTTGTTTTGAACGTGAATTCTTTCTCTTTTTTTTGCCTGCTCCCGAAATGGCGTCGGCCGCGTGGTTACGGCGTGGTCCACGTGGTCGCCGTTCTTCCATGTCGCAATCGCAAGAACGTGATTGGACAGAGCGTGTGCTCGAGGAGAGTGCAGAGGGAGCGCGCGATTGCTATTGGCTGGGACACGATTTCTCCGCGCGCGGAGCGCCTCCTCCTCCGTTTCTCCTGATGTTGCCGCTCGCGTCGTCTGTTCTCGGTAGTGGTCTGCTTGCGCGCGCTCTTCCTTTGTCAGCTCCGCTTCGTTTTTCGCCATCTTTACGATCGTTTTCCGAACTTTCTTTGAGTAGTTTCGTGTAGCTTGCCCGTCTGTTTCATGGTCGCACATGATGCAGGGTTTGAAGTACTAGACGGTGCGCGCGTTTCGCGCGCGGAAGTGGTCCATGAAGTTACTGCGGATGGCGAAGTTGGAAGTTTCTGCGTGGCATGCCGTCAATGATGATTGCGTCAACACTTCTAGTGATGGATTTTCTGTGCCATCAGCTGTCGTCGAGGAAGAACGCATCGCCCCACTCACGCCTGGAGTACCGAGCATGCCGACCGCTGTGGTTCCTCCCGAGATCGAGGGTCCCAGCGCCCGTCTTCCAGCGCCCATTTGCGAACGCATTTCCTGACACGTGAGGAGATCGAAGCAGAAGCTAGACATTGTGATACCGTTCAAGCCGAACTTGGAGCTATGCCAGCAACCCGGAGGAAGTTTGAAGCCATGCTCCCACGCCTGCCTCTGCTACAAGCCAAGGTGAGAAGTTCTGCCTTGTTCAGATCGGTGTTTTGAGCAACCTGCTCAGCTGCACAGTGTGCAAGCATTGCCCGGGGACTGGACTGACTGTCCAAGAAGGCACCAAACTCGGACTGGCAGCAAAACTCGAGGTCGTATGCCCCCATTGCGGCATTATTGCAAGTTCCTGGACTTCGCCACGCCAACAAGACTCGAGGGCCTTCGAAGTCAACGTCCGCTCCGTCATGGCGATCAAGCAGATAGGAAAGGGGCAGACAGCTCTCAATGACTTTTGGGTAGCTATGAACGTCTCCCACAGAGGTCTCCACCACAAAACGTTCCAGGAGCACCTGAAGGAGACCTTCAGAAGGCCAGAGGCCGTGTGCATGGAAAAGTTTTATGCCGAGTCAGCTGTCGCGGTGAAGACAGCCTGTAAGAAAATGGACCCGGGGTTCTGCAAGGATATCACCGTGGTGTATGACGGCACATGGCACAAGAGAGGGCACACATCTCACATCGGAGTCGGGTCAGTCATAGAATACCACTCAGGCCTCATCTTGAACACCGTGGTTTCATCCAACCTGTGCCTTGGGTGCCAAACAGGACCCAAGCCTGGAGACCAAGGGTATGACAGCTGGCACATGCATCATGTCTGCCAGAAAAACACGGACGCCAAATCTGGCAGGATGGAGGTCGAGGCGGCCCTCTTCAAGCGCTCTATCTCTAAGCACGACCTGCGGTATACAGCACTTGTCTCCGACGGGGACAGCAGGACCTTCTCTGCCCTTACAGAAGAGAACGTCTACGGGCTAGTCCCCATCGTGAAGGAAGAGTGTTTGAACCACGTTCAGAAGAGGACGGGAACGGCACTGCGCAACCTCGTCCACAAGAGCGACAAGCCGTTGAGTGGTAAGGGCAGGTTCACGAAGGCCCTCATCGACAAGCTTACCGACTTCTATGGCTGGGCCCTCCGAAACAACTCCAAGGACGTGGCAGCGATGCAGCGTGCTGTTATGGCCACCTACCATCATGTCACGTCGACTGACCAGGAGCCTCACCATGAACTCTGCCCGGAGGGAGCTCAATCATGGTGCCGTCATAGAGTTGCCGAGGCAAAAGGTGAGCCAGAGCCTCAGCACAAGCACTAACTCCCAGCCTACGTCGCTGCAGCTATGCTGCCCGTCTACCAACGCCTGTCGCAGGTTTCTCTGCTTCAACGCTGCTTGGGAGCAAAGACTCGGAATGCATCTGAGTCTCTCCACTTTGTCCTGTGGTCTTTGATGCCTAAGGAACAGCATGCATCGCTGATCGCTGTCAAAACTGCACTGCATGAAGCGGTGTTGAGGTTCAACGCCGGCTGCTACAAGGCAACTGCAGAAATATTGGTTGCAGTGGGACTCCAACCGGCCCATCTAGCCCTCCAACGAGCTGCCGAGAAAGATGCCCTACGTCTGCACAAAGCCAGCAAACGACATCAAGAGAAGTTGGAAAGGCGGAACAAGAAGAAAGTGCGCCAGAACACTTCTGACTATTCTGCAGGGTCATTCTAAAGCTGAAAATCTGTGTGCAACTTTCAAGTGCTGTTTTCTCAGAATGGAGGGGGATCGGTGGCCGAGTGGGCTAGCGCACACCAGCTCGGAGCACGTGGAGCGAAAGCTCGCGCTGCAGAACCCAGGGATCCTGAGTTCAATCCCCACCCCTGCCCGTTTCGATCTGGATGAGCATCGTACCGGCGTGCGGTCGTGTATCACTACTGCGTGGTGCACGTTAAAGACCCCAGGCTAGCGGTTGTACTGCACTGGCTAAATTTCTCATCTACAGCTGAGAGACTCGTCGCCCCTGTGAGGCAGACCAAGTTCTAGGCTGTATAAACATACACACAACCCAATTTTTTTTTTCTTCTCAGAATGAATTTTTTTACGCTCGTCCCAGCGATATTTCAGGAACTGATGAATGGATCTTTGTGCTGTCTTTTTTATTCTGTTCCTAAATAACTTTGTGAGGGCATAACAGAGCCCTTTTTTTTAGAAAACTGCTAAAAATTTATAATAAAAAAATTAAATTTGATGAATGTGGGTTTCATTGACTACATAAAATTCAAAGTTGCGTTAAAATTTTTCAACAAAGAAGTCTAAAAAAAGGGCTCCGTTATGCCCTGGGGAACCTATCCAGGGGTCATCATAACAGATTTTACGCCGCTACTACCTTTTTCAAATTCTCCAGGCCTGGGGATGAGGAATACATTTGGACGATTTTGATAAATATTTGTAACTTGGGAAATAATATGCTCAGCTCCATGAACCTTTGCAGTTACTCTTATGTCTGTGCTATAAACACACCCTGTAAATTTTGTTCAGATATTTCTAGAAATAAGAAAGTTCATATTCATTTCCCACTTCCTCCCTTAAGTTACCATAAACTAAAGGCCTGTTCAAACAGGACACTTCAGATGGCATGAAGCGACACAACTCCGCCATTTGGCATACACCGGTCTGCTTTCATCTGTCTTTTTTTGCCGGGGGAAAAGCTTCCCAACGCTTCTGTCCTTGAGAAGAAAGGGCTGGAGCATGCTCATCACGTGGGTTTGTACAGCCACTCGCACACCCTGTTGGTTATCATCAAGGCCCCCGCTGCTTTTCAAGTCTGAGCCTCCTGAAATGGGAACATACGAGGGCAAGGGGGCGAAGCCTCTTCGCGCGAGTCGAACCCAAAGTGCAGGACCTCTTCGTCCTTTCTCCTGTGGCGACACCGGCCGCATGCCGCAACAGAGGAGGTGGATAGGCACACCATTGGCAGGTAACGTGTGATGTCAAGTCTGACAAGCACCGACGTCGCAGAAAAGCAGAGGAGGCGGCAAAGAGGAAATCCGTGATGTTCGCATGGTTCATGTCCAAACAGAAGACGGATGGGCGGACACCAACTTTCACTTTATATGCCGGAGTTGTGTCGCTTCACAGGTTTTAAAGTGTCCTGTTTGGACAGGCCTTTAGGGACACTGCATGAGCTAGAGCAGCGATCCTCAACCACAGATGCTTCAAGGACCCCTTCTGGATCGGCAAAAGTGACAATGGACCCGATTCACCGGAGGGAGGAGGTATTGAATGCTCACTAGGACAAAAGGTTAAGTGAACAGAACTATGTGCATGCAAACCAACTTTGAAGCTCTGAAATGGAGAATAGTCAACCCCACTGACTCGGCACGTATGGTTTGGGCCATTTAGCTTCGTGGGACAGCCAGCGTTAGTAGAAGGAAAAGCTTTATTGCTCGGCTTGACCGATGGTCGAAACCTTGGGGCCAACGCTACAAAAGCCTTTTTGACATCCGAGGCAGATGGCAGCTTTGCTGCGAGTGAGGGACGTCTGCGATTAGGCACACCCTATTAAATATCGTCATTCTATCGTTAGTGAACGTTTCTCTCTTTAGACTGTGTTCCTCCAGGGGAGCTTTCGGGGTTTGGAGTCTAAGGCGAGATAATGGAGGCTTCCGGGAGGAAGGAGGATTCAGCTGCAATGCGGTGTCTGTTGCAGGGTGCCAGTGAGGGAGAACTGGACGACCGTGTCACCAGGTTGCAGGGGACGTCTGCCTCCGGCTCGACGCTGGACGAGAACGACATCGATGAGGAAACCATGTGCGTTGCTCTGGTTGTGTTTGACGAAAGAAGTAGAAAAACTCTAAGCTACCCTGTTTGTAATGCCTCATTTACATGAATGTAAATTTATCATAAACGACTGGGATTCTCGAGCCTGTCGAGGAAAACCCCTTCCCCTTTCGACAGTCTTGCAGTGAAGCAGTTCAGGAGTTTAAAAACTTTGTAGATACTATTACACGTTCTGTAACACAATTCATAGTCACGTACCAGTGCATGGCTTTAGCTAACCGAGTCCTCTAGCTTCTGATGCAGTCACTTTATCAAAAGTCATTTGAGGATAATTGGAGGGTCCAGCTGAACCTGGGGCTAGCACTGGGAACCCAGTTTGCGAACCACATTGTTACGACATTTCCACATTAAATTGCATTATGTTACATTGCATTGTATCAAATGTAGCACCACATCAAACATTGCATTGTGGCAAGCATTGTATTGCATGAAAGATTGTATTACATCAAATATTGCATCGCATCAAATATTGTGTCACTCAAATATTCGGGTGTATCAAACCAAGCATTGTATCGCATCAAACGCGGCGCCATTGTTTGTTTCCCAATGCACATTGTTCCGTGCCACCCTCCCAGGTCGGGCGACCGGGACGTGGAGCGCCAGCCTGGCCACGGCGGCACCGGCTGCTGTCACTGGTGGGGCCTGGGGGCCGGCGGAGCCACCGCCGCCTCTCCCGTGGCCGGGCCCTCGCGGGAAGCGACCGGGTCTTCGACCCCGGCGTGCCGCGAGGAGGACGACGAGTCCGTCCTGCTGCGCCTGCTCGAGCTGCAGGACCGCAGGGGCGCCGTGGCCGCCGCGGCTGCTGCCGCCAATGCGCCTCACCAGTGCAGGGGCTCCTGGGGTCGCAAAGGTGGCGGGAAAGGTGAGCTGTCGACTCGCCTCTGCATTTGCGCAACCACGGTAACACTGGGGCTTTCGTGAGATAGAGGAAGCTTCCTCATGACCGTGAAAGCTTCCTCAGAAAGCTTTCACAGTCATGACTTTAATACAATGCAAAGTGTCTGCAAAAAGAAATTTATTTTTTTTTACAGTGAAGTTTTTATGTGTAAGGGTCTGGGAAATAATGCATCCTCACATGTCGACAGAAAATTCCCTATTGGTCGTGGCAATTATGAATAAATAAAAACAATAAGAGGGGGCAACCAGCATGAGTCAGCCTTCCTTGGCATTATTAGATAGTGAGGTCCTGATCCCTTGTCATCATCTCTAGGCATCAACCTCGAGATCGTCTTAAAAGTGAGATTTTTCCTCGACATCGTCCTAGAAGTCGTCCTCGAGGTCGTCCTAGAGGTTGCTCTCGAAGTCATCCTAGGTGTTGTTCTTGAGGTCGTCCTCTAGGCGTCATCCTCGAGGTTGTCCTAGAAGTCGTCGTCGAGGTCGTCCTAAAAGTCTTCCGAGAGATCGTCCTAGGCGTCGTCCTCTAGGCATCGTCCTAGATGTTGTAAAGATAACAGCTTTACTGGTCCTCCATCTTCACATGAAGTGGAAGGGCTCTACAATTTATTTACCGTAATATCCCGAGTCATAGCCCATCCCCGAGCCATCGCCCACCCCATTTTTTGGGCCAATATCGATTTCCGAAAAAACACCGAGTCATCGCCCACCCCTTCAAATACCCCAGCGCGGACTCTGCGATCTGTGGACACTCATCCTACCCGAATGACGCGGCCGCGGACCTTACAGTTCGAGGACGTCCATGACAAAGTAAAACAAAGGAGGGAAAGAAACTTTTTTTTGTTTACCTCCCTGAGCGACCCCAAAGTGGTCGTGTATCCGTGCGAAAAGAAAACGATGGAGATAACAAAATAAGAGTTTGTTAATGTAGCCGCGGAGTGTTAGGTTAAAGTCTGTCTCCGCGGAAGTAAGGTCACCGCGAACCCACTCCTTCTTCCCGCTCGTCGCGACCGCGGTTGTGCAATATTTTAGGCAAAGCCAACGCGTAAATAAAGCTTTGCTGGAACGCCCTACACAGATGTTTGCAGAGCGTGCCAACCGTGCATTGATAGCCCGCCGTGCACGGACGCACGTATGTACGCACCAAACGAGAAAGTTGCGCAAGAGCTTGCAATTGACAAGGCGCCCGACTTGGCCCGACGCCAAAGTATTTGCCAACGCGACCGCCGGCTTTCCCGCTTTCCCAGCATTGCTCTTGGTCGCTTCTTTGGTCCGCTCGCTCGCTCGTTGCGCCTAGTCGGTTTTTCCATTTTCTTGTAGAATTTTCTTTCTTTTTTTTTTTTGTACTAACTAGGAGAACATAGTGGTGACATTCTTTCACAGAACAAACGTTCGCGCTATATGCAGATCGGCGATGTTTCTAGCGCGTATGCAATCAACGGACTTCGCTATAGTAAAATATTCTTTTGTGAGCATTTTTTTCTATAAAACAATGAAACTAAATCGAGTTTTGAGTTTGATGTATCTCTTGTGCATCAGCGCTAGATACGCAGAGAAAAATAGGCGGTTTTTTCCACTTTTTTTTCAAGTGTTTGTGCTCACCCACCGAGACATGGCCCACCCCACTTTTTTAATGAATTTCAGGTGGTAGGGGGGTGGGCGATGACTCGGGATATTACGGTACTACAAAAATAAACTTTGCATTACTAAGTGCTCAGTCTTCACCCAAATGTAATGCCAGTGGGGCAGATCAGATGCCAGTGTTTCAAAACTTAAGTTATCCAATCCAAAAGTAGTTGTCGGTTTTCTGAAATTTTCAAAGAAGTCCATGAATGTGAGGAGATAAAGGCGTTGACTACCGGAAATGGGCCTCATTTTCTCATTAAAATTTTCCAAATTTCGCTTATAACCTTTTAATCAGATTTTGACAAGTGCAGAAAGTTAAAGAAAAATTAAACAATTGCAGCTATTTTTAATCTGTCAGTTATAGCATCAAGTGCCGACTGGCATTTCATTAGAAAGTGCAGCCAACATTCCCATTCGATCTCGGTCTTCCCAGCCCGAACGCCGCGTATTTCGACGTTGCTCTTTCCCTTTCTTCCTCGCGACGACGCCGAGAATGTGCAGACCGAGGAGATGAGCGTGCATCATGTGGGGCGACTCGTGAAACGACGGTCAATGTGCGGCACGCGAGACGTCCACGGTTGGTTCGCGGCGCACAAGTTTGTCGGCTGGCCAACTCTCGCTTTCCCGTTGTGCTCTACTCCCTTTTCCGTTAGGTCCGCCCGCAGCCAGTGCTGCGATCCCACGGAGAGCCAATCGAGAGGCGCCAAAATCGCATCGTCACGATGCTCAATCGTCGTCTTTGTGTGTTTTCTGTCACTGGTTAAACTAATTGCACGCATAGAAATGGCGCAGGATTGCGCCACATCCACTGCCTGTGATTGGTTTTGCCCACAATGGCAAACGCACAAATGGCACTGGACAAAAAAGGCGAAACCGAGAAAGTTGCTCTAAAAGTTTCTCCTATGCCATAAATTGTGCTTCTTGAGACTCGCAATCTGGTGTTTTTAGTATAGCTAGAGATTGAACCGAGAGATTGTATTTTGCGCGGAGATACTCGGGGTCGTACAAACGACACAATTGCGAGTTTCGAAAAATGAATGATTTTGCGATTGTTTGATATTTTAAACACCCTCAGGCCCCCCGCTTTCTGTGAAACAGAGTATGGGCCATGGCGCACGACGGATGCTCGCGCAATTCGAGTTAGCTCCGGTAAGAATGCGATCGTGAGTTAACGAGTGCGCCGATCTCGTAGAAGCCAGCCATCGAGGAAGGCTACCGAGTTGAGCAGTCGTGGCGCATCCGTGACCAGCGATTCCGGCGTTGCAGGCAAGCGCAGGTCTCGGGACGGCTGCCGCCACCTGCTGCTGCTCTCCTTGCTGGCCAAGAGCAGGTCGGAGCCCGGACCCTCCACCTGCCGGGCGGCCCAGGCGGCCGCCTCTCTCGACGGCTGCTCGCCGGACAAGTCTGGTATGGGATGCGACCCTGACCGGTGCATATTTACCGCGTCCCATGAAGTGGTCCCTCGATTTCTGCAAGACGATGTTGTAGAGGTGTCGGACTGTCTCCGGCCACGATTTTGGCAGTATTGCAGTAGCGGTGGTGATCGTGGCGGACGTTTGTTCCGCTGTGGGTCGCCCCCTGGCTGGACAGTCCTTGGAAGCTTCGGAAGTTGGGGCGCCCTAACGACGGCGACATGTATTGCATGTTGAGTCAACCCGAGACTGGGGTAGAGAAGTAGCATCAAAACATAGAATCTATCTATGTTTTTATGTTTCTTCTCTACCCCGGTCTCAGGTTAATTCAACAGGGTTAACATTCACCAGCTCGTGCTGGTGAATATAAGTAAAATGCTTGCGCCATCATTTTTCACTGGCTCATATATTATGCATGATGTCAGGTAGAATCTCTAGAGAGAGAGAGAGAAGAGAGAAAATTTTCTTTATTTATATGTAGGGTGTGTACTTTCCGGTGTTTATTTGTGAGAAAAATCGGCAAATTTTTTTCGGTGTTAATTTATTTTCGAAACACCGGTGTATTTCGGTGGAACAACTCATGACGAGGCTAAAATCGGTGATTATCGGTGGAAAAAAAAAATGTGGTTGATCACAGAGAGTTTCAATTTTCTTCACATATTTCATATACTTCTCCAGGAAGCACTTATTTCTCACATTTGGTTATTATAGTAGATGCAAGCATACTTCAAGAGGCTTGCATCCGTCATGGCAGCACGTTCCTTGCGGTTCACAACCGGCAATTTAGAAAACGCGCGCTCCACATTTGTGCTGGACACAGGAAATCCCACAATGTCCAGCGAGGCTTGGGACAGTAGTGGCCAGTCAGGTAAATGAAGTTTCCAAAATGACACTGGATCAACGGTGCTAGTCACAGCATACTGGCGGTAACAAAAAAAAACTCTGATTCTAGGTCACTCAGCTTGTGCTCGTCTCGGAGGACCGGCCGATAGATACTTTCATAAGGCACAAATCCCTCTAGCAGCTCCACTTTTATGCACGGATTAACAATTTGCACGCGGAACCAGAACAACGATTCATCCATGAAATCTAAGTCATCTGAGATGTTTTGGGAAACAGTCCTAAACCACTTGCTTTGAATCATCTGATAGTAGGCAGAGAAGGAATCAACAAGCTTTAACCTTAGGGCCTCTTCAGTCATGTTCATAAGTAGGTCAACACTGCCATAGCTTTCTGTTGGCATTCCATCTTTTCAACAAAGCTGCAAGTTCTACGCCGAGAAGAGAATACACCTCGTGCACCAGAGTTTTCTCGGACCTGAGAACCTTCATGATAGCGAGTAGCGAACTCAATGTCTCGTGGATGAAAGTCATCTTGATGAGAAGTTCCTGTGAGGACTCGGGATCTGAGACAAGCACTCTTAGTTTCCCGCACTTCTCGCCAACTGCACCACTACTTTCCAGAAAGGACAAAATTGGGCGCCAGTAATGCAACACCATCAGCGAGTGCCTCATAAAAAGAAAACCACCGTGAGGGGCTCACATTGGAGAGGCACTCCGGTTCAAGATTTATAGACTGACAAAGCACGTTGAACTTACGCCGTATCTCTCACAAACTTTTCAGGAAGGCAGGGAAGTGGATGACAAAGTCCTGAACAGCCCCGAACTCAACCAGTTTCATGCCTTCGTTGAGAGTGACGTTGAGAAGATGACAAGGGTCCTTAAAGTGCAGTGCTATAAAGTCAGGTTGAGAGAGCTGAAGGTCTCTGTGCAGCTTATGCATGTACGACGCACACATCGCGAAAACTCTTCCCAAGCTTCCCCAGAACTTCTTGAACAAGCACCCCAACGGCAACGGCGTTGCACTGCTGAAGCACTTGGAGATCTGCCATAAAAGTCTTTCGTTGGAGAAGCTCAAAATCAAAGAATGCTACGAGCACGACAACCGCTGGCCGGCCACGGAGTTCTGGTGTCTCATCGACTGTGAGAGAAATCGGACGATTTTTGCACCGTTCCTGAACCTCAGACAAATCCCTTGCGAATACGTCGGGTAAGTACTTGCGGTACATCATGGCAGCAGACGGCATTATACGGGCTGCGGGGCACATATCTCGGAAGAGTTCTCCAAGCACTCCATCAATCTTCTTGAGAGAGGTGCCAGCCTTGCAGAGAGCTCTGCAGAATTTGTGCGCCACGTCGTCGACATCAACTTTCTTCCAGGAGACATGTGTGATGCATTCCTCCAAAGAGCTTTGGTGGGGTACTCCCGGCTGAAACGAGTAAAAATTACAAATTATAGAAAAGTTTCAAGACACGACATTCTCTCGTAGAAGTGAGACATTGCGCTAGTTTTTCTCACAGTAAACGAAATGATGACACGGAAAAAATTACTTGCATGGATCAAGACATGGTTTCTTGAGCTGGACGTGACGCTTGGATGTTATGTGCTCGGTAATTCTTGTAGCCCCTTTTCCATCTTGGAGGCTTACCGTGATTCTGCAGTACTTGCAGACCATGGGCAAAAGGTCTGTACACGCGTCGAAGTCTGGATACTCCTTAGCAGAGTCATCCGGAGCTTTCCGCTTGCGTCCCATCCTGGTGGTCTTCTACCCCGCGTGACGACGATACTTGAAGTGTTCGACGAAAAGAAGCGAGTCTCACATTGAGAAAACCCGCAGACGCGGGACAGACGCGCCTTCTCAAACACGTCTGCAAATTTCTTTACAGAACGGTCTTTATATACAGCGAAACCCTCACGCCAACAAAACCCTTTTTTCATTTCCCCAAAAGCCCATGGAAACTAAACGGATAACAATGAACGCATCTCACTTCTCAAGGGTCAGTAGCCTTGTACGACACGGATGTTGGCAGTGTCTTCCAGGAACCACAGCAACCTCTAAATACATGGCTTGCACCGACATCACTTGGCCAGACACTATGGGGAAAGGGCACGTGAGAGTGTACCCTCCACTGCGTTAATTTTTCCACAAAAGGGGGCCACGGGAGACACAATGGGGGTAAGGCGTGCGTGAGCTTAGCTTCCACTGCGTTAACTGGACGCTTTTGACCCCCCAGAAAGGAGGGCGGACCAATGCCACGTGCAAGCCATGTATATAGACACTGGAAGAATGCAGCATCCACGAGATAACACATTTGACGAACCTCTATGGGGAAAGGGTTTGGCTAGGTCGGAAACATGCAACAACCGGTGTTTTTCGGTTTTAACCAGGGCGAAAATATCCAACCTCCGGTGTTTTTCGGTTTTAACCGATTTTGTATTTTCGTCACCGACAAATGTTTATCGGTGTTTTTCGGTTAAAACCGGAAAATACACACCCTATTTATACGCCAAGGTTTGGCCAGTGAATACCCCCTATAGAGGGTATTTACTGGACGCCATATTTCAGGGCGATGTTTAGAGCGCATGCTCAGAACGAGCTCACATTGGTAGGCTGCCAAGACCAGCAATCTCAGTGGTGCAGAATGCACATGGCGAAAGACCTGTGGAAGCTTGCCGTCAGCATGCGCTCAACAGTCGCGGACACAGCTATGGCCGCCAGTGAATACTCCCTACAGGAAGTGTCAGCTTTTTTACGAATAATACCCAAAAAGGTCTATCCTAGTACTAAAAGCATAGTTGAATCTTGCCTCACTGTATAATATTCCCATCTTTGCTGCATTAGTCTTTCCTTCTATAAAAAGGTTCTATTATTGTTTTCATCCTTATTGTATCGAATAGCTCCTTAATTGGAGCCTTGAGGGAATACTAAAATTGTCTCAATTACACAAGGTTCGAACAAACGCGAGTGATGGAACAAATGGCCGCATTAAATGCTCAGAACGTCCAAAGCGCCTACGAGTGCCGTCCTTCGGAGGCAGAGAATTCCACAATGTGTTACAGTTTCTTTGTGAGTCTCTTTGGGGGCAGCAAGGCGTTGCTTGCTCCCTCGAAGAGGTGGGATGCCCGGAGCTTTCAGAACCCGCTCCTAGGCACATGGTAGTGCTTCCGATCCCTTTGGCGGCCGCTTTGTGCTGGTTCGGATTGTGCGTGAGAGGGTTGGTAGCGAGCGCTGTGGTTCTGTCCGATCCCAGTGGTGCCGGACTACTCCCTGGAGCTGGAGTCGATCCCCGAGCTGCTTAGCAACCAGGAGCTGTTTGCGGTGGCGGACGAGTCCTTTGCCCAGCTGCCCCGCATGAGCTCCCCTCAGCTTCTGGCTTGTGCCGGGTAAGAAGGGACGGACTGGTTGTAGTGGCAGGTGGCAAATTCCTAGAACATCATCTAATTGGAACCACGCATGGAGTTATTATAATGTACACTAGAGGTTCAACTGGAGCTAGTGTCTATGCGACTTCTGGGATGCAAATTGAAGCAGACGGCACCCAGTCTACTTTTGCAGTGCTCCTGTGCATTCCTATGAAGATACGCGCTTGTGCTTTATTTTGTCTCTTCGCCGGAAAATAACCTGGAACATTTTTGTTATTTAGGTCGTACCGAATACCTAATATGTACATTTATTATCGTCATAAAAGTGTAACTGCTTTAGTGACAGTATTTTTCTTATATTTAAGGCCCAAACCTCTCTTCCATAGCACGTGTGTAAATATGAGCGACAATTCTAAGCAAAATAATAGACGAAAGGAGTGTAAAGCGTGCTCAAAGTTTGCCAGCATTCCAGTGGCACTTGTATATTGCTAATAAGCCAGTCCTGCCACTATACAAAAAATGACCCCGTCGTGCATGTTTACGGGCGGTTAAAAAACATTCAAAACGTAAAGCATAAAGCGCGAAAGCCTCTCCTTCTCGTCGCATTCGGCACGAGGGGGAAATCATGACGTATTATACAGAGAGCGTAACATTGTCGCGTTTTTTGCAAGCCTTACCTGACAAGCCTTACCTCACAAGCGGCACGAGCAAGGCCGCTGAAACATCTGGGTATAACGTCAAACCCAGCAATTTTTTTTTTTTTTTGCGTTTTTTGATACATTTGGGTTAAATGCCTGTAATATTCAAATTCACAAAACAAAAATATGCAAAAAATCACTTTTTTTTTTCAACAACCTCTTCAGTTTTTTTTCTTAAAGGTTTCCAAGATTTCCTATATATGGCGGTAACTCACTCTGCAGGCTCTGAGCATCTTAGAAATTCCTAAATCACAATCGTGCGCGGCCGATTTCCCTTTTAAAAAAGAATAAAAAATTGCGACACACCGAGGTCATCTCAGGCGATGGTAGGAGCATGTTCCGGCAGCCAAAACGACTTGTGACCAATGAAAACGCGACATTTCGTGGCAATATCAAACGCTGTTATTACAAAATGTGTATGCTTTTGTAGATGATAAGATCAAATAACAGTATGAGACAAATGTTAATTTTTTGCGAAGAGGGAACATAATTCTGCAATAATAGTCTCAAAACGGCGCGCTATGCCTTTTTCTTTTTCGTCTTCTGCGGGAGGGATGTGTCCGGCCGTCTGCTGGTCTGCTCTCGAGCATGCGCTTACTGTCCTGAATCATTGATTTTCTTTGCGCAGATTTCGTCTGTGACGCAGGTGACTTCGAAGCATGCTTTCCGATTTGTCATCATTCGCGAGTTCGACTGACTAAAGAAACTCATCGAAGTGCAAACGTCCGGACTGTCCGGGCGACGAGCCGCGCGCATTCAGGATGTCACTTCGTGGTGGACCCGCAGAGTGATATTGCCGCCAGCGAAGCTGGCCAAGAGGGCAGCGTGCTCGTGGTCTAACGGCTATCGTGCGTGCTTTCCACGCTGAAAGCCAGGGTTCGATTCCTGGCTGCGGCTACACATTTTTGTTGACACTGTAATGTGATGTTCTGGTGAATTCGAGAACCGTCTTGCTTATTCGAGGTTAGAATGTTCTACGCGCCGAACCTTCTACGCCGAACGATCCAGAAACCCACGAGGGTACATAAGGGATTCCGCAAGGCGAGCGGAGTCAGTTTTCGCCCCAGCGTTCGACTCTGCTGCTACGCAGACTTCGATGCCCGCGACGCTCTATTATTATCTTTTGTACTCTTATTTTTGGCACAAGTTCGCCACATTAAACATTTATTTCTTCCTGTTTATTTCTTGTTTATTGGTCACCAACCGTGACAATATGTTGATACCTTGCTTGTTTTGGCTGACAGTGGTCCTGGTTTTGGAACATGCTCCTCCCATCTCCGTTGAAAATTGGCCGAGTTGGTTATGCTTAGTTAAGAAGAGGGAAACAGCGCCAAAAGTATGGAGGACAAAGAACAAGGAACACACAGACCGAGCGCTGTACATGATTTCACAGAAGGAAATCACGTTCTTGGAGAGCTGTGACATGGCGACGGTACGATGTATGTTTGTCTGTGTTTTTATGCCGGTAGGTGGTTTCCAGTAACAAACCAGTTGTCACTGCGTTCGGTCTGTGTGTTCCTCGTTCTTTGTCCCCCATACTTTTGGCGCTGTTTCCCTCTTCGTAACTATCCTCCCATCTCCTGAGATGACCTGTGTGTTGCAATCTTTGATTGCTTTTTTTAATAGGGAAATCGGCCGCACATCGTCATGTTTTAGAGGTTTCTCAGATGCTTAGAGTCAGCAGAGTGAGTTATCGCCATATTTAGGCGATCTCAGAATCCTCCTCGGAGCCCCTTTAAGTTTTGCTCCAACATCCGCCGGATTTATTTAACCCCAAACTCGAGTGGATTTGGCCAATCATTGCCCAAGTGCTTTTCAGTATTAAACATTAAATGCCAAGATAGAAACAAATATATAACATTCCCTTACTGCAGAGGCACTGAAATGTTTTTAAAGGTGAAAATTCAAGACACCGCTCAATCTTGCTATACTTTGTTTCATACTTTGTGTGCAACGCTGTCAAAGCTTTTGGCGCAAGCATGGGGCTTGATCTCGTTGATCATTTGCACGCGTTCTCGCGCAAACAAAACCATAGATGAAGCCACGCGCTCGTGCCAGTAGCTTTGACAGTGTTGCACGCTAAGTGTGAAACGGAGTATAGAGTATCCTTGCAAGGCTTTTTCAATAAAACTAGGCCTAAAGAAAGGACGAAATCGAGGTCAACTGTCTCAAGCCCGTAATTGCCGACAGCAGGTGGAAGTGATATTGTAGACTGCTGTGCATGCTGTATTTATCTGATTACTCATACTTTTGGGGGGCAGCACAACCATTGCAACCATTACGGCGACTTTTTATTCAATTTGTCAACAGTCAGTTACCTATGATGTGCCGCCATAGATCACACAAAAGGTACCGATTCAAAATTGGGCATAAATTTGGGTCAACTTGGGTGCATACCCGATTGTTAAAATATACTAGCGTAATGGAGCCTCGAAATCTACTACATTGTTGTGGCCACATTCTTCAGTTCAGTGCGATACATGCATACTTACGTAGCTGCCGTTTCCGGTTTGCAACTGCAGTGACATGCTAGGCCGACCATCACAGCCCAGCTCGGACAGCAAGCCTCCCAAGGAGAGGAAAGGGTCGCAGGGGGACGTGGCCCCATCTAGACCCTCCTGTCATTCCGCCGGTGAGTTGGGCTTTTTTTCGTGGTCCTATTTTCGAGTTTTGCTTTAAGTAATGCATCGGACTGTACTGTTGTTTCTTCAGACAAACTAATTGGTCAGTTGAGCTGGTAAAGGAGCACTGGGTATGTTCACTCCCGACCAAAACTGTTAGATTAATCATGCAGTAGACATAAGTGGGACATGAATACATATTACATTGATTTTGTTCCTCCGAGACGCACTCTAACCTTCAAAAGAAGCGAAGGACCACTGGTTCCCGTCTGTTGTTCCTTTTTCTCCGAGTTAATTTTGCTACGAGCCAATTTGCTTCAGTACTATGGTTTCGGTATCGTCTGCCCCTACGTGTTTATCGAATGAAATGACGGGGTAAGACCTGCACCCCGTGACAGTGTTCTTCCCACTGCGTTGACAGGTTGGCTGGCATCGCACGACGGCCGCCTGTCGCCTTCCGGGTCGGCGCCGTTATCTGCCAGCCTGCCGCCGACTTCGGCTCGATCTTTGCCGGCGTCGCCGTCACTGCATGGAGCCGCAAACGCCAAGAGCCGTTCCGACAGCGGTACCCGTTCTCCGACATCGAAGGCACACGGAGACAATGGGACATCCCAGTAAAGAAGAGACAGAGTCGTCGCATTTCTCCTCAGTTTTCTCGTTGCCTTCTTTCTCAAAATTACCATTTTTGTTTCGTTGTGCAGCTCCACCTTATGGAAAGATTTTGTAATTTTTTTTGTATAACTGGAATGGATTTAATTTCTTTTGTTATGCTAGCATCCAGTAACAGTGAAAGTCCATATTACAGATGTCATTCCAGTTGCCAGTACTTGAGTTTACATGCACAATTTGGCCACCACAATACCTGGAAAGCAAGAAATTGATACGAGAAAAGTGGACTATTTTGTAGAAGCAGGCCGGGCAGCTCTCGGGATATAATGTACAGTTCTGTCACCCTGTGAACTTTTTCGTTTCTTCCCAAAATCTTGTTCTACTAGGCCGCACATCTTTTTTCCCCGTCTCTTGCAAAGTATGATGTATAGAAGCAACTGTTACTGAATGAATGATGTCCTGCTCTGTTTTTTCCTTTTTTGTGTACATATGTGTTCCTGAGAGCACAAGCTTCCTTTGCGTCATTGTGCATACACCTGTAGACAAGAGGGTCCGGTGGTGCAGTCTCCTTTCCAAATTTCAGTTGTGCACAGCTTCAGTTACCCTTACAGTCTGGAGTTCAAACCCTCGGAAAGCGCGATCTACATGTGTGGCTGCACTCTGTCTCGCATGCGCGAACTACTTTGGACGTGGCAGCATGTTCGGACGTCAGCAGCATTCAAAACATTTCTTGCGCAGCAAGATGAGCCCGAAAAAAGCGATGGTTAGATATAGCAAGCTGAAGTTTTCCTCGAAAGGCTATTTTAGTGGTGATATTTTTCTGCTATAACATCAAAGCACTATCCCCCTTACTAACAAATTCAGATCAACACTATCTTGTCGAGTGGCAGGTTGCCATTTTAAAAGCAGAGTCCGTTCATTTCTATGAAAATTGTACTTGGAAACTTTTGGTAGGCAGATGCAGGGAATTGTTTGATGTCGTACGGCAAAGGAATGTTTAGGACAGCCTCCTATTTTGTTGGATTTCTAGGTCTAAATGCCAATGGACAAAACAGTGTTGACACAAGGGGACATGCACACTAGTGCTTGGAAACACTAGCTGCCTCATGTAAAGGTATAAGCTACAGTTGCACTTGTTTGAAACTTCATTGGTGGCAGATTGACATCCAAAATCCAAATGTTCATTGTGTGTTTGGATGTGGTGCTCAAAAGGCCCCTATGATGCAAGGCCCAATTGTATGATACATTGAGACCAAATGATGCAATTCTTTTTTTTTTTGAGTCCCCGAAGAATGGCAGCATTTTTCTTTTTATCCAGTGCCATTAATTCCTATAGCGGAAAAGATGCGCTCGATGTCCTTGTGTCTTCTCTGGAACACCTTTCCCTAGAAGCACACAGGTGTATTGCGTTGCATTTTGTTCACAAGTACCTGTCCTACATTCCATATTATGCGTTCGAAGGAATAGCAAACATTATGTAGTCTCTTTTTGTTTGTTTAGTCACGAGGTTGGGCCACAAATGCTATTTATTTTGTGTTTGTTTTAGTCACATGCAAATAAACTGTATTAGATGACTGAACATTGCAGATCTTTCTTTCGGTTGCTTCTATCGTGGCTATTTCGTGACACTCGTGCCTGACAACGGTTGCAAACAAGATTTGTTGACGTTGCCCGAAGCAGTATTTGTCATTCCTGTGGGACGAGACCGCAGTATCTGTCTGTCGTAAGAATTGGGTAAATACAATTACGGCGACATTTTCTAAATTTACAATTTCAGTGCTTGGCTCTCGGGGAATCGGAGGCCACAAAAAAGAAGGTTTCTGTATTTTCACAATTGGTCAGCAGAGAGCAAAACATATATCTTATAACCTTTTGGCATCGTTGGATGTACGTTTTTATTCCGAAGCAAGTTGTACTATCAAATCTGAAACGGCAATCTGTGAAGCCCCACTGGGAAAAGCTTGACACCTTTGTCTTCCAGCCGATAGTGCATCCGCTTGGTGGTGGGCCTCTGACCATCCGCCTTCCTTGTCACAGAGATCTGCAATTCATACATTGTTCTGAATGGAACAAGTTCAGTTGTCGAACCATGTTCCTGGCATGCCACCTCTCGCTCGATCTGTAGAAGTTGACATCCCTTGCTAACGATTTCTCCGAAGCACTTTTTATTCAGTTCGGGCATTTACACCTTTTGTGGTAGGAACTTCAGCAAGAACTGTGAGCCTGTTTGGCAAGATTACCACTCTAATAAACGCATAGCAGCTCTCGGTTACTAGTTTAAGTTATGGTAAAGTAATACCATAAACCCTTATCGGCAGGAAAGAGCACGATAATGCTATCCAGCGTGCTGAAGCCCAAATCTGGGAGTCGTCCCAGCTGAATACTTGAATCAATTGTTGGCAGACAAGGTATGTGCTACAAAAACATCTAACGGCATAGCTGCGCTGGAAAAAATGAAAGACTTACAATTCTCTGCAATACCGAATTAGAGTGCAGCTCTTGAGAAGGGGAGGGTCACGTGTGACGTCACGAGGGTAAAATTTTTCCGCACGTGGGCACATTTGGGGGTAAACAAACGCAAGAGGTTCGCAAGAAGCAGATGAACTTCACAATCCTGAAACCACATGTGAATTCGGGCATGGGAGGCACTCACTTGATCGAATGACATTTTAGCGAACGCCCATGTTTCATCGAACGACACTTTAGCGAATAGTCGGACGCCGCGAAGCGGCGTTTTCGGGTGGGCCAAATGAGTTCATATTTTTGTAATGAATTGCCGCAGACTGTCGCCGCGAAGCGGCGTAAAGCGCAGCGCGACGGATGGGTTAACGCGCGCCCCCGTTATTCGCTAAAACGACCATTCGCTCAAATGTCGCCGTTCGCTAAAATTTCATTCGCTCTTGTGATATGGACCCTTCGGGCATTACCTGTCCCGTGATATCCCTGCTGTGTCCCGTCGAGAGCCCACGAACGTCCACGGTAGCGTCGGCCAGGTGCGACAGGTAGGTGCAGAGCTGGTGGCACTCGGCGTCTTGCTCGGGCTCGTTGAACTTCGAGCCCATTACCAGCGAGCCGCAGTCTCTCAGCGGTTCGTGGGCCCTTAACGAGTGCACGAACTTCACGATCTCGCTGTTGGAAAGCCCCAGGTGCAGCAAACACGAGACGTCGTCGACCATCAAGAGGACTTCGCCGCTTGCTTCTGAGCTTCCGAGGAACCGATCGAGTTCTTCGATGATCCGCGATCGGAGAAGCGATAGGCGATCGCTCGGTCCGTCCGAGGTCAGGAAGCTGAAGGGATGCGACTCGCTGGACGACGGGGTTTTGACCAAGTCCTTCAGCAGGCTTGGACAGCTAAAGCTGTAGAATGAGTTCTTGGAGGCGTACGTCTTCAGGTTGATGCCGAGCTTCTGGCACACGCTCGCAAAAAAGGCGTCGTCGAGCGTCAAGTTGAGTTGAAAGACCCTGCGGCCCGTTTTGAGGTACAGCATGAGCAGGTGGTTAAGCACGAAGCTGTGGTCCACAATGTCATCGCTCGAGATGACAACAAACTGCTTTGAAAGCGCCTTGTTGTCGAAATCTAGGAAGGTGTTAAGCTCTAAGAACATTTTATTTGCGAATTCAGCAGTCAATCCATAAATCACAACTTCACTTCACCGCTGGCTCAGCTGGCTTGCCGCCAACTTGCCGCACCGCACCTGCTTATATCTCAACGTTGCTAACTGCTTATTCAAACACCGTTAAAACCCATAGTGATGTTTCGTCCAGTTTTGTAATCAAACAATAAGGTAAACTTAAAAAAATAAATTATAAATTACAAATAAAAAAACACGTATTTTTAGGATATTAGGTGACTAAATAAAATTATTTTAAGAACTCAAATCCAAGGCTTGTTTTGCATCCTTGCAACGACGGCAGTCACATTGCGGTCACCTGCATTCAATATGGCCGCTGTCTTTGCCAAAATTTCCTGCTCCTCTCGACAAATTTTAGTTCCTGTGTGCTCATGGAAACTTGCCACGCGTGCAACCTACACACGGTACGATTCATGAACTTTCCAACTTCCCTTTTCGATAGATTTTATGTCCAAGGATTGCTTCGCCGCTTCGCAAATTGGATGAATAGGCGAGCGAGTCGCAGCATGATCGTTCCCGGGTTGCGACCGTGGCTGACTTGTCACATTTCGAAAGCGCAGTGCTTGTTGGCAGGGTGACAGGCACCCGACAAGTGCGCCTCACTTTCGGACCGACGCGTTGTCTTCTGCTGACAACCGATTTTCCTTGTCCACAGGTTGGCGGAAGTGGGCCGTCTAGAGGCCCCGAAAATCGAAGGGAAGTATGACACCGGACAGGTAAGACCAACTCCGTTTGCGGATGTTAGTGCGGTGGCTTGGTTGAACTGCCCCGACTTTTGTCCGAAGACGTGAGGACGAAGCGTGGACTCTTCTTCTTCGCGAACAGAACGCACTCTGGGGTCCGTTTCGCTCGTGTTTTAGCTGCCGTGGCCTTGTCCTGGTTTTATTTTGAGCGAGGTTGGGACTATAAAAATAAAACCATTTGTCATTTTATACCTCTACCCTTGCATGTACCTTACCTGACTTCTTGCTTTTTTTGTGTGTGTCTAAAGTCGAGCAAAAAAAAAAAAAAATTAAGGTAGTTTGCAAAAAATGTCATGTGGCATAATTTTTGTTGAGCGCGTTGGTGATAAAGTTAGATATTAGAAAGAATAAATCATGAAGGACGGACACAACAAAACTTCTTTCGACTTACAACGAACAGGGTTTTAATGCCGACAAGCACATGCCACCGAGCTGTGGAATTCCCAGGGGTGAAGGGAAAAGGGGGAGCCGGGAAAGGAGAAGGGGAAGGGGTGGAAAATGTAAAGCCAATGCGTTTTCCAAAATGCCCCTAAAAAAAAAAAGAAGAGGAAGAACATTTTACATAATTCTTAAAGCTTTACTGATGTCATTGGATAGTCATAAAATACAAACTAGTAAACGTTTTAGCGGCAACAACATACACATTTTAGTCTGCTTCATATTCCTTCATATTAAACTGAAGGAAACACTTTTTTTGTGTGTCACAATTTGGAGGATCTGCAAGTTAATTTCAAGCAGTCTATCTATTTTCATCTGACAGTCCCGGGTCTTGTGTGCTTTTTCATTCGGCTTCAAAAATAGGTTGCACACGACCGTAGCAGATTCGGTGTGCCCGCTGCGTGCTAGGTTGTCTGTTGGTTGGATGGATGGATGGACGATAATGGCTGTACCTTTTGTAACAGGCAGTAGCTTGCACCACCTCGCCTAAAAGCAATAACAAAAGCCTGATTTTCCCCTTTTAAGCCAACGCATTTCTCTACACCAGGTTATGAAAATGATTGCCACATAGACCTTTAGGGATCGGGCAAAAAAAAAAAAAAAATGTTCAGCCTTTTTACTCTGTGAAGAAGGAAGACCAGCGGAGCTGTACTCGATACACTACCGCAATGTGCCCGTTTCCCGCTTCTCGTCCGACACGCCGCCGATCGTGGATACGTCTCCGGCATACCAGAGTCTGTCGCACACGGTGCACATGACGACAAACGGTTTCTTCACGAACTCCCTCCGGAACCTCGCCGTCACACCCAGGAACTGTTTAGCCGGCTTGGAGTGCTGTCGTAGCCGGGCATCGCACTTGCGCTTTGCTTCCGTGGCACGATACATCGCTGGTACTGTTCTTGGTGGTTGCTTTCCAGGCGAGCGATGTGCTTTTCTTTGGCAAGGGAATCTAAGCGCTCGATGCAGTGGAAGTCGAGGCGACAGCGGCTTTGCGGCGGTTACGGACCCATTCGCGCTGCTGCGTACGTCGCCGCTCCTTCCACAGCCAGTCTTCTTTCCCCAAGAGGGCACACGGCTGACCCATCCTGAGTCCAAACCGAAACTGATAAGAGCATAGGAAACAGCGCGCAAAACAGACGAGAATGAAGAACACATGTGACGAGCGCTGTGCTCGTTACATGTGCTTCTTCTTTGTCATCGTCTGTTTTTCGCGCTGTTTCCTACGATGAATTCCCACCAACGCGCCCAACTATCAATTCTTCTATGATAGCTGGAAAGGCTGGCGCCATCTACCAGCGACGGTGGCAATCATACTGGTTGTGTGCTTGCCGCCGTCACTTATAGATGGCGGTAGCTGTCCAGGTAGGTTTGTGTCGACATACCGGACACAATCCTGGGGAACCTAGCCCTTAACAGCTCCGCTGTAAATCTCCCCTGCCTCCTCCCCTCGGCAAGGGAGTCGCCGATTATCCTATGGTTGTACCTTGTCGGCGTCATTTAACACCCAACCCACTGGGTGGCAGGGTTGAGACGTTGGGCCGAAGCCACGCGGGAGGGAGTCCCACTTTTCCTCTGTCCCGCCTGTCCCCTAGCTGTGCTGGTTAGTTGTACTTAGTTCAGTTTTCCCTCGATAATTTCCACCAGCGCTCCAGTCTCCTTTTCGTTGCCACTACTCTTTTATAATCCACCCTTCCATCTTCTCCAGCTAAACCGAGGGCCACTGGTACGTTTGTTGCCCCTTTGGGAAGTACTAAAACCCACGCGTTGCTCTACAGCTGTTCCTGCACAGGATATTTGGCTACAGGGGGATCACCCTGTTCCCGTGGATGGCCCGCGTCTACGATCGCGACGTGACCGCCAAGAAAGGCCAGGAGTGAGTACAATGACCTTTGAACACACAAAACATTTGAAAGTTAAAACAATCAATATCACCCCACTTACCCCCCACTCCCTTCCAAAAAAAGAAAAGAAAAGCATGCCTGTTGCATGTGTTTGTACAGAGCCTGGCCATGTTGGGTCTTAACCGGTTAGCTAATAAGTCTTAACTTAAGCGATGCATTTACATTACCTGAACGGTGAACAGGTGCTAGTCTTCGGGCAACCAAGTAAATTCGCATGTAGTTCCTTGAAGAGCATTTGGCCGGAATGTCACATTCATGTGTCAAGTTCCCATTCTGTTCTGCCCCAATCATCTGTCTTCATTTGTTTAGTTATTTGTCTGCTGGGATAGTTTTAAAGCCACCTTGTATCTGGAAGACGGTACTAAAATGCAGTCGCTGGAATTCACCACCTTTCAAGGCCCTCTCGCAAAGCCTCTTGTTGTCCCCCGTCAGATATTTTTTGCCGGCTTTCTCGACGTTGCGCGATTTTCCCTCCGGGCCAAGAACTGTGCCCCTCCGTTTTTACTCGGAGTGGCCCTTTACAGTGTGGTGTTGCTCGCACAAACTCTGCTCCGTTTCCTGCAGGGGTGCGGAAGAGAGCAGCGACGGGTTCAACCACGTGGGTCGCGAGGTGAAGGGCAAAACGCACACCTACTACCAGGTCCTTATCGACTCCAGGGACTGCCCATACGTGGTGAGAATTTGTGTGCCTTCTGGCACGCTCGTACGCCGAGCTTTCGTTTCCTTTGGGTAGATCTGGCAACCTTTGAGCCAAATTTGAATCCCCAACAACATGGCTGCAATAAAAAGAATGTATGGATGCAAGAACAAATTGGTTTCTTTTAAACAGCGGGAGGTTAGTCTACCAGAAACGTGGCGACATTGTTGCCCACTGTGGATGAGAAATCTAGCCAGTGCAGTACGACCACTAGCCTGGGGTGTTTCATCGCACAGTAGTGATACACGACCGCACGCCGGTACGAGGCTCCCCCAGGTCGAAACGGGCAGGGGAAGGGATTGAACCTAGAATCTCTAGGTTCTGCAGCGTAAGCTTTTGCTCCATGTGATCCAAGCTGCGGTGCATCAACAGACTTGGCCATCGGTCCCCCACCGTAAGGACACGGTTTGGCTTGACATCTGAAAAAATTTACTCATTTATTAAAGTAGAGGAGGGGAAAGTTTGAATAGATGGATACAGCCAAACCTTTTTAATTGGGTGGTGGCTCATGCCACCTTCCCAGAGCTTGTGATTCCAACAATTAACTGATTTCCGATTAAATGATGATTTCACAGAGAAGGGCAAAGCATCTCGTCTAAGCACGAGCATTCGTCTACCATTCTCCACACCTGGAAGTTACAATTTGTGCAACGGTGCACACACTTTTTGCATTATCGGTTGAAAGGAAAAGAATAACTTTCATGTTGGCATTACCGCCTGGTAGTGCTTAATGGAATCCATCTGAACCACAAATGTACGTTACTTCTTGACAATAAGAGGTGTCAGCTAAAAGTTTGGTGGATATAAGTAGAAACATTGACTCCTATATATACACACTCGACTCTCTGGTGTCGCACTACTGCGGTGGCGCTGCTGTCGGCACTGTGCATGCACAGGCGCCTCATCTCGCGCGAATCCGGCTTCGGCGTGTGGGGAGGTGCAGATTTATTTGGAAACAGTGTGTTGGTGTGTAGGGGGAAAACCCACACCTCCGACGCTAAACCAGCTGCCAAGACTGGGAGAGATAGAATGATGGAACATTACAGAAAGAGCATGTAAGGGGTAATGGTGCCCCTCAATGATCTTGGGGATACTTTCAAAAAGCCTCCTCTATTTATTAATTTTTTTTCTTTATGCAATCCATCCTTGCTTACGACATATCTTCCTTCCCCAGTCCCTCGATGCAACCTCCTACTCCCACTAAAAAAAATAAGCAGTCAGTCATCTTTTTTTCCCCCCGTTTGTCTCGTAAAGTACTAATAGATAATAAAAGTGGTTTGCCTTACGGTGCCTGTTTGGCACCATCTTCAAGATGCTTCTTTCCTCTTTTGCCGCAACCTGGCTGTCTATTGTTCTCGTGCTGGAAGTGCAGGCTTTCCCTTTATATATGGTAAAAAGTACCACTGTTTGTTGTTGTGCAAATGCATGAGGCACATCAGTGACCACGGCGCCTTTATAGCTCTGTGGAGTGCTGCATTACCACAATGTTCTGAAGGGCGGCACAGGGCACGTGCTTAACACCCCGGCACTACCTTCAACTCTTCACGTTGTACAAATAATCACTCTACGTTCTAGTTTTTTTTAGTGCACAACTAGGTGTGCTGTTCGAGACTTGTAATGTGTTGAAACAAAATGCCTGTTTTACCTGTCCTTTCCAGTCCTCGGTGCTTTTGAAAATAAGTAGGCTTCCATCAATCTTGTTTGCTCTTGTGCCTGAAGTGTTACCACATGCCACCTTTTTTGTTCTAAATGTTTTTACCATCCCCTAAACTTTTCATTACTTACTTTCTTTTGATGACATCCATTTTCTTTTGACTGGTATCTTACGAGTTAGTTTAAATTTAGTTTATATTTTTCCAGCTTGAAATTTGATGAGCGAGCTAGCAAGAGTGAACTCGAGTGAGATAGAAGCTCGCTGCATTACCTTCCCATTCTTTCAGAGGTCACAAACGGAGGCAGTGACATTTCTCGGTAATCAAGACAACAGCCGTTCCCTCTATGCCATACCGGGTGAGTGACTTTCTGAAATAGGAACATACACTTGCATTTATATCGGATACTTTGATGCATCTCCTCCATGAACCAATTGTTTTTGCCACATTTGTCTTTCTGTACTTGGGGCTTTGTGAATCTTGCAGTTGCCTTAGCACTTCTAAATTCCTTTACGGATGTATAGCAATCATGTCACATCATGGAAACAAGAAACAACTGTTTAGCGGCACAGGCTCTACCACGGCCACTGACTGATAAATCAATGAAGCAGGTTACAAACTGTAATCCAGTTTGTCACCTGCTTAAGTAAGATTATTCTAATAACATTGTGGTTTTTTGGGGGTTCTAGGATTGTGCAACATTTGGAGTTGAGAATCCTTTTGGGTGCAATTAGAAGATATACTCTTTTAATGCAATAGCATTATTAAGCTACTACTCAAGATTTTCAGCAATGTATATTCTGGCCTCCTAATGTGCAGTAGACCATTTCAGCTCACTGTGCTTGCACCCCATTGCGCCGTGCGTATGCGGAGAGGCAGTACGCACTCCTTCACATTCACACCCTCTTTAAGGACTAGGGATGCCGCGAACCACCCTAAGTTTGATTTCGAAAGATTTCGATATTTTCGAACCGAACTGATGTTCAAATTCGAAAGGTTTTGACATTTTCGACCGTACGGAGATTCAAATTCGAAAAATTGGCAACTTTAAAAAATTGTGAAGTTTCGATTTCGAAAAGTTCGAAGCTTTCACGGTTTCTAAAAGTTTGGGTTCGATTATTTCGAATATTTTTTTATTTGAGGTTCGAGAAATTCGAAGATTTCAAACTTTCCTAACTTCAAAATTCGAAAAATTTGAATGTTTCGAATTTTTTTTTTTTTGAATCTGAAATTCGGAAAATTCGAACGTTTCGAATTCCTATTGACATGAAGTTCGATAAATTCGAATTTCTTTCCACATAAAGTTCGAAAAGTTCTAAGGTTTCTATTCTCTTTTAGCACTAAATTTGAAAAAGAAACTTGGGTTTCGAATTTCTTTAAAGTCCAAGTGCGCAAAGTTCGAAGTCCGGTTTTCATGTTCCGCGACAGTTTCAGTTTCAAATAACGTTTTCACGCCTCACGGGTTTTCACGAAATCAAGTTTAGAAATGTTCGGGTGTGATATTCAGATTGCGCGAAGTTGGTCAGGCAATTAAATGAGACGACGAGTGTCCCGGAAGTGCTGGAATATTTGCCAGTGCAGAGTGACGTGTGCAGATCAGTAATTGTGGCCGCCAGCCCGGGGGGGGGGGGGGGGGGGGGGACACTTTAACGTGCATCACGCAGTAGTGATCACACGAATGCACTGTTTAACGATACACATCCAGTTTGAAACGGCCAGGGGCAGGCAGGTGGTTGAGGGTCACTTGAGGCTCAGAAAAACCTTGCAGCGATCTGGCAAACTGCCTCCCCACCCCATTGCACGCTGGTAGTAATCCGCTCGAACGCCGCCTGAGTGACGCTGGCATATAGTAAGTTTAGTTTGTACATAATGCAAAATCCTAAGACTGCAAATGAAATTTGAAAAAAAAAAAAAAAGCGTAAGATAGAAAAAAGGGGACAGGACAACGTCTCAAACTCAACACAGCTGAGTTTGAGACTTTGTCCTGTCGCCTTTTTTCTTTCTTCTTACACTATTTCTTTCGAATTTCATTCCCAGTCTCGGGATTTCGCATCATGATCAACAGACACCAGCTCGCCTGCACCTTGACATTTTTTTTAGTTTGTAATTGCTTTGGAGGTTTATTTTCGGAGACGGAAGAAACGCCGAGCAAAAAGCACAGAAGCCGACACAGCTTGAGGTCGGGGAGCGTTCTACCATACCAGCAGCGTCCGAATAGGAAAAAAAAAAAAACAAAGGGGGGGGGGGCTCCGGTCTCTCTCTCTCCCCCCCCCCCCCCCCCCAACCCCAGATATTTTGCACTGTTAAAGAAAACAATACGGGGAAAGAGGCCATGGTCGAGCTTATTTTAATCTGAAATCATTTATGCGTATGTGTAGCTACTGTCGCTCTTCACTGCATAAAAGGTTGCGTAGATGGTCATTGTTAGAAAGAAACTCGTTGTCAGAAGGCACTACTCGTCACATGCTTAGTGGTTCGGAAGTTCAAAGCTATGTCTTTGCGACCTAAATAACTGTGTCATTGGTAAGAAATAATAAATAAATAAACATTACAATAAATGCAAACAATAAAAAGCTGAAAAGAAAAAACACTATCAAGAATCCGCCGGAAGTGTGGTATTCTTGCATATTCAGAGGCCCAGAACTACGAAACAAATTTCTTCTACCCTACCAAAATGTGTACAGGCTAAAAGAAACACGTCCCAAAAAAGTGAAATGAAAAAAAAAAAATGTTTTTTTTTTTATGACGTGACGAATTTAAACAATATTAGAAATCTTTCTCCCCGAGTTAATTTATTCCTCAACGTGAAAAGAAGAATATATACAATAATTCATATTCTGCAGATATTAATGATATGTACTGTCTCTGGTGTTAATTTAACTGCGATACCTCAAAGAATGTAGGCGAAAAAAATTACCAAGTTTAGGGCATAATTGCCCGTGGATACATATTTGGATATTACTTCGAAACTCGTCTTGAACAGCAATAATCATATCTTAAGACGACACTGACCTAGGTTATACATTTATCATTCTTAAAAAAGTTGAACATCTCTACCATAAATATCTTCGGCTATAGCGTGCTTCAAATATGGTACAAACGACAATTGTCAAAAACCCGTCGGGAATCCATTTTCTTAAAACCAAGCATGCCAGATGATTGAAATAAACGGCATTGTCTTTCGCAAAGAATGCAACACCACATGTAAAAATGCGAGAAAAAAAATTTTGAATGTACCTCACTGCTTAAATCCAAATGAAACTGCCCGCCCGTATTTCGAACTTCGACGAACTACGGCCTTTTACCGTAAAAATTCGAAGTTCGACGAACTTCGAACTTTTACCCTAAAAATTCGAAGTTCGTCGAACTTTTGACTTTTCAGGAATCGGAAGTTCGACAATTTTCTAATTATTTAGATCAGTAGGTTCGAAAGTTCGAAAATTAGCAAATTTCTTAGCGTAGAAAGTTCGAAAGTTCGAAAAGCTTAGAACTTTTTAGTGCAAGAAATTCGAAAGTTCGAAAATCATCAAAATTTTTTGTCTATCAAATTCGAAAGTTCGAAAAGCATCGAATTTTACAGCGTAATAAGTTCGAAATTTCGAAAAGCGTCAAACTTCTTAGTTTAACAAGTTCGAAAATTCGACTTCCGTCGAATTTCTCGATATGGAAAATTCGAAAATTCGAAATCTTTCGAACCTTTCGAAATGCTTGATTCGATCATCGAAACTTCGATTCGAAAAAAGTTTGCGGCATCCCTATTAAGGACCTAACGACCTTAAAGTCATCCTAGAGGTCATCCTTGAGATCACCCTAGAGCTTGTCCTAGACGTAGTCTTTGGCGTTGTCCTTGAGCTCGTCTTAAAGGTTGTTCTAGATGTCGTCTGTCGTCCTAGACGATTTCAAGGACGGCAACGAGGATGAGGTCCTAGAGGACGACATTAAGAACGACGTCTGGGATGACCTTTAAGGTAATCTCAAGGACGACAAAGATTTAGCGTCATCCTAGAGGACGACACTAAATTTAGCAAGAGTTTCCCTGGTGAATTTAATAGAAAAATTGACGTCGCAACCTATGCTCCAACACAGTTTCCCCGCTAAATTTGGCAATGTGCAACGATAAAAGCTATCACATTCATAAAAAATCATCCCTGTGGTTTCTACAAATTTTCCTCAACCATCAATTTGCTGCCGTGTAATTTTTGTTAGGAATGATAATTTTAATGTCCTCCTCTACTCGGCAATCTGCACCTCTTATGCAAGTTTTCTCTCCACAGCTGCTTCTAGGGCACCATTAAAGTTACTTAACTTAGAATGCCGTGCATCCACCCATTCCGCACTGAGTGCCCACCTCCAAAATTTGAAACATCTGAAAAAATATGCACAGTACATATATATGCAAAATTGATAACCTCGTATGCGCCCACCCCCTATTTTTCGCGATTATCTTCAAATTTTGAGTAGGCGCTTGCTCGGTATTTTACGGTACATATTTTATGTTTGTGCGCTACTTTTGTATTAAAATTGTTTCATAGTTTATTAGAGTGTTTTCAGGTCAAATATGTGAGCCATAAAATATAAGTTTTTAAATGAATATTTACATTGTTTTTATTGTGAACTTATGGCGATTCGAGGACAGCATTCTCCTAACTACAGCTTCAACTCTAGGGTTCCAGCAGAGAAGTTTGAAAAGTCCAGTATTTTCAAATGATCCTCACTAAAACCAATTTTTACTTCACTACTATTTTGTTTAGTATAGCATTATTTCATCTTTGCACAGCATGAAAGACTAAAAGAATATTTCTAGACACAGCTGAAATAGAGTGTTGCTACCTTACGATTAATGTTATTCGAATCCAGCGTTTCCTTAGGTATGTGCCCTAAGTGGAAGCGTTCACCCACACGCGTTCCCCCTGGTTTCCCCATCAGGGCTGGACTATGTGGGCCACGAAGACGTACTGCCCTACACGGCCACGGAGAAGCAGCCCCTCCACCACGAGCTGTTCGACAAGTTCCTCGTCTGCGAGCCGGACAAAGGTCAGGGGCCGGACGAGCGATCGGCTCTCGGACACTTCCGTGGTACCCTATGGGGGCATTTCTTAAGGGTTCATAGAGTGTACTGGCTGTACCAACACCCCTAATGACCTCTTAGCCGTGCGGTGAAACCGTGCGATTCCGACGACCGAGCATTTGTTACGGTGTTATTGCGTCTTTGTTTTGTACCTTCGAGTTTTGACTGGCGACATCGCAGCTGCGTAATAGCGCCGTTTGCCACGATCTCGGTAGCGGTGCAGGGGTAGACACGGCGGACGCCTGTTTCACCTTACCTCGCTCTGCGGTGGGTCGGTCGATGAAGATTCGAGTGCTCGCAGGTTGGGATGCTAATACGACGGCGATACTTGCTTGCACTCGTACCACGATGCAGCAGCTTGTGGGACCCTTCTTGTTGCCACTTCGGGGCTGCTTCTATGCGTGGAGTGCGTAGGGCGCCGAGCACTCCAGTTAGAGATGCGTCCCAGGCACCATAATTTGTCTGCAGCGAAGCGGTTGTTTTTGTGTCATGTCTGAACGAACCAGGGGGGAAAAAAACTGGAAAAGAATGGGGAAAATTGTAATGGCCGATATTGGTGGTCCTGAGAGAAAGAGAGCGACGGAAGAGCAGAGAAAGAAAGCAAACAATGGGTTAGGAGTGTCAGTTTCGCTGTGACGAGTTTAAGTTGCTCTAATTCTCGTCAGCATTATTACAGCGAAGCTATTATACACTAGGGTCTGTGAAAAAATTCGTCCTCGCATGTCGACAGAAAATTCCCCATTGGTCGTGGCAATTATGAATAAATAAAAACAATAAGAGGGGGCAACCAGCATGAGTCAGCCTTCCTTGGCATTATTAGATAGTGAGGTCCTGATCCCTTGTTATCATCTCTAGGCATCGACCTCGAGGTCTTTCTAGGCGTCGTCCTCGAGGTCGTCCTTGAGGTCGTCCTAGACATTGTCCTCGCGATCGTCCTGTAGGCGTCGTTCAAAAGGTCGTCCGAGAGGTCGTTCAAAAGGTCGTCCGAGAGGTCGTTCAAAAGGTCGTCCGAGAGGTCGTTGAAAAGGTCGTCTGAGAGGTTGTCCTAGAAGTTGTCCGGGAGGTCGTCCTCTAGGCATCGTTCTAGAAGTCGTCCTAGGCATCACCTTAGAAGTCATCCTTGAGCTCATCCTAGAAATCGTCCCAATTAGTCGTTCTCGAGGTCGTCTTAGACATCGTCCTAAACGTCGTAAAGATGGCAGCTTCGCTGGTCTCCAATCTTCACGTAAAGTGGAAGGGCTCTACAATTTCTTATTTTATACAACTTGCAACACCAGTATTTTTGTACAAATTAAAGCTAGATATAACTAGATAAGGCCTTGGAAGTGGTGATTTCCTGCTCCTTCCTTGCATATCAAAGCGTCGCCAGTGACTTTTCCTTCTAGATTATTATATTAACTCTACGGAACAAACAAAAGGAGCTCCATCTGCTTTATTCACGGAGGTGTCTGGCTCGGAATGTTTCGACGCAGACCCACCGTTCTCTGCCAAGGACACTCTGCGCGCATGGCAGGACAAGAACCACCCGTGGCTAGAGCTGTCGGACGTGCACCGGGAGACCACGGAGGGCGTTCGGGTGACCGTGATCCCCTTCTACATGGGCTGCCGGGTGGCACAGAGCAGCACCGTATACTGGGTGAGCCCGGCCGGAATCCCGGTGTTTTCGCAGACCGCCCAAAAAACTCGAAAGGTCTTCTTCGTCCAGCCGTAGTCTCCGTTGACGAAGGGAGCGTCAAACAGTCGCCTAATATTCGAATAATGAGCTTTCTTGTGTCTTCCTCTAGAAGCATCTTTTGTGTATCTTTTCTGTGAACTCGTAACAATCTGCCAAAGTGAGGAAAGCTGGCAGTGACTTCAGCATGTCACTGGCTGAAAAGTGATTGGGCCTCGAGGGAAAACATTGCAAATTAAAGTATGGTGTTCCCTCAGCATCACATAACCCGTCTTTTGCCACTTTTAGTGCCATTCTTGCAACTATGAGAAATAACTATCTTTTGACTCTCCAACCACCATCGCAGCTGGGCAAGATATCCTAGCTGGTCCCGCTATTGGTTACTTTTTGAGTGACTAGCAATAGGCAGGCAAATGTTAGGACAATTAAGTGGCAGTGTTAAGTTTAGGGAGCACTGTACCTGGTTTTTATGGAGAAGGCGATAGTACCACACGTCTTCAGTCGCTTCGGTTTAGCCGACTGTGTTGCGATAAGAGAGCAAACCGGCACGCTGGCACCATCCATGAGGTAACCCTGGAAACGCATTTTATGAGGGCAATGGTTTCGCGGTATTCACGAGATCACATGTACACACTACAGTGCAATCCACTTATAACAATACCATCATACCACATATAACAACGTACTAGTCTAGTTTCTAGTCTAGGTACAACGATGGTTGGTTATAATGATTGATTTTATTGGTTTTCTTATTATCGTTATTAGTGGATTGCACTGTATCTACCGGAATTGCTCATTTATGACGTCAAAAGCTTTTCGCGCCGAAAAAGAGTTATGCTAAAAGAAAAAGGAAATATACAAAAAGAGTGTGTTGCACGGCTGCTCGATAAACGGTGCCAGTGCGTTTACTCGTCGCAAGGGACCTTTAAGAGGTTTTAAGGCACACGGTCGTAAGCCGCCGCGAGTGTGTGAACCGGCCTGATGTCTCTGCGTCTGTCCCCAGCTGTGGCTGTTGGAAAGGATGCACAATGAGCTTTGAAACGGGCACTGGACAGTTGGGTGAATTAACGGGTGCACGATTCGGTTTCAGTGGCGCTACTGCATCCGGCTGGAGAACCTAGGCGAGCTGGCGGTGCAACTCCGCGAGCGTCACTGGCGCATTTTCAGCCTCTCGGGGACCCTGGAGACCGTCCGGGGACGTGGCGTCGTGGGACAGGTGACGGCGTCCCCCTAGCGCGTGATGGGAAAATGGTGCTAGAAGGCACGGGGCAATCATGGGCTGCATTCCTTACTTCCGTCCCATCCCTTAGAGGGCTGTCTTTCGTTGTATATTTAGCGATCGCACTGGCCCAACCGACTACCTAGTTCGCATTGTCCCCCGTTTTCCTACGCTTCCTACAGCCCACGCTAATTACTCTTTCTGAACGTCTTTAGAGCCTGACATGCCCGTGCCTTTGCGCTTGCAGCATTCGAATGTCCTCTTCGTTCCTGTGTTTAGTGCCGGTATGGGTAGTTCTTGTATCTCTGGGATTTGTGGCGTACTGGGGCCTCTTAAATGTCGAGTGTTTGTTTGAATATGTGCGTGTCATGGTACTCGCATTTAGCACTTGTAGTCCTCGAACATACTTAGTACCTCCGCTCAGTTAGCCGTAAAAACATTTGTACAAAAAGTTAAGGAATTCCGAGTGACAAAATATATTTTGCTGTTTCTACGAGCTTTACTAACGTGCAAGTTGCATTAATGCGGAGATTATGTCCCCACGCTCAATGCCTAAAGGCTATAAAAAATTATCCACTAAATTTAGCGGGAAAATTTTTCTGCTAAATTTGGCGGGGAAATTTTTCTGATAAATTTAGTAGGGGAAATAGAGATTTTGTTGACACACACGAAAAATCACTGGAGTTCTAGCCATAAACAGCTTCCATTCACATAGGGTAGAACATCCCTGATATTGGAGATATAGATATACTTACTGGTGAAGCAAAGTTAGATAGTACGCTTGCAGTATTGGCTCGGGCATTTAGGCTACTGTTGCGACATTACCTACAAGTTCTTTTCATAATTTTTTTTTTTAAAGTTAGTGTCTCTTTGAGTGTTTCATGCTCGGTAATACGTATAGGTACTGTAGTATCTTTTTAAAGATATTATTTTGCGGGAGTTGTTCACTGTGCCCCTTTGTCCGTGCAGGAGCCAATTCTTTCAAAATCCCAGCCGGCGTTTCAATACAGCAGTCACGTGAGCCTACAAGCACCCAGTGGCCATATGTGGTATGTTTGAATTGAAGTATTTCAAATAATTTAGTCAAATACAGTCAAATCTCGTTAATTCAAACTCAAAGAGGACCGAAAATTTGTTTGAATAAAGCAAGGTTTGAATTATCCGGAGTATCCTCCCATAGAGACACATGGGATGGGACCTGCATGTTAGTTTGAATTATCCGCAAGTTTGAATTAAGAGAGTTTGAATTAACGAGATTCGACTGTATTGTTTATGTAATTCAAGGTCCGTACGTAATACTAATCAAATATGGCTAGTTTTAATTAGGTTCAGAATCTAGTTTCCTTCCCCTTTGACGGTCGTTGCCATACATGTACAGCAATAATTACACATTTGAAAGTGCACTTCTCAGAATTGAATTCAAACAATGAGAACTCATTATACATTGAAGAAGCTCTGTAAAGTACTTCCAATCCAGAAGTTGAGGCCGCCGGAATTTTGTGTAAGCGAACTTGCCAGAATGGAACAAAATGGAAGAAAGGTGACAACCTCTTTTTTCTCCATATTTACATTACGTTTCTAAACCTGAACAGCTTGCAAGCACTGTATATGCTCCCATTGAAGGGATGGTGAACCGAAATTTGGATTTCAAAAAAACAATGCTGGAGATGTAGGTGGGACGCTACAATCTCTACAACACTACTCGCAAGGCGATATCTCAAATGGACGGCCGTATTTTTGGAAAAAGAAGTCGAGGTTGAACCAGGCCGACAAGGCGCGTGACCGTCAAGATACCTAGTTTCCTCCTCTCTTCGCTTTGCTCTCTCAAGGCTGCGAGGCAGAGAAGACGCGAGGCCGTTCCCTCTCCTTCTCGGAGAAACATGACGTCAACATTCCTGCCAAATGCGCCTCTTTTTTTGAAAAATACGGTCATCCGTTCGAGATATCGCTGTATGAGTGATGTTTTGGTGTTTGTAGCATCCCGTTGCACGCTTTTGCCGCGTGTTTTGGGGAATTCAGATTTCGGTTCAGCATCCCTTTAAATAAATAAGAAAAACCTGCGCCTCAATCTTTTCTTTCTACTATTCCTTTAGACACAAAACCCGACAACCGGGAAACATCCTGCTTAGACCACGTCTGGTCTGCAGTATTTAATAAATAAATAAACATCTTTTGGGGGAAAAAAAACTCGGCTGTCGAAGGGTTAATGATAATCTTAAATAGTATTTACTGTCGCAACATTGCTTCACTATGAAGTGAGCTAGTACTTGTTTTGATGGTTTTCCATAAGAAAGTATTTCGACGCAACCCAGGGAGAGGCTTTCAAAATACGGGGTTAGAAGAAAAAGGTGGGTTGCGCAAGCACTTAGCTAAGAGAAGTTTGTCTTTTTTGATGGCCTCCTTGTCCTTTCAAAAAATGACAGATCCATTCATGTTAAAAGAAGCCTTTGGAAAGATCCCTATGCTGCTTCTGGTTTTGCTTGTGGGCTTCACTTTGTATTTACAAAGTGCGAAGAAATAGCGAGGGGAACTTGAGGACGATTGCACTCCTAGATAGTAGGAACCATAGCGTGACAACTGTGAGTTAAGAAAATGTTGTTAATAATTTTTTGCTTTTTAACGCATTCGTTCAGGTATAACTGTGGCTATACCGACATACACATCTTATGGTTTAGCGTTTTCTCGTCGTGCGAATTACAGGCACGAGCTGGGGTGGGATCCAGGTAAGTTGTATACGTTCCCCTCCAGGAGTAAATGAATACCACTACTCGTTAGTGTATCAAGGAGCAATGAAAATACATTACTAGTTCCTTCTCTTAAAAAGTAATTGGGTCAATACTTTGTCATCAGAAAGTTGTAAAAGCTCGATTATGCTCACAAGGGTTAGGGGTAGAGCACTATATAGCTCCTTCGGAGCAGAGTAGCGCAATCTAGAACGCCGCCTCTCGGCGACTAGTGGCGAACACCCGGAGGTTCCAACTGCGGTCAGAAATGCATGGAGAACGTGAGAAAATCGTTGTTTCTTCAGTATTGTGGGGATGTACGGAATGGCAATCGTTTTTGACATAATAATGGAACATTTTAGAATAATTTTCGCTAAGTTTTGTGCCCCGCAAGGACGTGACTTTTTAAAAAAAATTGCCTGAGCGGCATCATGCAGCAGACGACACGGCGACGTCACACCATTCACGTGACCCGCTCCGGCCAACCCGAAAAGCCCATCTCCGCTGCGAGCAAAAATCGTCTGCTTCAAACGCCATTGACTTGGAAATAGCCTTCTCAAAATTTGCACACGCATCCGATATTATTAAAACTTTGGTAAAATGTTTAGTGATTTACTAAATTCACGACAGACTAGTTTTGAAAAGTGTGAACTCGGCGTTCATTTTTTAATCAGCCGTGTTGAGTCGATCTCCATGTATTCTCCCATAGGGCTGGCCACCTCCTGGAACCCTGAGTACCACGTGACTCGCGCCGATCCGCTCTGTCGGCCATGTTGTCGGCAAAACACGGAGTTCAAAGGATTGCGCTACTCTGCTCCGTAGGAGCTATATAGTGCTCTAGTTAGGGGCGCAGAATGTGTCCCGCACGAGCAACACTTCGTGTGTCCTTTTTGCTAGACTTCATTGCTTAATTTTTTTTCTTTTATTTTTATTATTTATGCATTTAATCATTTTATTATTTTATTTTATTAATTTCAACCAAAACCTGCCGCTCTCACGGGCGGGTTTGTATTAAAATAAAATCGCTTGCCCTTCCAGACCAGCTGTGCTATTAGCGCAGTGGCTCTAGTATCCGACTGCCACCGCACCGGCCCAGGTTCGAGCCCCGCCAGGGCTCCAACTTTATATATAACCTTAATGTCTGCAGCGCTACTCTTTCACGACACTCGTTACGACACTCGTTCATGGCGCTTTTTTCGTAGAAGACCACTCGTAAAACTCATTTCGCGTTGAATTCTCATTTGCTTTGATTCGAGGTCAGCTCAGATTCCGCTGAGAAGGATAATTAAGGTATAAATCGCACCCGACGCTCGACCGCAGGGGCACGTTCCGCATGGAGCGGGAAGACGGCTTCACCTTCGACTGCCGCATCCCGCCCTTCTCCCTGGAGAGCAAGCAAGAGCAGGGCCCACAGCCCTCCGTCTAGTCTCCGCCTAGGACGCACAGTGTTCTCCGACCGTGCAATGCACTCTGTACAGATGGACCTTTTTTCTCTCGCCCAACTTTTATAGAGAAAGGACAACACTGGTGTCTCTCCAGATTTAGACACCATGTACGCAAGACTTGCGCCCGGTTCGGTTCGGGATGGTAGAGTCGCTTCGGAATTCAATACTCTGAAAAGATGGCAGACCTCGAACCGGGGTCGCCCGCACAGGTCGTCGTTCGAAGCTGGTGTCCGAGGTTTTTGGCGAGTGTGCAGAGTGCTCAGTTTTATTAGCACCATTTGATGCGGTGTTTCAATTTGTTTAGAAGTTGGATCTTGAGTAGGAAGTGTTGGTTCTCTGTGCGAAAAGAAGGAAAGCGGTGGGTTTTGGTGAATGTTTGAAGGGAGCCTATGACAATACTAGAATGGAATGCAGAGTCAATCTCAGTGTGCCATAGGAGCCAGCGATAAAGTAAGGCTGCTGGTCCTCATCAGTCGGCCGCTACGCTTTGCATTTTAGAATATATCAATTTGGAATTAAGAGTTTATTTTTCTGCATGCACTTTCGTTGGTTGTTTTTAAAGGAGAATTTCTGGCACACATTCCCCATTTGACTGTCTTTTCCCAAAGGTGTGAAACTCGGAATTTGAACAATAAATTATATTTACCTGTATCACGTCTCTGACCCTATCTTAGTCATACCTTTTTGTAGCTCTAAGGAAATCCTTTGGTCACTAACACCTTGTTAACTTGGAGCACTTAATGGCAAATTTTCCCTCGAAAATGCGTTCATCAAAGTATGTCAACATCTTGAGACGGTTTGATCCCCAAAGTTGTAAAATACCAGCCATTTCCTTTCGAGTAATTTCAAACTGTAGACAGTATTTTTGAATACTGCGGAACATTTTCTGTAAAATGCAAGAGCTGCATTATAGAAAGGTATAATTCCAAATTGACCCGAAATTGAGTTCTAATGCAGTGGTTCTCACATGGGTGTCCGCAAAGGCATTCTAGGGGTCTGCAAAGCCCTGCCTCATCACTCAAGTCGGGCAATAAAAGTTGTCTTTTCTCAGAATGAGAAGAAACGTTCCAATTTTTGGGTGAGTTTTCTTGTGTGTACGTCAATGAGAGAAGTCTACTTCACACTAGCCCTTAGTTATATCAATTTATTAGATAATTATCGTAATTAACCTATACCTCCCTATTTTATGGCATTTTTTGAAATCAACTTTTTGCCATAATTTTTTTATAATTTTTTTTTTTTTTTAAGTTTTGTTATGACATGCATGGTGAAAATTATTTTATGCGAAAATTATTTTTTTAGAGATATTGACAGCGTAGGTGGATTGCCTTCGCCTTCACGACCGAGATGGTCATTCTAAGATGACCTGTGATGTTATGGACTTTGCGTGCAGAAATGAAACTCCTGCTGTCAATATTGCTCTAAAAAAAAAAATCTTTTCCTTTTTTTCTTTTCAGGGGCTTTTTAATAAGCTACATTTTAAATGTCTAATGCATGCGACTCGCAGAGTACCATAGCCTGCCCGATCCGTCTGCGTTTACAACTATGGATTTGTGCTATTTCCAAGAAACAATGGAACTGGTACCGTATTCACCGACAGCTGTAATTTCAAAATACCTTAAGTGTTTGTGCACTTTTGTACCTGGGATAGGCACACATCCCCAATGAAGTGCGGCCCCCCCCCCCAGCCGAAATCTTCTGTTTTGCTGGGGCCTCCTCTAAGTCCTCTTTCCCCTCCACCCTATGAAGCATTTTGTCATAGGCGGCCCCTCGCCCCCGAAACAAAATCGTGGCTACATGTCCGATCTGGGAAGAGTGCTTCCTAGTACGCTGCCGAGTTTCGAGAAAGTCATCTTCAACAGCAATCCTGTGAAAGTCACTTCGTCGAAAGTTGCTGCCGTCGGGCCAACCTCCAAATTAATCGCAATTTTTAAGTTTCGTCAATCTGCCTGGAGGCCAGATCGAATGCACCACTATTCGAATCGATGTTCCAGAACCCAGAGTTTGAAAAGGAAGTGTTTTCCTTTTTTGTCACGTCACATTTTTTGATCAATGAGAATATTACCAGATTGGTGAACATTCGCGGAGCGATTTCAACAGAATATTTGGTGTGCGAATATACTGCATCAAGCTTAACCCAAATTACACTCTTGCAACAAACCATCAAATTATTTTTCAACTTTTTTACAGTAGCGACTGCAATAAACCTTGGGATGTGCATAGAATCCAGGTCTGAAGTGTTCTTATTTCAGTGCATAAACTTTTACAGAAAAGAATAAAAACTTTAGTCCAGTGGAACAAATGGCGACGTCTGTTGCGACAGCGGTCCCAAAAGCGTTCTTCTCACTTGGTGCCAGATCAGGCTGTCACACGTTCTTTTGCCGGCACCTGCTGCCAATATTCACCACACCATAGTCCATGACTGTAGCAACTGCACTGCGATTTGGTCGGAGACAGAAATCATTCACAAGGAATGATGCAAAAAGATTAGTAAGGGAGACGGTGCGGATAAAATCTCTAGGTAATTGTATAAGTCAGGCTTCGTTACAGTTCAATAAAAATTCCAAAAGCTTTTTAAGAAATTTTTTAGTACGGGATGTGTATTGAACGGATTTGCCCCGTTTTCCAGGTTCAGTGTGTGTCGTCCCTTCATTGCTGGCTGCTGGCATGGAATTAGTGTTTTTTTGTGGAGAGGGAATTTTTTCTTTTTTGGAACCTTGGTTAGAATAGAATAGGTACTGATTCTTTTGTTAAATTTTGGAAGAGATTGTAGTCATCTTTGCAAGTCGGCCTGAAGGCTGTCCATAGTACTACTTTGTGTATTGGAGGGTTTGGCGTTTGGATTGTGTAGAGGTTGCCCCTTTGTGTTGGTGGTGGCTGATTGTGGGCTATATAAGGAGGCAGACTAAAAAAACCTGGCAGCCGAGCTTGAGACGTTGTCCTGTCCTTTTCTGTTCCTTCGACTTATATGTTCATTTCTGCCCCAGTCTCAGGCTTATTCAAAATGGTTAACAGTTGAACGCCTGGGCTGCCAATGCTTATAACACGTGCTGCACATGAACTGCTATAGTTCTGCAAACTTCATTGCAGCAATAATGGCCAACAAAAGCAAACCCAAATATTTGCAAATGGATTGACCAGGAGCAGTTCGAATGACCTGGTGCTTGCAACCAAATAGTAAGTTGCACTCGGTCGACATGCTTCGGTATAGAAGTTGCACTACAGCAAAAAGGCAGAAAGCTTCACAAAGGCGAGAAAAAAAGTATTTTGCTTTTATTTCCTGACTTTAACAGCGAAAATCATGTTTCCAGGTCCAACACTCATGAGTAAGGTTTATTTTGCCCCATTGAATTCATACCTAATATCACTTCATGGTCCATCTAAACCACCGAGGGGCAGATCGGCATTCGAGCATGGAACTGCCGTGGGTTTGAGTGCATTTGTTTGTAAAACTAAAGGCAGAAAGATAAAACAATTTATAATCTGTACAGACCATTTACACAGTTGCATAGCCATGGCAAATATGGCTTGGGCATGAGAAGACTCCATAAAAAGAAATATGTCGTCGACAATCCCGCACCATAAATTCCTGTAAACATGGCTTGGGCACTGCAAAGATATCTCACCTGCAGCCATAAAACGAAGTATGAAGTATTGCCATGATTGAATCTTCAAAATCCTAATCAAACTGAAATGAGGCAGGCAACAGAGGATGAAGTGTAGCACACAAGAATCCTAACTATAACTTGCGACAAAAATTCCTTAAACTTCTAATCAGGTCAGGAACCTCGATTAGTATGTCTTGTCCTCCACACCAGGCCTCGTCCCTATACTCAACTCATTCACTGCCATGGACAAGCTGGCCCCGCCAGCAGATTCATCTTTGTTCCCAACCCTCCCAAAGTTGCAACCACAATTGATTGGGGCACCTTCGCTGCACGAGCGACAATAATGCTTTGATCTCCTACCACACCACGCTGTCGCAGATCCCTGGGTTAAGAATCTGGTAAACACGGCTTCTTGCGCCATCATTAACAATCGTCTAGCTTCTACTCTCGTGATCTATCTATTTACTCTCATTCACCTCTCCTTTAGGAGGAGTTCGTAACATGAAGAACTAACAGGACTCAACACCATCAAAGCTTGTAGCACTTTCTGACATGCAAGGTTTTGTGGCGATTCGTGTGCGGCCTCGACATCGTGTCGGTGACACATGGGCATCACGTAGAGCAACATTGGCAGCACATCAGAACGACCTCGGCAACACGACCTCGATAATACGTCAATGCAACCCTGGCAACATGTTGGTGCAGCCTTGGCAATATGTCGGTGCAACCTTGGTAACACATTCGTGTGACCTTTTCCACATGTCGGTGCAACCTCGGCATCATGTTGGTGCGAAGTCTAACATGCTAATGAAACATGTCGTTGTGACATCAGCAACATGCCACCATGTCCTTGGTGGCACGGCAGTGTTTCCTTGGCGGCACACCGGCACTACCTCGGCAACATGTCAGTGCGACCTCATTAACACGTCGGTGCGACCTCGGCAACATGTCGATGCAGCCTCGGCATCATGGTGGTGTGGCGTCGGCATCACGTCGGCATTATGTCCAGACCCGCTGGCCCAAGCTTGCATCCGGCCTGGCCACCTGCCCCCTGCGCAGCACCTGCTGCAGTAACGCCTCGAGCCTGGCCACAGGCCCGCTTGTGCCCCCGGCCTCCTGCTTCAGCCTGGGGAAGTAGTCCTTGCAGAGCATGTGCAGGCCCTTGCGAAACTGCCGCCCGTATACCTGGCCCAGCAGCCAGCCAGCCACCTCCAGGAAGGTGCATAGCAGGGTGGCTGCCAGGTCCGGGCTGGGCGGAGTCGCATTGGTGGTCGCGGCGAGCCAGGCCCAGCCACGCTCCGGCCCCAGCGGGTGGGGCTTGCCCTTGTGCCACGGGGGCGCCGGCGTCTGAATCATGGCGGCGTACAGGCGCACCAGGCCCGTGATGCGGTGCAGGAACTGAGTCTCCGTCTCCAGGCAGCCGTCCTGGCCGCACTTGTAGCCGCATAGGCTGTGGAAGGATCCCAGATTTGACATCTTAACTACTTTCATGACAAACTTCCTAAATGGAAAAGCATGACAGAATACATACAAATGTAAAATAGTTGAGCCCACAACAACCCACTTAAAAACAACAGACGGCACAACCATTACAATAAGCATAAGGGCAATGATGTTTGGATGGAACAGCACGGATGAACAGTCACATTCACAGGCACACAAGAAGGAAACAGACTTGCAGCGCTGATTAACAACTCAGTCCTATATTTCTTCTTCCTCAAATCTTTCTCCTCCTTCGCCGTTACTGAAAACATTTAAAATTTTGACACACCAGAACTGTAGGTCCGCGCTTGACAGATTGATATGGCAATCAGAATGTCAAGGAAGAACTCGTAAATGGGCCCGATGTACTAGAAATGAAGCTTGATAATGTGGATGCTAGGGCCAGTGAGAAAAACAAAACAAATTAGTCGTTAGTTGTTTATACACCAGGAGTTTAGTCTACCAGAACATGGCGACATTGTTACCCACTGTAGATGAGCAATTTAGCCAGTGCGGTACAACCGCTAGCCTGGGGTCTTTAACGTGCACCACGCAGTAGTGATACACGACCGCACGCCGGTACCATGCTCATCCAGATCGAAACGGGCAGGGGTGGGGCTCGAACCCAGGATCCCTGGGTTCTGCAGCGCGAGCTTTCGCTCCACGCGCGTCGAGCTGGGTGTGCGCTTTAGCCCACTCGGCCACCGATCCCCCTCGGTCAGTGAGAATATGTTCTCAGTAACGGCGAAGGAGAAGAACTTGAAGATTTGAGGAAGAAGAAATATAGGACTGAGCTGTTAGTCAGTGCTGCGAGTCTGTTTCCTTCTTGTGTGCCTGTGAGTGTTACTGTTCATCCGCACTGTTCCATCCAAGAACGAATTGCTAACTAGCCCAAGCATCCACATTATCAAGCAATGATGCTGCGTCTTGGATAGAACGAATGTCTGTGGACACACCACTCGGTTACAACGAATACACCGGCACCATCAATTTTCCCGTGGAGCCACGCGCGCAATCTGTCGGATCATGAGAGCAGCTTCCCTTACACAGCCTCAGAGAGCGCAAGAGGAAAAACAAAAGCAGTCGAGTTAAACAAAAAAAACCTTCAGCCTTTCCACTCTAGTGAAGAAGGAAGACTAGCGAAGCTGTCCCATGGTGAGAATGAAGTAATGGCCGGCCGCAAGTCGGCAAGCCAGAGTGTAAAGGCTGGAAAGGTTGCCGCCATCTATAAGCGATGGCGGCAGCTGTTCGGAGCGTTGGGTTGACATTCATTTGCTGGCGGACACGATCCTGGGGAAACTGCCCTTAACAAATCCGCTGTAAAAAACAAAGCAACCACGTGTGCAACGTTGGTGCGTGCGTGATGGCTCCTGCTTTCCTTTCTCCGAGTTGCCAGAGAGACCATGATCAAGGCGTCGGGCGCCACGCCCAGAAGAGGACAGAGGACCGACGTGCTGCACGTCCTTCTCTCCTTCTCCAACGCATAATGCAAGCTATCTTAAGACAAGCCGGTAGGCCAAGTAGGAACCATGTCGGTCTTTTTGCTCAGCACAACAGTGCATCCAGCAGCAGCGTGCTGTCCCGTCCTCCCCTCGGCTCCTGGATGGACTTGACTAGTGACGTCACCAACAACGCTGCGACGCTTGCCACTTGCTATGCTTGTTGGGTTATTTTTTTGGCGGGGACGAAAGATCCATGTGCGATGTGCGACTGCCTCCTGGTGCTGGTGGTAAGAATAGCAAGCTGTGGGTGACTGCGCAGTACGCACCAATGTAGACAGAAGTGACCAGCAGCTGCCCTTTGTCATGGAATGACCCGTGACTTGTTCCTGAAATTGTTGCGGATGCTTTGCAAATTATGCGCCTGTGCGCTAAGGGCACAACACCAAAGCGTGGATGACCCGTGACCTGTATGCAGAGCGGCTCGTTGAGTATGACCACGACAAGGTGAGGAACGGCAGAAAGGTTCCGCTCGTGCTCGACAACTGCACGGCGCATCACGTGCAGCCTTCTGTCACTGCAGCGACCATGCTTTTCCCGACATTTAATGCCGTGTCTAGGATGCAACCACTTGACACGGGAATAATTCAAACATTCAAAGCGCGCTGTCGGCGACGTGTTCTCCGGTGCATGGTGACCGCCATCGACCGGTCAGCTTCGGGGCTCCTTGCTCACAACTGTGAAGATGCTGAAAGTCACGTGGATGGAACTCGCCGCATCGTGCATTAGAAACTGCTTTCGCAGAGCAAGATTCATGAACACAGTCGAGACCGATGGTGATGATGCCATCGAACTTTCGCACGAACATCAGCCTCACAACGATTTGTGGAAACGGGTCATTGACGCGGAGCTAGCTCACCCCGACGTTGCTTGGGATGACTTTGTTCGTGCAGACGACGACGTCGATATTGCAGTGCCTTGTGCGAATGAAGGCGTCGTTCGCGAAGTCCAAGCACTCTGCAACGCTCAAGACTCTGATGATTAAGCCGATGAGGATGCAGAACCTCCACCAGTAACCGTAAATGTGTCAACTGCCGTGAACTATATTGCATGTCCGAAGCAACTTGTATGGAGCAGAGTGCTCGGTGACAAGCACGTGTCTGCACTTAACCGACTAAAGAGCGCCGTCCCCTCTCCCGCTTTATGGAAGCAGGTCCGCATAACCGACTTGATTTCGGAATAAGCAACCTTTGTTTGATTCAATGCTATTTCTGGCTTTACCGTATTTACTCGCATTATGAACACACTTTTTTTTCTGAAGAATTGACACGTGGGGTAAAATTTTTGCATTTGCACACCTTGTGCAAATGTCATTTTAGGCGCCAATATGACATGGCATGGTACTTTGGCACGTCTCCACTGACGAAGGCTGGCCCATGACTGGTCGTGGGCGTGCCACAGTAACTATGCTCTATAAGTTGCAAACCTTTTGTCATAGAAAAAGCGCCTTTTCAAGGTCACTCAGCACAGAGAGCGATGCGACCGTTCTTAGGCCTAACCACTTTCACGATATCACAGTTCGAAAGCGGAGCACAGAAGAAGGCATGTTTTTTTACATCAATGCATCCCATGGATGAGGCACATCCGGGGCTGGCCAATTCCTCGACCCCAGCTTCGCTAGGCGTGCGCGCCGCTTGGTTTCATTGTTGATCACTTCTGCAACCACGCAATTTCAGCCATTACGAGAACAGCTTGGTTTGGCTTGACTTGGCCTGGCCGCTTGGCAGCAAAAGAAAATTCGTGGGCTTGGTGGCTAGCCAGCTAGCTAAGATGGACGCAGTTCAAGACTCGCCGAGCTGAAAATTAAAAATGCGTTCATTACGAGAGGAAAACCAAAAAAGCCCAAATATTGATGCTTGTTGTGGGGGGTGCATTCATTATGCGAGTAAATACGGTACTTATGAAAAGCCCACTTACTGCGAACTTCGGAATATAACGAACAAATGCCGTGCAACTATCGGGTTCACTATAAGTGGGCTCGACTGCAAGTCAATTAATTTTAATCCCAGCTAAAATGAAAAGGTATGTAGGTTCTTTGCTGGATCAAACAGAATGTGGCCCTCAACTCCATTCGGCTTTGGCAGTTGAAGATGAAGTCACTGTCGAGGCATTGTTAAAGACAAAGTCACTGACGTGCCTGCTTGTCGTTCTTGTTTATGGCAGGCTTCAATGTGCCCCAAAGTGCTCCGAGTTAGCCTTTTTGCTATATTCACTTTGGTTCTAGACTTCATAATGGACAAATGCCAATAATGCTAAGTGGTGCCGAGACAATGGACAGTAACAAAGTCCAGTCCCATCGGTGAATGCACCCTTAAAAGTTCTGGCACCTCGCCAGTATCCAACAACCGTGTTCTCCAAAGCGATGAAGAATGATTATTGCTGGCACACCTGAGGTACTCCGTCTCGGACTGGCTCGGGTCCCGGCGGAAAAAGACGGGCACCAGGAACGGGCAGCGTAGGTAGAAGTGGCCCAGTAGGAGGTCGCCGATCTCCGGGAACTTGCACCAGAGCCCCACCGCCAGGGCCGCCACGGGGAACGCAGAGTCCGCGTTGGAGTTGATCTGCTCCTCCCCTTGGAGCTGTGCAACGCGGAAGCGGAACTTCCACGTCCAGAGCAATTCATCCTCTCGCTTGAGAGAGGCAACAATGTCACTTGGACGGAACTCACCTTGCATTGGTTTCATTGTTACATGCCGTGGAAGCTCCCAGCAAAGATCAGGATGTAGTTCCGAAAATATTATAAAATATATTACGCCCCTTTTCTGAGATCTATCTCAGAAAAGGGGCGTGTTACAATGTTTGACCACGTCTCCGATACAGTCTCATTAATCCTAACTCCAGGAAGCCATAGACTTTAGTTTTAAATATCACAAGCCTGAATTATCATAAATTTATCTAAATATGGACGTGAGGAAAAGTAGTGATTTTCTACAGGAATAGATACACATACCATGCAGATTTTTTACACTTTTCCTCTACACTGGCCTATTCATAAGCAGGCACACACATAAAACATTGGTGAAGTTCGAAGCGAATAGTGGTTTTGACCAAACATTTTCTAATCGAACAGTTTCTCGAAGCCTTTTACTACTGTCATACCAAAGTTAAACGAAGATTCAGATGAACTGGTGAAGGTTCTTCTCAACCTTCCACTTGTCCACTTCTAAGCTTAGTTTGTTTTAATATAACTATATCTATGAACTGTGGCCTCAGAAAGTCCAATGCTTACATTGAGGTGGCATGTAAATGACAGATTTGACATAAAAGTAAACCTAAAGAGACGCCCAGCTATCCTAATCGAGGGAATTTATAAATCTGCTCGCTATATGCAACTATTCTTTTTTAATCTAAAATTTAACTCCCACAGAAAAAAACAAAAACAAAAAAACAAACAAGCACAGACAATGAAAGCAGATCGTCATGATAGATCGGCTTGCATAATTGCGGTGGGTTAGTCCCATCAAGTGCGCTTTTCACCGAGCACCCGTGTACTGAGGAAAAGCAATGACCGCGAGCTTCGTGGGTATTGCTTTTCCGCAGTACACAGGTGCTCGGGGAGAAGCGCACTCAACGGGGCTAACCCGCCGCGATAAACAAACAGAGTGAATTAACCGAAAACGCTGTTCGAATTAAGCAGCTTGCTTATAAATGCATAAAAAAACATAGTGGGACAACAAAATTTTTTAAATTCGTTTGAAGTAACTGGGAGTAGAAAATATCTGAGTGAATTATCGCGAGTTCACAGTAGAGAAAAAGGCCATGCCTGATTGTAATTTCTGCTTTTGTGGGATGCTTGAGGCACGTAGGCTGAGTTTGTATCATAAAAAAATTAACTTCAGGTTATCGTTAAGAGCTGCTTACTTGTCCTGGTCAACTCTGCTATTCTAAAAAGAAACAGGAAAGCAAGTCCACAAGCCCCCAAGTCTAACACGGGCTCGTAACCTCAAAAAAGCTGCGCGTCTTCTCGTGAAATGGGATACGGAGGTGCACATAAACACAACCGGCCATGGCTCAGTGACCTGTCCATGTTCCGATCAGTATTGACACTCACCACAATCTTCTCGGCAACTTTGTCGAGGCAGAAGCGTTGCGCCAGCGGATGTGCGGAGGTCGAGATGGTCCGCGATCCGGATTGGAACGGCTTCCCGGACAGGATGGAAGTCAGCTGGTCCAGCTTGTCCCGCACCGACAGGGAGTTGGCCAGTGCATTCACTGGGATGGTAACCGCCTTGAGCAGGTCAAAGCAGTACTTCTTGCGCTAGTTGGGGGAAGGACACGGTCCATGAAGGGCCAAATTTCTTACTGCAAAACATTCGGCACCTAAGGGCTACGACCCTGCGGCGACAATACTGAATTTCGTTCTTGCTTCTAAACCGAGGACGCTCGGCCAATACTGCCGCGTGTGTGGTCGAGTTGGCAGTACATGTGCTGCTAGTCTAGTTTTCGTCTCCAGTTGCTTAGCTGAAAAGTTCTGTGGCATTCTTGTCAGCTGTCTAGTGTTCTAGTGTAGAACCTTCGTGAAAAGCGGGGCCTGTATAAAAGCGGTCATACTGCGCTGCATCAAGATGGTTTTTTACAAGCGCAATCCTGCTGTCCCGCCGACACCGATGCCCACAACGCTCATTATTGTACCGTTGTTTTGGCATAAGTTTGCCACATTAAACCAGTAGTTTTTCCAGTTACTCGAGACTTGTCAACTATAATTCGTGACAATATCATAATTATGCTCGAGGATGCAAAGGAACAAACTCTCCTTCTGTATTTACTAAGCAAGTTTTGTAATTGCTAATGAACAAAGCCCATCCATCTACTTCTTCAGAGGCCGCACATACGCTGCAGGAGACTGTGAGCACAATCATGATATTGGCACATCTCTGGATTTTACGTGAAAAGTACCGGCGGGCACCAAATTTCACCACTTAGCTTAGTGCCCCAAATACGCTGAGAACTGAGAACTCTGTCATCTCGTGACGAGGATAAGTTGAAGGTGCTAAGTCAGCTGAGCGCACGAGACAGCCACTGAGAACAAAACGAAGCAGGACACTGCCCGACAACCCAAGTCGTACCGTCTTGTCCTGAGACAGCTCCTTGTAGGAAGCCTGCCACTTGTCCAGGTTGTCCAAGATGTCCGAGTGCCTCTGTAGGAGGCTCGTCGCACTCCTCCCCGCGACGTGGGTGCTGGGAGCTGCCATCGTCACGACCAAAACGTAATCGTTTGATGGATAACAGCGCCACAGACGATGACATTAGCCACATTCAAAACAATCAATGCCCCATTATAATATAAATTTCGATACATACATTTTATTTTTATTATTTTGAAAGATTTTGTCTATAGGGTAATTTCACATGACATACTTCCAGTTTAAAATTTCGCCGGATGGCACGTTGATAAACTCTCACCCTGCCTTCCTACACATGAAGGCAGTGTTTTCCAGATTGCTTGAGTTCTTTTGTGTCCCGATTGGCTGCGCCAGCCAGAGGAGTGGGGGATATAAAAAGGCGTCGGCTGGTACTCTAATTTCATACGAGCCGGTTTTTCGTCCGGACTTATAACAGTCAGGTGATTGAGAGGTTGACCCATTGGCAGCCAAAATGGCCCCCAAAGAATACCCTCAAGACAATCCCCCCCCCCCCCAAAAAAAAAAAAAAAAAAGCAGAGCAATATTAAGTTTATGCAACCCCAACTATGTTACCGGTCATATTTACCGAGTTCTGCCATCAATAGAGCCACTCACCACCATGCATGTGTGTTTCACAAGATAATGTCAATACCTAATCCTCTGCATGCAAACTAATGCCGAAAGTGGCGGACACTTTTCATCAACATGGCGGAACGCGGCTTATCGGAGGGGAAAAGGTGTTTTGTGAAACCACCCTATAGAATTTATGACACAAAGGCATTTTTCTGTTGACCTATAATTTACTCAATCTAACTGCTCTGTATGTACAATTTATTTCACAAAGAAATTTCAACCCCGTTCTTCAAACAATGCGAGGATATGTCTTAGGAAGAACTACTACGGACCTCGGCAGTGAACTCGTTCGCTGAACCGCTGAAACGCGAGATCCTTCAGCTTAGATGCAATGCCAGCACTCACCCGGGGCAGGTAGTGAAGACGTGTCAGATGCAACCGTCGACTGCCTTCGGGAAGGATTGTGCTCCTCTGACTTCTGCCTCTGCAGCTGCTGGGTCTCCAAGCCTTTGGCAGTGGCTTGTTCTGTTCCAGGACGGGGCAAATATTCGAGTCACTATACTTCGACAGAAATAATAGAGTTAAGTTTATAGTGAGATCGCCCAAGTGATTCGCTGCGATTCCCTAAATGAACTGACAAATTTGTTGGCCGTGACTCCCTCTCGTTTGTTTATTCTTCCTAGATAGTCTGATTTACCATCTGTGTGGCTGCACAGAAAAGTAGACGCACATGGACCTTGTTTGAAAGCATCGTAGCTAGTATTCGACTACACTAGTCATCCGAACGACTGCACTGAAATACTAGAGTCACCCCTCCATCATAGGTAGGCATTTGGGAACTCACTCGCTCCCCATCACAACGCCAGACATAAGCTCACCCACCAAAATAATTCGCATCACACCAACTCCCAAAGTCAAGCAACCAGATAGTTTAACTGTACCAAAACTTCAACGCCCATCTCATCACGCAGTTCAGCCGAGTAAAAAACTTGCCCCGACAACATTACCATCGACTCCGAATTCATAAAGTAACTAACTGCCACATCACGAGCTCTTCAGAGTTCACAAAGTCACTCACCGTCACATTATGAACTACTCTAAGTTCACGACATCATTCAGAGTCATTCACAATCATGCAGAGGGAGCTACTGAGTAGGTTCACGAGTGAGTTCTAGGCACATGCAAATAGTGGATTTTGAGGTTGAAGCATTAAAATTAAAAGTAAATAGTGGTTTTGGCCGAATATTTCCGAATTGAATATAGAATAGATTCTCTAAGCCTGTCACTGTTGCACAATGCTTAGACAAAAACCTGGCTGAACTCGTGAAGGTTGTTCCCAAGCTTCCACTTGTCCATTTCTAAATCTATCATTATTTATCGACTGTAGTCTCAGAAAGACCAATGCCTACGTTGGGATGGCAAGTAAATGATGCATTTGACATAAAATTAAATGTAGAGAGATGCCCAGCGGTACTTAATCGAGGGGATTTATGAATATTCTTTCTATATGCAAATATATTTTCTTCAGCCAGAAATTATTAACACAGGTTGTCAGAAGTTCTGTGTCTAACATATACTCATGCGTTATAGCCAGTTTATTTTGGAAGTTTTACTGCAACATACATATCAACATTCACAAAGTCTCCGTTTCCTTTAAATACACCAGGTGCGTGTGTGTAACATCCTGTTTTGACAGTGTACTTTCCTCCTAAGCATGCAGGTGCAATATTTGTATTTTTCAAGGTGTTGATTGCAGTGGCTTAGCCCCCTTGAGTGCACATCATGCCGAGCACCGGTGCACCGCGGAGAAGCAACACCCGCAGAAGAGAGCTCCGCGGGTGTTGCTTTTCTGCGGTGCACCGGTGCTCGGTAAGAAGCGCGCAACGACGCTAACCTGCCACGATCAACACTTAAAAAATATGAATATTGCAATTCACCTCGAAGCGAATATTGAATATTTGTACAACCTTAGCTGAGTTTACAAAGTCATTCAGTCATTTACAATCGCACAGTCGGAGTGAATGAGCGAGTTTGTTAGAGAGTTTACTCGGTCATTCACAACCATGTGGTGAGTGCTACTGAGTGAGTTTGTGAGTTTACGAAGTCACACACAGCTATTCACATTCAGCCAGTGAGAGTGACCGTGCAAGTTTGAGAAAAAGTTCATGAACCAAGTAAACGTCACACAATGAGAGTGACTAAGTGAGTTCACGAAGTCATTTGGTCATTCACAATCATGAAACGAATGAGTGAGAACGTCGGCGACTTTGCAAAGTAATCCAAAGTCAATCCCAATCATGCGGTGAGAGGGACTGAGCAAGTTCATCAGTGAGTTCACGAAGTCATTCCGTCATTCAAAACAATGCAGGTGGGTGACTGAGTGAGGTCACAGGCGAGTTCATAAAGTTGTTTCTAATAATGCCCAATCGTGTGGAAAGAGTGACTGAGCAATTTCACGGGGGAGGAACACTCCAGAGAGTGAAGCGGGCGGCTCACCGATGTCGGCAATGACGGCGTGTACGAGGCCCTTCACCTCGGTGGCAAGGTCAAGCGCCTGGGTGAGCTCCTCGCGTGACACCGTGCGCAGTGCCCCGAAAGTGGCCACCTGGCGTGCCACCCGGTCCAGCAGGCCCAGGTGGTCCTCCCTGGCGGTGCTCAGGTGGCGCGCGTGGCTGCAGTTCTCCAGGGCGCCCCTCACCGACGCCAACGTCGCCTCCATGTCCCGGCAGTGGGCGCTCAGGGACTCTGCCCGCTGCTCCGACTCCGCCTGCCTGCAGGGGCGCGTATGCCGTCATCACTAGGGCCACCGTATGTAGTGGCTTTAGCTCCCAGAGTAGTGACGTGATGCAAAAAGACCTAAATGCACATCAGAAGTGCCATAGCCATCTTTATTTCGGGCCTGGAGGTTACAATGGTGGACATAAAACAGTGCTAAGGACGAGGACTAGTAGAATCGAACAGGACGGACGCTGACTAGCAACCGGCATTTTAATATGCAAGAATAAGAAAGACGGAAAAGAAAATTGTAAGTGGGAGATCTATAAAGAAGCAAACGAGGCAGATGACTAAGGAGCTGCAAATCTGGAATAAAAAATTACTATTAACAAACACAGTGCTGCTTTGTGTCCATAATGTTTAATCAACTAGCACAACAGCTCTTTTTGTTACCATGATAACTGAGCTGCTAGCACCAATAATGGTTTCCAAGAGCGTGAGCATAAACAAACAGAGATAGAAGAGTGGCATACCTCTTTCGCTCCTCTTCCTCGAGCTCCTTCTGCTTCAGCTCAGCCTCCTTGATCTTGTTCCTCAAGTGCTGAAACGAAAAAGGCAACGGAAACCAAGATCAGCCTACAAAGCTTCAGCGAGAACCTGGGATCATCCAAGTCAAAGACTGAGCACGAGCGTGGCAAGGTTGCGGAACGCCAGTGAACGACAATCGGATGGAAAGCTATGGTCAATGTACTGTGTCGTGGCTGCCTCCGAGATATCCCACAGAAAGTGCATTTGGTGGCGCACTGGTGGGGTAAACTCGCAGCTTCCTTTAGGCTGCTGCAAACCATCGCTGGGCCATTCACGAGTGCCAATTTTGGAGATTGTTCTGGGTTGGTAATAGCTCCAGAAAGATCCCTGCAGCCATAAGAAAACAGCAACAGATGCTAAATTATGTTTTGTACTCAAATTAGAACCTCACACCCACTTTCGTCAGGCATTGTTCCCTGACCAGAAAATGAGTTTGTCTATCTAAGGCAGTGGTTCTCAACCGCTGATGTTTCGGGGTCCCATCTGAATGGACAGATGTGATGGGGGACCCCATTCACCAGGAGGGAGTGGGTGCACTAGACGATTATGACAACAAAAGGGTAAGAAAACTAAATGCGTGCAAACTAACTTTGAGGCTCTCAGACAGAGAATTATCAATCCTACTTGGCACACATTATTTTAACTATTTAGTTTTGTGGGATAGCCAGCAACAAAAAAAAAAGTTTGTTGCTCGGCTTGATTGGCGGTAGACGGCTTTGGGGACCCTAAGAGGGCCTTCAAGGACTCTAAAGGGTTTGCAGACCTTCATTTGCGAACCACTGATCTAAGGAGTCAAAGGTCGCACCGACGCAACTTAATTACTGAGCCTCAACACAGTGAAGAGCACGCTGTAGAACCGAAACAGAGCAATGTGACGTCTCGGTGGTGCCAGCAATAGGTTCTCCTTTCCGTGCTACCCCTCGTACGACCACTCTGATCGACTGGTTTTTGGTTAGAATCAGTGACCCAAGGATCCTCCAAACACATCTGACGCAGCAGCAGACGAATGACAGGAATGTCATGCGAGCAAAAAACATGGGCTCACCCTCGCGTGGTTCTTGTGGTGCTCTTGAACCTTCTCTTTCTTCTCTGCGAGGTCCTGCAGCCTGAGGAAGAGATCTCACTTAGTCGCACAATGACTTGTATGGCGAAGGCAGTGGAAGACTGCAGACGACGCGCCATACCCCAGACGGCACAGCTAGGCAACGGCACTGAGAAAGGGCACAGTGAAGAAAGGAACATCCCCAATCAAGGAAGAGAAAGAGTGACGTCTCATTAAGTAAGGGCGTAGGGATGGCACAACAGAGTCCCATAAAGTGAAGAAGCAACAAATTGTATAACGAAATTGCTAAGTGTAACAGTCTCAAGTGCTACGCAATAATCATGTCCCAAGCACCTCAATAGAGGAGCCGTTCCATTTTCCCTGTCAGAAGAATCAAGAGAAAGCACAGAGCTTCTTTGTGCTTTTGGGCATTACTACTACACAGTTTTCTCCCACTCTTTTTATTTTCAATTAGTGCAGGAATAAAAATGAAAGCAGAGAAGAAGTCTTTTTGGGGAAGCATAACTCCCTTCGAGGTTTACATGCAAACAACAAACTTCGAGCTCCTGCAGAAGGGAATGGGGCATATGTCTGCCCCATTCCCTTTTCCCTGCAGTCGGCAAGGACAGCGAGAGGCGCGGAGAGAGAGTGCCCACCCCTGGGCGTAGTCCCTGTTGAGGCGGTCCAACTGCCGCTGGTACTCGAGCAGCTGGTCACGCTCCATGAGCAGCACATGCTTCTGCGCCTGCTGCTGCCACTTGAGCAGCTGCTGCTCGTGCTGAGCCCAGCGCTTACGCAGAGCCTCCTGCGCAAAGAAATCAAGTTGTTTTTTTCCGGACAAGCAATTTACTGACAGTGTCGAGAACTTTACAGCAAAGCCGTAGAATAGCAATGGGTAAACCACTGGCTCCGGGCTATATAGCTCGACTTCTGTCGTGTCATATAAAATGCATGGATGTCGGTCTGTAATCGTCGGCAATGTAGAAATTTTGGCTTGCGAGCTCATCTAGGCCAATCCACTAGTGCTGGTCTATTACGGTCACGCTTCTTACTTAGTGATTTGTTTTCAGCGTTCTTATCGTCTAATGCTGCTTTCCGATCGGCCACAGAGCAATAACGCAGGACATGGCACTCACCATGTCCTGCCTTTAAGCTGTCAGTGCCAGTACAAGGTACACAGGCACTGCTCACCCTCTTGTAAAGTTCTCCACTTCCTAATTCCACGCAGGCAAGAATAGGGGGCCTGACGAACTCCGCAGGTTTCCCCAGCCCATTTTGAGAAGACATGCTTTAAAATTTGGAACTTGGAGACCTCCGAAAGTAACCACGTTGGCCCGCAGACTCTCGGCAAGCGGGCTCCACACTGACAATGGTGGCTGCAATGTCACGCAGGCCAGTTCCGACTGCAACCACTTTAAGGCACTTCGAGGAGCGCACGAGCTTGCAAAACCTAACCCTCACTCCCCTACCGGGGTCGTCTCTGAACATCGCTCGCCACAAGCCATACGACCTCGTAACCTAAATGCCGGCAAGCCTCGTTTGTTGTTGAGGAAGCGTCCAGTGCAGTGCATAGGCACTCCCAGCAGCCATCAAAGAGTTCCCCTCTGTTTTGCCGAAGGAGCATACGCCTCTTCTGCAGGACGGGGAGGAATTCCAAGAGGTGTGCAGGAAGTATGGCCACCCGTTCTCCTCGAGGAAATGCTCATACATTTGTAGGTTCACCTGCCTCCGTGACGGTCTGGCGTGGGCCGCAATGGTGTCGTGGCTATGGATTGCTCACGGCTGCGCGAACCCTCGTACAGGCAGGGCACCTGCTGCCGTGTCCTTCGCTATGGTTCATGTCAAGGGGGAAGGGGGGCAGATGGGCATGCGCTTCAGTTGCCTGCCTCACAGCCTGTTTTGTTTGTTTGTTTTCCTTATAGGTGCATTTATGTATGTACGTGTCTACACCCACTCAGTAGCGCCCTAGCAAAAACATCTGCGTAAGGGTCCTCACATTTTTGTCTGGCCTAGCCCGCTGAGTGGGCAGATTAAACTGTGCAAATGAATTATTATTATTAAACGTGATAGGACTTGTTTGGTTTACGGTCAACTGTTCAATCACAGCTGACTCACTCTGACGCTGTTGAGGCGCTCCTCTTCGTACTCCAGTATCGAAAGGTCTGTGCCAGACGTGTCGACGAATTGCTTTAGGTCCTCAGTGTCGTCGGTCGCGGGCTTGACGTCACGTTCGGACGGCTCGTCGACGCTCGCCGGCGTCGGCTCGGGCTCTTCCAGGTCAGGCACAGAATCGTCCTCAGAGAAACTATGCGGCAGCAGCCTGCTGTCCAACTCGAAGGTCTCGGCAGCTCCCAGGATCTCCTAGTTTAACGAAAGGAGGAATCAGGTACATGCAATCTAGTCAGAACCGCGCCCTGCTACTGCTTCAGACGGCAGAGGTATACGTACCGGCCATCGCCCGTCTTGTAGCCAGTACGGATCGTAGTGTAGCTTCCCCTTGCTGCTCTCCCGCAGAGCTTTTAAAACGGCCTCAGTCATAGTTGCTCTTTCCGCCGTTTCTTTATTTTTCTTCAGGCTTGGGAAGACGAGCCAGCGACGTCAACAAACATGTCGAAGGTGAGATTCTGGATCGAAGCCGGGAACTTAAGATTGCGGTGCGGCAATGGCGACGGCGGACCGAGAAAAGATTAAGGAGGGACGCCGGGAGCCTGGTCGCTTCGTTCGGGCTAAGTTTATCCAAAATACCTGCAATCGAAGAACTTAGCTCAAACGAAAAGAACAGTCACTGTCCCAAACTCTGAACGCCGTGAATATTTGGAACTGGATTGGATTGGATATCGGCCTATTAACTAGGTGAAAAAAGTGCTCATTTACAGTGTGGTCAGACTGCATCACATTATTATACAAATTTGGCATTCGAGTGTTTACACCGGAGAACCTGACCATCCGATGGCACGCAAAGCTGTATGCGCAACATACACACACGCAAAAAAAAAAAAAGAAAAGAAAAAAAAATGTAAATAAAATAAAAAATAGGACACAAGGAAGCAGCTGAGGATAAACATTACATTAAAGGCCCGACGTGCACTTCCAAACTTTCCAGTTTTGCCCACCTCCTTTCCTATATCCTCTCCACTTTTTACCTTGCTCCAACTGCTGCCCCCCCCCTCCCCCCCCCCCCCCCTCTCAGCTTAGGAGAAGGGAATGCTAAGAGGATCATATTCCCTGCAGAGCCGAGGTTGTACCTTCTGTCTACATCTTCAACCAGCTTCTTCTTTCTACATCTCGAGGCTAGTCACCATTACTTGCCATTCTCACTTCTTTCCTCCCCTGCGTTCCATTTCTCAACATAATGAAAGCGTGCTGGTAAAGAATTGCCCAGGAAGCCCCCAACAGCACTGTTCCCTCTCAAGTCGAATTTCCAACAGTAAGGCTCCATTCCAATATTACTCACACTGAGCAAAATCAAACTTACACGCACGTTGCAGCCCCAACTTTATACTGCCATTCTAGTAGCATCCTCAATCATCCGCTCCGGTGCGCACTGAACGTCCTCTATCAACGAAGCGCACCCTCCCGGTGCGGCTTTTCGTTGCCCCAATGCGCACCAAGGAAATCGACGGTGCATTGGGGTGCAGTCCCATCAGGCATTGAGGCCAGGAGTGGGAATCGAGAAGATGGCGGGAATAGCAGGTGTGCAACCTATCGAAACGGTGACCTTGCGAAAACGAACTCGCCTCGCAGCGGCACTTTATGAATTCCTCAGCTCTTCTGACAGCGAGGAAGACGAGCTTCTTACCATTGCCGCGATTACCGGTGATTGTTGCAGTGGCAAGGAGTGCCCGGAAGTTACGAGCTTTGTGGAAAGCATTGCGAGGCGTTTCGATGACACCAAGGTACGACTATTATCTGGTGGTACTCTACCTTGAACCAACAATGATGGGCAAAATATACCTGTGGAATTGTCAACCGCTTCCCGACCCCATCAACAATCACGTCCACAATGTTAATTTGCGTGGCACCACTAAATCTGCGAGTAAAAAAACAAGGAAAAATGAAAACGCACGGCAACATCTGGTGGCGCTTGCTGCGATGCATTGGCGCGGTGCAGTTGGTCCTCGACGTTGCACTGACTTTGTGCTGCTCAACCGGGGAGCGCTGTGCACTGTCCCGGTTTCAGGGCAATTCCGGAGCGTGTTGATTGAAGATGCTATAAGGCAATCATCCATACGAGAGCCATTTTGATAGGCATCAGAGCATTCCCTGTTGGCGACGTGCACGACCAAAAGCGGCAATGCGGTCGGCCTTCCAGGATTGGCTGAATGCTCCCTACAGTGTCTTAGGCATGATGAATTATCCTTTCACTAATGAAAATAAGAAGTAAGAGAGACTCAATTTCGACGATGTTGGTTCAGGGATGCGATTACTTCAAGCTTTCACCACGCTTTTTACACACATTATCAAAATTGTCGCCAGCCATTAATAATCAAGGTCGTGACCGACGTCGCAGATAGGAACCAAAGGAGGGGCCACCGAAACATCTCGTCGCCAATATGTCGTGAAAGTTGTGACTATTCCCTGCACCGCCATTGAGCGAACAGACCGGCGTTCCAAGGAAGACGAAACCGAGCTGGAGGCAAGTGGAAAAACTTTACAACTTTATTCTGCAAGGTACCAGAAGAGCGATTTGGCTGGACTGTGGGGGGCCATCAGGACAGGATGCCGTCGTCCAGGTCCTCCTCCCTGGGCTCTGGCTGGGAGACCACTTTGCGCAGCACCTTGGTGTACACGTCCTGCAGCGACTCTCTCGCCCCCGGGTCCAGCACCTCCAGGCACTCCTGCACGTCACACAAAGAGCACTGTTCTCCGCCTGCCCACATCGACTTCCATCTACGGTTTTCTACGGTCTCCGCCTGCACAAACTACGGTCCGCGTAATTTGTGTTCGAATTTGAATTTTTTTTTTCATCTAGTTTTTTTTTTTTTTTTTCGTTTTTGTTTACGACTTAATTTTATTATTTTCATCCAACACCTGCCGTTCCCTCCGTCACATTAGAATTTAAATATCATTTACCCTACCAGACCATCTGTGCTCGTACTTGGTAGCTATAGCATCCGACTGCCACCGAGCTGATCAAGGTTTGAAGCCCGCCGGGGATCAAACATTATAAGCCTCATAAATAATCTCAAGTTCTCAACGTCCGTAACGATCCCAGCGTGTCACTCATTCGTGACGCTCGTTATAAGACGCTCAATCCTGATGATTTTCTCAAAGCAAACAACTAATAAAACATCTTTTGTGTTAAAAAGAGAGGGTGCTGCGGCACTCACGTCCAGTCCCTGGGTGGAGGTGCGCAGCCGGAGCAGGGACACGAGGGCGTACTCGCTGTTGGCCCGCACCATCGAGTTCTTTTCTTTGGTGCCATTGACCAGCTGCGGCACGAGGCTGCGCAGCAGCTGGGACGACGCCAGGCCCCGGCCAGGTTCCTGGGTGCCCCGGGAGAGCCACTGGACCGACTGGGCCACCAGCTGCTTCACCTCGTTGTTGGCGTGGTTCAGGCACTGCAATGCCATTGCCACCACGGGTGGGAGTCAACCGACACTCTTTAGCTCCCAAAGGAATGCCGTTATCGGAGGGGAGTCAACCGATACTCTTCTAGCTCCCAAAGGAATGCCGTTCTCGGAGGGGAGTCAACCGACACTCTTCTAGCTCCCAAAAGAATGCCGTTATTGGGGGGAGTCAACCAACACTTTTCCAGCTCCCAAAGGAATGCCGTTATTGGAGGGGAGTCAACCGATACTCTTCTAGCTCCCAAAGGAACGCCGTTATCGGGGGGCAGTCAACCGATACTCTTCTAGCTCCCAAAGGAATGCCGTTATCGGAGGGGAGTCAACCGATACTCTTCTAGCTCCCAAAGGAATGCCGTTATCGGGGGGAGTCAACCGACACTCTTCTAGCTCCCAAAGGAATGCCGTTATCGGGGGGAGTCAACCGACACTTTTCTAGCTCCCAAAGGAATGCCGTTATTGGAGGGGAGTCAACCGATACTCTTCTAGCTCCCAAAGGAATGCCGTTCTCGGGAAGGGGGGGGGGGAGTCAACCGACACTCTTCTAGCTACCAAAAGAATGCCGTTATCGGGGGGAGTCAATCGACACTCTTCTAGCTACCAAAGGAATGCCGTTATCGGGGGTGGAGTCAACCGATACTCTTTTAGCTCCCAAAGGAATGCCGTTATCGGGGGGGGAGTCAACCGACACTCTTCTAGCTACTAAAGGAATGCCGTTATCGGGGGGGGGGGGGGGGGGGAGGGGGAGTCAACCGACACTCTTCTAGCTACCAAAGGAATGCCGTTATCGGTGGGGAGGCAACCGATACTCTTCTAGCTCCCAAAGGAATGCCATTATCGGGGGGGGGGGGGAGTCCACCGACACTCTTCTATCTACCAAAGGAATGCCGTTATCGGGGGGAGTCAATGGACACTCTTCAGCTCTCATAGGAATGCCTTTATGAGGGGGGGGGAGTCAACCGACACTCTTCTAGCTACCAAAGGAATGCCGTTATCGGGGTGGGGGAGTCAACCGATACTCTTCTAGCTCCCAAAGAATTGCCGTTATCGGGGGGGGGGGGAGTCAACCGACACTCTTCTAGCTACCAAAGGAATGCAGTTATCGGAGGGAAGTCAACCGATACTCCTTTAGCTCCCAAAGGAATGCCGTTATCGGGGGGGGGGGGGGAATCAATTGACACATTTCTAGCTACCAAAGGAATGCCGTTATCGGGGGGGAGTCAACCGACACTCTTCTAGCTCCCAAAGGAATGCCGTTATCGGAGGGGAGTCAACCAACACTCTTCTAGTTCCCAAAGGAATGCCGTTATCGGGGGGGGGGGGGGGGGTCACCCCGACACTCTTCTAGCTCCCAAAGGAATGCTGTTATCGGGGGGGGGGGGGGGGGGGAGTCAATGGACACTCTTTAGCTCTCATAGGAATGTCATTACTATGGGAGGTCTCAACTCACACTCTTCTAGCTCTCAAAGGAATGACAGTGACACAATGAGAGTCAACTGACCCTCTTCTAACTCCAAAAGAATGCCATGACCACTAGGAAAGCCAATGACTTTTCTGGCTCCCCAAAGAATGCAATTACTACAGCAGGGAGTCAACTGGCACCCTTTTAGCTCCAATCAAGAGTCTGGTGCGAATAGCAAAGAATGGGATCCAGGGGTAGGCCACACTGCAGGTGGGGTGCATTGCACGTTCCGTGTTGCATCTTCAGTCGAAACACCCAAGTTCTCGCATGGACCTAGCAAGATTTTTGTGATACAAAGGACTGCAGAAATCTTGCGGTGTGATGCTGTATTACAACTGTTTCAACATTTCTTAGGCAGTACTCTGCTAACAGGAAACTGAGTTTTCTGCCCTCTCTCGCAGACATGTCGCATCACAGTGCACGAAAATGGAGCAGTTACCTTGGCAAAAGTGGTGAGCAGGAGCTGCGGCACCTCTTCATTGTTGGCGAGCGCATGGTGCAGGAAATAACTGGTGCCACGCACTCCCCCAATCACAATTGGCACCTGTGAAGACAAGGACAAGAATAGTCTACTTCACACATGTCATTCAATCATTTAGGTGACTCAGGTAGTCACTAATGCACTGTAACAGTCAAGAATTAGACCAGCTTGTATACATTGTACATGAGAGAAATTAGAAAGCGCCAGTCTCGTTGCTTCTGATGAAGTGCTGTTTTTAGGAGGCTTGGCCTGTCTCGACAGAAATTAATTCTCCGTTTAAGTAAAATACAGAGGACCCAACAAAACAGCTTTTTCGAACAAAGCAACGCAACAGTAGTGGGCAGCGATGCAAGAAATCAAATAGGAATGCAACTTTCGAGGTCCACGACTCAAGCCGAAGAGGGGTGCCCCACTGGAGAACTAAAGAACTAAAGATGAACCGAGACCAGCAGGAGGACTTTAATATGCAACTGGAATTGGAGCTATATGGCACCTGTAATTGAAATTGCACATTCGAAATGGGCTATGCTTTAAAATTGGAATTTCATTATTTTACTTGTATGTATGCGGCACACCAGGTGAATGGAACCCCTACCATTTCTGCATATTAAATGAGTCTCGCAATGACCACCAAACAAAATGGGTGTCTCTCACTTTCCTGGTTATTTCGCCCCACTGCAGCACCAACTTCACTTAGACGGCTAAGCGTGCAGGAAATGACCCCAAGAAGCTGTCTTCTGAGATTGCCCTCCCTTTACTTTCCCAATGCCATCTCTGCAGGCCACTTGCCCTTAAACTTTTTGCCATTGATATGCCCACACAAAGTAAGCACTTAACCATTCAGGTGGTGCTAAGAAGTGTAAGGGAAAGATGTAGGAAGGACAAGACGTATGCACATGGTATCCGTCCTCTCCCTAGGTTATGCTTCCTTCCCCTTGTCTGTTAAAGCTCAGTAAAGGGACCAGGGAGCTGGTGACCAGGGTCAAATGATCCTTCTTTCCTACATGCTAATATCTCGTCGAAAAAACAATTGGTTCCCCGCGTCACTTCCTTTCATTGGTTGCCGCATTTTTGTTCATTTCCCCTCCACTACTTCCGAGGCCAACGATCCTTTTGAGTTCAAGCTCCAGCAACATCTAATAAGCAAATCATGCATTGCAGAAATATATTTCTTTTCTCAGTTTACTTCGTTAACGGATGGGAAAGCCCGGTCGGGGAAGAATGGGTAATTAAAGAAGAAACTAACGCAAGCCCCGTAAACACACTTTTCACGAAAGCGCCAACCATGGCAAACAAAAGCCGATGCCTGCTCCATGCCTTACGAGTGCCAAGCGTCTGTTCCGCACACCAGTTGGCCAAATGACAAACGTTGTTTCGGGGTCCGAGACTAGGCGCGGACCGTGTGCGCAGCGAGACGTGAGGCTGGCCACCCACCCTGTCTGCAGTCATGTACTTGACAAGGGTCTTGACGACACGCTCCCTCCACTCCTCGGTGAGGATCCGCTCGGGGGCCTGCTTGAGGGCCACCGAGAGCGTCACGCTGCAGCCGTGCCGCAGCGTCCAGTCCTCGCTCGGGTCGTCGTCTGTCCGGAAACGCAGCATCGTTGCAGACGGTGAGCGACGGAGCGGGGGAACACCGACAGAACCAAAGGCAAACTTGCGCCAAAGCAAAACAAGGGATGGTGTGTCCCCGCAAGAAATAATAATAAAGTTGCTAAAAAAATACAACAACAAACAAACAAACACGGCGCATAGCCAAGCGCTCCTTTTTTGCCCAAAATGTAGTGCTAGCGGTTCAAACCAGATGCTAAAACTTTGGGACTAACCATTATCTCATTCAAAAGTTACGATTTTCTGAAAGCTTCGATGGGAAAATGGGGCACATTCTCAGCAGCTGGCGCTATTCGGCTCCACGCATTCAAAGGCTCTGTCGGCCGCCAGATTTCCACCGAAAATTTCAGAAGATGTCGTAACTTCTGAATGAGACGACGGTTAGTTCCGAAACTTTGGCATCTGGGTCCGACCGCTAGCGCTACATTTGGATGGAGAGTAAGCGTTCGGCAATGTGTAGTTTACTTTGTGCAATGAGAAAACACCGTAAATATTTTTTGGGGGAGGGACATCCCATACAGTCGGCTCGTTCGATTTATACCTGCCTCTCCTGCATCAGCTGCACTCCGTGCAGATTGCCATATTCGATTTACGAGCGTAGCCTATCTGAAAACACAACCGAAAGCACTACATTGCCCCACACTTTTCTGGTGCAGGTAAATCTAAGAGACCCAATAACTGGCGTCACAGGTGTCAATCTTGGCACGATGACAGGATCTAATGCCGGTGGAAGGTTGACCCAATGCACCGCGCTATACCCAGCATGAACTATTGTATGCTACGTTGGGAAGGCTAGCGTGGCTTCCGCAGCACTCCGAATTCGTCAAAGCTAGTTGAGAGAGCACACGCGAATGAGACGCAAGACGAAGCCACCTGCTCACGCAGCAGTGCGGAGCTACAGCGCTGTAAAAACTGCGCTAGCCTCGACAACGTACACAACAGGGAATAGTCAATGCCACATACTTTTACATACTTCTATGTTCTGAAAAGGTTTAAAGCAGAACACGCAATAAGTGCCGAGAATGAACTGCAACTTTCCGAAAGAGCAACGAGCGCCAAGGTAAAAAAAAAAAAAAACTAAGTCGTTTGGGTTGGAAATTCAATCTCCCCTGTGGAAGTCAAATGCACTTCGGTTCGAGTTTATTTTTCCCAAGGTTGTTTGCCCGTGTTACCGTGTTCTTGTTGCTACGCCATTTGGAAAGCGTCTCCAGCTGGTGTGTTTAGCGTCCTATCCACCCATGCATCCAAAGCCGTCCCCAAGTGGCAACGGCAGGAGCGTCACGCCGTCAAATGTTGTGATACAAACAATTAACCGTAAAAATTCCGTAAAAAAAAAGAGAGAGATACATAATGCGAGTGTTGTTGTCGTTGCAGCATCCCAATTCCTGGCTGGCAAAGGTTCTGTGGACTGTCAAGCAGGGGCAGATTCATGGATCAAGCCGGTGAAGCGACAAGGGGGAGGGGGGGTCCGCGGAGAGATGACGCCACTGCCGATACGTTGCCCAGATCTATTTTGTTGACCTAATATTTGCTATGTCACCAGAAACTAAACCTTTCTTCTTAAAAAAAAAAAAGCTGGCCTGCATTGATTTTTTAATTTAAAAAACTTGACCTTGGAAGGGGGGGGGGGGGGGGCTTGGGGGAGGGGGGTGGTTGTCAATCCACTCATGCTATCAAACTGGGGTGCAACCTGCAGCAGAAGGGGTGTCCACCACGTCCACCACCGCTGCTGCGACACCGCGGGGATCACGGCCAATGACATGACATATCTACGACACCGCTGGGTGGAACCACTTTATGGGACGCGGTAAATGCGCCCGTCGGAGACGTTTCCCAGGCACCGTAGGTTCAACTAGAGAAACTAAATAAGCTACGCTTCAGAGTAACGACACATACCCATCTTGGGGCTTAAAATCATTATTGCCAGTTGTCTGAAGCTTTACCTGAAATCATCGAAAACGCTTTTTCGTCCCCCACTTAGACAGTTCGCGACAGGACAAAGCAATATTACCCAAACTTCCTAACACCAAAACTAGCGCCGAGGAAGTCGCACCTTTGAATCGTGACGATCGGCAGTTGCGTCTGCTCTGCGCAAGCACCGAGATGGTGGCGTTTGCAACGATATCGGGGAACGGAGTGCCGATACTCTAAGCGTAGCTAATTTCGTCGCTCTAAATTCAAGCTCCCGTGGCGCCCTGGGCATAAAAACTGGTCCATAAAGACGTTCCGCTTTTAAGCGTTGCCAAGTTTCGAGGGGGCGGGGTCGACCCACTGAGGAGGTAGTCCCTGGCGAAGGCGGCCAGCTCGTCTGGGGGCAGCCAGCGGCAGAGCGAGCCCAGGCAGCCCGCAGCGGCCGTGCGGCAGCCGTCCTCCGAGCTGCTCAGGTACGAGGACACCGTGATGGTCACGCTGCGCCGCATCAGGTCCGACATCTTGTTGCCCGCTGCCGCCACCACTCGGTGCAGTGCATACAGCATCGTCTCTCTGGAAGGGGTGGAAGAAGGTCGCTCGTTACGGTATAAACTCCTTACAGCAGACCTTAACGGTGATGGAGATTTTGGTCCGTCGTAAGAGGAAATGCAGATTACAGACTTTGAGATGGATTATGACTTGAGTCTACTCTAAGCAGTGAGACTGACAAAATGTGGATGGATATTAGAAAACAGCCGGCTTACTGAAACTTACAAATTTCGAAAAGGTGTTGAATTTTATCGAGCTGTACCGACGATCGTCGTCACTGAGCGCTTTGGGCCGTATGAGGCTCGCCAGGCGTCAAGCACGACGACAGTACTAGTTTGCAATATGCATGCCATTGCTAGCAAATCAAAGCCACGCAATGTCCGAAATAAAGACTGCCGTCGAAGAGCATAATGGAATGGTGAACTATTTACAAACTGATATAGTCAATTACATCCAAATGTATATTATAACAAAATCTGTAATAAGCGAAGTTGGCTTTAAAAAGCAGTAGCGTCGCTGGGGAGCGGAGGGAGGGGGGGAGGTGTTGCGATGGGCCACGGTGGAGATGGGTGTCGCGGCAGGCCATTGGACCGGGTGCCGCTGGCCCTAGTGACACCACTGCTAGGAAGGCCAACTAAACTTCACAAATCAGTATGTTGTAACCGAATGTCTGCTGCAGCCAGATCTGTTTTAATGAGGTTACACGGTAGCGACACGGGTTGGGTTCAGACACCCCACTTCGGACAAGCTGTGAAGGATAATCTCGCTCTTCATTCTCTCAACTCCTTCACATGCTCACACACTGCACTCTTTTCCTGGTATACTTTCTTCTCCCCTATTCCCCATTTCCCTACAAATCTCCCCACAATTTCCCTACAACTAGGGAAGCTACAAACTTCCCTAGTGCCATGATCCTTAGAGTCCCCCCTAATGCATCCTGTCAAGGCCTCATGCTGCCTGGACCCTCACACACCCATATATTCCCAGGTACAGGCTTTCCTATTAACGCTGTCACATGTTCAATATGTTTCTGAAGCTACCGTACACGGCGTCTTCATTCGAGGATTGCTATGTCTTCCGAATTTTCACAACCTGAAAGGGTGCTGCGCTGCTACATTCAAAGCAGCTACGGTTGAATGGAACAGTCCTAACTTGTGGCACAGTGCTCTTTCTGTGCTTAATAAAACAAACTCATACTAAAAAACAAAAAAAACATTGCATTAATTTTTTTTGCATTGATACCTTTTCAAGGACAACTTTACTACGCTCAAAGAGGAAATTTATTATCTGCAACGTCAACCGATCGGCAGAGTTCCAGTTGTCGCTGGTTCACCTCCTGGATCTATATACCGTAATATCCCGAGTCATCGCCCACCCCCCTACCGCCTGAAATTCATTAAAAAAGTGGGGTGGGCCATGTCTTGGTGGGTGAGCACAAACACTTGAAAAAAAGCGGAAAAAACCGCCTATTCTTCTCTGCGTATCTAGCGCTGATGCACAAGAGATACATCAAACTCAAAACTCGATTTAGTTTCCTTGTTTTATAGAAAAAAATGCTCACGAAAGAATATTTTACTATAGCGAAGACTGTTGCCTGCATACGCGCTAGAAACACCGCCGATCTGCATATAGCGCGAACGTTTGTTCCGTGAAAGAATGTCACCACTACGTTCTCCTAGTTAGTAAAAAAAAAGAAAGAAAAGTCTACAAGAAAATAGAAAAAACCGACCAGGCGCAACGAGCGAGCGGACCAAAGAAGCGACCAAGAGCAATGCTGGGAAAGCGGGAAAGCCGGCGGTCGCCTTGGCAAATACTTTGGCGTCGGGCCAAGTCGGGCGCCTTGTCAATCGCAAGCTCTTGCGCAACTTTCTTGTTTGGTGCGTACATACGTGGGTCCGTGCACGGCGGGCTATCAATGCACCGTTGGGACGCTCTGCAAACGTCTGTGTAGGGCGCTCCAGCAAAGCTTTATTTACGCGTTGGCTTTGCCTAAAATATTGCACAACCGCGGTCGCGACGGGCGGGAAGAAGGAGCGGGTTTGCGGTGACCTTACTTCGGGGGAGACAGACTTTAACCTAACACTCCGCGGTTACATTAACAAACTCTTATTTTGTTATCTCTATCGTTTTCTTTTCGCACGGATACACGACCACTTTGGGGTCGCTCACGGAGGAAATGCGTAAACAAAAAGAAGTGTCTTTCCCTCCTTCGTTTTACTTTGTCACGGACGTCCTCCAACTGTAAGGTCCGCGGCCGCGTCATTCGGGTAGGATGAGTGTTTGCGGATCGCGGAGTCCGCGCTGGGGTATTTGAAGAGGTGGGCGATGACTCGGTGTTTTTTCGGAAATCGATATTGGCCCAAAAAATAGGGTGGGCGATGGCTCGGGGATGGGCGATGACTCGGGATATTACGGTAGTTCAATTCCAGTGTGCTACAACCTAAGCTTTCGTCTGTCGAGTGGCATTTTGCATAATTAATGGATAAACCAATTGGGTTAAAATAATTACTGCGGCACCCCAAAGCAACTGTCTGCTGTCCTGGTCACAGATCTACGCAAGTTTGGGTCTAGGACAACACGAAACCGCGGCCCCCGATGGATCCACCACTCCCTTAGAAAGGGGAAAACAAAACAAAAACCATCTGGTCCTGAAGGGTAACAAGCAACGGGAAGGTGCCAGAGACGGCAGAGGATGGGGGATGTGAACGTGCGTTCACCTGACGGCCACGTCGTCCTGGCTCTTGACAGAGTTGTGCAGCTCCTGGAACACCGGGTCGCACCGGGTGTGGATGACGATCAGGTGGCTCAGGGCTACCGAGGCCTTGAGCCGCACCTGCCGGTTGCCGTCGTTCAGGGCTTTCAGGAACGTCGTCTGCAGCTGGGGCAGGAAGGGCTTCAGCTGCACCCCGACCTGTGAGCAGAGGAGGGAGGGGCCCGTCGCAGAGGGGAGTTCTTGGAGCAAAAAACTTCCTCAGAGGAAGTATAGTCCAAGAACCAGCAACAATACTCCCTTTGAGGGAGTATCGTCGAGGGCCCAGCATGCAATGCTCACTCAGAGGTAATATTGTCCAGGGTGCAAAATACTCCCTAAGAGGGAGTAAATCCAAAATCCGAAGCACAATATTCCCTTGGAGGAAGTACAATCAAGGACCCCGGGACAATACTCCCTTAGAGGAGGTATTGTCCAGGACTTGGACTTAGCACACAGCATTTTCTAAAGGGAAGTATCATCCAAGTACTTGTGCACAATGCTCCCTTAGATTGTTGCAGGAATGACAGTCCACCAATGCACTGGAAATCAAGCTGTTTAATCATGTGCTCGCCAAAGCATCAGCACTTTGCGTGGTGCTTGCGCTCCAAGCTAAAAAAGAAAGGTAAATAAAAAAATCTTTCAGCCTTTCCACTCTGGTGAAGAAGGAAAACCAGCGAAGTTGTACTATGGTGGGACGACCTCAAAGACAACGCCTAGAGGACAATGTCTAGGACAACCTCAAGGACGACGTCTAGGATGACCTCAAGGACGTCTTATAGGACGACGCCTAGAGAAATTCAGCCTTTCCATTCTGGTGAAAACCAAAGTGGAAAGGCTGGAAAGGTAGCCACCATCTATGAGCAACGGTGGCAATCAGACAATTGGCAGCCGGTTGTCTAGTTGCCGCCGTCGCTCATAGATGGTGGTAGCTGTCCAGAGTTTTGTGTCGACCCTTATCTGGTGACGGACAGGAAACTGGGGAAACTAGCCCTTAACAGCTCCTCTGTAAAAAAAGAAGGCTCGAGGTACACCTAAGCACTTATTATGAGTTGTGAATGCAAAAGCATGCATGTCATTCTTTCGTTCTCTTATTTCGTCTGCAGTGTATTCGCGCCGACGGCAGAGCGCGCCCTCTTCTCGCCGCTCTGACCTTGGACGTTTCGTGTTACCGGCGCGCTGATAGGGTGGCGGTCGTTGAAACTGACGCGCAGCAGACAATGGGACTAAAGTCGAAGTCCATCAGCTTCACTCCGCTCCTTTGGGATCACGGAAGCTAAATGCCGTTTGGCTATGCTTTTCGTGTGGTTTCATAGCTGGCAGCTGGCTTCACTTGGACAAAGGATTTCAGGTGCCGTTTGGCGCAGCTTTGAAGCTGATGACGTCTACTCGCTCCACAGGACAGTTAATGCCTTCGCATTAATAACGACGTTCATAGGCTAGCACGGGCCACTACAAGTATCATCCAGGACCCAGCGTGCAATATTTCCCAATAGGGAGTGACATTACTCCCCCCAGGGAGCGTCATCGTCCCCGGAGCATCTCCGTTGAAAAACACCCCATCACCTTGGCCAGGAGGAGTGCCAGCGTCTCGAGGACGGCCACCTTGACCCCGAAGCTGAAGCGGTCGCCCAGGATGCGGATCAGCGGGCCTGTGATGCTGATCACAGACTGCTTTAGGGAGGCGGGGTCCGTCAGCCGGATCACCTCCCCGAGGCCCTGGGCTGCCTGCTCCTTCAGCTCAGGCACACCAATCAGGATTGCCTCGCGGAAGATCGGCAGGATCGGCGAGATGCCCTGGATGCGCCGTCGTCGATCACGTTGGTGGTTAGTTTGAAGGCAGAACGGGAAACACAACTCAAAGTCTGACCCACGGCCATTTTCCTCAGTTTCTAACTTAGAGGGAGTCTCTCGTTGTCCGAGACTTCACACGTGCAAACACGGCAGAGCTTCTGTCGTATATTAAAATCCCTTTTCCCCTGGTCTGGTAAAAACAAAAATTGGCATTTTACAGAAGTCAGGTCACCCTGACAGTTATAAAAACTAGGGATGTCGCGAACCACCCTAGGTTCGATTTCGAAAGGTTTCGATATTTGCGAAGCGAACTGAGGTTCGATTTCGAAAAATTTCGATATTTTCGTACCGACCGAGGTTCGATTTCGAAAAATTCGCAACTTTTGACCACAGCGGAGTTTCGAATTCGAAAATTTCGAAGCTTTCACGGTTTCTAAAACTTCGAATTCGAATATTTCGAATATTTTTTTACTTCAGGTTCGATAAATTCGAAGATTTCGAAATTCTTTGTAAAAAAAATTCGAAAACTTCAAAAGCTTCGAATTTTTATAGACATGAAGTTCGAACAATTCGAAGATTTCGAATTTCTTTCTGCATAAAGTTCGAAAAGTTCGAAGATTTCGATTCAATTTTAACGCTAAATTAAAAAAAAAAAAAAAAAAAAAAAACTTTGAGGATTTTCAATTTCTTTCTAATCCAAGTTTTCAACGTTCGAAGTCCGATTTTCAAGTTTTTCCACAGTTTCAGTTTCAAATAACTTTTTCACGACTCACTTGTTTTCACAAAATCAAGTTTAGAAAAGTGAGGGTGTGATATCTAGATTCTGCGAAGTTGGTCAGGCAATCAAATGAGACGACGAGTGTCCCGGATGTGCTAGAATATTTGCCAGTGCAGAATTGTGACCGCCAGCCCCGGGGGGGGGGGGGGGGGGGTCTTTAACCTGCATCACGCACTAGTGATTGCACGAACACTCTGTTTTACGAGACTCATCCAGTTCGAAACGGCCAGGGGCGAGCAGGAGGTTGAGGCTCAGAAAAACCTTGAAGCGACCTGGCAAACTAGCTCGCCACTCCTTGCACGCTGGTAGTAATCCGATCCCGTGAAGTTTGTAATTGTCCTGGAGGTTTATTTTCTGGGACGGAGGAATCGCCTCGCAAAAAGCACAAAAGCCGACACAACTCGAGGTCGAGGAGCGTTCTACCATACAAGTGGCGTCGGAAGAGGAAGAACGGGGGGAAAGAGGGTAGCGGGGGGGGGGGGGGGGGGGGGGGGGAGGGAGGGGGGGAGGCTTCAGCCTCCTTCTCCCCCTTGCAGGTATTTCGGACTGTTAAAGAAAACAATACGGGGAAAGAGGGCGTGGTCGAGCTTATTTTAATCTGAAATTATTTATGCATATGTATAGCTACTGTCGCTCTTCACTGCATAAAGGGTTGCGTAGATGGTCATTGTTAGAAACTCGTTGTCAGAAGGCACTGCTCGTCACATGCTTAGTGGTTCGGAAGTTCAAAGCTGTCTTTTCGACATAAACACCTGTGCCAATAGCAAAAAAAAAAAAAAAAAAAAAAAAATTAAATGCGGGAATAAAAAGCAGGAGAAAAAAAAAACTATCAAGAATTCGTCGGAAGTGTTCTATTCTTGCATTTGCATATTCAGAGGTTCAGAACTTCGAAACAAGTTTCTTTTACCAAAATGTGTACAGGCTAAAAGAAACACGTCCCAGAAATGTGAAGCGAAAAAAAAAAAAAAAGTTTTCTTTTAATGACGTGCTGAACTTGAACACTATTAGAAATCTTCTCCCATGAGTTAATTTATTCCTTAACATGAAAAAACAAAAAAATATATTATTTTGTATTCTGCAGATGGCAACGATATGTACTGTCTGTGGTGTTAATTTAAATGCGATACCTCAAACAACTTAGACGAAAATAAATATCAAGTTTAGGTCATAATTGCATGCAGATACATGTTTGGACATTTCTTCGAAACTCACGTTGAATAACAATAATCACATCTTAAGACGGCACTTACCTAGGCTATACATAGAACATTCTTAAAAAAAGTATAACATATCTACCATAAATAGCTCCGGCTGCAGCGTGCTTCAAATCTGGCACAAACGATAATCGTCAAAAACCCGTCGTCCTTCCTCGCCCCTTCGGGGATTTATTTCTTTAAACCTAAGCATGCCAGAACATTGAAATAAACGACATTGTCTTTCGTAAGGAACGCAGCACCGCCTGTAAAAGTTCGAGAAAAAAAAAATTACGAATGTACCCCACTACTTGAAATCAAATGAAACCGTCCGCCGGTCTTTCGAAGTTCGACGAACGTCGAACTTTTACCCTAAAAGGTCGAAGTTCGTCGAACTTCTGACTTTTCAGAATTCGAAAGTTCGAAACTTTTCGAATTCTCTTGATAAATAAGTTCGAAAGTTCGAAATTCATCGAATTTTTTGGTCAGTCAAGTTCGAAAGTTCGACAAGCATCGAACCTTGCAGCGCAATAAATTCGAAAGTTCGAAAAAGATCGAATTTTTTAGCGTAATAAGTTCGACGGTTCGAAAAGCGTCGAACTTCTTAGCTTAACAAGTTCGAAAATTCGACCTCCGTCGAATTTTACGATATAGACAATTCGAAAAATCGAAATCTTTCGAATCTTTCGAACCGCTTGATTCGATCATCGAAACTTCGATTCGAAAAAAGTTCGCGGCATCCCTGATAAAAACTATGCACCATAAAATACCGCGGAAGCGTCCACTATTAACATTTCCCAAACTTGGGAATCCTGCCAATTATATATTAAGCGCCCGATTTGACGGACAAGCGCCCATGTCTAGATTAACCCAGTTTTCAGTAAAAGTGGGTTGGGCGCTCCCCCGGTATTTTACGGTAATTGGTAACGATCGGCTATCAGACAGAAACAGGTGACGAGACTATGTGATGCAGCCCGTTATGCAGAAAAGGTGGGAAACAGAAAATGCCGCCCTTTGGATTCCTCCAAAAGTTAAAAAATCCCGATCGATTCTCACTCCAGACAAGGCATGTGCAAAAAGTTTATTTTGCGTTCGAAGCGAACGGAGGTTTCAGCCTAATATTTTAGAATAAAATATAAAATAGCTTCTCCAAGCCTTTCACTACCGTGCAAGGTTGTTCCAAACCTTCACCTTGTCTGCTTCTAAGCTCAGCTGATTTTCTAAGCTCAGCTGTGGCACGTAAACGACAGATCTGTCCCAGCTATCCTAATCAAGGGGTTTATAAACCTGCTTGCTATACGCAAAAATTTTCTTCAATTTTAAATTTGACAAAAGAGAAAGCAAGCACAAACATACTAACATACTACTGCATAATCACGTCGGTTAGCCCAAATAAGTGTGCGTCTCACCGAGCAAATGTGCAATGTGGGAAAGCAATAAAGCAAAGTCTGCGAGCTCCGCGGGGTATTGCCTCCCCGCAGTGAACAGGTGCTCGGTGAGAAACTCACTCAATGGTGCTAATCCGCCACAATCAACACATAGAAAAGTATGAATACTGCAGTTCATCTCGAAGCGAATATTGAATAGCGTGAATATTGAATAGCGTATTATTCGAAACTACTACAGTGGAACCTTGATTATGCATCTCCGGTTTATGCGACATCCCACATTTCACGACGAATTTGCCCAGTACCGATGGACTCCTCATAGAAATAATGTATTAAAAATTTGGTTTACATGACGCACGATTCCTCGCGTCATACAATGTTCTGGTGGTAGGGCTGGCGGCGGCGCAACAACAGGAAAGAGTTCTGCGCGCCGTTTCAGAGGGTCCAAAAACACGCCGCTGGCAACCCAAGACAGCCGCAGTGCCAGGAGGGAGCAGAAGACAGCGCTTTCCCTTCTCCTCCCCGGGTTGTGAAATGCCTCGGCGTTTTCGCTTTGCGTCCTTGCTCCGCTCATCCCATCGTTCTCTTGTCTCTCATTTACCTTTGCTCTCCTCTGCGCGCCACTTTCTCCAACTCATTGCTTCTCCCCAGATCGAGCACGCTTCCGCTGGTTCCTGCTTTCAAAAAGCGTGAAAAGCGACAAGGATCCCATCGTCGCGATTGTGCATGCAGGCAAAGAATGTCTCGCAAACGGACATCTGCTTCCAGAGCTTGCCGCCTTCAAAAGGAGGCTGATGTTGCACGACCGAAAGAAAGTCCAGCAGGCAATTACTGATTTCTTTTGGGGTGAGAACAAAGTTACTCGCGCCTTTACCGCCACAATTCTACGGTTTCGCTTCAATTTGTTTTGACGGTTTTTGCTTCGTCAAAGTAGAGCAGATTATTAGCTTAGACACAATTTAAAACCTCCGCTTGTCTTTTTCGTGCGAGGCTGATCACTGTATCTGTAATTATCGTTTTTTCAAATGATACAACTCACGGACTATACAACAATTTTGCGCGGTTCCGCAAAAGTTGTATAATCGGGGTTCCACTGTATTCGAAAATTAGAATATTCGCACAACCCTATTCCGGACTAATTACCTCCTCATTTGTATGAGAGCTAGTAGGCATGCCAAAAATGAATAAAATGTAGCTCAAAGGGCTAGAGTTACGAATGTAACGGAAGGTAAGGTGCCAAAAATAACAGTCCTTTAGAAAGGTTAATGTTTGTTTCGAATGTATGTCCTGCCAACTGGTGAGCATGACTTAGAAAAATCATGCAACTGTGATGCCCCTCGTATGAAAACGTACCAAGACGAAGCAAGAAGGCAAATTAATAGGGCATTTCGTAGTAATCCATTCAAAACGCAGTCGAGGAAGCCCATCCCACCTTTTCCTGGCAGAAGCCCGGCAAGTGTTCCTGTCCCTTGAGATCGCTGACTGCAAAACGGATGGCTTGCCTCACGTCCGCAACATACTCTATCTGCTGGTTCGTGTCCAGGGTCTGCACAGATGGGAAAAAGTAAGGTCACTTGAAAAGCAATCCAAAAACAAGACTCTAGTCATCTAGTTATAGCAGCCATGTAGAATCATCGGAAACATGAGGCCATCCGACCTGTCTACGAACAGTTTGCACGACAACCAGAGCACCTGGTTGGCGGCAGGGGCATGGCTGCAACCGATGGGCTTACTGCGTCCTCAAAAGTGGTCTCTCGATTTCTGCCCGACAGCGTTGCAGGCGTCGAGAGACCATTTCTTAGGACGCGGTAAATGCACCGGTCGGAGGAGCCGTTCTGAGCACCGAACTACAGGCGCCTCACCTTTGTGACGGCGGCCAGGGCCTCCCCGGCCAGCTGGAGCACGTGCCGGTCCGTGTCCGTGAAGAGGCGGAGCAGCTCCCTCAGCAGCTGGGGCACGTGTGGCCCCAGGGGTGCCTTGGTGTGGGAGCAGAAGGCGCACAGCAGGGCCACCGCCCCCCGCCGCTGCGCCCGCTGACGGGCCCCCTCCAGCAGCTGCTCCACCACCGTGCGCACTCCGGCCTCGTCCCCCACCGACAGCACCACCGCCTGGCAGTACTCCAGCTCCTGTGCATTGACGGCGCAGATGATTGCAACGACCGTCTCAAGAGTTCTTTCGTCTCAAACCGAGGCGGTAAAGACAGGAGCGGGACATGGCAAATTGTAAGCGTCGACGTCGGTGGTCTTGAGAGAAAAAACTAGGAAGAGGGTAACAGAAAAGTGGGGAAAGAAAACAGACCATACGTTAGCTGCGTTCGTATCGCACCGACGAGTTGAAGTTGTTTGAATGCTCGTCAGCTTTATATTATTCTTATAAGACACGCGACACTGGTGTTTTCGTGCAAAATAAAGCTAGAAAAATACTAGGAACTGATCCTGCAAGTTATGTTTCCTCGCTTCTGTGCACATAGACGTGTCGCCGGCGATATGGTCTTGCCGGTACCGCCGATGTCCGCGTCTGTGCCCCGCCATTCCGAAGAGACCGAAATGCGTGGGAACTTTCCCTCCAGATTATTATGTTACCTCTAAGCTCAAAACATTGCAAATTGGAGTGATTAGAATGTTTATTAGTGCGATGACAAGTCAGTCTTATGGAAACACAGGCTCGAGGCTGTTAGAGGATAAACTAAGCTGTGCCAGTAGGACTGCTGACTTCAGTCTTTAGCACGCATCACACAGAAGGCTCGAAGTGTACCTTTACACGTTTTGGCGCTCGTGAAAGATGTGCCCAATTACATTCACTCTCCGGCCAGACAACTGCAACTCATTGCTTCACCGAACTGTCAATGTAAATGTCACTCATGAGCGTACTGAAGCTACTAGCTTCTTCTTTCATAAGCTATATAAATACAGCTTGAGAAGGAAGTCCATAGTTCAATCTGAATGATTCTGAACTTATGCATTTCCCGAATTTCTATACGGATACAAAAAAAAAAAATTAAGCGCCAACAATGACGTGACAAATCCTCACTGCCTCATCACCGGCTAGATTCCTTCGGAAGACAGGATGTGAATTTGTTCATAAACAAAGAGGTTGTGCAGAACTGAGTAAACAGTGTCAAAAAACCGGATTGTCGAAAAATGTGGCAAACCATAGCAAAATGTACCGTATTTCGGTGCAGCAATTGTGAACGAGTAGAGACCTTGGTATTGTACAAACCAAAAAGTCCGGCTACGCTTAAGATTTACAAAGCCGTAACGAGTAGCACGCAGTGACTGGCGTTGTAGCGCAGAAACTTCAGGGCAACGAAGGCAACGAGCCCAGAAGACTCTTAAAACCCCCGACCTCCTGTTGCTTGGGGGTGTCGATGGCTGCACTGAAGGAGGTCAGCAGTGCGGGCAGGATCTTGGGCAGGTGCCTCGACAGCGATTCGCCGGCCACCGCCGACAAGTGGGACAGGGCCTTGGTGTTCACCGGAGGCGTCGTCAGCTGCAGGGTTTGCAAAAGAGCCTTCGTTGAGTGGAGCGCCCTTTTTTAATAACTGCGTCGAAACAACGGCTACCGCTATTGCTGCCGCTACTTTCTGTGTCGAGGTAAGGCCAATTCTCCAGAAATTTAGAGCGCTACAAAATTAGGAATGATCCAAATCTAAAGGAGTGAGAGAGAGGTTTTTAAGCTGGAGTGCATGACACTCGAGTTTAAAGACGCTCCAGCCGAGCTCTATTTCTTCTTCCTGGTCTTAGTAGTGTTTGCATCGGTCATCCACACCTCCGACGCATTTGTCTTCCGTTAGTTCAAAATTGGAACGTCCGCATTTCAAAGCAACGAGCAGCAAGGACTCCAGGTAGGGGTACGATGCTTCGTCACTCTCGTCAATTGGCATCTAGACTACAAGGTCTATAGACCCTTCTGACACTTGTCACCCAGGCAAAAAATGCAGAGTCACTGGGCCGCGGACGCTGCAGAGGCAGAGATGGCACTGCGCAGAAGGCGATTATTGGAAAGGTTTATAACGAGCCACCGGAACACTACCGTTACACTCAAAATGGCAAATATCGTAATTAATTCCCACTCTAAACAGCTAGAATAAGATGTGCCGTGCAACTCCACACAGAAAAGCTTGAACCAAAACATGCTGCATGATTCACAGTACCTTAAATGAAAGAGGTAATGCGTCATTTGAATTTTCTTTGCCACGTAGAAGTTAGGATCCTGTTTGAATCGAGTTTGACGATAGTGCCGGTAAGTTTGTGAAAGTAGCACGACGGGATGTTCCGTATTTTTATTTAGAGGTCTCCCTGTTGCAGACTTGCAAGAATAACATCCATTCTTTTTTTTTTTTTTTTTTTTCACAGACATACATTAGGCTGAAGACATTCATGCAATTTTTGTTGCTGCCGGCCTGCAAAAGAGAGGAGAGTCACACTTGCCTGGGGAATCAGGTAAGGTAGGACCACCCTACTCTTGATGGCCATCACCTGGCGAAGTCCGTCCAACGTGTTCTCTGCTAGCTCAGAGTTACCCTGCAAACAATGCGCGAGACATTAGAAAACACACGTCGCATTAAACCAACCCCTGAAAATAGGGAGAAACGTTAAAAGCATCTCAGTGGGCAAGGTCACCCATTCAAAACGTAAAGTTAGTCTAAACTAATAGCAAGACTTTTCAGCCTTTCGACTCTGGTGAAGAAGGAAGAGCAGCAGAACTGTAGCTTCAGTTCTCGGCAATGGCTTTCCACGCGGGCGATCTGCTCTTCTTTCGCAAGGGAATCTGAAGCGCTCGATGCACGCGGCGGTTGCGGACCAATTCGCGCTGCTGCGTACGTCGCCACTCCTTTTGCGCCCGATCTTCCTTCCACGAAGAAAGGGCACGTGGCCGACCCATCGTGAGTCCAAACCAAAACTTACAAGAGCGCAGAAAACAGCACGCAAAACAGACGAGGCCGAAGAAAAACACACGTGAAGTGCGCTGCACTCGTCACGTGCATTTCTTCTTCATCCTCGTCCTTTTTTTCGCGCTTTTTCCTACGATGAATTTTCACCAACTCGCCCAACTCCATTCTTCTATGATAGCTGGAAAGGTTGCCGCCATCTATGAGCGACGGCAGCAACCAGACTGGTTGCCTGGTTGCCGCTGTCGCTTATAGATGGTGCGTAGGTTTGTGTCGACATTTGTTTGGTACCGGACACGACCCTGGGGAACCTCGCCCTCCACAGCTCTGCTGTAAAAAAAATTATACAAGCTAAAAGATATTGACAAAGACCAGGGACGTGTCCGACACAAACCATGCTCCGTGTGTGTTTTCTGCTAAATTATTATTTTTATATATTTTTTATTCACTGTTTTCTCTTTAAATAATAATTCTTATTTATTTTTTTTTTAGTTGATTTTCTTCATTGCTTTATTTGTATTTTTTTTTGTTACATATTTTTATTTTATTTATTTCTTTTTCATCAGAAACCTGCCGCTCCTGCTGGCACATTTGCATTAAAAAAAATCGTTCAGCCTTTCCACTCTCGTGAAGGAGGAAGACCAGCAGAGTTGTACTCGATACACTGTGTGCTTCTTCGTCGTCGTCCGTCTTTCGCGCCGTTTCTACGATGAATACCCACCAACGCGCCCGACTATCCATTCTTCTATTATAGCTGGAAAGGTGGCCGCCATCTACGAGGGACGGCGGAAACCATACTGGTTGTGTGCTTGCCGCCGTCGCTTATAAATGGCGGTAGCTGTCCAGGTAAGTTTGTGTTGACATACACGAACACAATCCTGGGGAACCTAGCCCTTAACAGCTCCACTGTAAAAAAAGCTATTTATCCCCCCAGATCAGCAGTGCTAATAGCTCAGTGGCTATGATATTCGACAACCATTGCATCGACCCTGCTGGGGCTTGAATTTGATATCCCTCATTATAACAGAATCGCTTTTATCGAAGTTCAACATGCCGACCGAAATGCGTGCATTTTGAACCGGATTATTCTGTGTATCGGCGGTCGACTATGCTTAATACGAAGGTCGCGGTGCTCTACCGCGCTTGCAGGTAGAGCTACCTCACTCTACCCACAAGCCTGCCTGCCAGTGACATCGCCACACTGGGAAGCGCAGGTATATGTCCGTTTCGGCGTGGCCTTCATCTGTCGATTGCACATCAGCTATCGCAAATTTCCCGAATAGCCTGCCGGCAAGGGAGAAGGCCGGGGATTAAGAAAATACTGTTCGTTGAGGTAGATAAAAAAAGAAAAATTAAGACCAGGGAGCATGGAATGAGTCCCACACAAACCACACTGTGTGTGATTTGTGCTAAATTTCTCAATCACTTTATTAATTTATTTTACTATTTATTTAACACTTCTTATTTATTTGATATCTTTATTATTTCCATTGGAAACGTGCCATTCTCACAAGCACGTCTCAATGCAAATAAAATAATTTACTTTTCCAGAGCAGACGTGCCAGGCAGCTCGGTGGCTATGGTATCCGACTTCCACTGCATAGACTTAGTTTCAAGCCCTGCCGGAGCATGTTACGCCCATTTTAAGTGTGCCATTTTAAGACTTACATATAGGAACCGTGCGCATCTAATTCAAGCCCCGACCAGGGCGCCCCTAGCGGCAAACGGGTCCATCGCATCGGGGAGCTTCTGCCAGTCGCTGCGTTGGTTGTGTGTTGTAGTGGGTTAGCCGGTTAGCGTTGTAATTTCTGAGATGGCTATTCCGCACCAAGAAAGCCGCAACAATTGCTGCGTGGTCGGCTGCAACAGTACGTCGAAGATCGCACACGGCAGGAAGTACTACATCGTCCCTTCGAAGCCGTACGGCCGTACGAGGCGGAGTACTGCGCGACCTGCAGGTGCGACTTGTGTGTCCATACAGGTTAGTGGCGTTTCTTACCTTTCTGTTCGCGCTTTGTTTAAGCTGCTGACGAATAATACAATTAACTTTTTTCTATTCTAGCGACGATGGAACCGCATCGACACCGACGGCAAACTCTAAAGTATGCGGCAAATACTTCACCGGAATCGAGAAGCGGAGTGCGGTCGCCCACCTAAGCCTACACTTGGATGTTTCCATCAGCCTACAGGAAGATAGTAGTGGGAATCGCGGAACGGCGCGAAAAAAATCGCCCAGTTATTGTCAAGCTGATTCAAAAATAAACGTACATAATTACCACGGTCCACTCAACGCCAACTACATTTTTTTGCGGGCACGCTTAATTTTGTTAGCAGAGTACGGCGCTCCGTGACATCCACTTGTCTGTCGAAACGGACCTCCTTCACGTCGTACACGCGGCCAGATTCACGAAGGAGTTTTCCCTTCTTCATACTGGTACCACGGAAGAAGCTTTCTAGATTCGTAACCGCCTTAAACCCCGTCGTAATCACCCCGGGAACACTGTCCACTGTGCTGCTCATCGCCATTGCTTCCCCCCGATGATTCTGCAGCGGCTACCGAAGAAGTTTTCCGGATTCGTAATCGCCCTCTGTCCTCTGTGGTGTTCGTTGCTATTACTTCCCGATGATTCTGCGCCGACGGCACCGGCTACCGAAGGAACTTTCCGAATTCGTAACTGCCTTAAATTCCTTCGTAATCACGACGGGGACACTGTCTGACGTGCTGTTCGTCGCCATTGCCCCCCGATGCTCCTGCGGCGGCTACCGCTAGGTCGCGGCGAACAATAGGCGACCGCCGCGACACGGCCGGCATGCTCGCTTCCTATAACCTTATTGGCGTGTAACACTCTCTCAGCAAGTCGTTCGTCCCCGACGCTAGTCCTTGATGCTCGTTCGTGACGATTTTCTTGTAGAAAGCGACCCATAAAACACAGTCTACGTTAGAAAACCACCGGAGTACCCTTGCCAAGATATTGTGGCTCACCAGCTGAAGGAGGAGCGGGGACAGGATGTCGTCCAGGGCCCGAGAGCCCACGGTGGAGTGCAGGTTGTCGAAGGTCCTCGCCGCAGCCACCCGCACCTCCCGCAGGGGGTCGCACAGGGCTCGCCTGGGGAACGTTCGGACACCTCGTTTGCTCGACTGCTACTACCGTCTGTTGCAGCATACCCAGATGTGCGGGAGACGCCCCTAGATTTCTGCTTGAAAAAATTACCGCTGCAGACACCAGCACGTACGTGTATCCACGCGTCCGGCATGCTCCTTGGGAATTTTGCGAAGGGTCCCACGTTAGTTGTTTCCACGGCACGTTTGGGGTGGCCTTGAGTTGCCGAGGGTGACCCGATAAAGGTAAAGTCTCTATGTGAGGAGGCTTTATGCGGGAATGAACTACCATTCGAGATGAAGCGAAACTTACACCCTCTGGGTGACTAATGGCCAGATCGGGCAGATGATGCTCTGTGGCTACCAGTCGCCTGATGGGTCCGAGTTGTACTTCATTTCAAGTGGAAGTAAATTGGTTCTTGCTCAAGTGTGATCTCCGATTTACCTAGATAAACTTGGGCTTACCAAAAGTGACCTGGGACTACCCAGACTGATTCGGGGTTACCTCGAGTTGAACCTCGAGGCAAACCTTAATCAGTCTGGAAAGAGTAATTCGAGTTAAATCCGGTTACCTCGAGTTACTTCGAGTTGACAACCAATTCACGCTTTCCACTTTGCCCTCACCTCCTTCTACCCTTTACAATGTTGCCTGTTTCCATCTTCCCCCTTCCCCCCTCATCCCCTACCCCAGAGCCCTACCCCTTGCTTTGCTAAGCTCACAGCAGCTATTCCATAAACTAACTACAAAAAAAGGGACCACGATACAAAAGAGCAACCCAAACATGATTGACAAGCGGCCTTGAGTCCGTGAGTTACAATGTCGTTGGAGTCAGTGCAAGTTTTTAGTCAGTGTGCCGTGCACACTTTGTTTACATGTTCCCCTTGAAGGATTTTTTTTTCTTTTTTTCGGGGGTGAGGGGGAACGACACTGCTAAATACCATTGGAAGCCGTTCTTTGTTTTTTAGTGCTTCATTTGGTTTTATCGAGGAGATATCCACAATTTTGAAAAACATATCGTCTGCACATGCGCAGCCCCACGCAGACGCTGGTTCGAAAGTTGTGAGTATGAAAACACGTGACTATGTGTTTGAGCGAAATAAGCCACGGCCTCCCAAGAAGGGGAGTTAGGTCCTGCTTTCTAGATGCAGTGGCCTATGAATGATTGCATTCCCCCACTATATCCTTCGTACATATTGCAACTTATCTGCAGCTTATCTTTCACCCGAATTTCGAACAAAGAAGCTCCTTCACTCTTCCTTCCTTTTGGCCCTCACATTTTCATATCAATGCATTATAATCCAGGCTTCCTACAAGAGGCAGCAGTTATTTCGGAAAAAAACATGTCAATTCACATTGAAAAAAAATTGCACTGATCAAAGAAGCATTAAAGCGAAGAAGTACCGTGCACCGCGAGAAACAAACTTGGTTTTCGTTTCCTGGTCCTGGAAGGCTCCTTCACTAATACTCGGGTATACAGATTGTGACATGTTCATAGGAAGGCACCCTTCTTGCTGGCTTACCTCCATTCATGTGCTTGCACAATGAACCACCCCACCAACCGAACGGATCGCGTGGATTCATGCCCGATTTTCTTAGACCCCTCTTTCCATCCTTCCCTTCCCATGCTCGAAGACGCGAGAGAGAGGAGAAAGCCTTGCAGAATATCAAGTTTGGTAGTCTGCCTTTCAGGGTGACCTTAGGTTACCAAGGTTGACCTGAGACCACCCCACTGATTTGGGGCTACTGTCGAGACCGGTTATAACGAAGTCGGTTAGAATGAAATAGCGGATATAGCGAAGTGATTTTTAATTCCCGTTGACTTCATTATATCCGGTCTCGACAGTACCTAGGTTCACCTGGGATAACCCAGGATGACCTAGGGAGGCCTGGTGTTACCTAGAGTGACCCGAGGTTACCTAGGGAGTTGTGGGGTTAACCGGGACAACTTCTCCTCAGCGATCTCACTCACCTCACTGTGGGCACGAGACTGTCGAGGAAGGTGAGTACCATGTCCCTTGAGGTGGAAGCCAGGATCTCGCTGAGCCCCACGCACACCCCCTGGCGCTGGTCCGGCAGGGGCGAGTCCAGCCCCTGCTCCAGGATGGGCACAATCTCTGGCAAGACCCGCTCGCCCAGCTTGCGCACCAGGTCCCCCAGGGTGCGGGCAGCCACCTGAAAAACAAAAAACTTGCTTTTTCAGCAAGAACAGCCTAGAACATGGGTCTTCGAAATTTTCCAATTCCAGGAACCCATACCTGCCTCCGACGACAGCCAGGGCACACCTCCCGATCTCGGCATTAATGCACCAAAATGACGCAGAAGCCTACAAACCTCTCGGACGACGACGCAAATACAGGGGGTGCTTGACTCATAGTTAAGTACCAGTGAGTAGCTCAATCTGCTCGAATAGCACTGAAACAATGCTCCACTTAGGGGCAGGAACGATTGTAGAAATTTGAAAGCTAGGAGAACCCCAATTCGGGGAACTCGGTTCCCACGGCCATGAACAACCGACGACATTGGCAGTTTTGAAGTTGCCACGCAAAACTATGTGCCGATCGAGGTACCCAAACTCTTCACTCAAAAACCAGCCGTGCGCCGTGAAAATGTCAACCGCCCTAGACATTCCCTACCGACCACAACCAACAGAAATAGTCTTGTCTTGCACCAAAAAGCTTCTTCTACATAAGGGAAAGCAAAACAAACTACATTGTCACAGAATTCAATAGCTACTTTTGCTTTTCAATGGTTATGTTGTTGTCCGTTGCCGTGTTTGTGAGTGGGGTGCGCGAGCGCCGAGGACAGGAGCACAAGCTTAGCCCGCGCGCGCGAGGTTTTGGGGAACACACCGCGGAGCAAGGTTGCGACGGTGTGGATGGTCGGCGCTGAGCAGATCCGCGTCGGTATGGTTGTTCGAACACCGAGAAGGTATTCGACGGAGAGGGGTGTGAGTGCTTGTGAGTGAGTGTTGTGCGTCACTACGACACCCAAGCCACCATGGCTTCTCGACCCCTACTGGCGGCGCAACGAACCGGACCTCCACCTGCACCTTGGAACGCTGACTCGGCTCTCACCCTCCAAAACTGTATGACAACCTCGATTGGACTTTTGACATTTTTTTTCTTTCATTCTTTCGAATGTGTGTACGTCCTGTGCGCCTTTCCCTTACTTTTGAATTATTTTATATAAAATACTGTTCGTAACGTCGGCATGCTTTGCTCTCACTTCCTCCCGCCTCTCAGGATGTCTATCGCCAAGGTGTGGTCCTAACACCTGGACAGCGGTCCAAGTCAAATTCCAAATTTGTTTGTTTAAACGGGATCTTTCACATCCGAACCTGTGACATACATGTTTACTGCATGGAGAAGGGCACAATGCAAGAAGCGGGAGCCTTCCTTTACTCTGGTGCTCTTGGTCAACTTTCCAGAGCCCTCATCATTTGAATCTCCCTTGTGCGCGAGTGCCAAATAAAATTTGGAAATCTAAAAGATTGTCCAGTCAGAGACGCCCCCCACGCGATTCGAAGGGGACATCATCTCCGTGCACTCCACCATCCTTCATCGCCAAAATTTAAGCGTGCCTCAACAACATCCGATAAACTTGGAGCTGCACAGAATGCGTCGCGAATGAACTGGACAAATGCCGTGCGTGTGATGTCACGAGGTCTCGCAACTCTGTGACATCACGAGATGTCCCAGCATCACATTACGTCAAGGTCTCACGTGATTTGCGTGTTGGTCAATTGGAATGAGTCGGTTTGCTCACAAAACCCAGCTTTGTAAGACAGTCTGGGCTCGTACAATTTACCTGAACCAGCTCAACTCGGCACACACCGCTGAGTTTGGATTATGAGTGTTATCTGAAAACACAACTGGATGTGCATTGCCCCCGCCCTTCTCTGCACCGCGCTACACTTTTCCGCACCGGTGCAGGTCAACCGAACGAGCCCTCCGTGTCCGAGGCGATCGAAGGTGCGGGGGGCCTCCTCACCTGCTGCTTGTCGTAGCTGCTGCTGGCCAGGAAGCCCAGGAGGAGGGAGAACAGGGTAGGTAGGATCTCCCGCAGGGTGCGAGGGGTGTTGGTCACCACCACCTTCCAGACGTGCAGCGATGCCTGGCGCACCATCAGCGACGTGTCCAGCCGCCCCATGTACAGGCCCGCCAGGACGCGGTTGCGGCGCTCCTCCCCCAAGGCAATCAGGATCGCCTGAAAGAGTAACCTTTTCAAATCGGAACGCCGTCGACGAGGTGGGGAGAGGGGGCACACTCTTCAATAACGTTGAGTGCATCTTCGCAACGGGGGCTCTCACTTTTAGACCAAACGCTCAAGACCCTGTTCACGCACTTGCGTTTGCTTAGGGCCGAGCTCTTGCGATCTCTCACGACGAAGCCCTGGAACTGCATTTTACTAGAGCGAAGGTTTTGCGGTATTTGCGGGATCAAACATACCTACAGTAAAACCTCGTTATAACAAAACGGGATATAACAAACTAATGGATATAACAAAGCAATCATAATTCCCCTTGCTTGCTAATAGTGGGAAGAAATGGACATTGGCTATAACAAACTAATGGTTATAACGAAATAATTACGACCGCTCCTTCAACTGTGTTATATGAGGTTTTACTGTATATGCCATCTACGAGAAACGGTCGTTTATAACATTATCAGAAGTTTTCCTAGCCAAAAAAAGAAAGAATGATGTGCAGAAAAAACTGGGGAGGGAAATGTGAAGGGTTGCATGGCTACCCAACAAAAGGTGCCAGTGTGTTCTCTCGTCATGAGAGATACCAAGAGGTCTCAAGGCACACGGTCGCAAGCAGTTACCAGTGTGCAAACCAGCCTTTACGTGCCTCGACTGATGGCCGAGGAACCCCTTGCAGTGTTGACATTGATGCTATAGGACGGTTCAGGAGCCTACAGAGCTTGCACACAATATTGAACATACTAGGGATAGAGAGCGTTTGACTCTAGGTTAAACAATCGATGGGTGGCTCAGATCTCCTAGAGTAGTGCTTAAACTGCGAAAACGCTTTATACACAAGGGTAGGGACGATCAAGAAAGTTTGGGAGCTCGGCGAACCACCGCGTTCCACTTGACAATGTTGTTCACTGGTGTTGCCAGCCCTTAAATCTAAAAGTCCGCGTTAGAGTGCGCCAAATAATGCTAAAATCCGTCGGACAGTTGACCGGTGAAGAAAGTTAACTCCTGGAGTGTGGCAAACTTGTTTCAATGGATGCGTTCTGAACTGCCCAAAAGACAGGGCCAGGGCATTCCAGCCCAGTGCCCTTACCTTGTGCGACTGCTCTGTGCCAAAGTTGTCGTCCTCGTCTGCTGTCTCAGTGGACATCTTTCCTGTCACTCCTACGGAGAGACAAACAAATTCCTAATTCACTTACGCATTCCCAACTTAGTCCTTTCCAGGGGACGGACACATTGGCGTACTAAAATGAACCAGTCGCTCGAAGAAATAGATCGGCCATCCTATCGTTACCCCATCAATTAGATCATTGCTTTCTTAGAAAAGGATTATCCATGTAATCCTTGCTCAGAAAAAGATTACAAATGCAAATTATTCATAGCGTTTTTTTGGCTATCTGGAAACTGTTTAAAACATTAGTGTATTTATACTGCAGGCAAAGCACATGCAAGGCATCGGGACTGGTGTGCCAAGCGGCCATGAGAGGTGGTACAAGACGTCCGGGAGCAAAGATAAATAAATGAGGCCTATGGTTGTGTCGGATCGTGTGTGGGAAATAAAAGACCATGGATGAACGATTGGACTCTGACAATTTCTCATTCCTATTCAAACCCTCACACACGAAAAAAGTATGTAGCATCTGCACAATCGAAACTTCGAGTAGCTACGCATATTTGCACTTTTCAAAAGTTTGAAAGCCGTACCTGCATGAACTTTCGAAAGTTTGACTAGCCGTATGTGTTCAAACTTTGGAAAGTTTGAACTGAATGGCTGTGCATCTGAACTTTCGGACGCCCGAATGACCGTGAGTGTTCGAACGCTCGAGCATGCACCGTGCATCGTGTGCAATGGCACACTGGCCTGAGATCTTGTACAGCAGGTCTCCCAGCAGCTGCACGGAGCTGTAGCGGATCCGCCAGTTGTCGTCGAACAGGCCCTTCTCCAGCTGGGGCAGCAGTAGGGTCATGGCTGTCTCCGCATACATGCTCACCATGCGCTGGCCCGCCCTCAACGCCGTCTCGCGCACAAACTCATTCTCATCCGCCAGCGCCTGCGTCGGAAACACAAATGTTCTTCCGTGAGCGTTATATTCGGTCTGTGAACTTTGTACGATGGCATCCACTACTACCCACCACGAAAGACCCAAATTTTCCAAAGTCGAACGAGAAGCATGAAAAATACAGCAAATTACAATGATTAAATTAAAAAGCTCAGGAAATGTTACAAAGACGCCTGAACTGATAGAAGTTCCCAACATTAAAAAGAGTAAACATTTTTGATGAGAAAATTAAAATGTGGTTAGTCCCTTACTTTGATCACCCTAGGAAGTAAACGCGGAAGTTGTATCCAACATACTACTAAGATAAAATATATTACAGCGAAGCTGTTGATCAATACGGCTCCTTGGATTTTTCGTGTGCGCAACCAAACATTACATTTGCACTGCCGCACGCACACACCTTCCCCGTATAAAAGATTCAAGTGAAGCACCAAAATAAAGCGTTGACGAATGTGCGTGCAAGATGCCATTTGTTTTAGGCTTTTGCTTTAGAAGAGTTAGTGCCGCAGATGCTGGCAAGTGCGGCGCGTGGAACACCATTCCCTGCACTCTCCTTGATGCTTGGGTAATTTAGCGTGTGCATATCCTTTCGCCACTGTGACCATCAATCAAGACAATAGATGTGTTTGTGCCTTTGTTCAAAATTCTGTGCCACATCTGTGTCGTGTGCTAAACACCTTCACAGAGTGGAATGGCTCGCAAATGTTTTTTTTACACATGCTTCTTTGTCACTATTACCAGATTAATCTTCACATTTTGCCACACATTCTAAGTAGGGCAGTGAACTGCACAAGACTGCTCCATCTGCCTTTCTGAGCTATATATAGGGTTCTGTGTTTTCGGTAATTGCCGATAAACTTTTTCGTCTTTCAATTACTTTAGCAATTGGAAAGCATTTGGTGCCGACCCTATAGTCCAAACCCAAAGATCAGCTGCCGTAAGACAAGAAGCGCCTTCGCCACCTTGAGGATGGGGTTGATGATCTGCGAGATGTAGGGGGTGAACTCTTTCTGGAACACGCTGGGCAGGTAGATGAACATCATGACGTAGCCGTCCTTGACGTGCGGCGCAATGTCCGTCCGCTCCGCCGTCGAGATGATCTCCGGCATCAGCGTCTGGAGCTTCTCCACCCCCAGGCCTCCCAGGACCTCGCTCAGACCTGGTGACGGAGGAACTCATTCAGAATCTGCTTCTCAGTGATGTGATTGGCCTAAGCCGTTTTGGAGCACCTTTTGGAGCAGCCAAAACAGTGTTTTGGAGCAGCATAAGTGGTATTTGGAGCAACCAAAAGAGTGTTTTGGAGCAGCATAAGTGGCTTTTGGAGCAGCCAAAACATTGTTTTAGAGCAGCAAAAGCGTTTTTTGGAGCAGATATTCTTCGAGAAAAAAAATCGTTTTAAGTACTGGACAAAGGAAGGGCACTTTGCTCGCCTCAATAAACAAATTATGGTCGAGTTAGACCACCTGGGAGTCTTTCCACGTGTAACAGAAATGCCAATGACATGACACATTTTGCAATGCTTCAGTTAAATGATACATACCCGCTATAGATAAATAAAAACCAAACTGCACATATAAAGTTTATTTGAAAATGACCAGCTCAGTAGAAAATATTGCACCATTACGTTTACTAGGTATATGATATAATAAATGGAAGCAGCCTTCAAATCATTGAACACGTAACTACTGCAGCGCATTGCGAAATCGTATGGACGAGACAAAGGTGCATTACGACTAGCGGGTACTCTTCATTTTGCTTTTCTAAAATTTCTGCAAGGCTGCTGCAAGCCTCGCTTTGCCTTCGGCTAGTAATAAATGTCCACTTTCAATGCCTCCAATGAGAAATTGAGACGTCCCACAAGTGTACAGTAATGTAGGCGGTGCAGAGCAATTCCGAAAAATTGCTTGCCACCGTTGTACTGGTTCCCGACGCGCCAGATTTTCGTCAAAAGTAAGCAAATGGGAACGTAAAAAAATGGATTGCCAGCGATCGGCTGGTGCCCCTGTTGTGCAATCGGTAACCGGATAAAAGCTCACCGGACAAAAGCTCACCGGACAAAAACTCACCCGTTTTTGCACAGACCCGGACAAAAGCTCACCCAATTATTATTTTTTTGGCTACCAGGGTGAATCACGGGCTGAGATAAAGTGCGGACGCGATGAACATTGCACCATTTTCAGGAAAACTGCTACCCCCCCATCCCATGAAAAGGTGTCCACAGATAGGCCATAACAGGCGGAGAAGCAACGATTTTAGAAAGAAATAGGTCACCAAAACTGAGTGGAGCTGATAAGTCTATTCATAACTAATGAATGGGTTTGTTGGGGTTTCAGGTTAATAATTGAAGTGGGTGAATGGCTAAGAAAATTATATTGTTTCCTTCATTCTGCGTCGTAAATGTATTTGAAATTAAAGATTATCTCAGGGTGACGTGGAAGGGAAACTGAAGCAAAACTGTATTATACAAATCATTGAGTTGCCAATTTTTTAAAAAATATTTTGAAGAAACGGGAGTTGGGTCTTTAGGACAAATACAAGACAATTGACCAGTTTGGAAAGCTGTGCGGAATTTTTGGATAGGATGGGATTTTCTCCTGGTGAGCTTTTGTCCGGGTCTGTGAAAAAATGGGTGAGCTTTTGTCCGGTGAGCTTCTGTCCGGTGAGCTTTTGTCCGGTGAGCTTTTGTCCGGGATTCTGTGCAATCATGTTCACATGCTCGTGAGGGAAACTTAGGCAGGCTTGCAGTTGCACGTGCTTCGTCGCGCGAGCGGAGACAACGGCTGTTCCATCGGAACCGAAACCACACCACTCCGCTCCGTTGCCAACTGGTTCCCAAAAGTGTATGCAAAATGTAACTGTCCAGCATACGACAAAAACAGTCCAGCGGCACGTGCTTGCCAGGCCGGCAGGAGAGGTACAAGCCAAACACACAGAAAAAAGAACCTGAGCACAACGATGCGAGGCATCGCGAGCCAGGTTCGAAACGTTCTTGGAGCGCTTTGTGCAACGACTGAACGCGACACAAACAAGCGCGCTGTGCGGGTTCAGCATGCAGGCATTGCCTTCTTTGCTTTAGCTCACTTCTCTTCAACGTTCTTTCGCGGCAGATTTTTCACGTACCGGGGTCCCTTTTGAAAGAAAGCGCATCGAGAGAAACCTAGTGAGTACTTCGACACAGAAGTCTTTGAGTTAAAGAGGGATTTTTGTAGTAGCGTATGATTTAAATAAGAACAAGAATGTTGATGAACATGCGGCGGTCCTTACGTTTCATTTTAGAAAACGCTATATTGGCAGCGACGTGGGGACGGCAACACCCGACGTCGCGCGACCACGGTGACTGGTAGGCGGGGACCAAATCTGGTTTTCCCACGGCCGTTGCTTTTAGGAGCGAGTGCTTCAGCTCACAAAGTAACTCCTACCGCGCAAAAACGTGGCTTCGTTTCACAGCATAACGGCATGGCTGGCACCCGGCACGCTAGCGCCGGAGCGTCCGCACACACCCGCGTCTATCGTTGAAACATTTTTTTTTTAAAAGACGCGAGACGAGACCTTTGAGACGACGAGAGTGTGAAACGCAAGACGGCGGGAATACTATGCAAGACCGGATAAACCATTGATGCAGGCTACTTTGTGTAGGGCGGCCGCTTGCACCCCACAACACTCGCATGCTCAATTACGGTACTCAGTTTAGTTTCGGTTTTGAAAGACGACTGAAATTGGTCCTTTGGCGCAGGCTTGGCGCGGATTACCCATATTTTGGCAAAATGTAGCAGGATGTAGCAAGGCTAGCCCCTTGGCGCAGTTTGGCGCAATGGGCGCAGCAATCACATCACTGGCTTCTACCCATTCGTCGAGAACGGCCACTTTAGGAAGAATAAACTGTGCAAAGTTGAACCAGAAAGGCAATCCACTGTGAGCAGTTAAGGGAGAGTAGTGGGATCACTGCAAATAGGCTGCACCACAGAAGCCATCAGAAAGAAAGTCCAAGTCACAAGTTAAATTATACAGGCTCGATGATGCTGACAAAGACCAGGGAGTACAATCTGTCCCGTTCTGGGTGTGGTTTTGTGCTAAATTTTTTATTATTTTTTAAGGATGGGCGAATATTCGGTTACTGTAAAACCCTTAATGTTCGCGAGCCCTCAATTTTCGCGAATTTCACGAATTGAAGAATTTGCAAAAATTAAGGGCGCGCGAAAATTTCGGTCCTTAAGATTTTCAATGCAGGCGTCTGGAATTCGCGAAATTTAGTGGTCGCGATTATGTCATCTGTGACCGATTCGCGAAAAATAGGGGCCGCGAAAATAAAGGGTTTTACAGTATTACGAATAGCCAATCGAATTCTGTTCTATTCGGCATTCGCTTCGAATCGAATTTAAGTATTCAACAATATCGAATTATTCGCCAATATAAAATTATTCGACAATACAGAATTATTCAACCTTTCTAAATACATTCAAACCCGACTATATCGAACCCGTTCACATCGAATTATTCCTTATATCGAACAATTTTTCTGTACAGTAATGTTACAGTGATAATATATAGCAAAAACTATGGTTGCATAGAACAAAAATAGCAGCCGCTACCAATATATCGAACTGCCAAGAGCGCCGTTTTGCTCTGCAAGCTGGCTTTCCCCCAACGCGAGCGGCCGCATTGGGGGAAAGCCAGCTTGCAGAGCTCGCAGGCTTTTTTTTTCCAGGCGATTGCATTGATTGTTTGGATGAAAAGAGAAAAAAAAACAGCTTTTGCGGAGGGGGCGGAGAGAGGGTACTCCGTGCTCCCTCTCCTTGCTCCGTCCGCAAAAGAGAATATTAGAGCGCAGCTCTTAGGGGCCCGTTCCCGGCTTGAGTGGCGTCGGCGTCGGCGTAACCGCAACTCTCGTAACCCTCGCGAGGGTTACGAGGGTTAATCTCATGAGGGTTACCCTCACGAGGATCACGAGGGCCACGAGGGTTACGAGGGTTAGTTACCCTCAAAAGGGTTACCTTCACGAGGGTTACTTACCATCGTAACCCTCACGAGGGTTACGAGGGTTAGTTACCCTCAAAAGGGTTACCTTCACGAGGGTTACCCTCCACGAGGGTTACTTACCCTCAAAAGGGTTACCTTCACGAGGGTTACCCTCACGAGGGTCACGAGGGTTATGAGAGTTACCCTCACGAGGGTCACGAGAGTTACCCTCACGAGGGTCACGAGAGTTAGCCTCACGAGGGTCACGAGAGTTACCCTCACGAGGGTCACAAGAGTTGCCCTCACAAGGGTTACTAGGGTTACCCTCACGAGGGTCACGATGGTTACCCAGGTCACGTGACCCCGGGGGGGGGGGGAGTCACGTGACCTGGGGATACCCCCCGAGGTCACGTGACCCCCCGTTGACGTCATAGCCACTGATGACGTCATCAGTGACGTCACTGATGACGTCACCGGCATCCGCATCGTCATCGTCATCATCACTGATGACGTCATCAGTGACGTCACCGGCATCCGCATCGTCATCATCATTGATGGCGTCATCAGTGACGTGACTGATGACGTCATCGGCATCGTCACGTGGCCCCAGGTCACGTGACCCCCCCCGACGTCACGCGACGCCCCAAGGTCACGTGACTCCCACAAGGTCACGTGACTCCCACAAGGTCACGTGACCCAAGGTCACGTGACTTCCCGCCCCCCGAGGTCACTTGACCCCCCCCCCCCCCCCCCCCCCCCCAGTACCCTTGCCTCCTCCTCAGGAGCTGCGCTCTAATTCGGTGTTACAGGGAGTTGTAAACGGCTTTCATTTTTTTTTCTTCCCAACGGTTGACGCAACAGCTAAAAAAAAAAAAAAAAAAAGTTAGCTTGTTTTGTTAGTTGGTTTCCCCCAACGCACCACCCGTCTTAGGGGAAAGCCAACTTGCAGAGCAAAACGGCGCTCTGCAGGAGAAGATGCTCCTGCTCGGATGTACTCCGTGCCCTCGGCATAGTTCGGCGCTGATGCGCGAATATGGAAGGCTGCGGCCTCAGCATTTTGGAGTCCGTCGATAGCGTAGAAAAATATTGTTATCGCGGATGCAATGAAAAAAAAAGCAGCAGAAGATGCAAGACTACTTCATTGTGTAATATTTCAGCAGAAAGTGGATTTTTGAGAGTCAAATTCATTAAAACTTTTATATCGAATTACCCGCTATATCGAACTAAGAGACCTTTTTTTCCGAGTTCGAAATAAATGGGTTTGACTTACTCTGGCTTGGATTTACGGCCAGGTGGCGCAAGCTTCCGACCATTTCGTGCTCCCGAACTCAATACACTTGAAATTAACAATTATAGTACAGTTAGACCTCGATGTAACGAAGTCGGTAAAATTCGCAATTTACTTCGTTACATTAAAATTTCGCTAAATCGAAATTTGGCTTTAGCATGCAAAAAAAAACAAATTCCGAAACATTTTACGGGTATGAAAACTCACCGAAAATGACATTCATATAAGGGGCAAAGTAGTCCGCGAGTTTTGCTTGCGCCTTTACAACAGTAGCAGCGGCGTCATACGGCGTTCGAGCGCCCAAAGCGCTTGCACGGCATCTTGCTGCCTATGCGACGCCGTGTACCCCCTCAGTACGTCCATTGCGTCGAGCACTTCCCGAGTGCTCGTGATCACGGTACTTTCTTCAGGATGGCGTCCAAAACGTTTGCTTTCTCATCCAAAGAAAAGAACTTTACGTTTCCTTATGCCAGCAAGCACGTGAGTGCACCGCCCGGTTGAAAAATAAAGCTGTTTAGTTTAGGCGGTGCCAATGTTTCCAACCTACACAGCTCTTGCCCGCACAGTTTACTTGCCCCCTTGCGCCCACAGTGTGCTTGCGCCTTTGCTTTACATCACGGTCACGGTCGCAAGACGATAATCGGTCTTCTCGGTCTTCTCCTAGATGGCACTGCCCGTGCGGTCGCGCCATCACGTCGCTCCCCCGCTGAAGTTGGCTCCCGTGCTACCCGCGGTACAGTGGACTATGATGATCAGTGAATGTCAGTGGTGATGCTGTTATGCCGTGTAAACTTTTTGCTCGGCATTTTCTGGCCAGCCCCGCGGAATCCGCTTTGCCGCATGCCTCGCCGGCGCTACCGGCGCCGCATCCTCGGGCAGCCTAGGAACGTTGGAAGGCCTGTCCCCGTGAAGTAACCTTTCAAAGCGCTCGCGTTTGCGCATAATTTTTTTTTTAACCACAATTTTTTTTGCGAAGTTGTTTTGTTTTTTAGTCTATTTAGTTATTGCCTTCTATGGCAATGGCGCTTCGTTATATTGAAATAGCAGCAAAATGGACTTCGTTATATAGAGACTAAAAACACATGGGGTCTATGGGCAAAAAATTAGGAAAAATAAAATACTTCGTTAAATCGAGGATTTCGTTACATTGAAGTTCGTTATATCGAGGTTCGACTGTACTTCTAATACCGAATAAGGGCAAATATAAAACTACATTTTAGGCATATCTTGTGGTATTTGTTGCTTATACTATTCGAAGTATTCAATTCCAAATTATTCAGCCAAAATCACTATTCACTTCGAATTCGATTCGGACCCAAAATCCCCTATTCGCCCATGCCTATTCTTTTTATTATCTTTTGTTTCCATTTATTTTTATTAGGCATATCTTGTGGTATTTGTTGCTTATACTATTCGAAGTATTCAATTCCAAATTATTCAGCCAAAATCACTATTCGCTTCGAATTCGATTCGGACCTAAAATCCTCTATTCGCCCATGCCTATTCTTTTTATTATCTTTTGTTTCCATTTATTTTTATATCTTTAAAATTTTATTTATATAAGTCACCTCTATTTATGTTACTGGTTCTTTTATTTTATTATCTTCATTCGAACCGTGTTCCTCTCTCTCACGTGCATGTTTTCATTCAAATTCACTTTTCCAGAGCAGCTGTGCTCGCAGCTCTGTGGCTAAAGTATCTGACTGCCACTGCACCGTCCTAGGTTTGAGTCCCGCTGGGGCGTCTTTCTTAATATTGATTTTATATGGGCCTTTGTAAGCTTTATATATAGCTTCGACTTCGCGTAATACTCCCAGCGTGTCAGTTAACTGTTCATGATGCTCGTTTGTGAAAATTTTTTCATAGTTAACAACTCAAGGAACAGATTGCGCTATAATATTTTTGACTAATGGTTGACAAACGAGAAGTCCTCTTTTTATCCAAACACACTGCACACAGCCTTGTGATCACTGATGTACGTAGGAAAGGGGGCACGGCGCATACACGAGTCACTGTCCCCATCCGCGATTCAATTGAGAAAGCTGTTGCTCGACTGTTGCCGTAACTATTGCCACAATAGCGGGATGTTTTGTTCCAGCACGAGGCAGGTGCCGGCCCCGCGGGCGCACCGCCATCTTCACTGTTGAGGGGTGAACTAACCCGGTTGCATGCAGACCCAATGTGACGAAGCTGCGGAGAAGGACAAGGTCCAGCCCCAACTAAACTGATAGAAGAAAACCAAAAATGAAGGTCCAGTTGTTGTTATGACCTCCGAGTGTTCTTCTCCCGTGCTCTGTGAGGCTCGTATCTCGTGTCGTAGACTTTTTTTTTCTTCTTTCTTTATGATTGTTAGAACACCAAACTTTTCTGCCTAGCACAAGGTCGCCGTGAATGCAGCTGGAAAGTCCCTATAACAGCTATCGCCGTAAAAGGAAATCTCATCTGCCTATAGACACCACGCCTGCAAACGCCCCGAAGGAAGAAAGCCCCGCCGGCAGATGCCCCAATTAGAGACGACCGGGGTTGCTCGACTCACCCTGGGCGGCGCCCGAGCGGTCGACGGGGCTGGCCTCGGAGGTGAGGGTCTGCATGAGCCAGGGAATGAGGTCCTCGAAGCAGGTCTCCCCCATGCCCTTGATCATAGCCCCCAGGGCACGCGACGACACGCTCCGCACCTGCGAGCCAGGGCCAGAATCACTCAAGGCACCTGCACCGAACCCTTCTTTCATCCTTCTCCCGTTTGACGACCGTCTAGGAGACAAGGTCCGCGCACGACGTCGTCATCGGTAGATTTCCCCCGTCCGCCCTGAACGGCAACCACGCCTGAGCTCGACGAGAGTTTCCGCCTGCTAGCGTCGCGCTTATTGCGAGACACTGTGAGTTGCGCTGGTGGCGATGTTGACGCAAACTAGGCTGTGCTGCGTGGACCTGCTGGCGACAACGTTTGGGAGGAAAAGGTGCAGTCCTCGTCTTCTAGGCGGCACTGACTCGGGTCACGTGCCACCAACTCGGTGGGCGGAGGCCGAACCCCTCCGAGAAAGTGAAGGGATGAGACTGCCTCGTTGGAAGCCGGCCCACGAGCCTCTATGACGGAGGGGCTTTGAAACCAATTTCTCCTACGCAACGATTTTGTATTTCACTTGCCTCCGGTACGGGGTCGAGAAGTGACTGTTTCAGGCCTGGAATGATGGCCGGCAGGTAAGGTGCCAGGTCCTGAGGTGGAAAGTATGAAAAGAGTATGTGTGAGCATTGTGCAACTAATGGAAGCCACGGCCAGCCGAGTCACTTCAAGGTTGGTATTTTTAGGAACAACAGTAGAACGTCAAAAGTTCATCCGACGAAGCCCGGTGCATCAAACGTGTGGGGATACTGAGAAGGAAGGCTCTGACATGTCATCAAGCGGTAGTAAAACGAAAACATGTTGATAGAGTAAAGATGCAGTAAAAAACATATTTGCTTATTAAGGAAAGACCTGCTTTTGAAAATTTCTGAGTAATTTTTTATCCAATTTATATTAAATTCTTACATCTACCATAATCTTCTATGCTAAGCACAAGCATAAATGCATTGCTTTCCTATCTATTATGGTTAAAAATAAATATCCTAGGTTGGAGGCTGGCAGACATCAATAAACGTTGAGTCCTTTGATCGAAGTGTCTTCGATAAATATACTCGATAAAGCACGCTAGAGTTTTTCTGTACAACACCAAAATTTGTGTTCGACATGCAGGAAACAAACTTGGCACTCCAAGGAAACTAGATATACTTACTACGAAACAAAAATATACATGAGACAACTCGTATGACCGTTACATTCATCGTAGCCCCCAAATACGAGAAAGTGACGAAGCCGTGAGCGTGCGTCGTGGCACCTTGTGGTCGGTGAGGGAGTACATGTTGCCGATGATCTGGGCGGCCATCTTGCGAGTCTCGGTGGACCGGTCCTGGAAGGCGCGCTGCACCACGGGCATGATGAGGGCCAGGGATGGGGCGTCAATGAAGTGCACAAACTTGGTGTGCAGCAGGGTGGCCAGGCAGCCCGAGGTCTTTCCTGCGGGGTCCTGCAGGGCCTCGAGGAGCACTGGCACGATGGCCTGGATCTCCGGGTTCTTGATAACCGAGCCAATGTTCTGCAGGGCCTGGGCCCCCGCCCGCTGCACCTTGACGTGCGAGTCCGACAGCACCTCCATCAGCTTGGGCACGATCGAGGGCAGGCAGGAAGACAGCTGCTTCGGTGCGCAGAACGCCATGGCCCCCAGCAGCTCCACCGAACCTGCACCCGAACACCGGATCAGGACTTGCACGGTCAGCAAGGTCCGATTCTGTGGTACACTTGTCAAATTGATGGACAGCATCTGGCACGCCCCGGTGAAAGATTAGACCGAGGCTGGGCAGTATCGCGATACAAATGTATCACAAGAGTATCTTAGAGATACTTTTGGGTGTCTGTATTACAGCGGAGCTGTTAAGGGCTAGTTTCCCCAGTATCGTGTCCGTGGTCAAACAAGTCTTGACACAAAACTCAAGACAGCTACTGCCATCTATTAGCGACGGCAGCAACCAGACAACCGGTGGTAGCTGTCCAGAGTTGCCGGTTGTCTGGTTGCCGCTGTTGCTCATAGATGGCGGCAACCTTTCCAAGCCTTTCCCCTCTGGCTTGCCAACTTGTGCCCGGCCATTACTTCATTCCTACCATAGTACAGCTTCGCTGGTCTTCCTTCTTCACCAGAGTGGAAAGGCTGAAAGTTTTTTTTTGTATATATACACTTTAAAAGTGCATTTCTATCTCAGTAGTGAAATACACTTACGATGTACTGATTGTAGCACAATACTCTTCTGGTTACGTTTGTTTTTGACAATTATACCTGTCGGGATTTTATGCTAAACTCAAAACCATGTCATTGGCACGAGGGGTCCCTAACTTCATAATATGAACTCGATACTTACCCCCTCTTACGAGGGGAAAACCTCGAACAAATGCTCAATACATCCCAAGCTTCACCAAAAAAGAAGCACTACCATCTGCTTTCGCCACGGACTGCCTCCTTCACACCTACCGCAGTTCGGGACAAAATATATGTTTGCATGTATCTGCGTCTGTATTCCAAGGTGCTTTTTCGCCATTTTTACGGAAGTATCACAGGGATATCCCGTTACGTCAAGGACAAATGTATCTCAGTACCTGTTTTATGGCCTTAAAATACGTGTTTGTGTCCCGGAAAATACTTTCTTTAGTATCCCTGCCCAGCCCCCATTTCCCCACGTGAAACCGAAATCTCGGTTGCTTTCTCCGCAGTAAGCCTCAGCCAGTTTGCAGGCACCTCCGCCGTGATTCAAACTTGCTAGCTAGGGATCCGTCGGCCAACGTTTTGCCTCTGAGCTACCGAGATACCACGGATGTTCCGCAAGGAAGGACGACATTGCGAGAGCTCTTGCACGCAAGACTGTGTCCCCTGACTTTGTTACATCTTTGCAGCCCCGATTTCTCATTCACTGGGCTCGTGGTCCCCAGGTTCATGGACCCTACGGTTTGCACATGTTGGCAGCAGCAGAAAATTTACGGGAAATCGAGAATCCGTGAGCTTTGTGAAAACTGGGAGCTCACGAATATCAGGATTGTGTAAAACCTTGGGAGATTCTTTCAGTGTTCATAAAAGGGCTTTGCAACCGTAGGACGCTGCTAATGCACAATCAAATATTTCACTAGCTAAACCGAAATTTGTGAGATTGCACATAACTAGTTCAAATTCAGGACAGCCCAGCCAAATGGCAGCTCTTAAAAAAATGGAAATAGAAAGAACATCTCTCTGTTCCTTCTCTGAACAGTCAGTATGCAACCTGTCTCACATCACAGATGACAGCAGTGATCTGTTATTATCCTGGGTAATAAGGATCGACAGCACTCGGGAATTTCCTTCCACGCACAATCACTTGTACCTCCCGTGACCTTCCTCTAAAAAAACATGAAATCAATACAACTCTGCATTCTCCCTTCCCACGCAGTCACAACGAGATTTTGGGTAAGGAAAGGCGCCGGGTGCCTGGCGAAAACAAAACTCGGAGTCCCCAGCTTACCCGATTTTGTGCGCCACTGGTCGTTCTCCAGGCCTGCCAGCAGAGAGGGCAGAGTCAGCTTGACGCCGTGTGCTGTCAGCTTGCTCATCACCGCTTTGGCAGTGTTGTCCGTGGCCTGACCAGACAGCGGGAGATCAGCAGAGGTCACAGAGTATGCACCACTCTCTTTGACAACACTGTTCAGTAGATGGGGCCCCTAACGTGTCCACACCCTGTTGCGCTTTTCTAGGATTGTGCGAATATTCTAATTTTTAAATAGTAGTTTCGAATAATATGATATTCATCACTCACTTTGAAATAAACTGCAATACTCATTATTTTCAAAGTGTTAATCGTACCGGGTTATCCCCGTTGAGCACGCTTCTTACCAACACATCGGTGTTCTGCCGAAAAGCAACACCCGTGGAACACGCTTTCGCGGGTGTGGCTTCTCAGCAGTGCACCAGTGCTCGGTAGGAGGCAAGTTTACAGCAAGTTTTCCAAATTAAACTTGCCGTAACTTTGTAAATGTTGACAACTTTTGGTGGCAAGTTTTGAAGAATAAACAGGCTACTATGCCAGAGGCAGAGATGTCCTCACAACCTATTTTTATCGTTTGTGATGCAATATTCGGTTAGAAGATATTCGGCCCAAACCACTATTCGCTACAAACTCCAAATCCCCAGTTTGCACGTCCCTACTATTTTCTCGCATGGATTAATGACCAACATTAAACTTTGCTCCCTTTGTCGGTGCCCCATGAAAGCCACCTAAAAGTGTACTAACAATGTTTATTATTTCATTTTATTATTTTTATTTTTTTTTGTTTTGCTATTTCTTATTTTTATTTCTTTTGTTTATCTATTTTATTTATTATTTAAATCTGCTGCTCTCGCCGGCCCGTTTGCATTCAAATAAAAGTTTTTACCTTTCCAGATGAACTGTGCTAGTAGCTCAGTGACGGTGGTGTCCAACTGCCACCTCACTGACCCAGGTTCGATCCCCTGTGGAGTTCGAATCTGGGTCGGTGAGGTGGCAGTAGTATATGTAACTTTAAACCCTGTAGTTCTGCCACTAGTTTGTGACGCTCGCTATGATGCTCATTATGAGGCTCGTTCATGACAATTTTCTCATAAGAAAACGACTCATAAAATAGATTGTGTGTTAAAACTGGCCATGCCCTGTTTGCCTCAAGTGTGTCACCCTCTAATATAAAGTAAACAAATCATCTTTGAGGATGGTTTAACTGGACCGAGAAGCCTTCCTGCAAATCAGATACTCTCATTTTTTTTTTTGGTCAATTGCAACGCTTTTAATTACTTATTTTCGCTCCACCTTCCCGATAGCAAAAGAACTTGCCCCATCGCCAAGGTGATCTCGGAGGTCTCCATGTCACCGGTACCCGAGTACGTCACGTTGCAAGCATCGCCAAAGGTGCAGCCTAGCACCGTCAGCGACTCTTATAAAAAACAGCCTCTAGATTTATCCGCGTGAAACGCGTTTCGTCTCGTCAGGAGGGGTCTAGAAATTTGCGAAGCCGAAAAGTGAAGCTGCCGATTAACTCGATGCTGATCGGCCGAGTCAGGTGATGACGTCACTCCCCCTAGCTCGACACTGACTGGCCGATTCAGGCGCGAGATCACGCACGAAGCCACGCTTGATGCTGATTGGCTAGTGATTGCGAAATAAATCATGTGCCACCACTCGCCCGCCAGACGGTGGCTGGATGTTGTCGGAGAAACATCTGCGGCTGTGGAGGGTTCTGGAAGTGTGCCAGGGGTTTAAAACCCGGGTTAGTGCTGGTATCTCCATTCCAGGAATTGCTATGGAGTGTACCTGCCGCACGTTAAGCCAGTCGCTAAACTAGCCAATGAAGAGCGCCGAGAGCGTAGACATCAATCCCAGAGAGATCAGAGTGAAACCACACAATTCACGTGCAACACAATTGCCCAGCAATGTGCTACGCATTTTTTTTCTAGGCTCTCGCGAAGTCTCTGCCCGACAGTCGAAAGGGGGGAAGGGGCCGGCCTTACCTCTCGGACGTACTGGTTGCTGTCACCGAAGCAGAGCAGCAGGTGTGGGAGCACGTGCACTACATAAGGCTCGAACAGGCGCCCCAGCACGCTGCACAGCATCTCGAAGGCCAGCAGGGCACCCTCCTTGCGACGGGCATTCTTCTTGTCCTGGGAACGGAGGGCCACGCAAACTCATCACGAGTGGTCTGCACTGCAGGATGCCCACGCCCCCACACTTGGTCTGAACTAACTTGAAATGGCACCGTTTTGAAGCCTCAATGTGGTGGTCAACGTTTTACCGAGCTTCTTCGGGGTTCTTAGAGACCCCAAAGAAGCCAGAAATAGTATAATAATCTAGAGAAGAAGGCTCCATGCATTTCGGCTGCTTCGGACAACAGGGCATGGACGTGGGTGACCCCAATGGAACCACACTACTGGAGGCACTTTGATATGCACAAAAGACAAAAAAAAAAAGATCCCTCCCGAGGTTCGTATCTATACTGCCAAGGCCGGTTATAACGAAATGGCAGCTACAGCGAAGCAATCACGATTTTCCATTTCCTTTTGCACTTCGTTAATTGAAGTCGGTTATAACGAAATAGCGAAGTGATTTCCGATTCCTGTTGACTTCATTATAACCAGTCTCGATAGTAGTCGCCGACTGACTTGTTGGACACCGATAATTCAAACTGTTGGATATGTCAGAACTAAAAGGGCAAACCGTGAACTACCCCATAGAAATAGTGCATATCCACGACCGGTGTTTCAAACAGCTTGACATCCGAAAGTTAAATTTTTCGGAAAATATTGTCGCGAGCAATCAGAGGGAAACATCACCAAGAAGCCGCCATTTCAGATTCTATGTTGGCTGCACATGGATTGACTTGGTAGTGCTACTTGAGTAGTGCTAGGTCTTACCGCTAGGCGACGCCATGCTATGGCTTTCTTTTCTCTAGTTTTGTGTCATTATCATCATCATTGTTACCATTTTGTTTTGCTCATTCGCCATTCTGCAGTCGCGGACTTGCACCTTTTATCTCGTCTCGGAGAATCATGTTTTTGGTCTACGCTGGCTTGGACGTCATGGCCCCATCTGTTCTCACACCCCCGCAAGTGTTGCTAAGAAGCGCAGAAAGTACTCGATTATAACACTAGAAAAGAAGGCAGCGATTTTCAAGCTCATAGAAAGTGGCCGAACGCAAGCGAAGGCGTAACCTGAAGCAAGGCACTATTGTTGGCTTAGACGTAATAAAGGCGAGTTTTTTAATCTGCTAATTTTAGGGACTGCTCTATTATCAGACTTTTTTCAGTTGCTGCAAAGCCCGAAAAGTCGGTTGGCGACTGTAGTTCTTTCTAGCTTCAATTCGCACGCAACACTGACAGTGCACATTTTATAAAATAAAGTTGGCGAGCACTCGAGCAACTTCAACTCGTCCTGGCAAAACAAACACGGCTAGCCTATGTTCCACTTTCTTTCTCCGCTCTCTTTCCTGAGGGACCACTGATATCAGCACTTACGATTTGTCACATTGTACTTTTCTCTTTACACCCTCGAAAGAGGTGGAGTCTCTTAGCCACATATCAACCACTGCATCGATGGCTTCCAGGGAGTTTCTTTTTCACGTTTTTCCAGCTTTGATTATCCTTGCGATTTGTTTGGCCCCGACTCAGTGGGACGCTTGTGCACAAAGGGACTACAGGATGTTAAGCTTTATTTTGCATAAAAAAAAAAGAGCAGAAAAAATAATTTTTTTATTGCGAGCCTAAGTTTATTTTCTTTTTTTGTCTGACAGATGGCAATGGCATTTATTGCAGATGCGTGTTTCAGCTATCATTGACTGCTTAAAAATTGCATCGATAATGTGGTTAGGACCAGGCCACTGACCAGTCTCAAAGAACGTTTGTGAACCTGGCAAGTAAACTGATATACCCATTTCCACCTGGACCGCAGGGACAAGGAAAAGACGTCACGAAAAAGGTTTACTCCCTCTAAACGCAACGGGGATAATTCCAACAAACTTTCATAATTGCTCTACAACTGAGAGCGACGAGGAGTGCTTTTGGTCCCAGTTGCACAAAAAGGGCTAGGCGGGTCCAAAGCAGGCGTTCCGAAGTTCTCCTACCTGTACGGCCTCGGTAAGGGTGTTCATGATGTCCAGCTGCTTGAGGGAGAGGATGCCCAGGCCCCTGACCAGCCCCGCCAGGCCGTAGGCGGCGCCCCGCCGCTCCCCGTACTGGTCCGAGTTGAGCAGCTGGGTGAGCAGCTTCTGGACCAGCGCTGGTGCTTCCTCCTTGATGGCCGGGATCAGGGGCGGCAGGCAGGAGGCCACGGCCTCTTGCACCTGTGCAAGGGAACGGACCGTAAGCTTCTGCCCGTTCCACCATAAGCGCTCATTTTGTAACATTTGGAAAAGTGCACAATGGAAAAGTACACCTTTGCATACTGTTGACCTAAGGTGTTTGCTCAGGATTTTATGGTACATTGCTTTTTAATCGGTCGGTCGATCAATCAATAAATCAATCAATTAATTACGAAGGGATTCCTGGCTCTTGTATGCACACTGCATGTTAAGGGGCAGTTATCACTGGTTCAAAATGATACAATATATCAATCAACCACTGGGCGCTGATTGATTGATTTAGAGTGGTCACCTATAATTGGTTCCAAATCAGTCAATCAAACAATTATCAGTGTTTGCTGGTTCTCAGATGTGCACTTCATGATAGACACCTAAACTATCATTATTAAAAAAAAATAGAAATCACTATATTAATCAATTAAAAAATCACTGGGGGAGTTCCTGGCTCTCGCATGTGCTTTACATACTAGAGTGACCAGCTATAACTGGCTTGAAATTAATGAATCAGATATTTCCTCAATTAACCAATCAATAAACCAAAGTGGATAAGACAGCCCCAAGAGCTGTAACCAACTTCTGCAACCAGGGAAGAAGCTGGCTGAATAGGGACAACTGCCAAGGACTGCCAGAAGGCAAAAGAGACATTCATGGAACCGTTTTTCCTGTACATACCAAACTTGTCAAAAAGGGTAAGAAATGACTGTGCGGTTCTGGGTTATTCAAGACCTTCGATAAAATCGTAGATGAAAAAACACTGACAAGAGACAAGCAGATGCTTGAAATTGCTCGATACAGTTCTCAGAACAAAGTGGCTTTACTACTGTTACTGGCCCACCAACCAGCTAATTGCATTGCGTGTTTGTTTAGATGGCAGGAGCTCACTTAGCCCCAGTGGGCGTCCAGTGCCTCCGCTACAAATGTGAAATTTAGCCATGGCAGTAACTCTACTAGCCCGGGGTCTTTAACGTGTACCATGCAGTAACGACGATTCACAACCGCACACCGATACGACGCTCGTCCAGATTGGAACGGGAAGGGGCGGGGACTGAACCCAGGATCCCCGGGTTCTGCAGCAAAGCGAGCTTTCACTCCACGTGCTCCGAGCTGGTGTGCGCCAGCCCACTCGGCCACCGATCCCCCCTTTCCAACAAGCTTGGGGCCCCCAACCACCGAGACAGAAAGGTGCCCCAGCCACCCCCCCGCCGTGCCCCGTCTGCCCACCTGCTGCGAGGGTGTGGCCAGGGTGTCGATCAGCTTCTTGACGATGGGCTTGACCCGGTGGTCTTCCTTGTCCAGGTGGCGGGCCAAGGTGCCCATGAGGATGACCACGCTCTGCCGCACCTGGTCGTAGCTCACGTCGTCCGGGGCCTCGTCCAGGAACTTCTCAAACAGCGGCAGCAGCAGGTGCACTGCGCCCTGAGGGGAACAAGGTAGGTCAAGAAGGTGCGTTTACAAAATTTTCAGCTGCACGTTCCGAGAGAAAAGGTGGTGGGCAGTCTCAAACTGTGCACTGGGGACGGTGCTTGGAACGCGTCTCCCACTGGTGCGTTTACCGCATCCTAAAATGTGGTCCCTCAATTTACACCCGATGACATCGTAAATGCCGTCTGCAATCCTGGCGGTGTCACAGCGGCAGTGGTGGACGTGGCAGACACCTCATCTTGCTGCGGGTCGCTTTCCAGCCTGACGGCCCGCGGAAGATTCGGCAACCAGGAGTCGGTACGCCGCAAAGACGGCCTCCCCCCGACGCTTGCATTCTCTACTTCTTTGTTCCGGAACTTGTACGCCCAGCTGCTAGGATCGTGACATCCAACAGCACAACACCCGCCGTTGGTGGCTTCACCCGTTGCCACTTTGGAACCACTTTCGATGTGTGGGCAGAATGCGGAGAGTATGTTGTCTGCTTCTTTCGCAGGGGTTGCAGTGATGTCAGCATGATGCCGAGTTCTCATTGGCTTTGATTGAAAGGATAGTGGGTAAACCTCAATGCTAGAAGCTTTTGGAGCCTACCCACTATTTTTTTTAAATCAGCCAATAAGAGTGCGGTGTTCTTACATCATCGCAACCCATCTGCAAAAAGCAGACAAAATTGCGCTCCGCACTAAACGCTGAACATACAAGCTGGAAAAACGTTCCAGGAACCGAAGTACTGGGGGATGGCAAAATACCCTTTCCATTAGCTCGGTGGTTCTCAAACTTTTCAATCTCGAACCCCTACTTGCCAAGAGTGATGGCCGAGAAACTGTCGCTCTCCTTGGCATTGATGCAATAAAGCAGATGCTCAGAGTTATGCATCAACGAATGGCTTACTGCTTTGTGCTTAAACTGGGAAAACACATTACTAGGGGTAGGGACGGTCAAGGAAATTTGAGAGCTCGGGGAAACCATGAGGACGCAAGGGGGTCCCCAGTGTTCCAACCCAGCTTGAGAACCTATGCATTAGCTTATTCATGACACGTGGTGCGTGCAATTTCTTTGTTGATTTTACCAAACACTTTTAACATTAAGCAAGGTACTAGATTAATAGGAAGTAGAGGTGGTAACGTTTCATTAATCTACAACAAAGGCCTTTACCAACAAGCATACATCATAGCTGCAGCTTGGTCTGGGGCACCTTTGGCAGGATTCGACGAAGGGAGTTCATCCTTAACAGACGGCAGTAACACGACTCAGAGAAAACCGCCCCATTAAAAGGATGGGCAGATTTTGACGAGAGATGGAAACCGAGCCGCAGTAACGAATTGACTCGTTTGTTCTGAGCGTTAAGAGCCGGAAACAAACTCGAGGAAAGAATCCAAGATGCTTTAGCATTCATTATCCACATACAGTACGCTCGTGATAATTCAAACCCTGCTATTTCATACTTCTAATTAATTCAAACAAATTTTTAAATTTTGGTTGTTCCGCTTCCGCGATGTTTTTATTGTATTTATAAGCCACTCAATTCGAACATTGTTTTCATGTAATTCATATTTTTTGTTCTCATGGCCTCGTTGAGCGCGCTTCTTACCGAGCACCCGTGCACTGCAGAGAAGCAACACCAGCAGAGCTAACTTCTGTGCGTGTTGCTTCTCTGCAGTGCACCGGTGCTCGATAAGAAGCACGTTCAACGAGACTAACAGTCTACAATAGACAACTTTTTTGCTGGATGAACAAACCACCCTGGATTTGAACAATATGCTTTGCACACCGAGGAAGAAAACCTCAAAGTCACGGAGGCAGTCCTCTCCATACAGATGCATGCACGTCGGCATTGTCCCTGCAAGCTTCGACAACCCCAGAAACCACAGACACTTTACGGCTCCATAAAGACCTGTTCACGCGCTTGCGGTTGCTTTAGAACAGAGCTGTTGCAATCTCTTACGACGAGAGCACACACTAGCATGCTTCCGCCACCTACGAAGTGACCCGGGAACTGCATTTCACTAGAGCGAAGGTTTGGCGGTATTTGCGAAATCAAATAACGAGTTTTTTTTTCGAAGTGAGCCAAATTCAGAAACTGAAACTAAGCCAATTTTGGCTGAAATTCAGAGTATATCCGGGGGTCCATTGTTTCCAAAAGATATTAATTTGAAATTGGTCATATCACGCGAAAGAAAACAAAAAAACAATGTAAAGGTGGCCACAGTACAGGGTGCAAAACTAGTCCAATAAGCACACATTCCTGTTTATCTCAGTGACAGGCTTAAGCTGAGCTAGTTGGTTCATACTTCAGGTAATTCTAGTTCACCTGGCCTTACCTGATGAGATGCTGTTCATCTCAGTTTCACCTCACATATATTTGGCTCATTTAAGAAAAAAATAAAATCTCCTTTAATGTACATACTATCTACAAGAAACGGTCCTATTTAACAATGTCAAAAATTTGTCAGAGAAAAGAACAGAGAAAAAAAAATGGTGGGTGCACAGGTGTACTATGTTGCATAAATTTCCATAGAACTAAGTGTGGGTGGCATAAGAAATGTGGGGGGGAGGGGTTAACGCTTCGCCAAGTTTTGCATGAGAGTTGCGTGAACTGCCCGTGCCGCAGAGGACCCACTCGGCCGCCGTCCAGAGAAGTGAGCAAAGGTTGCAGAATCACGGCTGCCGGAGCGATGATTATCGCCGTTTCAAGCAGACAGGAATGCGTCGTGTTAAAGCGAGCAAACAAGCAAGCCAGAAGATAAGAAATTTCTGCAGAAACCACTACAGTTGGCTGTCTATCCAGGACAACCTCAAGGACTACGTCTAAGACAACGTTGAGGATGGCGTCCTAGAGGACGACATCAAAGATGACGTCTAGGACGACCTCTAGGGCGATCTCAAGGACGACGCCCAGAACGACCTCTAGGGCGATATTAAGGACGACCTTAAGGATGACATCCAAGAGGGTGACATCAAAGACCATCTCAAGAACAATGTTAAGGACGACCTTTAGGAAGACGTCAAGGTCGTCAGGTGAGAATCTCAGCTCAAACGGTCTACAGCGCATTAGAAGGCCAGAAAGTCCAAGAAATCCAGGGGAGGTAGCTGAAAAATGCTATTGCAAAGGATACGCGTGCACACTGCACGGTTCTCGGCAGCAGGCATGGCACGCCGTCAGGAAGCATGGCAATGCAACCCGATCGGCGTTCCGGTATTATCTGTGTGACGTCACTTCCGTGACCAGGTTTTGAAGACGCTGATCCCCCAACTTTGCACCCCTTTCCAAGCAAAGAAAGACGTAGTTCTACGCAAACAAATGAGCAGTCCTGCGTCAAGCCTTTTCGTGGCGTGCCTGATCGGTGGTTTTTGCTACACCATCCCTTATGGGAAAATGTGGCGGAACCGGCAGAACATTGGAAGCAGATTACCTGCAGTGGCAAGGAAATTTGATTAGGGTCTTTATGGTAAACATAAAGTTTGTGCAAAAGTCGGCGCAAAACACCGTCAATCAAAAATCGTCTTTCTTGGTTGCCCACAGAGGTGCTGACACCTGTGACGCTGGGAGCAGTATCCAACTGCACCCGCTCACACGCAGGCAACAGAGAAGAACCGATTTCAAACGCCGCTCTTTCGTGGAGCTTGTCAACTGATAAATCTAAGAACGTTGCCATGGGGTGCACAGACAAAAGTGTTCGGAACAAAATGGACATCTGACCATTTTGTTCCAACGCTTTTTTTTTACAGCAAAGCTGTTAAGGGCTAGTTTCCCGAGGATCGTGTCCCCGCACAAGAATTGTCAACACAAAACTCTGGACAGCTACCGCCATCTATGAGCGACGGCGGTAACCAGACAACCGGCTTGCCGGCCTCACTCATAGATGGCGGCAACTTTCCAGCCTTTCCACTCTGGTTTGCACCAGAGTGGAAAGGCTGAATTTCTCTAGGCATCGTCCCAGATGTCGTCCTCGAAATCATCCTAGAAGTCGTCCTTGAGGTTGTCCTTGAGATTGTCCTAGAAGTCATCCTTGAGGTCGTCGCAGACGTCCTCAAGGTCATTCTAGAAGTCATCCTTGAGGTCGTCCTAGAAGTCGTCCTTGAGGTCGTCGACCTCTGGGCATCGTCCTTGAGATTGTCTAAGTCGTGCTTGAGGTCGTCCCATCATAGTACAGCTTCTCTGGTCTTCCTCCTTCACCAGAGTGGAAAGGCTGCAAGCTTTTTTTGTTTCGGGGCGTGGAAAGTGCGTCTTTCGGCACAAGCTTTTGGCATCTACGGTGCCACGACAGCATTTTGTTATCGGCTATTTCTTTGAATTTTCCGGAGCGTGTGCAGAGGGAATCGCATATCACGAAAACCCTATCGTATATAAGACGGGTTGTTAACGTTGCGGCGTAGCTCACTGGCAACGCCTCCACTTCGCAAGCAGCAGACCCAAATTCGATTTTCGCGGGCGGCGGGCAATCTTTTCTTGAGGATTTAACAACATGGACAACGGACACCCAACGGCCTACTACGCCAACTACAACATCAACAGGTTCCATAACAGCTATCTGCGTCACATACACGCAAGTGCTCCACAGCTACCCGATGGAAGGCAAGAGAGTGTCCTCTCGTCACAAGAGATTCTAAGGGGTTTTAAGGCACATGGTTGTAAGCAGTCGTGAACCAGCTGAGAGAGAGAGAGAGAGAGGAGATGCGAGGGAACGCACGTTTCCATGGAAGTCGATGAGGGCGACTGCGGCATCCAGCATGGCCTTGTGGACCTGTGGCCGGGGATCGCTCAGGGCCAGTGGTACGAAGAACTGCATGACCTGGGCCACGCAGGCGGTGGGCACCAGGGAGGCCAGCTGTCCCAGTGCTACACCCACCCCACTGCGGGGCTCCCACACGTCGGGAGGGCTCTCCACCAGCACCCGGCCGAAGCTGTCGCGAATCGGCTCTGGACGCTGAAACGGTACATCCGTTCCAAGCCCGTCAAATATTAGGCTTCAGCCATTAGTTCCAAAGCTAGAAGGTCATTTGGGAACTACTGGGCTATTCCCAGTATCCACAAAAAGAGTTTCTTTTTTTTTATTTTCTGGACTGCCCTAGTTGTAAAAATTTTTGAGTCTTCGTAGAAACACCTGGCATAAACTGTTAGTTCCTACATGGTGCACAACATGCAGTTAGATTTCTGTTCATTAAATGAGAACAACATATTGTCTTTCTGCTCGTTCAAAAAGAGTTCTACTAAAAAAATTAAGACAAACAAACATGCTTCCATCCTAAGGTAGCTAAGGCAATTAGATGTGTGCCAGAGAAGAACAGAGGAGCAATTCAGATTGCCCGAAAAGCTTCCAGAATTTTGTGCTTCGGTCTATACTCCTTGCCACTAGTTTCGTGCAGTACAGGTGAAGGCAACGCCAGGCGAGGGAAGAAAGGGCAAGCACTAGGAAGGCTGGGGAGGAGGAGAGAAACCTCCACTCTTCTCAAACGTTCCTAGTGCTCTCCCTTTCTCCCCTCGCCCTTCACTGCCCTCCTCCTTCGTCCCGCCTTCCTAGAGCTCGCCCTTTCTCTCTTTGCATGGCGTTACCTTCGCCTGCACTGCACACAACTAGTGACACGGAGTATAGACATCTGTTACGAAAGCACCAGTCTTGCCCACAAAAAATCGAACTGGTGGAAGCCAGCGCACCATAAATATGGCAGTAGTACCTCTTTATAGTAAAGGCTAATACGATCAAGATAAGGACGTGATAAAGCGAAGTTAAAGTATGCTGCAATACCCCTACAGGGCTGCGAGGTACACATATTGAAATGACATGATCATAGGGAGATCCTACCGTACCAAGCGTGTGACCACAATCTCACTCTCCTTTAATCTGATAGTGTCTCCCTAACAGTTGTGAACTCACTTTCCTCACCCTGACCCTTTAAGAAAGAAAAGAGAGTGTGCACCTGCAAGTACTTCTCGTAGGTCTCCATGAGGCGCAGCAGCACCTCCTGGAAGCAGTCCGGGAAGGCGGCAACCAGGGCCCGGAGCGCCCCTGCAGCGGCCACCCTAACCTCCGCATGCGGGTGGCCCACGTCCCCCAGCAGGCGGCTTGCCATGGCCGGCTCGGGCTCCAGCAGCAGCTCACGCCACAGCCTGGGCACACGCACGTCCCTTGTCACTTACCCCCCTTAGCACACACACAGTTCGAGGAAAGACCCATATTCAAAGAGGGTGGCCCAAACAAAACTATCGAGGAAAAATGCAGAGCCCTTTCACTCCACGTGAAGATAGAGGACCAGTGAAGCTGCTATCTTTACACCGTCTAGGACGATGCCTAGAAGACGACATCTAGGACGACCTCAAGGACGACTTCTAGGACGACGCCTAGGACGACCTCAGAGAAGACATCTAGAACGACCTCGAGGACGCCTAGGACGACCTCGAGGATGTCTGGGACGACCTCAAAGATGACTTCTAAGACGACCTCGAGGATGATGTCTAGGACCACCTCAGGGATGACTTCTAAGACTACCTCGTGGACAACCCCTCGGACGACCTCAAAAACAACTTCTAGGACAACACATAAAAAAATTCAGCCTTTCAACTCTGGTGAGAGCCAGAGTGGAAAGGCAGGAAAGGTTGTTGCCCTCTATGAGCGGCGGCGGCAACCAGAGAATCGGCAAGCCGGTTGTCTGGTTGCCGCCGTCGCTCATAGATGGCGGTAGCTGTCCAGAGTTTTGTGTCGACATTTGTTTGCCCGCGGACACGATACTGGGGAAACTAGCCCTTAACAGGTCTTGTGGCCCCATGATCCTCAGACCCATAGTGACACCGGCTATGAACCACTGTACATCATATGATGATGGTTCCACTATGTCACTGGTGTGATCTGCAGTCGCATGACATCATCGGCGTGATGCGGTAACGTGAAATAAATCGCGTGACTACAGCACGCGACTGGATGTAACGTTACGGGGTGCGATGACCCCGTGGGACCCCGTGACTACAGCACGCGACTGGATGTAACGTTACGGGGTGCGATGACCCCGTGGGAGCCAGGGGATACCACGTTTTCGTGAAGCTCTAGACTTAGCAACTTGCTCATAAAGGCATTTTGCTTTAAGGGTAACTGCAAAGAAAAAAAAGATTTTTTTTAAACAGCCGAATTTGGACAACATGTCAAAAAACATTTTTTCCGCGAGAAAAAAAAAAGTTTTTCCAGCAATATTTATTGCGCAAGACTGATTTTAGTTTGCGGCTATTTCGTCCGTTTCAAATCGCGCGCCACAAAGTTGGTGCTCCGTGACCTTTAGCACCGATTGGCTGCTATACTTCTCATTGGTTAAGAGTTTGATTGACTGCTTGACTGCTTCGAGATTCGCACCGGGTGCACCGAACGTCCGTGACTAGACACAGCTGTTACGTACAAAACCTGGCACAGCCAGGTTATTACGTAATAGCTGTCCGTAGAAGGCTTCGGACGTCCGAATACTGCGTTAGCTGACAGATTATTTTTCTCGGCTTCCGAACCATCTTACGTAAAATTGTTTGAATGAATGTGTACTGTTATCGTGAATCTTGGCTTGTGATTGCGGCTTTGTAGATTATCTTTTTCGTTTTGCTGGAGACACAAACAACGGGCCTAACAAAATCGGTTGCATATTCCGCGTACCTAGCAAAAGCACTTCCCCAGTCACCTACGAAAAGCGGGAAACACGGAGTTCGCACCGTACCGACTTCCCAGTTTTTTACCTGCTTTAGAGCAGTTTTTACCAGCTGGCTGCTAGTAGGTATGTCTACTGAAACTGCAACTCGAAACTAGGGGCAGTGTCAGAGAGCAAAGAGACAAAGTTCCGAAAGCTTGCTCGCCCTCTTCAATTTCTAAACTCTCAAGTGATTGTACCGTAATAAATGCACAACGCCTCTTCCCCCCTCCCCCCCTTTCAGAAAAAAAGCACTATGTTCACTACGTACAAAATGGTCTCAGTTCATGCACCTGTGGGCAGGTAGCAAATCTTGCCCAAATTTATTCACACCGCGATGAGCGCAACACGTCGCTGTGCATGAAGCATAAAAACGGCAGATTTAGGAAAACAATTCGGAGTCCATTGTTTAATTAAAACAATGTAATTTTGTTGAAACCGCCCGCAACTTTTTACTCGCAGTATGCGTCGGGAATCTTCCACATTTTGAAACGGAACGAAGGAAGATTTACTTTTAAGGGGACACACTTCCTAGGGGGGTCAACTTTTGAACCCTTGTCTTAAAATTAATGAAATTTAAAGGGTAGGCTGGTGGTCATGCTAGAGGGTGTATAACAAAATTTCAGGTCTGTCGGTTATATGAGAAGGAAATTAGAGTAGCTTTTATCAGCAACACGCCTACATTGTTTAGTTAATCTATCGTCAAAAAACTATCACGATATTCAAGATTTTTATTTGTTAGATATGTATTAGAATGCCTAGAGGGTGCGGCTATGGAACGTTTTTTCTAAAAAGTCATTTATTTCTACAAATTTTCTCTTCTGCAAAATTGGTCAACTTTTTGGTCTTCTGTGTCTTCGACAAAATGTTCATATTTTTTATATAACAAATCCGTAAAGTGACAAAAAAGTTCCATAGCCGCATTCCTTATTAAATTTCAGTCAGGAAAAGGGAAGAATGAGCCTCCCCTGTTTTGCCATTATCAAACGATAGATTGACTAAAATGGAATTTATACCAAAAAGTCGAACGGCGGAAAATGCGTTCAAAGTACTCCAAACCCTACCCTTTCTTTAGCTTTGGTGGACAGAAAATAATTTATAAAAAATTAACTATGCAGTGTAAATTAATTAAACTTTTTTTTGGGATACTCTCTAGATGTTGGTGGATGTAAATATGTAATTTTTCAAAATCAACTTTTTTTCCCGAAATTTTTTTTTTCTGGGCAGTGTCTCCCCTTAAAAACGCTCGCTGCGCCCTCCCGGACCAGTTTGACTGGATCAGCTGACGACGATGGGACTGAACCCGTTGAACCTTAACCCCACAACAATTAATTTGCGCTCCGTGTTAGTGTGGGTGTCAACTTCCAAGCACTGCACCACACACACCACGAACGTTTCAGTTCTTTGTCGCATCGCCGTGTTGCCCCAAACAGAACGAGATCGCCGAAGTCAACGCAGCGCTGTCGTGAACGTTGGCTTGTGGTAGTGCACTCGCGAACCCTGTGATTCCCTTCGCTTTCAAAGCATACACAACGATTACGAATGATCCTTTCCGTCTTCCGGGAACATCACAGGGGCACTTCTCCGGTCACGTCTTCGCTATGTGCTCGCAACCGCGCAGCTTCTCGTGTCCCGTCAAACCAAAACAATACCGGCGCCATGTTTAACGTGCGTTGTTGCCAGATCTTACCGGAAGTCGAGATGCTGCGTCGTTTAACTCTGCAGCCCAAGAGCAAATCCAAGAGTGAGGGGCGGGGCGTACTTCTCCTCCGCGGGAGTCGAAAGAGCGGGAGTTTCAAATATGGAGAGGTTCTGACTCCGACTAAATTACGTCTTGAGGCGTAAATATTGGTAAAAAAGATTATTTCTTTCGCGGAACATTTGCTTTGCGACATGCTTGTTCCAATTAGGTTGTTTAAAAAAGCAGTTTTTTTCTTTGCCGTTACCCTTTAAAAGCCAGCTGCCACGAACGAAGCTTTGTACAAACCGAGGTAAAACCCCGCCGCTCACTTTTCGGCAAGTGCTTGTATCTCTTCCTTGGAGTCGAACTTTGCCACCCAAACTCGGGATGCCAGTTCCAGGGCGTTGGACGGATCCTTCTCTTTGGTAGGCAGTACCAGCTGCAGCATCAGCAGGCACTGCGAGAAACCGACAGTTGACACGTAAGACGGACGTCCATCAAAAGGTTGCTCGCTTACGATCATTGTGTTTGCAGGGCAGAGCTGCGTTCAAGTTTCAAAGGGCAAAATAGTGAAGGCGAGTTGGTTCATTACGCACTAAAAGCGCCAAAAGATAGGGACAGAGTAAAGGCGACGGCAACACAAGGCGCTTCACCTTGTTGTCGTCTTAACTCTGTCCCTGCCCTTTGAAGCTTTTAGCGCGTAACGAACCAACTACGGTTGGCTCGCGGTAACTCAAACTCAAATATTTCATGCCTCTGGTTGATTACAACAAATTTCAAAATTTGGGTAGTCCCGTTAGGTTTTCAGTGTATTTATAAGCCGCTTAATTCCAACGGTGTTTTCTTTTTTGTTCTCGCGGCCCCATTGAGCGTGCTTCTTTCCGAGCACCGGTGCACTGCGGAGGAGCAACATGCAAGGAGCTCGCTTCCAAGCATCAATGCACAGGCAGAAAGATAAACCTTGACATACTTTGTTTTGGTCCCCCTAAAAGATTGGCTAGCCACAATCCTTCCTTTTACATGTAGCAACACGGCTGGAGCGTGGCACAAAAGACCTCTCACCAAACGGAAACTAAAAAGACACGAGAAAATATTCTGCAATGCGTGTATACCAGCCCACTGACTTTTCAGTGTTACTGGACGGAAGCAAAAGAATAGGGAACCATGGCTGAACTAGGCAACATCAATAACATGCTGTAAAAGCTTTAGTATTCTCACTGTCTTGCCTATCCACATTGAGCCACTACGGGGAAACCATAAAAATGAAAATATCTCGCATTCCAAGTCAAAATTGTGCGGCGACAGCAGTGCCTCCTGGAGGGGGAAACACCACCTATGGCTACGTAGTTATGGTGCTCTACAACAAATGGCACGCAGCATATAAAAAAATGTCACACCTTGAAAAAAAAAAAGTTCTTTTATAAGTCGCATTGTTGTATAAACGCACAAAGAAAAATGTTAAAAAAAAACCGCAACTTATACACCAAAAAATACAGTATCTCTTTTTTTTTTTTTTTTCATTTTGAGAAACAGCGCGAATACCACACGAACAATAAGAAGGAACACACAGGACGAGGCGCTGGCTATCAACTTTCGATTCAGAACCCATACATAGACATTCACACGAGGACGGCTTCTTCTCGCGTGAATGTCTATGTATGTGTTCTGAATCGACAGTTGATAGCCAGCGCCTCGTCCTGTGTGTTCCTTCTTCTTGTCTGTGTGGTATTCGCGCTGTTTTTCAAAATGAATTCATACCAACTCGCCCAACTTTCCATTACAGTATCTCTATTGCTGCGAGTTTGCTAGAACGTCTTGCCATTTATAACTGGTCATTTTTATTGACTCATGCCCAACAAACAATATGCCATCAAAAACAAGCTTCCACAAAGAGCACTTGAGTGCCCCTCTAATTTTGTTTTGAGGTGTCATGCGCTTCTAAACAGTCCACAATAAACATTTTTACGGGCCGAATAAACTTGTGCCATGCATTTCACTAATGTTTCAAGTGTGGTATATACCTGCTTATGATTATTAAGCCTGTGTAGAGGAAATCATCAAATATCTGCTTTGTATCTGTAGTCATCCATACAGCAAATGATGCTTTTCTCTCGCTTCGTATTTAAATAAATTTCTGATAATCTAAAACGAGATTCATGGCTTCCTGGAAGTTGAATTAATGCGTCTACTGTAGTCAAACTCGCCGATTTGAGTTGGTTTATGGTTAAGAAAGAAAAACTAAATCCCGACCCGTTCAAAACATGCCAAAAAAACATCAATATGTCCCTCGGCGTTTTACCAAATGTCTACGTCAAAGTGGCTTCGCCCTTCACCAATACAAAGCAAAAGAAACCAGTGTAGAAAACCAAAAAAACCAGGAGTACCGTTCCTCAACTGACATAGCCATAGTCAGCCCTGAAGATGTCACAAAACCCGAGTTAGCTTCATACGGACGCGAAACCTTAGTTAGCTTCACATGGTCGCAAAACCCAAGTTAGCTTCACATGGTCGTGAAATCTGAATCAGCTTTCGTTAGAGTGCAATTCTGCATAAAGAAAAGAGGGGAGGGGCGAGAGGGCGTCCCACCTGCAGGGCGGTCTCCCGCACAACCAGCTCGGGGCAGTAAAGGGCCGACAGGAGCACCTTGATCTCGGCCACCTCGGCTCGACTGCAGCCTTCCAGGCCGCTGATCGAAAAGCACACGTCCACCGCCACCTTCTGGGCCAGCCGCTGCAACAGTCCAGGTGCCTCGTTTTTCATCAACTTATTCCCTCGCAAAGAGAGTACAGAGTCGACGCTTTGATCACCATCACAATGAAAGCAAACTGAGGCATCGATCTACATAAGGATACAATTAGTAAAAGCTACAAAAACTAGCAAAGGGCACATACCTAGAAATCCCCAATGAAAGCGCACCAACGGTTAAGAAATAGAGAATAGCGAAACCTTTCAGGATGAAGCAGTAAAATACAGGAGAGGAGGGGCCCCACACAGTGTTCTTTAACCAACTCCAACACTATTTTCTATGTTTCACTATTCCCCACTATAGACTGACATAAAAAAATGTTAAATAAAAAATCTTGGGAACTCTATTGTAGCAGCTTTCTGTTTCGCGTAAGTTCATAGCGTTTTCTGCATGCTGCAATCGTGATAAAATAAACTTCACTTAACTCTGTTGGAGGTGTGGCCAACATTTCCATCACATCTACTCAATTCAGAACAACAGGTGCATCCTCTTTTAAGTGGTAGCATGATGGCTGAGGAGAGTCCTGTACGACACTGCTTGAATTTGATCGGGTGGGCGATGCTTCGGTAGTGTTTATTCTACGAATTTTTAAAGGAACACTCTGGCGATTTTTCATGGTCGTTGATTTGCCTCAAAAGTGGCTCAAAGCACCGATAGACACGGCTGTACCAGTTCCCAAAATACTGTGTGAAAAGAAAAACGATTCCCGAAGTTACTGAATTTTCTAATTTTGTTTTCATCATGATTCTTAGACCGAAAGACCCTGCTGGCAACATTGAAGTGCAGCAACAGAAATGGTACAAAGTGGGCAGTAAGCCATGTTCCCAATTGATTACAAGATGTTTGATGGTGGAAAAAGAATGCTTGGTAGCCGATTCACTGAGAAGCACGCAAAAAACACTCGACATACTCTGTTTAAGACTACCTGCACGACCTGAAAGTCTGTACCATTTCTGACGACACACCCCTGGAGAGCACGTGGAAATTTAAATGCTGGTTTCGGCATCGTCTTCATTTACGGTTTTCTCAATAGCCATTTTGTATTTCAAGAAAATAAATAGCATACAGTGAAGAGTGAAGTCCGGGTACTCAGAAAATGCAATTTGTTTGGATAGCTCAGAAAACGGCTGGTGTACAGAAGAATGGGATGCAGAATCATTCAGGATTATACAGTAAGCATACTTTATAAATTACAGCACATTTAACGGCACAAGTGCCACAGCATGTCGTAAACTTGCTGGCAACGGTCCAGTAAAACTTGTTTCCTTTCATTCATCTCATCAAGTTAGCAGACAAACGTGAATCAAAGGGTCTTGCCTGAATGCGGCCTGTTGTTCGGCCGAGGAGGCTGACAATGGCCTCCAGCATTTTCTCGACGGGAAGGTTCTTGGGATTATCCTGTAAAACAAGAATAAAACAAGAATAAAGCAAGCACTTTGCTCCATTTGCTGCTAGTCAAGGCAGTTATTTTAGACATCATGGTCTGTTTAGAAGGGCCGAGGCAATAACTGGTCACAGAAAATGCGTTTCAGTCTCGTTTCAGTGCATGGGAGCTGTAGAGAGTGCCTGTTGCAGGCACACAGCACAATATGCCTGTTTCATTTAATTGCACCAGTCAACACCGGTGCAGAAAAGCGTAGCGCGGTGCACAAAATGCAGGATAGTGTATAGTTCCGGTACGTTTTAAAGGGGCGGTGCAACGATATTCAATTGGAATATTTTTCCCTTTACACGAGCTCACTGGCACTAGTGGGACTCGAGGATACTCGCACGCAACGCCACTGACCAAGAAACTCCTTTGTTGCGCTGTAATTTCAAGGACAAAACCGAGATTTTTCATTCAATCTCTCCTTCGCAAAACCTGATGACGTAGCTGGGCGGTAGCAGTACCGCCCAGTGACGATATTTGAATGAGGCTCATAGATTGGACCCGAGCGTGGCGTGGACACTCGATTTGGGCTCGTGATAATCGATAGCTCTAGAAGCATTTGGGTAGTGTCTTTTGTCCAATCGCTGCAATGACGGCAACAGCTGAACCCATGACAATGTCCGGAACTCAGCGCGTGTCCTGTGCTTTGCCAACCCCAGCGCATGGCAATGATCAACATTGGCGGCATATAATCGGCTCCAGATCACGTGGCTACTTGTTCTGGCTGCGAGTTGAGGGGGTGAACTTTGCTCGTTTTTCTTTATTTTTTTTTCTGCGACTTCGATTGCGTGTGGTGAAAAGCGAACGGGTATTTCACAGGTCAATAATGTCAGGGATCCGTTCTAAGCGGTATTTGCGCAAAATACAAAAATCGTTGCATCGCCCCTTTAAGATATGCTGCATTCAAAAACCTAATACAACAGTGTGCACCGAGTGTAGCTGGTGCAGGAGGTGTAGGCCAATCGAATGAGCCTTTCCAAAGTTCTCAAGATTTAGGGGATTATTTCATTCCAAAACCGCTCGCCTCCACAGGGCTCGGTTCCTTGTCCATCTATCAAAGTGGCAAGGGCCCCCACTCTCGAGAATTCTCACTACAGCCCGAGGGCAGCGAATGAGTGGTTGCCTTGGTCAGCTGCTAGTTGGCGTGGCTGGTGGCCAGAAAGGGTAACTTTGGGCGGCATATACCACCAAACGACTGGACACAAACTCCGCATAACGGTTGGGAAGGACACTCGTGTTCAAGCTTGAGATTGTGTCCAATGATTGTGGCAGTGGGTCGACTCAGATTTGCGAGGATTCCGTATGAGACGGCGCTACCTGCTGTGCCAGACAGAAATTAGAGTAAAGACGCAGGCGAGCTGGTGACGAATCATAGTAGAAAAACTCTGAGACACTTGTCTCTGGGTTTTTCTATTATGATTGTCTGTCCAATCGGCACAGGGGCGCGAGAGCGAGCTGAGCAAAAGGGTGAAACGGCGTGCACTCACCAGGCTGAGGGGCTCCCTGGCGCGCATAAAGGAGTGAGCGCTGAGCACCTGCAGGCACTGGGTGACCAGCTGGTCCCCCGAGTCCGGGCTGGCCAGCACCAGGCGCAGCAGGGGGAAGGCGAAGCAGAAGGCGGGGGAGGCCAGGCGACGGCTGCCCCCACAGGTCAGGTCGTGGAGGCGACCCACCACCCGCTGGGTGCACTCCTCCAGGTCCTCCTGGGTCCAGCGGGGGTCCAAGGGGCAGCAGGGCCCCGCCAGCCGTAGGGTCAGGAACCCCACCCACTGACCTGGGCACGGGCGGGACGCAAATCGGCGACTTTCGGTAACTGCCCTTTAAAGCATGGTAGGTTCTCCAGCTGCATTCCTACATTCGGTGCCAAAGTTTTCTGCGCGACTGGTAAAGTTGGAACGCCTGCAAAATATGACGCTCGAGGCTGATTTCACCCAAACAAAGTCGCGACCCTTTCTCAGGCACCCAGCTAGGCTGAAAGTGTAAGCTGCCATGGGACGTTGCAGCTATGCCGAGCTGGAACAGTGAGGGGACAAGACGAAATGAGGGTGAGGGGACGAGAGGAGATAAAGTGTTTTGGGGCTTGTAGCGTGAGTTTAGGATGCAACAATTTTGTGTCAAACGAAGATTGATGCAAACTATGCACGTAACCGGACACAAGTATTCCCAGTGCTGCTGACAACAAACCTTGAGCAAGAGGCAAAATCAACTTGGCACCCAGCTAAGTTATGGCAGCTTCCGTTTTCGAAATGCTTAGCGAGATTTAGATTTTCTAATGCTTCTTTGTGAGAGCATTCCTGCATTAGAATGTGAACTCGTTTCTGTGTGCATCGAAAGTGGACCATTTAGCGAGTGAAAGGAAGAATGCCCAGATTGGAAAGCTTTTAATTGACAGGGGTTGATTGATGCGTTCGGACAAAACTTCCCCCCGTTTTTAAGCTTCAATTGAATGGCCACATGCTAAATTGTATGCGGAGTGCAAGTTTGTCTGCTTCGTGCACAGGGGTTGCGATAACATCAGAACACCAAATTCTTATTAGCTGATTGAAAAAATAAAAATATATAGTGGCTAGACCTCAAGCAGGCACATAGCCAGGATTTTTCTGCCAAATTTAGTGGGAAAAGTCTTCTGCCAAATTTAGCGGGCAATTTAGCGGCAAAATTAGCGGCCTTATGCTTGCACGAGGCTGAGAAGCAACAGCAGGCAAAGATTAAGAAGCCAAACTGAAAGAAAGTGTGCAAGGACACTTCCAGCTACTTTGCAGGATCATTCTAACCTCAAAAATGTTTGTGCAACTTTCAAGTGCCGTTTTCTCAGAATTTATTTTGTTTCTTTCAGTGGTCTTAAGAGCGCTATATCTTAGAAACTGCTGAATGGATTTGAGCGCTGTTTCCTGTTCCTAAATAACATTGTGAGGGCATGACAATTTTCTTTTTTTGATAAATTGAGTCTGGAGTTCATAAATAAACAAACTAAATTTGATGGATGTGGTTATAACCAAAAATATAAAATTCAGTATTGCAAAAAATGTTTTTTGTAAAGATAATATTGAAAACGGCCTTGCCTACCCCTAGTGTGAATTTATCCAGGAATCATTTTAACAAATTTCGCACCACCCCTACCTCTGCAAATTCTCGAGGCCCGGAATACCGTATTTGCTCGATTCTAGGCCGACCCCCCAAAACAGCAAGGCCAAAAAAAAAAAAAAATCCTCGATTCTAGGTTAGTCAGAAACGAACGGTAAAACACCATAAATTATAAACAGAACGGCAGTTATTTCCGATATGCAATACTAGATCAGCTACGAAGCCGACGGGGCTGTTAGCGGTCTATGTCCGCGTTTTCAAATAAAGATGTGAGCAACGCCATGAGTCGCCGTGAGCAACAAACAAAAGTAAAAATTTTTTTGTGTGCGTTTGCGAAGGAGAGAAGGGAGGGGGCAAGGAGCAAGGTGCATGGCTGGCATGGCGCCATCGCGTCCTTCTCCCTCCCTTTCCCCCCCTTGCGTAGCGAGGGTCATGCAGGAGTTGCACGGCAGCGGAGGCGAGAAACCCGACGCCCGAGGTATGCTCGCGATCGGCGGCCACCGTGGGGCGGCCTGCTGCTGTTTTGGTTGTTTTCGTGCACCAGAAGCTTTCTGAAACATGAAGCGGCACGACTCTACGGCGACGAATAAATACGACAGTTTCGGTTTCGGTAGCTGGCGTTGCCGCGAAGTGGTGTAGGCGGGAACCGCATCCTCGTTTCTAGGCCGACCCCCGAGTTCGGATTTTAATTTTTTTATAAAAACCGTCGGCCTAGATTCGTGTAAATACGGTAATAGAAGCACATGAACTATTATGACGAACCCCCGTCACTTGACACCTAGCAAGTACAGGACCATAAAACTTTGCAGTTACCCTTGTGTTGGTGTTATGAGCATGCCCTGACAATTTCATCGTGATATCCCTAAAAATAAAAAAGTTTGTTTTTGGGGTCAACGTCCTATCAGAACTGGGCACATTTGATGAGTCAGCAGGACTAGATAATCGGAGGAAGGCTCACCAAAGTGTCTGAGGTCCGGGGGGAAGAGGACGTCCTTGAGCCCGAGGAAGGCCTGCACCACGTAGGGGGCTGCCAGACGACTGCTGAAGAGCGACGTCAGTGCCTGCACCACCTCGGGGAACAGCGGAGCCCCGTGAAGGCACACCGTGGGCGCCGGTGCAGACAGCGCCGCCCCCAGCAACTGCAGCGCCCTCTCCACCGACTCAGCCAGCTGAAGCAAAACGTGGTATCCGGCTGTCACAGTGGGTTGCCAGAAAGTTGCAGCGCCAGAAAAGCACCACCTTCCCGTTAACCCAGGGGTCCATTCCAGTTTTGGTCAATGCGAGATCTAATTAGCCTCTTGTGGAGCGAGCGAAGATAGCGTTCGTCGACAGTTTGTCTGCTAACTTAAGCCAAGAAAGTGGTTTCTCTGTTACGAAGCATCATTAGAGGCAGAAATGAAACGAGAAAACACCGTACGTCGTTTGCTAGCAGATAAAAAAAAGTTCATCGTCTGCTACGAACAGAGTGCCGTGGCAAAGTGAAATCGGGTGCAGGCTAAAATTGGGACCTTCTGCCATCTCCCATTGGAAGCCATTGAAAACTTGCTCTTCATTTGGCAATCTCAAGTTGTCCCACTGCCATGCGCAAGCAACATCGACCGGTGGTCGAAGTACTACTAAGGACAAGCACATCAGAGGCCGCGAGACCTTTCTCGTTATTTGTATATTGGAAAGAAATTTTCACCAAAATGTCGCCCAACTGTAAAGTCGCGAAGGAAGTAACTCGGGAACGGGTCAAGCATGTCTCGGTCAATTACGAGGAAGCTGCGGTGCCCCGTCCAATCGGTAGCCGAGAACGCTCTCGCCTCGAGCAAATTCGGACACCAGGGCAGTGGATGGACAAACGTGTCTTTCGAATGTCCGGCTCCATGCCTTCCGCCGTGCTTTGGCTGCTTGCGCATTAAACGTCCAAGCTTCGTCGAAGGTAGAAAGCTTGTGCTGGAGGCGGGACAACTGAAGCACCTCCCTGCCGTTCTCGTCTTGACAGCGACTATAGTTGGTGCTGCTGGTGTGGCCACAAGCGGCACTTTGGGCAGCATGTTTCGTAGAAAGGAAGAACACAAGCACCGCATGACTGAGCGGACGAACACATGGACATTCGAGCGCGAGTTCAGGTCCGACAATCCCAGCCATGTGACGTCTCGAAGTTGCGAGAGTACCGCGCAGATGGCGCTACCCGTCAAACCAAACTTCGTTGCCCGGCCGGTCCAGTCAAATCGAAACGGAGGATGATGCGAGAGAGAAACGGGAGGTGGGCAATGGCTCTTGCAAACTGCGTGCGAGTTTGGCCGAAAGGGTGGCCGAAAGGATGGCATGGCCCCGACGGGCATCAAATCTGCCTTTAGCCGTGCCGCCCCAGATGATGCTTGTAAACGTAATGGTCTTAAATAAATCACAACAAACATAGGCTGTGTTCCAAAATTTACTCGATCCGACTCCGGAGTAAAGGTTTCGTACCTTGGCGTTTCAAAACTTACTCGCACTTACTCGATGACGTCAGAACTCGCGTTCCAGAAGCGGGTTGTTTACTCCGGAGTAATTACCCACGTTACCCTCCTCGATTGGGGGGTAACGCCGGATCAAATCGAGTAAATACGTCACGTGATCTGTTCGTCGTCTGCTTCCTGCGCCGACAGCCGTCAAAGCTCGATTGCTCCGTTGGCTTTTGCGGCAGACGTTCGAAATAACAAAGGAGGTGCGGCCATTTATATGTGGTTATTGCAATTTGCTGTTTTCAACGCAGGAATTTATTGCACCAGATCCAGACCGTGTACCTTCCCTCAGGAAGGTATACTTGTTGTCGTCAGAGTGCGAGCATAAACAGGAGCTTCTCCGCATCCTCGTCCTCAGCGTTGGAGGGAACTCCGTATTATTACGTTAAAGGATGAAAATGTTCGAACGCAGTAGATAATGTTGAAATTTCGGGGGGGGGGGGGGGGGGGGGGTTGTTTGTCCCCAGAGTGTGTGTAATGAGAAGATTACGCTAAAGCAGAGAAGGCATCGACGCTTTTATGTATACGTTCAGTCAACAACCCCACCACATTTCCCTCCCTAAAGAATTGTCTATGCGGTTTCGAAGTGCTCTCTGTGATTTTATAATCATATTCGCGTCAAAGCGAACGTAAGTTACATATCACTGTTGAGAAAGCCCCATGCGCTCTACCGCTACACCGTGTGGGAGCATTATCCGCAAAACGTAATCGGTGCTAACTACGATGAGTTGATGCTGTTTATGGCGCCTGGACAAGACTTACAGCGATCGCGCAAATTAATCAAAACAAAAATGTTGATGTCTAACTGAAATGAAAGAGTATTTTTTATCTAAATATACGGCCTAAAAGGAAGGTGAGCAAAAGGAGCTGGTGGAGCCATTATCGTCTCTATCAGAGCGGTTAACATGATCGTCTCTATCTGGTTTCTCCGTGATCAAAAGATATCGTCTGCTATTTTCCGCCATCGCCACTATGTTTTCTTTTTGCCGTAGCCCAAGACGAAGCCAATCCGCGTAGTATCCAGGTGATTATTCCGGCCGTTCCAAAATCGAGTCGCGGATCGTTTACTCGCGATGTCACGTGGTATTACCCGCTGACGTAGGAAGCAGGTTACTCGGGTAAGATTTGGAACATAGCCATAATCTGCTTCGTGCCATCAAACAAACACCATTTCTTGTGAGGCCCATCATTCAATGTTTTGTGCACTTACACTTTGGCCCCTAGAGACGGGCACCCTGGTTTTAACGAAAGACCGCCCAGATAAATATCAAATGATAACGACCTAACAAGAAAAAACAATATAATGAGACCTCTCCTTACAGTTTAACCGAAGCACAGACACATACTTAAGTTGGGACGTCGAAAATTTCGACGACAAACCAGCACAGAAAAGACAAGGCAAAAAAAAGCACAAACTCCCGCGAAATTTTTTTTTTTTTTTTTTAGAGTACGGTTAGGCATTTGTTTTAGTGTTTTGCGGCGTCAGCATCAGCGTAACTGCGCAAAATTTAGCAGGAAAAATTGATGTTACGTGACCTCAACACGAATTCAATTCTCCGCTAAATTTAGCGGGACCTCAACGCCAATTTAATTTCCTGCTCAATTTAGAGGGGAATCAAATTGGTGTTGAGGTCATGTGATCCCAATTTTAACCGCTAAATCTAGCGGAGAAACTGAACTTGTTCATAGGTGACGTGATACCAAGTCATGTGACGTCATTTTCTCCGCTAAGTCACTAAATTGGTGTTGAGATCATGTGCCGTCAATTTTTCAGCTAAACTTAACGGGGAAACTGTCGGAGGAGGGGAGGGTACGGAGGAGGACAATGAGAGAGTATGCAGGAGGAAAGGAGGAGGAGAGGAATACCCTCCCCTCTGTACCCACCTCCTAAAAAGCTGCGCTCTAATTTCGCGTTACAGAGCTTTGTATACGTCTCATTTTTTCCTCAGCTAACAGTCGGCACGTCTTATTCTTTGCTTCCTTTTTCTAATTTTTCTCGCGGCACTTGTTGTCATCATTTGATTTCTTTTGTACGGAGTGTTCTCAAGCACTGTTCAGGCACAAACAGAAACTCTTATCTTATAAATAAACCAATAAGCTGAGTAAAATTAAATTTTTCACAAAGCTGTCTTTAAGTGGTGCATTTATCGTACTCAAATTTTATTAGTGTAGGGTTCAAGAAAGAAAAAGTAAAGAAAAAAAAATCAGTTTTCTTTCCCTATGCACAAAGAATAAGACGGCAAAAACCGTCTGGTTGATGCTGATGCTCACAGACGGCAAAACAGAAAGAAAAAACATGAAATCTTTTGAGATGGATACCCGAAAGCAGATCCAGCAGATTTGAGCATGTGTGTGGTATACAATCTGAGCACCAGCATCAACCAGACGGTTTTCTCCAATTTCTTCCCTGTGCATAGGGAAAAACAGGTTTTTTCGGGGCTTAAATATTTTTCCCGAACCCTACACTCGTAAAAAAAATTTATGGCAAATTGCTAGGCAATTGGATTGCCTAGGAAAAACGTTCTAGCATAACAAATGTTTAATGATGCTCCGAGTTTCCAGATGCCAGACACCTACGTTCACGGCGCTCTTCATCACATAGTTTAACGCATACCATGTGTACACTTGATAGATGTTCCAAGAATGAAGCGATACTACTGCCAATTGGGCTGATAAACTTGGCAATCTACAGGAGCCTTCCCTACTCTCGAGCTCCTCTCCCACTGTGTGCACAGGTGGTCGAGTTCCTCCTCGCCTACCCTTCTTGTCACATGACCTCCCTGTTAACCAATCAGCGTCGAACACCTCGCTCCTCCTCTCCCACTAGTCAACCAACCAGTGTCGAGCCCACGGCCGCGCTTTCATCCAGGCTTCACGAAATGCCAAACACCTAGCCAAAGAATGTTTCCATGTTTCGCGTTAAAAATACGACTATGATAAATGGACCACCTAAAGACACCTCTGTGAGAAGTTTCAATGCACTTTGTTCCTTAGTTTATCTATGAAATGTTTTTTTACGCAAATAGTGCTTGAAAACACCCAGTGCGTTTGGTTGGCATTTGGCATTGATACACTGTCCCCCCCCCCCCCTCGACGGTTGTCTCAGAAAGGTGCCGACCTTCCGGATGCGCAGGCGCACGGCGTGCTCCTTCTGGAGCTGCGCTTCCATGGCTTCCTTCTGCTTCTTGCTCAGTTCGGGCTCTTGCACCTTGCTCTTCTTCTTGGCCTCCAGCTCCTGCATAGACGATGACATGTCGAAAACAAGCGTTTGAACAGAACAGCCCCCCCACACACACACACACAAGCCACAAGGAACACATGCACTTGTGCCTTCGAGAACTTACATCCACCCGGCTTCATTAAACCAGTTGCCCAACAAGTTTGTTTGTTTTCTTTTCGTTGTATGCTAAATTTATTAACGGGATGAAAAACCTTCATTTATATTTTCTCCAGCGGAGTAGGTGGCAAAGAAAAATGTTGCTGTAGCGACTTGACAATGTCTCTGCCCCCGTACAGCTGGCTGGATGGGGCAAAGCGAGCATATAACAGAGAAGCACTTAATTACAATACCGTAAAATACCGCGGAGGTGACCACTACAGTGGAACCTCATTGATATGTTTCTCAGGGGACCACAAGAAAGAAAACATATAATCCGGGAAGACGTAAAAAACGAGAAGGCCCCCCAAGGGCTGGGAGCTCGGCGGGACCGGCGGTTTTGAACGTAAAAGACGGGAAAACGTAAAAACCGGGAAAACGTAAAAACCGGGAAAACGTAAAAACCGGGAATGTATCAATGAAGTTCTAGCGTATTAACATTTCCCAAACTTGGGAAGTTGCAAACCATACGTTAAGTGCCCGATTTGACTGGACAAGCGCCCATGTCTAGACTAACCCACAATCATACACTACAGTAATTACAATATGCACTAATATTGCAAGTTTGGAAAGCACAATGAAAACACTAGAACGCAAAAATAGAATACACCAATCTAAAAGTGAAAGCACACAAGACCCAAACGTACCTCAAGAAGCCTAAAAAAAGAAAGAAAGAAACATAAAAGAGTCAACATGATGCATAAATGATGATCACACTCGATAAAGAAAATATTACAATTTAGTTTGCAATAAAAAAAAAAGAAGTGATTTAGGTAGCGATAAAAAAAAGATTTAAGCAGGGAGGTCTTCCAGTTGTCCCTCCTCCAGTTACAGCTTCCTACCTTTGACAATGCTTGGGTGTCTCGCGAATTTTGAGTGTGCACGTGCGTGCAAACCACAGTGGAAGGCAACGAGCATGTGCTAGAGACCGAGCGTCGGAACGAAACGCCCAGCCCTTCTTTACCTGTCCGCAGTTTTAGTTTCTAACAGTTGCCGCAGTTGCGTAAAAAAGTGGAGGCCGGTTTTCATACTTTCCAGTGCCGCAGCAGCAGCAACCAACCGCACCGACATTGTTACACCAATTATCCATTTGTGTGCATTCCACAAGTTAATCCGGGTTTGCAGCCATCCTAAGCAACTATGACACACTCCTAAGGCTCGCTTCAGAAGGGGCAATTTTCCCAGAAATATCGGCGTTGCTGGCGAGTTGTTCCCTAGCTTGCCCTACAATGATCCTGGTGCGCTGCAACACGAATTGCTGGGATCAAGATCGGCTCGAAACGGGTGAGCGACTTGGACAACTCGGAGACGTTTGAAGCGACAGCAGCCAATCGTTGACGCTAAATTTTCGCGGGACACCCCCGTGGTGGCGATGAAATCGGGGGTTTACTTGGTTCCGATACGAAATGGATCATTTTTTGGGAATAAATCGCTTTTGAAATTTGAGTTAGTGTTCTCAACGCCATTTTAAGATAAAAGGAGAAACGCTTATAGCGCGTAACCATGCGTCTAAATAGTGCGACAAAATGAAAGTTTAATGACGATGATAGCAAACCGTAGCAATTGGGTTGTTGGGAGAAATTGCTTCCTCCGAAGCGGGCCTAAAGCTAGCTTGGTTCCCCACCGCAGTGACGACCGAGTGTCTTTCGCGAGTCGCATCTACCGTGACAATGCAACGGCCTGCGACGTTCCCCGCTCCCGCCTTCAAAAGGAAGGAAGCCCCGCTCACCTTTTTGAGTTCAATCTCTTCCATCTGCTCCTTGTACGAGTAGACCTTGCTCTCGCGCTTGATGTTCTTCGACTCTGTCGTGGCTTCTACCACGCTGCAGGGAAGAGAGAGTGACACGCCGCTCTAGTCTCCACTTCCAGTTCTGGCTTACCAAGATCTCTCTTTTCTCACCGGGATTCGGCAAAGAAACTTATCCAAGCCCTGCGCCTTTGCGCGCGAGCACCGGCCTACACATCCCCACGTGGCAGGTTCGAATCCCGGCCGAGGTGCCCGCAATCTGACAGAGGCTTATTGCAGAGAAGGCGCCATGTAATCGAGCTTTCGGTTGCACGTCAAAAGATCCCCAGGTGGTCAAAATTAATCCTCAGTCCACTGCTGGGGCGTGCCAGATGACCATTGTTGGTTTGGCACGTAAAACCCCCAAATTTGACTTTGCGACTTTGCGCGAGGGGCAGCAACGAGTGCAGAGCCGTTTTAAATGTAAATACATTATCTTTTAGAGCGCAGCTCTTAGGCGCCCGTTTCCGGCTTGAGCGGCGTCGCCGTCGGCGTAACCAAGGTCACTCCAAGGTCATGTGACCCCTCCCAAGGTCATGTGACCCCCCCCCCCCCCCCCCCCCCCAGGTCACGCGACCCCCCGAGGTCACATGGCCCCCTCCCCGAGGTCACGTGGCCCCCCCTCCCCTCCGAAGTCATGCGACACCCCCCCCCCCCCCCCTCTGAGGTCACGTGACACCCTCCCCCCGGGATCAGGTGACCCCCCGGAGCAAATTAAAGAATGAGGGGAGGAGGAAGAGAAGGAGGAGGGGTCTACCCTCCCCTCAGTCCCCTTCCCTCCTCCTCCTCAAGAGCTGCGCTCCAACTCGGCGTTACAGGGAGTTGTAAACGGCTTTCACTTTTTTTTTTTTTTAATTTCAACCTTTGCAAAAGATGATGTTCGACTTCTTTCCCCCCTAATGTACCACACCGCTAAGGCCGCAGTACCGAATAAATAAGAACAGCTTTATTTGGTAGCAACGTTTGTGCACAAAGTGCAGTGGACTCCCATTAAACGAAACTCGCTTAAACGGAAAATTCGGATAAACGGAACTCTAAAGGTTGTTTCGGTTGGTTTCCTATGTATTTAATGATAAATTCTTCGGGTAATCGGAACCCCCCTTTCTGCTTACTTCGGTTAAACGGGACCGAAACCGAAACTACCCATGGCGACCGCGGACATCGGAAATAGCTACAGCAGTCTCACAACCATGGAGTACGCAATAGCCAAGACTGAGGACACTTTAAAGGAAAAGGGGTTGTGTTAGAACAAAATTTATACAAATATTATTATAAAAAAAAAAAAGTTGTTAGGCTAGGTGACGCGAGGTGCCGCTCGTTACAAAGGGTACGGGGGGTACAGTACAGCCATTCATCCATCCATCCAAGCCATTATATTAAGGCAATCCAATCCAGTCTTTCTACCGCCATTAGGGTTAGCGCCTCGTCTGTTGCGCGTCACGTTTACCATCGAGTACACAAACCAGCGTCCGCTTGCCGTGTTGTGATGGAAGCGGTAAAAAAGCGGCCGCACCAAGCGATCTCGCTTGCTACGAAAATGAAGATCCTTCAAGAGCTGGATCGTGGTGACCTCTCGAAGACGGAGATCGCAAGGAAGTTCGATATCCCGAAGTCTACACTCTCAAGGATATCAAAGGACAAAGAAAAGATTCAAGACGCTGTAAAGCGCGGAAGCTTTGCCACCGACCGAAGGAGGATGCGAAAGACGCCTTTTGAGGAAATAGAGAACGTCCTTTTTCTCTGGTTTAAGCGCGCGCGAAGTGCTAATTTCCCGATCAGCGGCCCCATCCTCGAAGAAAAGGCTGGAGAGATTGCGTCTCAGTTGGGAATAGATAACTTCAAAATGAGCGACGGTTGGCTCAGCCGTTTTAAAAAGCGCAACGGCCTAGTCTTTAAGACTATTTCTGGGGAAGGTGCAGCAGTCAACAGAAACCTTTGTACCTCCAAGGCATGCACACCTACTTCGTCAAAAAGCGATTACAAAATGCAAAACAAACTACCATTACCTCTTTTTTCTAGTCAGCTACATTAGCTGGACATCATGCTTGTGAAATAAAGTCATATTTCACTCATTTTATGTGCTTTGCTTTAATGAAACTTCTGATAAACGGAACAAATTTTTCTGTCCCTTCGAGTTCCGTTTAAGAGGAGTCCACTGTGTTCAGAATTTTAGGGTTTGCTTGCTCCTCAATACCTAATGCTCGCTAATTTGCTAGGAAAAGTAGTTATGTTTGTATTTGAGCAAATGAGTACAAACTTTACAAAATAAAAAAAGAATAGTGCACAAAGACAGCAATAAGTTGAAGACGGACACAGACACAGCACTGACTCTTGCCTGTTGTTTCTTTATACTTTAAAGTGCGTGGAAATAAAAGAGGAAGGAGAACAAAGAAAGATTACGGCAGAAGTCATTGACCCAGCCAGCCCACGACATAAAGGAAATAAATTTAGCAGTCCTGTGTTAATCCACAGTACAGTCACAGCGATACAGTGCAATCCACTTATAACGTAAAAAATTCTGTCTCATGGAGCGAGCCGACATCAGTTTGAAGCGCAAAAACGGCACCTTAAATCATGTACAACCATGAAACATGCGAAAAAACAATGCAAAACTGCCAAGAAAAAAGCATCAGAAATGAACTAAGAAATGGCAAAAAGTGAAGCAGAGCTGACGAAAAGAAAGCAAGCTGACAACTGCTGAAGCAGCGGTAACAGACGATGCGAGCGGCAGACAGGAGGAATGAAGAGGAGGGGGGACCACTGTGGGGGGGGTGAGGGAGGGGCATGCATTGTGACTAATGGCAGTCGCGGATTTCAAGGAATGCGCGCTTGGCCAATTGCGGTTTCAGAATCGCGAGAGTGGAAACCGCCGACCACGCTGTAACCATGCGGACGACCGGATTTTGAAGGCCGGCAAAAGGAAGAGAAAGAATCCAGCTCCAAAACAAGACCAAGATGTTGGTCTTGTTTTGGATGAAAGGGGGTCCCAACCTGGAGAGGACGGCCTTGTTAAAAAGGGTGCCCTCAGGGGTGGTGTAGATGGCGTGCTCCTCGGCCGTCACCGTGCGCAGCTCGGACTGGCCCAGCACCCCCAGAACCTCGGACACCACGGCGGGGAGGGTGTCGGCCGGAAGGAGGGCCACCAGGGTCCGCACCGCTCCCTTCAGCTCCTGGGCATACGCGAAGACACCGAGGCTCGAGTGGTGAGAAAGGGCTGCCTCTCTGGCATTTCTCAAAGGTGTTCTACATGCACTAAAACATTAAGGTCGGCTAGTTGGCAAAGCACGACGGACGCCAATAATGCAAATGACAGACGAGCACGTGGACACGAAGACGGGACTAGCGTTCCAGGTGCGTAGCGTTTAAAGCGCCTCTGGGACATCGCAGTCAAGTGACCGCCTGAAGTGATGTCGGGTTGCAACGCGTACGGCATCATGACATCGCGAAGACAAAGACGAGGGAGCGCAGATTGTGTCCCGCAGGCCGCACGGGTGTGCGGGAAACATTTCAGCACAGGTGCGCGGAACTACACTCCGTGCGTGGTTTGTGCTAGTTCTTTCATTGTGCACCGCAGACGTTAGCCAGGGCGAGGCCAAGCGATTGAGTGCGCGGCACGGGCACTACCTTATATGGCTCTTGTGCGATGCCTGACATCCAAGAGGCAAGCAATCCCACGGTACGACGTCACGCCGCTCTCGTTAGCACGTTTTGTCAGGAGCCCAACCTCTAGGAACAGTTGTGCTACGCTGCTCAGTGGCCGTAGTATCCGACTGCCACCGCAGTAACCCAGGTTCGAGCCCCCTGGGGCTCGAACCTGGGTGTTCCACTGGTAGCAGTGGAACACGGGACCGCCAAGTGTTCTGCCTCTACCCGACAGGCGGTGCCAGTGTGTCCTCTCGTCGTAAGATTTTAAGAGGTTTCAGAGCACTCGGTTCTAAGAAGTCGCAAGTGCGTGAACGGGCCTTTACAGAATCCTGTTGGAAGGATCTATGGATAATACTATAGCAAGTACTGCCAATAGGGATTCAGCCTAATCGAGCATGCATCAGCGGCTGCCTCCTCCCATAGTACCCTCCAAGGGAATGATTTTCATATAATTGATTTTAAATTGAAACAAGATAGGAAGGAACCAGCCACCTCCTTCAAAAGCGACGTAATTGGCAACTAGTCCAAGCAAAATGCTTAGCAGGCGTATGCGGAGTCGAAGCATTTACTGTCTGGAGTCCAAATTTCCCCACAAAAAGACAGGAAAAGTGAGGCCTACCGGTGTCAGCACTTTCTTGCCCAAGACGAGGGGCAGAGCTCGACTAGGGTCCACCGGTGCCTTCAGATCCAGTTTGAGGAGCTCTAAGATCCGTCGCCATAGCTTTGGATATCTCGACGCTGCAAAGGAAACAAAAGAATTCTCGTTCATTTCATTGTGCTGGCTACGACCAGAAAATCGACGCTGCACGCGTCAGTTTAAAAAATTGCCGCCAGATGGCGCTGCGTGTCCGTGCCGCCAGCACGCCGATAAAGCTAACCGCCGCAACCCCATGCCACTACGGGCCCCGTGCTAGTTAAAACGGACACGTTGGCGCACGCTCAGAGGCTTCTGCTCGTCTTGCCGCCGACCAACATGCCGTCGCCTCCATCATCCACATTGTCGGCAGTGTTCGACGCCGACGAACATGGTACCAACTCTAGTATCCACATCGTCGGACATTCACGCTCTCGCATTCACAACTCATAAGAAGTGCTTAGGCGTCTTTCGACCTTTTTCGCTACACCCCGGGCTCGTTAAAAGTAGGGTTCTGCGTTTTGTAAGTTTATTTTTTTAAGTGAGATCGGAGGGCGTTTTTCGGAGTTTATTCTTTACAGAGAATTCGGCACTTTTTGGAGCTTTCGTTTCATGGCACTCTCAATTCAGAGTTTTCTGGTGTTTATCATCATTGGTAGGTATAGGTACAGAAAAGCAATTTGCAAGTTTAATAATGCCCCATTTTTGTAGACAATGACTAGAAATATATACAGTCAACTCTTATTAATTCAAACTCTTTTAATTCAAGCTTGCGGATAATTCAAACTAAAATGCAGGTCCCAACCTGTGCGTCTTTATAGGAGAAAACTCCCGATAATTCAAACAAATTTTCGGCCCCCCTCGAGTTTGAATTAACGAGATTCGACTGTGAATCAATTAATCAAAAATAAGCATACAATTAGTTAAATTCACAGATCTCTCTCAAGACGAGCCCTCTTGAGATGGATGTGCCAATTGAAATTCCAGTTTGAAGCGATCAGGATCGCCCTTCCCATCAACCGTGGTAACTTGTTTTAGATAAAACTTGCGAGCAATAATATTTTTGCTGCCAACTACTTCAAAATTGGGGCATTCTTTGGCTCGCATACATGCAAATGACGAATTGAGTTCTTAACAAAGGGAAGCCAAAGAAAAGCAAATGAATGTTTGGGAAAGACACATGTCCAGGATAAAGGCTTCAAGTGGAGAGGAAGGTTAGGTCAAACGTATTCGACTGCAGCACGAGGAAGGTTATTGCTTGTTTTTCTGATAGGGGGTCAAAATACATTTTTTTGTGACAACAAATGCGTAACAAAAAACACTCAAAAGTTGGCCCACAATGTCAGAAAAAGGTAGAAACCAGTCGAATTTCTACAAATTCAGAGTTTTCCGGACATATCCGAATTGGCAATATTTTTACCGGCGAGTGCTTTCCGCATTTTAAGGAATTTTTCCGAAAATGCAGAACCCTAGTTATAAGTGGGATCAACCATATTGATGACCGTTGTGGCGGGTGCGTTCATTATGCGAGTGTGTTCATTATGGGAGTAAATACAGTAGCAGGCGATCATGATTTCAGCATTCGTCCGATCTCACTTTGCCATGGCGCTCATTTCGTAGCAGATGGTGAACATTTTTTTCCCGATTTGTTAGCAGACAACATACAGTGCTGTCTCATTTTACTTCCACCTGCAAATCATGGTTTGTAGCAGACAAACCACATTTTTCAATCCCTTCGGCAGACAAACTGCCTATGAACATTATCTTCACTCGCTCAACAAGAAGCAAATTACATCTCGCTCTATCGGTGACCGAAATCGAACCCTTGGCGCCACTGACCAAAGACGGGGAGGTGGGCGGGCAGGAGGGACTCCAGGGCCAGGTCCTCGACGTCCTTGGCGTCCAGGTTGGACCCAGAGCAGATTGTCACCAGGGCCTCCGACAGGACCTTGGCCTCCGTGGCCTCTGCATCCTCCACCTGACACGACCACGTGCAACACGGTCACGCGAGACACGAGCCAGAGTTTGCTTACGAGAGAAATGCTCGACACACATAGAGGGAGACCTGGGACAAAGAAGCAGACGGAACAGCGCTCGTCCCGTCTGCTTCCTTTTCGCTCGTTCGAAGCCTTCCTTTGCGCGCTGTGCTTTTCGCTCGCAAGCATGAATCAACTGTGTCGAAGCTGGCAGCTCACATTTAGAGGGTAATCCTTCGGGCTCAAAGCAGTTTTGCGAAACGTCAGACGAGTAAAACGTTCATTTGACGAGTTGGCTTCTGTGAACTCGGTGCTTCTAGTTATTCCTCGTCTCAAAATGCTTTCATGACCGGTATGCAAAAGTTTGACGAAAGGATCGCTGTACTGCAGAAGTCGAGTGGTGTGGTAGGTAGCTACAACCTTCGGCAAAAAGCAATATTCAAACAAAAGTGCAAAAGCTATCTAGCAAGGACAGGTTAGGACAGCTTCTGTTTCCCCAACTTCTCGAGCCCCCTTATTTAGACCACGTATTAATTTTTTTTGTGGACGACCAGTCTTGAAACTTTCACGTGACAGAAACGGATAGAAAAAGTTTCAGCCTGAGCAGAAATCTCTATGACGTAAAAAAAAACAGAGTGAAAACAACGAGGCATTTTTCCCGAAAAGCTTGCTTTCAAAAAGAGCATTCTGCCCCGTAGAAAGTGACCGTAAAAAGTGTATATGCCTTTTCCTATTGTAGACCCTTTCGGGTCCCCGAAGGCCTTCTTAAAATCTGCAAAGCCCTCGACCGTCTTTCGAGCTGAGCACTAACGCTTCTTTTTACTAATATGGGCCATCCCAGAAAGCTAAGGAGACCAAACCAAGTGTGCCAAGTGAGTAGTACTGATTATTTTCATTAATTTGAGCTTCACAGTCAGTTTGGAACCACTTGATTTCTTTCATTTAACCTTTTTTCATAGTAACTGTTCAATACCCACTGCCCTCACCCCCTTCCTCCACGGTGGATGGGGTCCCCCTTAACTTCCGCTGATCCAGGAGGGATTCCCGAAACGTCGGTGGTTGAGAGCCACTGCCCACGAGAGACTGATAGTATAATTTAAATAAATAAACGACGCGCAAGCTCCGACCGCACAGCCCGGATCTCGAGTGCGGCCGTTGCCACGGGCGGCCAAGCTCGCTCTTGCCTCACCTTTTCCTTGAGGTGGGTCTCCACGAACTCCGGGAACTCCCTGAGCAGGAAGCAGGCCAGGGAGGTGCCGCCCAGTACCGACACCAGCTTCTTGACGGTGCTCTGGGCCGACTGGCGCACAGGGTGGGCGCTGTGGCTCAGTGCCCTGAGCAGGGGCAGGGCAAAGGGCCTGCACAAGACAGCGTGCGTCCATGTGCTACTGGGTACACTACAGGGAGCGACAAATGTGTCTGTACTTCACTTCATTTTAAAGGGCCCATGAAACAAATTTTGGGCTGGGATAAATGCACTTAGGTTGGGATTTTACTAATAGCATATTCTTGAGTGGGCTAAACGGAAGAAGGTAGAAAGTCAAAAGCCTGATTTTCGGTACGAAAATCTGAAAACACAGAGGACTATTTCGTACCTCCTTCCCTTCCAAAGCTCTCTGCCCTTTCACTGTAATACATCCGCAACACCTGAGGCACGTCACTTGGCCCAAACGCACGTCGCACCACACCGGACCTCACTTATTCCCTTCACCCCTAAGCTGACAGTGCGGTGGAAGCTATGCACTTGTCGGACAAATCAGCCGCCTCCCTTTCATCACCTGACCTCATTCTCTGCGCATGCGTATGAGCGAGGGAGCGTAATCATGTGGCAAAAGAGTGGCGGGGTGCCCAAGGAGCATGTAGCTTCCACAGCACTGTCAGCTTCAGGGTGAACGGAGTGCTGAAAGCAACTTTTGTTCGAGTTTTGAGCAAGGGGCTAATCTTCTACGGGGACGATGGCATGTCCGGGTACACAAACGAGGGTTCAAGAAAGAGGAGAGTCCCTCCTTTTTCTCTTTTTGAACTGTTTGGTACAATGCACGATTTGTGAGTTGAGGAGGAAAGCTAAGAAGGAAAAAGTTGAAAAATCGTTTCATGGCCTCTTAAAGGGGAGATGCAAACCTTAAAAAACGAAAAATAGCGAAACTGTTTTTTTTTAGAAGATTACATATTTGAGTTTTTTATTCCATAAACTATCTCTCTTTTAATCGTCAGCCCCTAATTCATTAAGGGGGGACATGGGCCTAAATTTTTAATTTTTTTGAAAAAATTCATTTTTTAATTTTGAGGTTTTCAGTTTTAGAAACTAATTATACACCCTTACACCAAATTCGATAACCATACGCCAAATAGTTACGTTGATATAAAATATTTTCAACACATTGGGAGGCAGCAACAAAGTAAAGGAGTTCAATGTTTGAATGCATTTTTCTCAGTTCCACTTTTTGCTGCAAATTTCATACGAAGGAATCTTTTGTTCGATGGTGAAAGTATTCTGATACCACAATCAACATGTTTCTGAATTGAAATTTACTGAGGAAACGGGCTATCTACTTTATTTTGTTTTAAGTTGAAGTCCTCAGTGATAAAAAACTAAGTTTTCAAAAATTGACATAGGACAGATATGAATCTCATAGTTTGAGGTAATAACTGTTGCTGAAATACTTACAATTAAGTTATTAAAACTAGATAGCCCGAGGTCCCATATCCCCCACTTTATATTCAAGCAGCCAAAATGATGCTTAATAGCTTCATTTGCATATCATAGATTTCTTAATGAAAAGTGACACATCATCTTATGCAGGTATGTAAATTTGTCCTAGAGAGCTGAAATTTTGCACAGTACACCTACATCTGAAGCTAAATCTTCCCTGCAAATTTCACTCCGATCACTTGAGTAGTTCAAAAGTTTGACCTCTAGCCAGTGTCCCCCCTTAAGGAAATATGATTAAAAATTAATTACGAGGCCAGGATAGCTTCCAAATGGTGGTCAAAGCGCACAATCAACCCCACCTTCACGCGATACGTGCTCCTGTTTCTTTTGTCCGACGGCCACTATCTTGGTCTTGTTTTGGAGCTGAATTCTTTCTCTTCCTTTTGCCGCCTTTCAAAATGGCGTCGTCCGCGAGGTTGCGGTGTGGTTGGTGGTTTCCCATCTCGCGATTGCGAAACTGTGATTAGCCAAGCGCGCATTCCTCGAAATCCCCGACTGCCATCGGTCCCTCCTTCTCTCCATTTCTCCCGTCTGCCGCTCCTGTTGTCAAGTGCTGTTAACTTAGCGAAAAAGTCTCTAAATTTAACGTGTCCCTAGGCACCACCCGAACTAAGAGCACCACCCACCCTACAAAGGTACCACATTTAAATGCATTTGACACAATAACTAAACATGCAGCCAATGTTTTTACCACGCTTCTCGAGGCAAATACGTGTACTGTTTGTACCTGACCAATTCCGCTCACATGTGAGGCAATAGCAAAAGTCATGTCCTCTAAGTAAAATAACACAACAGCCCCTATATATAAAGAAGCAATTTTTTTCATTTTTCAGTTTGTAGTTGTACAATCACCCAGAAGGTTGTCTCATCTGCCAGAGTGTTCATGAGAGGGACTCACTTGAGGTTGGCCAATGAGGAGTCAGGGTGATCCAGGATCATGCGTGTGATCAGCTGAAGCACCAGGAGGTAGGCTGCAAACAGGGGAACACTCTGAACACATGCAGGGGCGGCGCTTGAGCTTGCAAAAACCTCTTGATGCGGTTCGTCCAAATGAAGCAGGCGTGTTAAATGGCGAACGAGACGAATGCTAAATGGGACTCCTGGTATTGTGTTTTGTCTCGCTCGCCTCGTTCGTCTATCGGCTGGAGTCTCAGTTCTTAGGCTCAAGGAGTTAATTACTGCATGGATTGGCGGCAACAACGGGATCTAGCATGGACGAAGAAAAATGTCCCATCTCTTTCCATTGTTGCAAGGACGATGAAAATAGGAGGAAACAAATATGTGCTGTCCCTCATACACTCTTGTACTTTCCCTATAATTCGGGGCCATTAGCATATATTCTGTTTGGTGTTCGGTGTTCGTTCAAAGTCCACACAAGCAAAAAAAAAAAAAAAAAAAAAAAAAAGAAGCAAAAAAAAGAGCAGTCCCGTGTTAATTTACAGCGCAGTCACAGCGATAGCTGCAACACTGCTGGGCACCAATGTCGCTTTCACGCACCGTGGGGTGTGTAAACAAAAGCGTTCGCAACAAAACAAACACCCGACCATTTTGTTCGGACCCCTTTTGTTTGTTTTTTTTGTAACGGAGCACGTGAAAGCAAGACTCCTGGCACGAGCTCTTGGCACCGACAGTGCTATGGTGGCATTTTGTTATCGGCTATTAATTTGTATTTTTTCAGAGAGCGTGTGTAGTCGGCACCGGGTACTACAAAGAATGGCATCACCTTAAACAGAAGGACATTGAGGCAACCTAGTCAAAGCTGTGGGATAGCTCGGTGGTAACGCGTCTGCTTCATAGGCAGCAGACCCAAGATCGAATCCCGCGGGCAACGGGCGACCTTTTTCGACGGTTTGGCAACATCGACGACGAACACCACACCCCCTACTATGACAACTACAACGTCAACAAGTACAACAAACATCATTTCCAGTGGTGGGAAAAGCCCACAAGAGCTATTGCTGTAAAACAAGCCGTGATGTGAGAAAACAAGAAGAGAAAATTTTGAGCAAAGCAGGTGCGCTCACTGTCTTCTGAGGCGGTCTGCAGGAACTTGTCGGCAAAGAAGGGCTGCTTCTGCGGATCCAAGAGCTGGCTTACGGTCGCCTTCACCTTGTTCTCTGCAAGGACCGAGCCAGAGTAAGATGCCTTTGTGCTTTCACTCATCTTTCGTTCCTAATAGTCATCAAAAATTCCCTCAATTTTGTGTCACATACGTCACTGGAAGAAAGTCGGGCTCAGAAAAAATTGCGTGTCTAAAGATTTACTCTTGGGGACAATATGTACGACCTTTCTCTGCGTCTGCAATCTTCTCAGCATGCTCTTTCGTCTTTCAATTTGCCAAAAAGTCAGAAGTATAGGACCTCAACTTTGCATTCCGTTCCTAGATTAGAAAACTGCTCTCTCAAAACTGACAGTCACACCAAAGAAGCGTGAAGGACTGTTTCAGCTCGTATTGTCCGTGACAGTGTCTGCGACGTGGTCGTCTCAAAAAATTTTACAATTTGCGTATTCACGTTGGGGAAAAACAAAAGTTGACGTTGAGCGTGAACACATAAAAAGGGAAGCTGAAACGTCTCGGTCGAACTCCTCATACTGGCAAAAGACCACAGAAATTAGAGGGCGAGACAACCATACATACAAGGAGTCGTCGGTGGTGTTCCATTGAGCTTTTTGCGAGATTGTTTTATCTTCCACACAAGAGCAAAATAAAAAAATAAAAAAGTGTACTACAAAAAAAAAAGAATTGTAGACCCCTTCCATTTCACTTGAAGATGTTTTCAGGACCTCAGTATCTAATAATGCCGAGGAAGGCTGACTCACACTGTTTGTCCCTCTTATTGTTTTTATTTATTCATACTTGCCACAACCAATGGGGAGTTTTCTGTCGACATGTGAGGACACATTTTTTTTTCCAGACTAGCGTATAACAGCTTCGCTGTAAAAAAAAAGCAGTGTGCACCGACTTTTGCTTTCCTGCCCGGGCCTTTCCGAGTGCATGTACTTGATAAGCTCAAGCTTCACCGTGAAAAAATGTCAGTGCTAACACGAATCCTGCGGCACAAGTTGCCTTCAATGCACCAAGAATACTACTAGAACGAAACATTGAGCAGTCCTGCGTTAGTCCACTGTACAGTCAGAGCAAATGCTGAGACACGTCACGGCAAAGTTGGGCATCGGCGTCACGTTCACGCACAGTGTGGCAGCAGAGTGTGCAAACAGAAGCATTTAGAACAAGATAGACATTTGTTTTGTTCCAAACGCTTTTGTTTTGTTCCATTTTATTCAGAATGCTTTCGTTCTTGTTTTTTTTGTTTTTGTTTCGGACTGTATGAAAGAGCATCTCCTGGCACGAGCTCTTGGCAGTGACGGTGCTACGACGGCATTTCGTTATAGGCTGTTCTTTTTTTCCAGAAAGCCCGTGCAGTGGGCACTGAATACTACAAAAACCATAAGTTTAGAGCTGGTTATTAAAGCTGCGGTGTAGCTCGGTGTTAACACCTCCGCTTCGCACACGGCAGACCCGGGTTCAATTCCTGCGGGCGGCGGGCAATGTTTTTCGAGGATTTGGCAACGTCAACGACGGATGACATAACCCTGCCAACTACCACAACAACTACTGCAACGTCAACAACGAACGTCATTTCCAGTGGCGGCAAAAACCCATAAAAGCTATCGCTGTAAAAAAAAAAAAAAAACGAGCCTCCATCGTGTATTTGGCAATATTTCATGGTTCTTTTCCAGCAGATGCCGAGAAGCACAAACACCGAACATGGTGGTTGTTCTAGATGGGGGGAATCAGTGGACACCCGCATGCAACACGAGGTGGCCCCGCAGCTCGCTCACCCAGGGCGGGGGAGCTGGCCTGCAGGCGCAGGAGCAGGCATGCGGCGGCCAGGCCCTCGCACACGGGGCTGGGCTGGCTGGGCTGGGACAGGGCTCGCTCCACTGCCTTGAGCAGGAGGCCCACCAGGGGCTCCACGCCCGGCCCCGGCACCCCTGGTGTGTGGGACGAAGCGGAGCACGAGTTGAGCCGTGCAACCGACCGACTCATCTGTGGTAGCACGACTGCAAAGCTGGAGTGACACGAGTTCCAGCTTGATGCCGACGGAGCACTCGTGTCCGAGTTGTGCTCTGTGCTTCCCTCCGGTAGGCGACGGAGGAAATTCAGCACTATGGCCTTCTTATCTATGAGATACGAGGAGTTGAACCAATTCTGCCACTTGTCCACTGCCCTCCATTTTCCCCTACCTCAAAAGCAATGTGGTTTTGTTGTGCACTCCATACGCAAATGAGTAGCAAAATCGTAGCACCATTACGGCTATTTGATGAACATCGCCAAATTGGCTCGACTATTTTGACGATTCTGGACAGTCAACAGTATTGTTCCGAGTACGTCTAGCTATTTCGGTGACGCTTCCTGTGTCAAAGGTTTGCTTTTGTAATGTATTACAAGACTTCAGAGTTGACTAGTGTGTGCTAGTCTTATCTAGTATGTGGTGATCACACAGAGGAGTAACAATTCCTCCCCACCCTTAGCACTCATTAAATAAATTATGCCTGACCTCCAGATGACCTACACACTATTGTGAGCTCCATATGTATGTCGTCCACCTGCCTGTACCTTTAGCCCCCCCCAACCACATTGTCACAAATAACCATTCCAAAACAACTGCTCTCATGTTGCACTTAAACCTAACACCAAACTGTTTTGAGACTTTTACGACATAATCGAGCTTTGCTTTAGAATGGGTAAAGTAAGCAGCCAAGTGGCGCGACTCACCGTGGAAAGCAGACAACATGCACTGTAGGTATCCGTACCGAACCGCAGAGGTCGATGACTTGAGCCCCATGCCGGTCTGCAAGCCAACAACAGAGCAACGGGTCAAATGGCCACCCAATGAATGCATGACAGACAGTATCAGAAGTGAGGGCCATCTGGAGAGATTTCCTCAAGCCCAAGTAATCTTGCACTAAGGAGTGCAATGACAACATCAATTTGCCAGCACTAGATGTCCTCCGATACTGCAGTTAGGGGGAAGCATCATGTGCTTTGTTATCAAAGTAAATTAGTCGGTGCACCTTGTTTGCATTCTTACAGGTTCGAATTTGTGCCAGTACAGAAGGGGAAATCGATTCTGCAATCAGAAATATCAGGCAAACTCAAAATGTTTTCTGCACTACTACAATAAACCTCAAAGAAATTTTTTTTTATATACTGTATTGCAAAGAAACCATTTTTGAGGTTCAAATGACCAGACTAATAGAATTTGCAGGCTTCATTTACTCAAAAAAAAGGAGAAACAACTTTCCACATTGGTTAGAAATTATAATTTTTCTGCGCCTCAACAGCAAAAGCTGGCTTTCTCACGTTAGAATTTCTTCAACATCTTCGAAGAAACTGGAGAAAACAAAGAAGAAAATATGGACTTCTCTCCCCTCAAAGCTTTCTTTTAAAGTCAGGAAGAAAGCTAGTTCGCTCAACTCCCCATACGCTTGCTATTAGGCAAAGCGGAGTGCCCAAAATCGCCTTTACAAAGGACCTATAGCACAAACTGGTAGCTTTTGTTCCAAACGCGAGTTACTTCGACAGCCGTTGCTTTTGCACCTTTTTCGGCAAACAAACCCACCTGAAATCCTTCGACGAGGAACGCCGGCACGTCCTCCGTGAAGCGGGAGCACCACTTGGACATCACCTTCAGGGTGAGCAGGAGGGTGCCCTCGTGCACTGCACACGGACGAGCCAATCAATTGAAACGCAAACGAATTGACTCACCGGTTCATCACAACACCAAAGCAGGACGGCACGATGAGGAGCATGATTGGTTGCCCAATCAATTAATTAAAATGCTAAACTGTCACATAGAAAATGGCAGTGACTTCTAGCACCACAGTCCTATAATAAATAAAATGCAGTATATGTGAGGTGCAATTGTTTAAAATTATTTAGGAGACATTAAACCGTCGTTTTGGGAGTGAAGAAGGACCTTCGTCTTTATCAATTTCCCCGGTACATTGAGTAAGGAAACTGGATGCATAGGTCACGTGGCGTCAATTTCCTTGACAAGTTTAACGGGGACATGCATGGATGGACAAAACTTTGGGATTTGGGGGTGGGGGGGGGGGGGGAGGTCCATTAAAAAGCATTTCGTGCCTTAACAAACAGCTCAATCAATTGTCCAGTCAAAAGATTAGAGCACAAAAGCAGAACTATGCAATTGAGAATAAAACAAATTTACTTATCGCTCAATCACGACAAAGAGGGCAGGGCAGTGCTGGGAACACCCCAATTAATTCAACAAGCAACGATTCACAACCAAAAAAGGCTCGTTCAATAAGGCACAATTAATTGACCAACCATCAAAATGCAGCAGAAAAACAGAATAATGCAGCAAAAAATATAGAACAGATGTACTTATCAACCAACTGCAACAAAAAAGCAAAGTAGCGCAGGAACACCCCAATTAATTGATAATTGGCCAATCAATCGCAAACAAGAACCAGGACTGCGCACGAGCGACGCAATAATCAAACAAATAGTGATTTGCAACCAAGAAAGCAATGTGCAACGAACAACGCTATCAGTGGGCCCTTTTCAAAACCCCATCGAGCAACATTGGTGGTCGCCGTTTCTTGGGCACGAAGCAATTGCAGACTCGAATAATTGGTGCTGCAACTACAAGATGGCGTGCGCTTTTGAAAACGGTCTATTGACCAGCTAATACAGGACGTCACGGAACGTCAGGACGTCACGGTGGCCTGTGTAAGCGCTGGGCAACTCCGGCAGCACTATGAAGTGCGAGAGCACCCTCACCTTCCGACTTGAGCACCTGAAGCAGGTGCTTGAGGGCAGCTTCGCTGAGCTTCTGCACGTGGGAGGCCCCCGTCACCACGTGGCAGCTCACCTCTCCAAACCCCATCAGAACGCCCAGCCGCTGCTCCGTTGTGCTCAGCTTGCCCTCGGACCCTGCAACGTCAGAGGGCCCAAATTGCATGAAAGAAACATTTGCAAAAAGTTAAAGAACAAAGAAGGAAAACAAGGAACCTCATTCCGTCTTTGTTCTTTGCTCGCTGTTTTGCCTTTTCGCGACGACCTTCAGACAGGGTGTCTCCCTCTCTCTCAAATTCCCCAACAAGGATGGAAATCTAAATAACTGTATTTGTGTTTATGTGGCTTTTTTGTCATGAAAGATGGTATAACACAGAAATATAGCTCCATAGTTATCTGCTCTGAACTGTCCTAAAGCAATATAACACATGAAAATCACAAATTTATAAGTAATTTCAAAACGATAGTTCTTCTACGCAGACACGCCCACTTTCGTCTTTGAACGTTCGCAATTTTTTTTTGTACTTCACCCAGGTTAACAAAAATTGGCAGAAATGTTCTCAACATCAACAGAAACAAGCCCTGTAAATATAATTTAAATCGGACAAGTGTTTCAAAACTTTACTTTTTTGGGTAGTGTCCCCCCTTAATACTACAGCGGAGCTGTTAAGGGCTAGTTTCCCCACCAGGATCGTGTCTGCCAGCAAACAAATGTCAACACAACACTCTGGACAGCTACCGCCATCTATGAGCGACGGCGACAACCAGACATGGTTGCCACCGTCACTCATAGATGGCGACATCCTTTCCAAACCTTTCCACTCTGGCTTGCCAACTTGCGGCCGGCCATTACTTCATACCTACCATAGCACAGCTTTGCTGGTGTTCCTTCTTCACCAAAATGAAAAGGCTGAAAGTTTTTTTGTTTTGTTTTTTAACCCGACATGTCAGTTAATAACCAAATGGCGGCACGGCTGCCAGATGCACACTTTCAGATACTTTTGGCTTGAGGCTTGGATTGGATTGGGGTCTGCGGCTTTCCCATTTGTAACTAAATCTAGTAGCTCTAACTGGATCTAGCCTAGTATCACGCCCTCAATCCAATCCAACCCAAGGCTGGGACTGGATCCAACGCTTGCGCTCCGCAGACGTGGCCGCACGTGGCTCATACTCTCGTCATGCTTCAGCCTGTTTGCCAATTGGGGCGGGTCGGGGATCTACTAATGAAACGTTGAGCGCAGGCCTTGTCTTCTAGATGGTATTGGCAGAGCTTGTGCATTGATCTAAGCAGAATTTATTGCCTATTTTTCTGCCTCCAAGGCCTCATGTCTTTGTTCAGGGCACTCAATGGTATTTCCGGCTCACTTTTTGACCATATCCCTGACAATTCGGCGATTTTTCCCAGTAAATAAAATTTCCCTGACGATTCTCGGTTTTCCCAGTCGCTAGACACCCTATACAGTTTATGGACACAACCCACTGCCGCCGGAGGTTTTGGTCATTTGGAAAGCGACGGAGTTTGAAGGCATTGCAGTCGCAGTTGCCTTTGTCGGATCCCGTGAGCGATACAGATGTCCTTCGACAATATCCTGCGCTTTCGGTTGTTATTCGTGCAGCCTATTAACCGAACAATGATGTCCCAACGACCAGGGGATTGTCGCCATTGATTCCACTAGCTCTAATTACATCTGGAAGTAAAATAAATGAGAGGAAACCGCGAAGAAAACAGCTGAACTTGGAGAAACACATGCGTCCAAGGCGTAAAAACGAAAGTGCCGGCAGTCCTTTCCCCTCTTCTCTCTTGCCCTCTCTGAGTAAAACGACTACCGACATTAAGCTTCTCTAATTTCGGGCTCAGATTTCTGCTAGGTTTCTAAGCGGTACTGAGAAACTGCCACAGCCCATGCCCTTCTCAAACTAGGTGGGCATTTGGCAGACTTGTAGAGCGTACTAAAAGAACAAGATCTAAGGTAAACACAGAATAGTTTACGTTGCAGCCTACCGTTGAGCACCTCCACGAGGTGCGAGAGGAGCACCTCTAGGGCCTCCTGGGAGCCGCACTGCTTGGCCAGGTGGCGGAGGGCCAGCACCGCCCCCTGGCGGCATGCCTCGTCCTTGGCAATCAGGTGTTCTGCACGTAGGAACCGCGACCATCAATGAGGGAGGACACTACTCAGGAAGGTGAACTTTTCAACTGTTATTCTTATTTATATAAAATTTGCAGGAAATAATCATAGCTGGGAAAGAGGATGACACGCAAAGTTTTAAGCTTACAAGTTAATCCTTGAAAGAGTTGTGTAAAAGTACATAAAATAATCACTGCACTCCCCGAGAAAAACTATTGTTTAGAAAAGGTTAAGATGATGGCCAGTTCTTTTGGTGAAACATACAGTATGACACCCATGACATGTGACTATGGAAAGAAATTGCATAAACCATACCATTTTGAATCAAAAATAAAAATGTGAAAAAAGTTAATTTTTTTTGGGTGCATCAGGTTGAAGATGTTGCAACTTTACATAACTAAAAGCCATGAAAACGCAGAAAGTAAGCTCACAGCTGCATTTCTTACTAAATTTCAGTACAGAAACTTCAAAAACCAGCTCCATGTATCAATTTATTATCAAGTGGCTGTTTTCCCGAACCAAGATTTGATGCCAAAAAATGAAAGTGAGATAAACGCGCTCGAAAGTTCAGAAAGCTGCACTTTAGATGGTGCCGGCACACCTGCAAATGATTACTCCAGAAAAAATTCTTTAGTTACAGGAGTGAAACTTCTTGACGCCATTCGCCGGAGTATTTAAAAGTTATTAAAACTACTTAATGGCATTAAAAAAAAATATTGCAATTTTCAAGTAGTGTTTTCTTAACCACGCAGTGTGCCCTTACCGAGCCCCAGAGTGGATAGAAACGCTAGTGACACCGCATCACTGCAAACGCCACTCGACAACAAATTGCGAATCCATGCAGTGTTAAGAGGCCCATTAATCTGATGCACATTCAGTAACGGAAAAAACATGACACTCCGGCTTTTGTGACACCATTTGCTGCCACTTTGGGACCCCTTTGGACGCACGGGAGGAATGGGAGGCTAAGTGCACCAGTCGGAGTCGTGCTCCAGGCATCAGGCGTTTTCGCATCTGCATAGGTCGTGGTAACAACACTTTTTAGAGGGGAGGCGATCTCGCCCGTAATTTTCCCGGAAAACAAATTTTCGCACAAATGTGAGGGGGCTTATAGCAGCGACCATGGAAGCAAAATAGGAAGTAAGGCAAAATGCTGCAATCACTTCTTCACGGAAACGGAAACTGCGTACTAAGAATGTCGTGTTCCTTCCGGAGCATGTTGAAGTTCCGTGAAGCAAGAACGAACGGCCGTTTCGGTGCCACTCACGTGCAATGCTCTTGCCCAGGTCGCCCAGGTAGGGACTCAGCTCCAGAGAGACTCCCTGCATCACGTGCGCCACGCCTGCAAAGAGGTCGCACGCGCACCCCTTTTGAACGAACCTCGGGGTCCCAGCCTCGCAAGTTTAGAGGCAACATTCGTGGCTCTCGGTAGAACCACACGATTACTGGCGTTAGAATTCTTAGACGTCCAAACTCAAAGTGAGCTCGAACTCCACAGTTCCAAAACTCCACTGCGAAGGGTAGTCCCTTCGCACGTGCATGTTGCATGCTCATACTCAGCAGGAAGAAAGATCATCATCATCAACAAACACATTCCGTGCCACTTCAGTTAGAGGAAAGTAACTTTAAAAATGTTTTTGGCTGTTCATGATAATACGAATAAAGCACACGACTTGATTTTCACGAGGACCCATGTTTTATGAATCCCAGGAATATACCGGCCCGTGGTAACAGATATATAGCATACCACTCCAAATAGTGAAATTTTTGGTCACGAAATATTCCCCGAACATACACTTCGCAAAATACAGTCAGCAAGAATAGTCATTTACGATACATATCCTCCAGCATACCTTTTTGTGAATAAAGAATGTCTGCTCTGTTCCCATAAATACAAGTACAGCAACCTTCAAAGCTGGTAAAATCAGCTTTGAAAGTCAAGACAGCTTTTTTCTTCGTCCATCGACTTGACGTTGATGATAATAAAACATATTATTATTAAAACAAAACAATGATATATTCTTGCATATGAGAGATATCTTGTAGCAATTCCCTGGCTGCTGCTACCTGTCTTGGAGAATGACACAACGCACTGGTTCAACAACATGCAGTCATTTATTGGCCGTTGTTGCCCAAACCGCGATCCCAAACGCCCTCGTGCATGCACAGCGACGGCCTTTTATCGGCGGCAGAGTGCCGCTCCGGTGGCCAATTGCAGAGCCGTATATTGGGAGAGTTTGGCCAGTGGGTGTGGCAACGAAGGCGCCGGAGAGGAGAGAAGGAAAGAGAGGAGACCGCCGAAGGAGCGAGAGAGGAAGAAGGGAGCAAAAAGGAGATGAGCATTGCTGCAACGGTGTCGGCGCGGAGCACTGTTGAGGCTACGCGTCGTCTGCTACGGGCTTATTTCTTTTTTGCCTCAATCAAAATATGCGTTCAAACGTGGAGAAGCTTGATTTGTAAGCTTTTTAAGCCACCGAGGAATAACGCTATATCATTTTCTTGCCAGGGCCTGCCAAATAAAAGTAAAGAACCGAAATTTGGATGTTGATCCCCCGCATTCTGCTGGGAGAATGAATGAAGATGACGGCCCTCTCCGCTCAGCTGGGAGCAGCCGAGAGTTCACGCGCATGCGCTCACGCCTCTTGCTCTGCACCGCGGGCCAATTGGCTCGCCGGCGAGGGGGCATTACAGCGGTGAGATCACAGACTGGCCAAACTCTCCCCAAATACGGCTCTGACCAATTGCACTTGGCCCCACCGCGGTGGACATGAATATGGACGACTCGGCATACCTGCCCCTACTCTCTCCAGGTTGCCTACAATCTGTGTTAGTCATTGTGTTGTCTGCAGTCACAGCGAAGAACGTCTCTCTGCGTTTTGCTCGTCATGCTCGGCGCAACGATCGGTGCTATCTGCTGCCAACAATGGTTTCCAAGTGTACAACGAGTGGGAAGGGGAAGTGTGCTTACTTTCCATGATGATCTCAGGGTTCCTGAGCATGGCCTTCTGCAGGGCCGGCAGCAGCTGCCCCTTGAAGTCGTCGTGGGTCACGTGCCTCAGCAGGGACCTCGATTGCTCCTGCGGCAGGCACGGGAGATGGCCGACTCGGCAAAAAGGGACAGAGGCCGGCAAAAAGCGGCCGAACAGGCTTTTCCCCAACGGTATAGGAGTGGGGGGTACAGTCCAGAAAATTAAACCTTTTCTTTGGCTGCTGCCAAGAGAAATGCAATGCAATAGCATTTGGCATCCTTTGCATCCCTTCAAGCGTTTGTCGTGCTCAGTGCTCTCGGTACGCCTCAGCACGGTGCCATTTTTGTGCAAATTCTTTCATACTGAAATGCCGTACAACTACACATCAATTCGGGTTTTCCGAGCTAAATTAAATGATTGAGCCACTACGGATGGATGCACTCGATCTCGCGCCTTGGTGGCCCTAGAAACACCATCGCATTTAAAAAACTCCAGATAAACGATGCCCAAACTCCAGCTCAGCTCACCAGGACATGAGTGGGGGCTGGAGTCTTGCTGCCAAGGACCGCAGTGCGGAACACCTCCAGGAACTTGGCCTACCGAGGAGCGAGAAGAACCGTTAGCGAGGGCTTCGGGCGACGGGCAAAGACGTTCCCCAACCCGATTGCCTCTCGGTACCTTGTGGCTGTGGATAAGCTCCCTGAGCTTCTGCGTGTCCAGGTAGCCAATCAGGAAGCACCAGGAGAGCAGCACGGGACAAGACGACTCCAGGGTTGCCAGCACCTCCAGGTAGGCTTCGGGAGTCACCTGCCGGAAGAAAAGGCGAAAACTCGGTACCGGATTGCAGTCTGCTCCAGTCGTGCTTCGAAACATCCTTGCACGTAAAACGTGCGCAAACATTTTGTGCGCGGCCGACAAAACCCTAGTTTAATTTGGTGAGCGACATCGCCCCCCAAATATGGCCGATTTCGTCCGACTGGTGAAAGGTAGACATGCCATATTTATTTGAAACTAGGCCGATTGTATTTTTTTTAAAAAAGGTGGAAATTGAAAATTGGGGGTTGGCTTGGAAACAACAATGTGACTCCGGTTCCGCGGAACTCTCTACGCCATCTTGCGGCCGCACCCCTGAGCTACCCAAAACCGACGCACCGTTGACGCCACCTCGACTATTCATCGGAACTCAAAGAGCAGCATCACTTCCTGTGACTATGGAAATCATCCAAGCAAAAGCGGGTGAAGTTGCGAAAGCCCGAGATGTGCCTCGAACAGAGTTCGAAGCAAGCAAGGGCTGGGTACAATGGTTCACGAAGCAATTTGGGTTTAGCCTATGGCGACAAACGTGAGTTTGTTAAAAACTCCACTGAGACAAAAGGTCGAGGGACAACGACGGCCTGGACGTTTTCGTGAGTTTTCTGGATCAGAATAAATATTATGCCAATTTTAGTTGGTGATTTTGTTTGTTTTTTACTTTGTTTTTATCAACTTACAATTGAAGTTTTTTTGCTTTTTTTCACTTTTTGATTTTTTGGTGTTGACCTAGAATTGATGATGGCCTAGATTCAATCAAAAATGGTATGTTTTATCATGAGACTTTTGGGGGGTGAGGAGTGAGCCCAAGAATGTATCCTATGTTAGCAAAGAATTCAGTTTCAAAAATCTATGATTGCAGATGAAGATAGACAGTGGTGAAATAGCAGAAAATGCCGGCGGCTGCCACGCGTCTGTTCGCACGATTAGCAGGTGGTGTGCGACACCAGACTACCACAAAACCCCATAAGAACACCCACCCAAAATGAAGAGATAAAAGGTTAAAAACATGGGGTGGGCTATCTTTGGGGATGCCACAACAAAACTTTATAAAAAATTAATGATAAGCACCGGGGCACCCGCTACAAAACACGTGACGCGGGAACTGATATCGCAGATCGTTGAAACAGCAAATTCATGTTTAACGATGTGATAAACACGCGGAAATTCGCTACAAACTCCTGCGTCAAGGGAAAGGATACCGCAAGTGGCCGACGCAGCAGGTTTGTGTTGCACTGCGCAAAGGACCTGCAAACACCTGCCGAGAATTCGCATTTCACGGGAACATATACTGCAGATCACGGACGCAGCAGATTCAAGTTTCACGGTGCAATCAACATGTAGGAACCTGCTACAATCTTGCATATCGCGGAAACCGAAATCGCGTGTGCAGATCGCAGACAAAAACGCGGGAATACGCTACAAACTCGCGTGTTACGGAAACAAGTACCGCAGATCGAAGACGCAGCAGAATCACATTTCACGTTGCAATATACACGCGGGAAGAACTCGTGCATGTTACAGCTAAAAATCGATATCGCGCACGCAGATCGTGGACAGAAACGCGGGAATCCGCCACAAACTCGGGAACGGATAGCGCAAACCACGAACGCAGCAGATTCGCGTTTTATGATGCAATATACATGCAGGAACAACTTGCCTGTTACGGGAGCTGATATCACGCTCGCAGAATGAAGACAAAAACGCGGAAACCCGCTTCTCGGATGTACTGGTACTGCAGATCGTTTCGTTGATGTGCAAGTCCCGTCGGACATCACTTGACATCCAACGGGAATCGGGGGGTGGGCGACTTTTTGGAATTTTTATGATACAGATATTTAGCTCCCCAAAAAAAACAGGATGGGCAATCTCTCGGGAGGGGGCGTCCTTACGGGATTTTGTGGTAGACATACAGGATGTCATGAAAGGAAGACACTAGGCTTGTTGGCGTGTTCGGTCGAGCAGCCACGTCATTTTGGTAATGGGTGGGGCCACTGATCTGTGGGCGGGGCTTAGAGCAGGCCATGACCTCCACCTAAATTGTGTCCAACAACGTAAATACTGCACAAATATATTTTTTTTTTTTTGGACCAAAATTATTTGAAAACTTTGCAACCCAAATAAGCTTTTTAAAAAAAAAATCTCTTTTCATTGTACAGTATAGACCACTTACAACGTAACCGCTTATAGTGCAGGACCGGGTATAATGCGGCTTTTTTAAACCACCGGTTCGGCTCCCATAGAAATCCATGTAATTACATACCGCTTAAAATGCAGGCGCGCAAAGGGAAATACCGGTTATAGTGCGGTTTCTGTAACAGCCCGCCGACCGCAGCGACCAACCGAAGCAGCGAGCACGCTTCCCTGTGCGACACTAGATGACGGTGCTAGCCGCAAGCGGCACTCGCGGGGCAAGGAGGTTGCTCGAAGAAGCGGGGAGAAGCGAAGAGAGAGGCTTCAGTTGCCATAGCGACGGAGGGACGCACGCATGTGTCGCTCACATGCGTGTTGTGCGTCCCTCCGCTCTGTGCGTTAGAAACAACCGCAACGACAGACCAATCGCACGTCGAGGAGAAGTGTTCGCACGCGTTGCATGCCGGTCGCGGGTCGGCTGCTTCTATCCGCAAACGTGGCGTCGGTTGTGATCGTCGACGTAGATGGTGTGGTGGACGCTCATTGTTCCCCGTAAAAGCGCTATCCTTGACTGTGAATTTTCGTTGTGTGTCGCTATGATAACCCAGCACGTACTAGGAGGAAAGATCCACCTATTCGTGCGGCGATGTCGGCGGCACTCTCAAGATGGCAGAAACGCCCGTGTCGTCGTGTTTGTTTACTTCAACTACAGTGGTGCTTTCTAAGCATTTGTGTTTTCGAACATCGCTCGGATTTCTTATTTGGAGCACTTCATGCCTGTGCTCAAGTTGAAGGTATTACTGGCGCGTACTGTATAAAGGATGCGAATTTTCACACGTTTTTATCACCGGAGAAAAGTGATTAGGGTTAGCAATCCTGAACGCTCGCAACGTCCGTCCACAACCCGCGACGCCGTTAAAAGGCTGCGCCAGACAAAAGTCGCTCATTTCTTTCAAAATGTGTGAAACACTTGAGAGAGAAGTGTCCTAGTCTGATGAAATAGACTTCCCTCAAACTAAGCTTTATTTAACATAAAATAAATTGTTTTACAAAGGTAAGTTGTCTCATGGCATGTATTTTGGCCTGAAAAATTAATGTTTTGGTTATAGCGCGGTACCGCTTATAGTGCGGATTTTCGCGACTCCTGCGACATATGGTATATGCGGTCTACACTGTATTGTTTCTTTAAAGGGGAGCTCCAGCGTTTCTTTTAGCTGCCGAAACTGAATGCATTCTCACAATACCCAGGCTTTGCTTTTTTCTGGTTTGCGATTTATTATCTTTGAATTCAAAATAGTTACCTAGAAAACAACAAATGAAGGCAATGGCAAAACCAACATTCAAATTTTCCTGCTCTCTCCAGTGATCCAATGTTGCACGTCGAATTACATTCCAGTTGAGCAAGCAGTCTAAAAAACACAGTATTTTGCGTTTTTTTTTTTTTCCATAAACGTTTTGTAATTTGTTGGGAAGAAGTTGCAACATTTGACGTCCTGTTCTCAGTGCTGCCAACAGAGCCTCTCTGCCTCCCAGAACAAATTCGAAACTTAAGGAACTTTGCTAAAAAAGACTACTGCGACTTGTAATTGGAATTACTTCTTCAGATCTGCCTATTAATGTGTGGAACCAATTTTGAAGCAAATCAGTGAAAATCAAATCTTCACCAGCTCGTACGCACCTCTATTTTTCAATTTTTTGTTTGTTTATTTATTCCTGTTACCCCACAGTGCCGCAGAGCCAGACGCATTACTGCAGGGGGAAAGGGTGGGTAGAGCGGCGCAAAATATAACCACGAAACGTTGACACGCGTAAAATAAACCAACAAACAACAACAAACGCCATGCAAGCTGCATCAAATCATTGCGTCATAGAACAAAACAAGACACAAGTTATCTGCTGGGTGAAGCAACTGCGCAAGGAAAAAGTTATACAGTGGGTAATGGACAGAACAATGACAGTTCAATATGAAATGATTTGAAAAGGGGCACTAAATTACTTTCTGTGATAGTCTGTCTTTGGTCATAACTCTATCTATGGGCACTAAGCATCCTAGAAAATCAAACACAATACATTCATGCGTGACCGATTTCTCTATTAAAATCAGTATCAAAGATAATTACACTGTAACTATTGCAAGCACCAGAGGACACCGTTGGACGAGAAGAAGGGCTTCTCCTCCTTTGACGATGCCCTCTGGCGTCTGCAATATTTCCGAGGTAATCAATCTTTGATACCAATTTTAATAGAGAAATTAGCCACGCATGAATTTAATGTTTGGATATTTAGGATGCCGAGAGCACATAAAATGAGTTATGGCCATAAATAGACGATCGCAAAAAAATGTTCTAGTGGCTTTTTTAAAAAAAAAAAAGTTAGGCAGTTACCTGTTTCCACAGGTAGTTCATCTTGCGCCTGGCCTTCTTGTTGAGCGTGGCGTCGCAGGCGGACACCACAGACAGCAGCAGGTTGGCCTGGGCCTCCACCTGGCGAGAAGAAAGGAAGGCGCCCGCTTCATGCCTAGATGACGACAACGTTCTCCGCCACCCCGCATAACGGCATTTTTGACTTCCCGGTCAAGCTGAACGTCCAATGAGTCTATTTGAGACTATGCACAAGGCACAGCAAAGTGGTGGATATGATGGTAACGGCTAGCGTGAGGCACGGTGGCAACGGCGATACCTCGACATAGGGATTTCCACAAAAAGTTGAGAATGTGGGGCAAGCTTCGTTGCTGAAGCAACTGCACAAGCTCCACCGTAAGTGCCTTTGCCCGGTACGGCACTTGCACACACAATATTATGTGCTACTAAGCAGCCTCCTCAAAGTTAAAGAAACAAAGGAATACGTAACAGAAGCAAACGTCCAGCTGATGAACAGAAAGGAAGCAACCAGACTGTCGAATCGTTGAACCACAGTGAAAACGGCGATTGTTACATGCTGGCTTTACAATTAAACTGCTAGTATTGTGATGCTAATTCTTCTGCACCACGCTTAACATTTGGGACAATTCGACATTGTTTGGCAGTTAGTACAAAGAAAGCTCGACACATTTTGGTGCGCCACGGCCACATTGAAGCATTCATAATGCATCAGTCAACAATTCTGGCCTTCGGAAAAGTCAACAAGCATGAACGGAGTGAAACATATTGGTAGAAGGAAAACAAGTTTTTTGCCAGTGTGTTTCTGTTTATAAGTAGAGTTCTGTGCTTTTTGGTATATATCGATAAACGCAGAAAATTAAACCTGAAACAAGTTCCTTTGAATCAATAAAAAAAAAAAAAAAACTCAAACAATTCTTAAAGGGGGAAAAAAAAACGCCAGCTTTACAAGAAATTATCTATGCTACCTTTTTTTTTTTTTTTTTTTGCCTCCTTAATTTGGAAAACAGCTGCACTAAATTGTTCTTGGGTTCTTCCTTTCTATTAAAACAACATTCCTTGCCTCATTCCCTTCTCTTATCTTTACCAGCATTATTGGAGAAAATATTAAAATGTATAACTTATAAATAGGGTGTGTATTTTCCGGTTTTAACCGAAAAACACCGATAAACATCCGTCGGTAACGAAAATACAAAATCTGTTAAAACCGAAAAACACCGGTGGTTGGATATTTTCGCCCTGGTTAAAACCGAAAAACACCGGTCGTTGCACTTTTCCGACCCAGCGAAATCCTTTCCCCGTAGAGATTCGTCAAACGTGTTATCTCGTGGATCCTGCATTCTTCCAGTGTCCATACATGGCTTGCACGTGGCGTCAGTCCGTTCTCCTTTCTGGCAGTCAAAAGCGTCTAGTTAACGCAGTGGAAGCTAAGCTCTCGCACGCCTTTCCCCCATTGTGTCATCCATGGCCCCCTTTTGTGGAAAAATTAGCGCAGTGGAGGGTACGCTCTCACGTGCCCTTTCCCCATTGTGTCTGGCCAAGTAATGTTGGTGCAAGTCAGGTATTCAGAGGTTGCTGTGGTTCCTGCAAGACACTGCCAACATCCGTGTCGTACGGGGCTACTGACCTTTCAGAACTGAGGTGCGTTCCTTGTTATCTGTTTGGTTTTCATGGGCTTTTGGGGAAACGGAAAAGGGATTTTGTTGGCGGGGGAGTTTTTCGGCTGTATATAAAAGGACCGTTCTGTAAAAAAATTTGCAGTCGTGTTTGAGAAGGCGCGTCCGTCCCGCGTCTGCGGGTTTTCTCAGCGTGAGACTTGCTTCCCTTCGTCGTCACGCGGAGTAGAAGGCCACCAGGATGGGAAGTGAGCGGAAAGCTCAGGATGACTACGCTACAGATTTCATGGATGAGTCGTCGTTCTGGTTCCGCGTGCCAATTGTTAATCCGTGCATAAACGTGGAGCTGCCAGGGGGATTTGTGCCTTATGAAAGTATTTATCGGCTGGTCCTCCGAGACGAGAGCTAGCTGAGTGACCTAGAATCAGAGTTTCTTTCTTACCGCCAGTATGCTGTGACTAGCACCGTTGATCCAGTGTTATTTTGGAAACTTCATTTACCTGACTGGCCACAACTGTCCCAAGCCTCGCTGGACATTTTGGGATTTCTTCTGTCCAGCGCAAATGTGGAGCGTGCGTTTTCAAAATTGTGGGTTGTGAACCGCAAGGAACGTGCTGCCATGACGGATGCAAGCCTCTCGAAGTATGCTTGCATCTACTATAATAACGAAGTGTGAAAAATACATGCTTCCTCGAGAAGTGTATGAAATATATGAATAAAATTGGAACTCTCTGTCTGTGATCAATTGCATTTTTTCCACCGATAATCACCGATTTTAGCCTCGTCGTGAGACGTTCCACCGAAATACACCGGTGTTTCGAAAATAAATAAACACCGAAAAACATCCGCCGATTTTTCTCACAAATAAACACCGGAAAGTACACACCCTACTTATAAATTATAACATTTCTCCAGTAATTATACGGTCACTTTACAAAACAAGCACGACAAACAAATATTTCCCTCCGGCACTGAAATTAGACACAAAAAATCACAGATTCAAAGGGGAAATAATTAATAGTGACAAATAACACCCGAATTTGATGAAAAATAAATGCCGAATTCACGGAACCCTAGTGAAAAGTGGCGAGGACCGAAGACTTACGAGGTCCCTCATCTTGTCTGGCTTGAGGTCTCCCTTGTTGACGAAGACTTGGCTTGCGACCTTGCACGACCAGCTGAGGGCCGTGAGACACGTGCGAGCCAGGTTCTTCCTGTCAGGTACCATGAAAAAATTCCAGGTTTAGAACCCCAGAGAACACTGAAGTATTTGAGGCCTGTAGAAAACTAGGGAGACATTAAAGGTTGATATCAATAGGAAGAAAAGCATCCGGCTTCTTTTCAAATCGTAATCTGCATGTGTTGACACAACATCCCAATATGCATAGCAGTGCAAAGGAAAGGGGTTGGGGGACAAGCAAGCTATGCCACCCCCCTCCCCGCTGTGCACACCTATACCAATACGATTATCAGGTACACCAGGAAAATGGACGGAAGCCAGAAATCAGTCACTGCTTTTGGTTTTGAGCACCCAGCTAAATTGCCGCGATGTAACCAGAAGCCTTTCCAGATGTCACTGAACGTTACACGGTACTTTCAACAGACCTCTCAGAGATGCCTGTATGGCCACTTTTGCACGCGGCTCGCCGAGGACTCATCTAAAGATGCAAGATGGGAAACATAATTTTGCCTCGAAACACTGAACATGATGCCCGATGTGCCGGGCACGGGTAATGCTTTCCGATCGACATATTTTTCCAACACGGTCTTCAACTGTCGATCACCGTTATCGGCATTCTGCGTGCAGATAACTGGCATTTACTGAGGCACAGTTCAGCTTGGCTCGCATCGGCTAAAACCACTGAGCCACATTTTCCTTCGCCAGCACAATGCTAAAAGAGCGCTACGACCGAACTGAGTCAAGTAATGTAAACCTGCAAAATAATGCACAAAACAAAAAAAAAAAGAAAAAGAAGTCGCATTGATGTTGTTGCTTTGCACATGGGATCCGCTACGTTCGCACTGTGACAGCGCATTGTCAAGCATCAGGCTTCCCAATATGCAGATATAAAAACATCGCTATACACAACAATAATTGAGTGCACGCTCGTCCAGCTCGAAAAACGCTTGTCACGCATCGGTAAAAATCTTTTTGAGCAGCGACTTCCGAGACATCATAGGGCGAACACCTCTTTGAAGAAAGGTAGGAAAGGCAGTGCCACCGCTGCTTTTCCACGTAATGTGCTGAAGTGTCACAACTAGTCACACTTTGTGTCACTAGTTGCGTGCAGTACAAACGAAGGCAACGCCGGGCAAGGAAGAAAGGGCAAGCACTAGGAAGGCTGGAGAGGAGAAACCTCCTCCCCCGTTTCACCTTCCTAGTGCTCACTCTTTCTCTCTTCGCCACATTGCACACAACCAGTGGCATAGGGCCTCGGCAAACTGTCGATGTTTGTAAGCACTTTGTAACGTAGGACACTCGAACGATGACACCGGATGAGAATACCTTCGGTGCCCCCCCCCTTCACGTCCAGCCGCCAAGAGGTGCCCGGCCTAGCGAGAAGAGTAGCGCGTGAGGACACTCACGTAATGAAGAGGGGCCGGTGCTCGCGGGACACCTCGAGCACGGTGGCAATGAGCTGGCCGGCGCTCGACGGGTGGTTCTTGAGCAGGCACTCGAGGAACTGCTCCACCAGGTGGCGCGAGTTGCTGCCGTGGTAGCGCGGCAGCGTGAGCCGCAGCACGTGGCACAGGCCCCGCAGACGGGGTTCCGGCAGCAACACTGCGGAAAGGAGTTAAACGTTAAAGGGACAAAGAAACGAGAAAGCCTCCCCTCTTAATAAGATTATCTCATCAAACGCGGGCCTCGGAGAAAACTTACTCGCGAGTGTTCTCACTCATCCTCAGACATGAGGCAAGGGCGAGCGAGTTCGTAAGCCTCGAAACCTTGCGAGTTTGAAGCCGAGTGAGGGACGTAAAGATAGTAAGGGGCACGAACTTGGCAAGTTCAGGCATAATTCACTGCAACATTTCCTGTTTTGCCACTTCCGATTAAGCGGATCACCCATGGAGGAGAGGTAATCCCCTATCTGTTTGCTTTGTTAAGGCGGGACACTGCTCGAAAAAGCGAATGTTTGAACCACTTGTCTGATTTAAATGACATTTACAGGGCTGGTTTCTGTTGCCGTTGAGAACATTTCTGCCAAATTTTGTTAACCTGGATGAAATACAAAAAAACTGCAAATGTTCAAAGATGAAAGTGGGCGTGTCTCTGTAGGTAAACTATTGTTTTGAAATTACTTATAAATTTGTCATTTTCATGCGTTATATTGCTTCAAGAAAGTTCAGAGCAGACAGCTATAGAACTATATTTTTATATTATGCCATCTTTCATAACAAAAAAAGTCACATAAACACAAAAAGACAAAAATAAAAAATACAAGCTCCACAGCTAGTCTTCCCCTTAAAATTTCACCCCAGAAAAACTCATAAAGGTGAATACAAGTTACGTAATAACAAAAGAAAAGTTTTCCTAAAGTGAAATTCATGCCGAAAAGTGGAATGGAGAAAAATGTGTTCAAAGTGCTCCAACCTCTACCTTTTCTTTAGCATCAATAGACCAAAAATAATTTATCAAAAAATAACTATGCAGTGTAAACCAATGAAACTTTCTGGGAGTACTGTCTAGAGTCTAGACGTTGCTGCATGTAAATATGACATTTTTCAAAATCGACTGTTTTTGCAGAAATTGTTCTTTTTGAGTAGTGTTCCCCCTTCAAGGGACACCGACATATGACAGCTCAACTACCCAGAACACAATAGACCTATTGCTGTATTACCCAAGCATCAAGGAGAATGCAGGGATTGGTGTTCCACGCGTCACACGCGCACGCCTTCCCCGTATAAAAGATTCAAAGTAAATAACCAAAATAAAGCGTTGACGAACGCGCGTGCAAGATGCCATTTGTTTTAAGCTTTTGCTTTTGAAGAGTTAGTGCTGCAGATGCCGGCACGTGCGGCGCGTGAAACACCAGTCCCTGCATTTTTATGACGCTTGGGTAATGTAGCAATAGACCCATTAGTGGCTCGAAATTAGTTTTCTTTCCACCCGAAAACTGCCGATCGAGGACTGGCCGGTTTGAGTTGCGCTCACTCTCTTCTATGTGGTCACATGCCATTTTCTATGCTTTCGACACAACCACCAAAGATAATCGAAGTCATGAGTCATCGAAGGCACAGACTCAACACTAAAAATAAACAAATATGATACCCATTTTTCGTGTATACTAAAAAACTGCTAACACATTGATTGAAAAAAAAAAAAAAAAAGTTGCACAGTTATGTGGTTTTTGGTAACTTTCTCCTCCTCTATATTTCTTCTTCCCCCCCGTCAAATTTCGGTTTCGTTTTTGAGCAGTTGCATATTTTGTCTTTATTATAAATATATGTGACGCTGTAGTATAATTTTGATTGGACAGACAGTCTTCGGGCACCATAATAAATCGCCTAACAAAAAGTTTAAAAAAAGAAATTAGGGGAGCGTCACTGTTCTTTTAAAGGGCAACTCCGCTCAATTCCAAAACTTTTAGGCTTACATGTGACTTTATTTCCCAAAGCACTACTAAACTGCCCTTCTTCTTCAGGTTCACGAAATGTGGGATGTTAGTTCTCTAATCTCAGTTTAAAGAAACAATGAAGATGATTATAAGTGTTTTTCTAAATGGTGTTTTTAGGCTTCTTGGGAACCTAGCACACTGCCCAATTTTTTTTGCAGACATTTGTAACGTGTATTTCTGTGCCTACTAAAGAGCTTAAGAAACCGAAACTGAACTATCTCCATTCTCATTTCTGGGCCTCCGAAAACGGAGGTGACATAGGGAGTGACATAAAGTGTGAATAGTCAGTATCGGTAGCATTTAGGAGATCGAGACTCTGGTTACTGCGGTGGGTTATAGCACCGCAGTGGAACAATTGTTTCGTCAGGTCTGTCAACATGGCTGACAATGCCGCTCTCGCGAGCGAGTTTGGGCTTCCGTTCAGTGACCTAAAAGCAACGGAACGGAAGTATGTGTGCGGCGTCCTCCGCCATCACCCAACAGTGACCGTCCAGCCGGCAACGAGCGGCCAGCAGGCTCTGAGCAGCAAAGCAGCCAGCAACATTCGCTCGGGCGAGACGAGAACAGCGCGTTGCAGAAGGACAGGGACGTGGAAAAGATGCCAAGGGGAAAGCGGCAGCGACCCGTTCCGGGAACCGGTTCCTCCCAGGGGATGCTCCACAAGAAGGAGAAAATAAACAGCACAATTTCTGGTTTTCACCACAGTCAGACGTCCTCCTTTCGTCGTCAAAGAACACGAACAGCAGCTCACACGTGAAAACTAGCGCCGCCCGAACGATTACTGGTTTTCAGTCAACCGTTTGGACAGTCATCTACAGCGCACAAATTTGGCATGACTACCACTTCTCAGAATCCTTCTAGTAGCGTGTTCCCAAAGTAAACACGACATCGACATCTGAAACCAAAACCAGACGTCTCCCGCGTACTCCGCGCTGTGCTATTTTTTTATTAATTTTGTTCACCCTTTGTTGCTTGCCGCCCGTTTCGCGTCTAGTGTAGCACAGAGAAAAATAAGTATGCTGTTTTATTTACGGTTTGGTAATCACTTCCGGTCCGATGTATACTTTTCATGGTTATTCGAGTGGAAATTGGAACAGTGTTCATAAGAATCGCGAACCAAAACATGACCGAGGGCACATCTCTCGTTTTGACCAATCGCTGACGCGTCTCTTGTGACGTTGCGCTTCTAGGAACCGCAGCGCAGTGCGAAATCCGCTTCTCCTGGCTTTTCCTGCAACTCTCGGGGCGTCACCACAATTGAACCCAGTACAATTATTACCGCGACTGTTTAATTGATTTGCGCAGCACACAAGCGCCGGTTTCGGCTGAAATTTGGGCAACGTTGTCTGAGATGTGCCTGATACCCAGTTCAATCGCCAAAAAATACGTCCGAAATTGTCTTCATTGTCTCTTTAAACATCAGCAGATACCGAAACTGAAACTTTTGTTGCGACAGGCAACACTGATCTTGTGTCATCAGAGTCATGACCAAGACGGCCAGTTCCACTTTTTATAAGCGGAATTAGGGTTCTTTTTTCACTGAGCCGCTGGTAGATTTTTTTCAGTCGCTTATCGCGTTTTTCGGGCTTATTCGTGTTTGTCCTGCAAATATTGTTATTTTAGTGCTCGTGTTCACTGACAGTGCGTTTGTCGTCAAAAACGCAAAAAACAGCATGACCGTTTGGCGCAGCGGTTAGGTGGCGCAAGCTACGGTCCGTCACAAAGTACAAAACTATTACTATCCATTCACTAATGTTTTGGCACCTTTTCCATCTTGCCAGTCGGCAGTTGCGGTCGTTGTGTCTAGTTGCCATTGCACTTGGCGCAAAATGGCTTCGAAGTGGTCGAAGTACAGCAAAAACAATTGTAAAGAATGGGAAAAGGAAACAGAGCTTAAGGACTGGCTGCGACCAGTCACCGAAAACGATAAAAAAGCAGCGTGCGAGATCATCATGCCGACCTCGTTCAGTCCATGGCAACAAAAAAACACGTGAGGAACTCTCGGCCACTTTCCAGTGCACGTTTGACTACCATGGGCTTCACCAAGTTGTCGCCTCCAAGAACGATACCAGAACTGGAGCTCAAGCTGGCATGTTACTCAGCGTGCCATGCCACTATCCGCTCTACGGATAGTGGCTTGGCATGCTGAGTATTCGCCTTCGTATTTGAACGGGTTCTCTTTTTCATTTTATTATTAATAAACTATTATCAAGAATGTGTACATTTATTGAACTTCCGCTTGTTTTGGGCTTCTTCACAAAGGTCACGCCGCTTTTTTTGGGCTTGGTTGGGGACGACTATCTGCTGGTTCGCTCGGCCGTATCTGGCCACCCTGGTCATGACCATGTCACGCCGAACCACATGGTCCGAAAGGTAACGTGATCCTCTATGCGACGGCAGGTGAACTTGAGCACGGTGGAAGAAACATTTAGGTGATGACTCTATGTCCGACACGCGCCCACATTATGTTCGGCGCACCGAGCGCTTCACTTGCACGGGGATAGATGGCACCCAAGTATCGGGTCCCTCCCAAACCGACTGCTCTGGTCGTTTCTCCCAGCCGTGGTCCTGCCATTCCCTCGCTCACCGCCGCCACGACGCCACCAAGTCGCCAGAGTCCGTAAATCTGCGTTCCCTTCCTTCTGTTTCTTTGGGTTAAGGCTCACCTTTGTGCACGATGGTGGCACCTGTGATCGACACAGCACCAAAGCAAAACGCCCACTGGCCGCACACCAGCACCACACCACCACAACGCGAAAAGGCGAGCACGCTACGGTGTCGGCACTTTATAGCTCAGCGCCCTTCGCGGCGGCGCGGAACTAACAACTCCTGGTTCGAGGCTAGCTCTGAACACGATCTGGTTGCTCGCTCCCCGCGGAAAGAGCGGCTGAAGTCATCACCAAAATGTGTTTCTTCGACCGTGACGTAGAGCAAAGCGCAAGGGTCGTCTGCTCCACAATTTTCGTCAATGTAGTTTGCTAAAACATCCACCGACGTCTGCTTTGAGTTGGAATCTTGACGGAGGTGCAAGCAATTTGACGTGGGCTTATTGTCACAAGGTGCTGTGTAACATCGATCTCGATTACATGTCACAAGATCCCCAGGTGGTCTAAATTAATCATCAGTCCTCCGCTTGGGGGTGCCAGATGCCCTTCGTAGGTTTCTATTTTATTTATTTATTTTACTGAAAATAGCCGAGTCTTCGCGCTTGGTTTCTACAGGCGCAAGACGACCGCCGCGGTGGTCGTTTGACCGTGCATGTGTCTCCTGCTTTAGTAGCCTGAATTGTGTACTTGTATGAACCTGTACGGCAGACTACACATTCATTGTCAATAGCAAAATAGTCAGCAAAAATTATGAATGCCGTGATAAGCAAGCTCCAGTGCACATTCATTTGGTTTCACAGTGGAACTGATCTTTTCGCATGTTTCTTTATTCAGCTGGTAACAGCAAACTAGTTAGTGTCATGAGCACAAGCAATCAGAACAGATCATTGTTCTGTGATTTGGTGACAATGGCTTCCCGGATTTCCACCGGCACAGGATGTCAGTCAATACATTTAGATGCGCACTGTCTTGTGGAAACTTGGGAAAAACAACTCCCGGGCTAATGAACTGGTAGTTCGAGCAAGCAGCAACACAACATTGTGGGCCTATGGATCTTTCGCCAGGCATCGCAGCTAGTCGTCGGAGATTCGGCCCGCGCTTGTGTCGTAAACAAAACGTTCTCAAACTACAACAGCAGCAAGATGAAAGACTGCTCCCAGCTCTTGGCTGCCAAAAGGCGTGCAGAACAATGCAAACTAGCGCATCCGTGTTACGGTGATCACGTGGACACGACTGAGCCAACACCGGGAGGAGAAACTCATGACGTCATCGTTCAATTTCGCCCTGAGAAGTAAAAACAAACAAAACGTGAGAATGACATAGACACGACTCCGACATAGTGGCTCAATGTTGGCTACTCCAACTCCGTGGTATTGACTGCGCTGTCGATTGCGCCTCACGTAGCACGCTAGAGCTGGCAGATTTCGGCGACTTGGCTCATTTGAAAGTTTGCTGGCCAGTTTATTAAATATACAGACAAAATTAGAACTTCATGTTTGACATGTGGTCTTCCTAGATTATACTAAAGAGGGCTGCATAGTTTTCTCAATATCAAAATTGAAGCGGAGTTGCCCTTTAAGGGGTGGGGTTGTATGGTCGGAGGAAAGGCGGAGAGGAAAAGATATTTGTGCCTCATAAATAAACTCTTTGCAAAACCCAGCGTGTGTGAGCAAGAACTGCCTCCTGTTTCATGCTTGATGAAAGTACAGTGTTCCCTCTGAGTACTAGTACTACTGAGTCATGGCAGCGTAACCCATCGAGGGAACACCAATTTAACAAAGGGCAACTTATGACAGAATGCACGTTTCATAATCGGGGAGCACTGCAGTTAAGGCTATGCAGTCTCGGCACAGATTGTGCTGGACACTGATTGGCTGTGCCTTCCCCCTGCATCAACTAGTATAAGCATCTCGGCCTTATGGAGTTAGCAATATAATCATCTCTGATGAGAAAGCAAAGGCGCGAAACTATTGACATCTGAGATGGATGATCATACCCGTAAACTGAAGATTTAGCCTGGGGATCTGAACACCAGGCTTGCTATGGTAAGTAGCATCCTGCGGGGACTAGCACTTCACGCAAACGAAAACTTGGATCGCGAGTCACGCCGGTGTGATGTTGCTGACGCCAGCTTGGGGACGGAATTACACGGACCAAAAGCATACCGGTGAGATATTTAACGAATATCTGGCGTCAAAACGCATTTCTCGATGGCAGAAACCAGGTAGAACTTAATTTGACATGTGATCGAAGTGTCAGAATAAAAAAGAGAAAGAAAAAATAGTGCAAAGCATGGAACCGCCCGGTCAGCCAATATTACGCACCAGAACACGCCGCTTTTTGCACTTTCGAGGGGTTGGTGCTATTGCAGTTGGTGTAAAGCTCGCTGCGAGCAAATTTTTACCATTCTTTGTAGCTTCTTGAAGCTGAGAGAAAATGTCTTTTCTGATGACAAGCTTTGATGTCTGGACCTTGACCGGCAGGTCTTTGAAGACCGGAGGGACCTGAAACGTGAAAAAGCACGTGGTCTGAAGCTCGCCTTCCGACCTGACCGGCCGCAAACGAGCCGTGTGTACCCCAAATTTGGGAAAAATAACGGGTTTAGTTTAACATGCGAAGAACTTACATCCACGCCAGCCATAACTTTCTTCACGGCGTGTAAAACATGACGTCCGCGGATGATGATGATGATGGGACAAACGCGCCGAACTTAGGTCGCTTAGGTCGTTGCCGGCGGCGAGCGGTCGGGGCAGAAGGTTCGGCAGAAAAGAACAAAGTTTGTTCCCGATAATTAACAAAATTTTACAGGTAAACCTTCGTTTCGGTATGTCTAATCAACATATATGTCGGTAAGATTTGCTCTGGCCAGCTGTCACGAGCATAACGTGTGCATCTAGAATCCACCTGAATCCAGTTTGAATGGCGCGATGTTTGAATAGTTTGACGGTGCATTTTGCTCTAGGAAAGCGTCGTCGTCCAACTCAGAGGCGTGCGCACAGGGGGGACAGGGGGGGCGGCCGCCCCCTCTAATCATTTGGGGGGGCGCAAAGTTGGCCCGACTCGAGTCGCGACTGCGCCGGCGGTATGGTTTCTTTTTCGACGGCATAAAACACCGACGCCAAAGTTCCCTCCCTCTAGTGCGCGCAACGAAAAAAGCAACCACAAAAAGACGCCGCGACGCAGCGCCAGGCGCCAAGCCGTCTACGGCCAGCCGTTGGCGAAAAACCGGACAGCTTTGCAGTTGTCCCTGTCACTGGCTGCGCATGCGAGCGGACGTTTTCAAAGCTCGCCATTGTGAAAACAAAGCTGAAATCAACTCTGAGTCATGACCGGCTTCGGTGGCTGCTTTTACCGTTCGTTGAGCAACAGATTGTATTGTCAACAAGTTCTGAGTCAGTCATCGAACAGTTCGCGACAAAATCGCGTAGAATTTTGCTTTAAACTTTTCAAGATTGGTGAAAAGCACTATATCTCCCGCGTGCTACACATTTTTAGTAATCTAGTCATGACATATGTTTACCACCACATAACATATCCATTAGTTTGTATAACGTTTGTTGAGCATGACATAATGCGGGGTCCATATCACTTGAGCGAATGACATTTTAGCGAACAGCGACATTTGAGCGAATGGTCGTTTTAGCGAATAACTGGGGCGCGCGTTAACCCATCCGCCGCGCTGCGCTTTACACCGCTTCGCGGCGACCGCCTGCGGCGGCCCATTACAAAAATGTGAACCCATTTGGCCCACCCGAAAACGCCGCTTCGCGGCGTCCGACTATTCGCTAAAGTGTCATTCGGTGAAACGTGGGCGTTCGCTAAAACGTTATTCGATCAAGTGAGTGCCTCCCCCACAAAGTAAGATTATCAACTGTACATTTGGATGCTCAGAAGAAGAAAAATGGCATGTCATAGCGTTTATCTTCAATAATTACTAAATATTGTAACTTGCTGTTTCTCGCATTTTTAATCTGCGGTATATTCTCGTGCTTTTAAAGGGCAACTCCGCTTCATTTTTGATATTTAGAAAACTATGTAGCCCTCATCTGTATCATATAGGAAGACCCCATGTCAAATATTACGATCGAATTCCGTTTATATATTGAATAAACTGGCCAGCAAACCTTCAAGCGAGCCAAGTAGCCGAAATCTGCCAACTCTAGCGTGCGGCGCGAGGCGCAATCACCAGCGCAGTCAATGCCACGGAGATGGAGCGGCCAACGTTGAGCCACTTCGTCAGAGGCATGCATACGTCATTCTCACGTTTTGCTTGTTTTTACTTCTCAGAGCGAAATTGAACAATGACGTCATGTGTTTCTCCTCTCGGTGTTGGCTGACCGGGCGTTCACGTGATCACCGTAACACGGATGCGCCTGGGATGCGCTGCCCTGCGCGCTTATCGGTCTGTTTCTCCGCTCCTTTTCTCTTCTTTCGTCTTCTCCCACTTCCCCTCGCCCCCGGGCCATCACCGTCCACGCCATGCGGAGCGAACTGCCCGCGTCCAATAAAAAAAAAAAAAAAAAAGACTTTGCTTGGTTTTTTGCTCCCTCCCGAACGTCACAAGACCACCTGGTTCGACGTGACGTGCCATGACTCTGACGACCCGAGACCAATGTTGCCTGACGCAACCGAAGTTTCGGTTTCGGTATCTGCTGATGTTTAAATTAGGATTACAGAAATAATATTCCACATCTCGCGAATCCGAAGAGGTAGAGCTGTTTAGTAGTGCTTTGTGAATGTGAATCACATTGAAGCCTAAATTTTTCGGAATTGAGTGGAGTTGCCCTTTAAAGGGCTACTCCACCGATTTTTTCATTGTCTCCGATTTGCTTGAAATTTTGCTAAACTAACCAACAAACATCGCGAAAATAGTATCCCAAATATTAGGTCAAAATATTGTTTTTTCGCGAAGTTATTGAATTTACAGTTTTGGTCCTCACCGTGTTTTTCAAGCTCGAAGTCTCTACTGGCAACAATGAAAAAGTGACGTCAGTGGAAGGCAGGGGTTCACTCTTTGGGCTGTAGATTTCGTTTTAAACTGATTCGAAGCAGTTTCATGGTGTCAAATGAATGCTTGGGAAGCTCGCTGCAGTACCCGCGCTCCAGCACGGAACAAATGATTGGCATATTCTATTTTTTGGCTGCTTGCTCGACTGGCAAGCCTGCCTGCCACTGACGTCACGGCCCTGAAAAGCGCGCGTATATTTGAATGTTGGTTTTTGCATCATTTTCATTTGCCGATTTCGCAATAACTATTATGAATTTCGCGATTCTAAATAGCATACCGGAGAGAGTAAAGGCCAGGGAGTCAGAAAATATAGTTAGTTGAGGTAGCTCAAAAAATCGGCGGAGTACCCCTTTAAGCGTTGCCATTACGTTGTGTATTGGGTGGCGTTTTTCGTCCTCTGCATCAACGTTGCAGACGCCATATGACAGCTTTCGCCATGTGTAGGTGCACCCATGCGCTTGCCCTGTATGTATACTACAATTTCCATGGTAGCAGAGTCACGTTGAGGCAGTATTTTTAAATATTTTGTGCTGTTAAAGACGCCATATATGTCGTCTTTCTCTGCATGGTTTAGAAGCAATAAAAATTCTTTGTACGCGCGTTGTGTCCCTGACGCCTCAGCTGCGCAGGGACTGCCTTTCTTTGCGGACGTTTCACAAGAAAGTGAAACGAACTGCTTAATAATATTTTGTATATGTTAAAATTCAATATTGTTGAAATAAATGTTTCATAACCATATCTCGTCTCAGCACTACAATATGAGCGGAAGGACATCAGTGGGAGTGCGTTGATAGAAAGGGGGGGGGGGGGGGGGGCTCTATGGAAACCTCGCACCCCCCCCCCCCCCGCCAATGAAAAATCCTGCGCACGTCTATGGTCCAACCGACAGTATTTGCGAAACCAGACTCTTTTGGGAATTTTTGTTCGAACACCGGGAGCGAATGTTTCAAATTGACAAATTGTGTAATACCTCACGAGAACGAAATTCCCCTATCACACTAACAACTGCACGAAAAAACAAAATGATATGCATACACAATTTTTATGAAGTCAATTTATCAGCTCTGTGTACTATTTAAGTAATTTCGAAATCCTAGACAGTGATTTCCCTACATGCACAGTGCCATTAGCGCACACAGAATTTTTGTCTGGGTGGACCGTGGGGGGTTGTGAAATTTTGACAACCGGTCGGAGGAGAGAGGGCCGGGAAAGGGGGGGGGGGGGATATTTTTTTATATTTTTTTTGTACGCGTTATTGCGAGATTTTATTTCTACTGCGCGAATTCATTTCAATCCCATCGACACGATCCCATTCCTTGATATGTACATTTATTTATCAAAAACTCGTTTATATTCATAGATGCAGTAAAATTTGAATTTCTCCACCATCGCACCCGCGTATAATAAGGCGTGGCACTTAAAGGGTTAAGTGTTTTAAAGGTCGTTTTATGTGTTTAAACAATTTATTTTCATATATTCAAGAACCGCCGCGCTGAGAAGAACTCTGACATCCTGTCGTAGGCTTTCCTTGCAGCATGCGCCACCTGAATGCACTACAAAGTATCTGTTTCAATAAACGAATAACTGTATTTATTAAAACGTCGACGGACAGGTAGCCCAATGCTGGGCATAGCCGTAGCTAGCACTAGTGAGTCCAGAGCAGGGGTCGGCATTTTAGGTCGCCCTCACTCACCCTCACCCTCACAGCCACACTCACCTAAGCCCCTCACTCACCCTCACCCTCACAGCTACACTCACCTTCAGCCCCTCACTCACCCTCACCCTCACAGTCACACTCACCTTCAGCCCTTCACTCACCCTCACTGAACCTCACGGCCCTCACGCACTCACCGGCCTCACGGCCCTCACGCCCCTCACGGTCCTCGCGCCCCTCACTCACTCATGGCCCTCATGGCCCTCACGCCACTCACCGCCCTCACGCCACTCACCGCCCTCACGGTCCTCACCGCCCTCACGGTCCTCACCGCCCTCACGGCCCTCACCGCCCTCACGGCCCTCACCGCCCTCACCGCCCTCACCGCCCTCACCGCCCTCACGGCCCTCACCGCCCTCACGGCCCTCACACACTCATAGCCCTCACGCCACTCACCACCCTCACCGCACTCACGGCCCTCACGACCCTCACGACCCTCACCGCCCCCACGGCCCTCACGCCACTCACCGCCCTCACGCCACTCACCGCCCTCACGCCACTCACCGCCCTCACGCACCTCACCGCCCTTGCGGCCCTCACACCTCTCACGCCACTCACGCACTGATGGCCCTCGCGCCACTCAGGCCAGCTTCAGATGGGGCAAATTCGCCCAGAAACTTTACGTCACAACACCAGCAACACGGGCCGCCCGCGATCACACGCAGCAACCAATTGCTGCAATTTGCTATCGTCATCATAAAATTTTATTCTTCTTGCACTATTTAGACACAATTACGCGTTATAAACGTGTTTTTATGCATTTAAATCTCGTTAAGAATACTAATGCACCTTTCTGAAACAGTTTATTTCCAAAAAGAACGATCGATTTCAAACCAGAATCAAGTCTTTCGGTGTCATCATCACCGGCACGAGGTATCACGTGAAAATTTTGCGTCCCTGATTGGATGCAGCCGCTTCAAACGCATTCGAATTGCTCCGAGTTGCTTGCTTATTTCGAGCC